CCGATCTGGCAGCGTTTCTGGCCGGGCCGATATCAGAGTTTATCTTGACCCTCAGCGTAGCACGCACGTGCTAGTCGACAGACACCGATTCTGCCGCTTCTACAAGACCTCTAAAGATGGATCTTTAGATACTAGATACGAGACTACGAGGACTGATGAATGAAAGGATATAACATAAACAAAAAGAATCAAAATCATTGCTATCAGTAGAAGTCAAATTAGGTCAACCGAACGTCGGATGAAATGCGAATTAAACGGATCGAATGTAAAGGTGCATGGCATAAACAGGGTCGTCAGACAAGAACCGCACCATATGCTCCACCATCCTTCTAATACACAAAGGCGAGGAGAGCCACAACACCACAGAAGAGGGAGACCAGGCCGGTGTGAGGGGTCACATGGCCAGCGGCGCCGTCGAAGACAACGCCGGCGTGGGAGGAGGGGCTGGGGGTAGCTTGGCTGGAGGCACCGGGACGGTAAGCGTCAACGGAGGTGGGGACGCTGGCGGAGCTGGAGGCTGCGACGTGCGAGCTGGAGGCAACCGCAGCGCTGGACACAGGAGAGGACGCCTCGGGCACGAACACGGGGATCATGTGGTAGGTAGAAGCCTGGACGACGGTGCTCAAGGGGATGTGGGCGCTGGTGGGAGTGGGAGTCGCCATGGGAGCCATCTGGATGGGATCCCAAGGCTTGCTGGCAACCGCGCTGCTGGTGGGCTGGGCGTAGACGGTCTCGGTCACGGTCTGGACGACCTCGCGGGTCTCAGTCTCACAGGCGCCCTCCGGGGAGTTGGCGGCGTGGCTGACAGTGTCTTCGGTCGGCTCCTCAGGGGTGGTAGGGCGGTAGGCACGCTTGAAGTGGCCGAAGTCAGCGTCGGCAGCAGCGTTGACAGACGTCTCCTGGTCGTTGGCCCAGCCGTTGTTGATCTCGTGGTTGTCGGTCTGGTCACCGCTGTAACCAAGTGAGTTTCCACCATCGTTGCCATAGTTTCCACCCGCGATGAACGCGGGTCCTTCGGGGATGATGCCGTGGAAGGGATCCGGGTGGACGTGACGCTTGGGCAGGAAGGGGACGCCGCCCTCGAAATCCGCGAGCGCATTCGCAGAGAGGTCTTGCTTGTTCTTGTGCGCGTTGTTGATCGCAGTGTTCTGGGTCTGGTCAAACGAGAAGTCGGCGTCGTTGCCGCGGTCATTGCCATGGTTGCCGCCAGCACGGAAGAATCCTGGAGCGGAACGCTTCTTGGGAAAGAAGTCCTTGATCTTAGCCTTATTCTCGGACAGCTTCTGATCGTTCTTCCATTCGTTGTTCACATTGGTGTTCACGGTCTGATCGTTGTTGAAGTCGGCGCCGTTACCAGCGTCGTTGCCATGGTTTCCACCGACGTGACCACGCTTGAAGAACGGCTTCACGTCCGCTTCGGCGAGGGCATTGGCACTGGCCTTCTGCTTGTTCGAGTAGTCGTTGTTGATGTCCGTGTTCTGGCTCTGGTCCATGGACAAGTCAAGGCCATTGCCATCGTCATTGCCATAGTTGCCGCCGACACTCATAAAGCCAGGTCCGAAGCGCTTGCGGATGGGTTTGAACAGTCCCATCTCATGCTCCTCAGGATCGTCACAGTCCTCAGGCTCATCATCCTTGTCGTGCTCATCATGCTTGTCATGCTCATCATGCTCATCATGCTTGTCATGCTTGTCATGCTCATCATGCTTGTCATGCTTGTCATGCTCGTCGTGCTTGTCATCCACCTTGTGCACGACGTTGACTTTCACGTTCTCCTCGTTCGTCCAGCTGTTCTTGATATCAGTGTTGACCGACTGGTCTCCACCAAGGCTCGCGGTGTTGCCCTGATCGTCACCCTTGTTGCCGCCGACTTGCCGCTTGCGCAGAAAGTCGTCGAAATCAGACAGCTTGTTGACGGAGTCGTCCTGGTGGTTGTCGCCGTGGTTACCAACCTTGCCGTTGGCCCCCTCCTTGTGGGAGTTGCCAATGGTATTGCCAACATCATTGCCGTAGTTTCCACCAACAGTATCGTCGTCAGGGTGGTCACGGCGGAAGTGGCCGCCGAATTTACCCTTGGCCAGGGCGTTGTAGGAGGCCTCCTGCTTGTTCGACGCGGCGTTGTTGATTCCAGTGTTGTGAGTCTGGTCAAAGCTCAGGCTGGCGCCATTGCCGTTGTCGTCGCCGTGGTTGCCGCCAACCTTGAACATCTGGGCCTGGGCGACAGCGGCCAGCACTGCGAGGGGAATACCGGTTTGGAGTCCCTTCATTTTGTGTATTTCTTTTCTTTAGAAGCACTGAACGCAAAGAACGAGGGAATGAAATGAGTGACTGCGTTGTGGCTCGGCACACTTGGATCAAGGAAATGCTAAGGAACGAAGGAAGACTGCCACAAGTGAAGGTCTAGGAGGCTTCGATGGACGACGGATGACCATCTGCCTTTTATCGTGAATTCCTCGTCACCCTCCCACGCCTGCGTTGACGAATCTTGCATCGGCCGGGAGGTAAACAAATACCGCGCGAGCTTTCGTTATGTCCCGGAGAATGCGGCCTGGAATGGATAGGACCTGCTTCGTTGTCCATGAGTCTTGATCTGCCTGCACGACGAGTCGGCGAGTGTCCCCGAGCGTCCCCAGAGAGCAATGGAGTCGCATTCCTGGACCTCCGACCCAACCCAGACTCTAGGGGCTGGTATGGGAATCACCACCTCATCGGGGCCGATGCCTCCCCCCATTTGTCAGAGGTAGCCATCCGATCGACCCTGCGCAATGTTTTGGGATCAGGATAGGGTAGGGGGCGCCGAGCAGGCCATCCCAGACCCCCTTGTTTCTCCTGGCTCCCTGTGGTCCCCTGTGGGCCAGCTGATCAGCCGCTCCTGGCTATGGGAGTCAATCGTCCCCTTCCCGTACGGAGTACTGGCTGTGATCCGGGGCTGTCGCGTCTCCTCCTCATTCTACTCCCGTGCCATGCCTGGATGTGCAGCGGCACACACACGAAGCGGTCCACACGTGGTGCACCCGGGATGAAGCTTCTTTCCCGGGACGCAGGGATGCTCGGACTACTGGGCCACATACTGACGATACGGTTAAGCAGGAAAGAGCCTGGAGTCATGAAACTGTTTTTGCATTGGTACTTTCATCATCTGTGGAGAGTTGGCAAAAGAATGTATCCCGTCATCGACATTCACCCCTCATCGCCCTCACTGAAGAGGACCCAACGAGAGACAAACTTCCTATCAAGGAAATAGATTACTCTCCAGAACCGAACGATCCGTAGATCGAAGGCAACACACCGCCGTGGAGAGAGGCTGGACGGTGGTCGTGGCAGGTTCTGTTAAAGCTTTTCGATGTGAAGAAGAAAAGAAGAAAAAGAGAGAAAGCGGGAAAACGATCGGCGATGTTTTTGTACCGTCTTGGTCGGTAGTGCGTCACGTGAGCGGCCTTACGTTTCCCCGGTTATCAGGCACCAAGGCCGTCTGCCCTAATCGTGCCTCTTGACTCTCGTGATGCTTCAAATCAGGACACATTTCGTATATCGCAGGTGTGAATGTCAGTGAGAACGCAGTTGATACACAATGACATCGCACCTCTGTACAGCTGGTGCAATGCGCTTCTATTTGATCATGTACACGGACTCCTTTCCCCCACTCCCCTTCCCCCCTGACGCCCCCTTTATCCCCCAACTCGCGTAGCCACCGCAACATTCCATCTCATCCAATATCACTCTGCTGATGATCCGATCGCCACACACCACCCCCGACGGCCGCCGTAATCCCCAGCGCAATCGCCACCATACTCCCCAGCGTCACCACAGCGATAGCGGCCTTGATCATGATGCGCTGGCCAGTGGGCATCGACCGCATACAGTCGCAATGCCGTTTCTTCTCCGCCCACAGCTTCGATCCGCGCCGGTTGTCGCTTTCGTCGGACGACTGTCGCTCCAGCTCGGTGAGGGTGTACACGCCCGCACCGGCGACTTCTTTAGCATTGATTGTCACCCGTTCGCCGTCCATCGTGGACGTGGCATGGCGGTAGAACGGCGAGTAGGGTTTGGCGCCCACGGTTGGGTCGTAGTTTTCGCGCGGCGAGGTGGGTGACGAGGCGACTGACCGGTGGTTTTCGGTGATGGAGACAAAGGTGGTCGAGGGGGTTCTTGGCCGTTTTGTGTCTGCGGGCGACGGTCGCACGTCTGTCGTTGGGGAGGATGTGTGCATTGCGCAATGTTTTGCGACGGTCGTCGACGCCCAGTAGATTCTGTGTGCAGTCGCGTAATGTCTAGGGATGCTCTCGTATGGTCGATGTGATCAAAATAAATCAAGGAGACGTCGGTCAGGAGAAGGAGGGAGGGAGAGGTCGTGCGTCGGCTCAGGGTCAATGGTGGCTTCCTTGGAAACACGCTAGGGAGTACCAGCGATCAAATATACACGCTAGAACCCGCTCTTTGAGTCTTCTCAAGCGATTTGGTACTGATGAATGCTGTCTAAAAATTCGCAGAGGTGAAGTTTGATATGATTGCGGAGTGGGATGGTCGGCGCATCCAATCAGTGGTGCTGTCGACAGGGGCTGGTGCATTCCAGCTTCGTTTTCGTCTCGATGTGATAGATCTCCTCGTCTGCTTTCGACCAATCGTCCTGGCAGGTGGAATTAGTCTGGTAATGATCGCCCTGTCTCAGCTGTTATGTTGTTTGACAGCTGTGGCGTTGGAGGTTCGTAGCGATGGCTTCATCCGTGTTTCAACTTGATGCAGGTATGTAGAAGTACAGGATTGAGATCGTTCTCGGTGTTTACTATGACTAGGGATAGTCTGATAGCCCGATGGCCTGATAGTCTGATAGTATTGATAATATGATAGCCTAGTAACTCGTTTAGGAGTTGTAATGGTGTAGTCTGTCTCTTGAGTTGTGGTGGGATATGTGTGTTGTTGAGATATATATTCAACATCGACTACTCACTATCCCAACCATACAAATATATCTATCGCCATATCTCCCGATACCACCTACAAAATCAGAGAAAGATCCATACACGTTCGACTGATCGACTGGTGCGATATTGAATGCCCTGAAGAAAGTAGATAATCACCCAATGCAACACCGCCCGTACAGATCGATGAAAACGGCACTCAACAAGCCTTCCTCGTATCTCCACTCCGCCACTCCACTATCTATCTAGGCTGCCAGAAGGAACACGCAATTAACGTCTGTTTCACTCAGATCCACCAATACAAAACGCTTTACCCATGGTAGACTCCGCTGAGACCATGCTCTGCCCAACGGACAAGCTCAAATCAAGAGACTAAAGAGACTACTGATAATCTCCACCACAGACGGCACGGGAGTAAGACTACGAGTACAGCGTACTAATCCCTGGTTACTCTAGAATACCAATATCGAGGAGTGATTATGCTACTTAGGTGAGGCATCTGCTAAGCAATCAAGCAGCAGACGCAACCCAACACCACAGCTTTCACACACGTACACAATCCAGCGCAGTGACCACCATATCCAAGCCCGACAACACACCACAGAACCCCTCTCCCACTTACCTTACTCCGTACCTGGTAGATATGCCACCTCCATACCACAAACAGAACAGGTCATGCGACCACCATAGGGATGAGGCAGTGCCGCACATCAACCGTCGCAACCTACACCCTCACACCCAGCAAAGAATGAAAACATCACCGCCGCGCAAGAATGAAGGGACAAGGCCAAGCGCAGCGCAGATCCATGCGCTCGGCCGAGTAGCGAGTGTAGCCAACACCCTGGATCGCTGCACTCCCTTCTCACCATCCCTTGCGCCCCAGCCGCCTCGAACGCCCTGTCGTCGATCCCCGGAGAAGAATGTCCCGGGCTCTGTGGTATGTGCGAGGCGGTGCCTGTGCCTGACGCTCCGCATTCACCCTTCATTCTTAGAGGGTTGGCATTCTGTCGGAGGAGGTATGTTCCTCGGGTTACGCTGTTGATGTCATTTGGCTAGGGCTAGGGGTGCGTAGAAATCTGGACCATAGCTGCCGTCTTGTTGGTATCTTGGGCGGGTTGAGCTCAATGCCGGGTTGTTGTCTGGGGAACGGTTGTGGGATGGAGGACGTGTCGTGCTGGATGGGGTGTTCGGGGTTCCTGGGGGCCCCGGGTTTTGTGCTCAGAATCAGTCTTTCTTGTTGGAGGGATGAGGTAAGCTGGGCATTGGATTGTAAGACAGAGGTAGAATTGTAGAGATGGAGGATAGGCTATGGTGGTGCGATTATGATGGTCATGTAGTATACTAGTAGGATATATGACTTTAGACATGTGGATATAGTCATGTCATGGACTCTCTATATCTAGTCGCTCGTGATAATCATGCATCTATGTAACTGTCCAGTGTCTGCCAATATATACATCGAAATATATATCTGACCATATACCTCTCATACATAGACCTATGTACGCAGTCACCGACCCCCCCCGTAACTCCTCGGCGTCTGCAGATTCACATCCATCTCTATATCCATCCTCATACTATCCTCTACCCCATTAACATCATCGTCATCGCCCCAAAAATCCCTAAGATCCTCAACCCGCCACGCCGTCGCCCATCCCGTCTCGCGCTCGATGCGCGTCAACGTCTCGACGATGGCCGCATGCTCCGAATGATGCGACATGGTCTTTCCCGCCAGCCAGAGCGGCTGCAGCGCGTTCGTCCAGCAGCCACTGATGGAGTTAGCAGTGTCCAGGCTGTCACAGCGATGGCATCTTACTGGTGGGTATTCGAGGCCGAAATGGCGCAGATCTGGCGGGCGTGCCAGAGAACCGATTTCTACCGCTGTTAGCATCATCGCCACCTAAGAGCTGTTTTGAACGTACCGGCCGTCGCGGCAGAGAGAGCGTCTTCGGTTTCCGCTGCAGCAGAAGCAATGCACACGTGTGATATAGCTGGTTTCCGGAGACTACACTCGTCAGGACACACCCAGATGTGCCCATGGGAAGAGAGAAGACATACTCGCTGCGCCGTTCCCATACAGCACAGTAGGAAACGGCCTCGCACTTCCCCACTCGATGCTCGCCCCCACCGTAAATATCGGCTTCATCTGGTTCGGCCGGTTGTCGTACCACTGCTCCACGCTAGCGAACAGTCTCTTCCAACGGTGGACGTACGAGTCGGCGTCGTCCGGGCTCCCCAGGTAGGGCTGCGGCGTGGTGGAGGCGCCGAAGAGGACGCCGACGGTCTGCGCGCAGAGGTACACGGTATAGTTTGCGTAGGTGTCGAAGGCGGAGACGTTCGATGTGAGGAAGAGCTGGGATGCCTCGGCGGGAGTCATGTCTTTAGGGATCCAGTGCCGGATGGGGATGATGGTCTCTTCTTCGGATATGAGGCCGCCGCAGACATCTGCTGACGTTGGCATTTATTTAGATTACAGGCTGGTAGAGAGGGATACGTACCCATGCGAGCGAAGCACCAGAACAGGGCTTGTTCCTCCTTCCCTGAGAACCCGTTGATCTCGGCGGCTTGGATCAGATACGCGCAGCCGTCGAGATGGCGACGCCATTCCTTGGGGTTACCTGTTGAGTCAGAATGATAAAGAGGAGCGTAGTAAACGACTGGACATACAGCTCAGCATTTCCAGCACGCAGAGAATTACGCAGGAGGCGATAACGGGGGTGGTCTTGCTCTCTAGCTCTGGTAGGAGGAGATGGATTGCCTCTTGGTACAGCGAGAGACTTTCCGACTGGGACTTTTCATTCTGCTTCCGCTCGATCTGTCTCGCAGACAGCGCCAGGATGGAGTATCGCAGGTGCGGCGCGGACTTTGCCATCTGCGGAAACGTCGAGGCGAAGTGCCGATGGCTGTCGAACATGTCGAGCTATGCATGGTTAGGACCAGACTAAACCACCGGGTACAAGTCCAAGAGAATAAAGCACCCACCCATAGACAAATCTCATTCAGATAGTTCTGCCAGAGCACATTCTCCCGATCCGGCGAGAGCTCAAAGCCCCGACTCGGCTGTTGCCGATGATGATGTCGACCAGCATCGGGCCGTATCCCATCTATCGGAACTCCATACCCAGGGACAGATACAGGCGATTCTGTCCGGCTGGGGATATCGGGTCGCGCAGTCCAGAGCTGCCGATTCCGCAGCGCCGTATGCAGGGCTTCGTAGGCCGAGCCCGGAACGAAGATATTATCGGTAAAGTTGGCCGGGTCCGAGAAGACGCTGTGGTCAAAGAGCGGCGACGCGATAGTGGGATAGGGCTCTGAGCTGGGTGGCGCAAAGGGCGCCGTGTTTCCAGAGAGATCGCGCAGCGCGGTCAGTTCGTTCACGACGAACTCCTCGGGACTCGAGTGCATGTATGGCTGGCCCGGGGGGTCATCGCACGGATAATGGTCCGGCGTCCGGTGATTGGCGGTGCCATTTAGCCCTACACTAGTGGGAGACGGATGATGGGCAGCGGGGGCAAAGGATGCCTCTGTGCATATCGAGGGGGAGTGACTATGGGGGGAGTGGTCTGGATGATAGGGGGTGGGATTGAGGACATTGTCAACATTGTCTGGCACGGCAGAAGCGGAGTGTCCATCCAGATGGATCTCGGACGCTGCTGGCGCTGCCCCTGACGGAGTCTCTGTTAGATGGTGTTCGCCTTCATCCTGTTGCTGTTGACGCTGGTCCTTGCTGCCAGTGCCATCTGCCTCGGACCTGCGGGGCGATGGCGGCTGCACGTTCAAGATCTAGGGGCGTTAGCGCGACGAACCATCGACTAGCAATGCACTGTAAGACTCACTTTGAATCTACTCTGGCGCTGATTGCGATTGCCGACGGTCTGGTTCATCGAGGGATGCTCCGGCTCAAGCACCTTGATATTGGCATCTCGGAACGAGCCTAGCACGCGCCACTGACACTTATCACCGCGCCGCTTGCATCCCGTGCAGGACGGCTTTGCCTCGTCGCCTGGACTGGGATGAGTATATAGACCACGACATTACCGGGACCCCAGGGATAGGGACGTACACTTCCGCCTGCGCCGACTGCAGTTGACACACCCCGTCCGGGTGCGTCTGCGGGGAGCAGTGCGCACTGGGGAGTCGGCATTTTGCGGTTGTCGCATGATGTCTGCCATCTATACGCAGCTTCTAAGTCATATTCTACCGTGTGTTGAACATTGCAAGTGCTGTGATGGGCAAGGGGGGGAACGACTACTCTAATAGGAAGACTGCCGACTCTGGGGCCGATGGCAAAAATTGCCGTTTTTGGTACCGATAAGCGCCGACGATGCGGGGGAATTCCGGGGAATTGAAATTTCTGCCCGTCGAACATGGACTATATGTTTTGCCGGTGGATAAATAGTCAGAGGACATTTGAGGCAAAGCAGATCTATCTAGGTAGTACACAATGTGGTCTCGCAGACACTGAACCAAACTACACCAACCAGCATCCGGATGAGTTACTCCACATGCTGAACGTCGCTCTCGGACTCTTTCTTGCTCGCCACCACGCGCGCGGTCGGGTCGCCGGCGGTACCCATGGAGGGATGCCAGTGCAGTTTCACCTTCTCGCCGGTGAAGAGCAGGTCGACTTGTTCCAGGGTCAGGTTGCGCGGCTCCGGGTAGAAGAAGTAGATCAGTGGGAGGAAGCAGAAGTTGAAGACGGCAAAGTAGATGTAGGTGCGGTAGCCGATGTTGTCGATGCTCACCGGGGTGATTTCCACGACGAGGAAGGTGAAGATCCCTGTCAGTCATTAGAGGAATGCCATCTCTTAGCTGGGTGGAAAGCATACAGTTTGTCGCGGTAGCAAGGGCTGCAGAGTGAGTTCGGATGGCCAGGGGTGAGTACTCAGCGGGCACTGTGTCTGTCAGTCGATATTTCCACAGATCGTCCATGCATGACATACAGAGCCAGGGAATTGCGAGGAGGCCCACGCCAAAGAAAAAATTGAACAGGAAGAGCATGACCGTGGCCACAATTCCAGAGGCATGGCTACCGTCCCATACAGTGCCGGCCAAGATCGCCATGCAACAGCATTGGCCAGCAGCGGCAAAGAGCATCAATTTGCGTCGCCCCAGTCTGAGCGCGTTAGAGATTATTATCAGAAGAAACAAGAGGGCCCTACCGATCAATGGTCCAGATGGGGACAAACGTCGAGACGAAATAAGCGACCCCGTTAAACCCGGCCATCAGCAAAGCCAAGTTATGGGTCATGCCGACGGATTTCTCGAAGATCACGGTGTTGTACTGATCATATCAGATGAAGCTCTGTGGTATCTATGGAATATATAGATGGACTCACATAGGTGATGAGGTTCACCCCAGACATCTGCTGCATCATTTGGCCACCCATTCCGAGTAGTGTTCGATGAAGGAACCGCTGAGGACCGTTCTTGAACACAGCCCTGAAAGATCCCTCCTTGGAAGCTGCCTGTTCTTCCACAATGGCCTTGGTGATGTCCGCAACGTCAAGGTTCACCACCGGGTCATCTTCGGATATATGATGGGCGTTAGGCTGGATGGCCCACAGGATGTGGCGGGCTTCGTTGTGCCGGTCGTGCGCGATGAGCTAGAAGAGTTAGCTCGAGCCTTCGAAAGGAGGACGAAGCAGAGAGCGTACCCATCTGGGAGATTCAGGCAGGAGTATGACACCAATAAAGGTGATTATGGCGAAGAGAATCTGCAGAGCCAGGGGAAAGCGAAACTGGGCCTCGCTTTTCACGTAGCTCATACCGTAGTCTGCCTGGTCAATATGTTCCTATGTCGGGACTATGACATAAACTTACCAACCCAGTATGCTGTCATGACTCCGAAAATATTGATACACAATTCAATGGCAAGCTGTACTAGTTAGTATGAAGAAAAGACAAGGGCGTCGACATCACTGACTCCTTTACCACGACTAGCAGCCTTGCTCAACTCCGAATGCCACACAGCTGCACAGTTTAGAAGAGCACTCTTCCATGAACGCAGACGGAAGCTTACGGATGGTACTTGTGTTGAGGCCGTTTCCAACGCCAGCCACAATGCGGCCCACGATCATATGTGGAATGGTATATGCCGTCGCCTGGAGGGCAGCACCGATGCTGAGGATAACGCAGCCGGCCATGATACACATGCGACGGCCTAGTCGTTCGCCTGCAAATAGCGCCACCAGGGCACCCAGGAAGCAGCCCTAGAGGATTAGGCTTGGTCTGTGGGTGTCGGAGGATGAACGTACGATTTCATAGATAGCAACACTGACATGTATTAGTAGAAGTCAGAATGAAATTGCGATGGACTCACACAGTGCCTTGCAACGAAGAACTTCCGTGTCCACTAGCAGTGGTATCAATCTCGGGAAAGGTTCGAGTGAAGGCATCCCCTGACAGGATGCCAGACATAACACCCTGATCATAGCCAAAACTAGATACACCCCATTAACACAGAGTCCCAACTGGAAAATAGACAGTAACCCACAGCAGAAAGCCACTACCAGCAGTGGCCGTGATTGCCCATGTTAGAGGTTTTCCCACGAGAAAAGTCATGATGGGGTATCGTGCCCTGACCGTATACAGCCTCTATACCTAGGGTTTATAGTCATCTGAAGTACATCCCGGGGCCCCATACCCTTATATTCCCCGACACACTGCCGGAGTAAACTCGGGACGTCATTGCTGAATATCAGCCCAGTTTTTTTACGGGAACCGGGATGGATCCGCGGTTTGTGGAGGGCCGACGATGACGACCCGGGGATATTCAAAGCCGGGAAAATAGCGCATGGCATATGAGAGACCACTAGTTCATGTTCTGCAATACCTAACTGTCTACCGACCGGTTCTGGGGAGTCCGTACACCCTTTTATTCCCTGCGCTGTGCCCGTTCCATCACGGCCTGTTTAGGTTCCTCCCACCGGCTCTAATCAGCTTACTGACATGGATGTGATGTGACGACCGAGACCGAGACGCAGACAACCGATGCCGGTCCAAATATCTCCAGGTCCCAGCTGAGCCGGGACTGTGGAGATCGGCAGACCCCCGAGCCGAGATCCAACATTACCTAAAAGGGAAGACATAAGCGCCTCCACGAGATGCTCCATGGACAATGGGCCCTCCACATGTCGATGCGGTGCCCCGGAAATGTACAACCCCATATTACTGTTTCAGGCGGCAAGAACCGTCCTCTCTCCATATACCTGGAATGGAAATATTAAGCCCGGGACCGGACCACCGAACCAGCGTCATCGACCGCCGATTTGTAGACGCAGTTGATCGGCCCGACAGTAGTACATGCAAACGGTGTCTAGACCCATAGAGGGGCAGGTGCTGCAGAGGCTATTCCTGCGCAAAGACCTTCTCTGTGTGTCTGACCACACTCTCCTAGTTGGGTTGTCCATAAGCGCAGTGCGGTGGACATCCGTCGAAGTAGGACAATAAATACAGCCATGTATCTCTTCAATCCCATCACTATCCTAAAAAGCCCAAACAGTAATCAATATCTACCAACCCCCCTGCAACCTTATCATGGCACCCTCCGTCGCCCTCGACCACACCACCGCCGGCGTGCCGGAATCCATCCAGAACCCCGCCGTCGCCCGCACTGGGGACCTCTTTTCTCTCGGCGGCCGCACCGTTGCCATCACCGGTGGTGCCCGCGGTCTGGGGATTGTCCTTGCTGCGGCGGTTGTCGAGGCCGGCGGTGATGTGGCCTGCATGGATCTGCTGCCCGCTCCCAGCGCCGAAGAATGGGCGACGCTGCAGAAGCTTGCGACCGCGCGGGGTCTGAAGGCGACCTACACTCAATGCGACATCACCAACGAGGAGTCGACCAAGGAGGTGCTTGAGCGGATTGCCGCGGAGGGCAAGGAGCGCAACATGCCGCTGCGGGGAGCCATTACCTGCGCCGGGATCCAGCAGATGGTGCCGGCTCTGGAGTACCCGATTGATATGTGGCGGAAAATGCTGGATGTGAAGTGAGTGACCGAGAAACTACACAGATCTCCTGAAAGAAGACTGGGCTGATTGTGTAGCGTGATTGGAACCTTCATTCCTGCGAAGCACTGCGCCCGCATCTTCAAGGAACAAGGCACGCCCGGCAGTATTGTGATGATTGCTTCTATGTCCGGCCAGATTGCCAACCGGGTACGTGATGTCTACAATGCCGTCTACTCGACCTCGTCTAATCATATCAGGGCCTCACATGCACCGCCTACAACTCCTCCAAGGCTGCCGTGCACCAGATGTGCCGCTCCGTCGCCCAGGAATGGGGCCAGTACGGTATTCGCGTCAACACTCTGTCTGCGGGCGTAAGTCAAGCTACTCCTTTAACACATGGAGATACTAATTGGAAACAGTACATCCGCACTGCCATGACCGATGCCCTTCTGAAGGAGAAACCCGAGGTCGAGCAGACCTGGATGCGTGGCGCCCTGCTTGGCCGCCTGGGTGTGCCCGAGGACTTCAAGGCGCCCACTGTGTACATGCTGGCTGATGGCAGTGGATTCATGACAGGAACCGATCTGAGGGTTGATGGAGGTCACTGCGCCTCTGCTTGAGGTCTGGAAAAGCTGGTACGTTCTGTGAATGAGGATGGCATGGTAAGGCGTTTTCTAGAGGAACATTTACTATTTTGGTCGAATTGGTTTGATATATTTCTTGTTCTTTTTGGAGATGGAGATCGTGTCGCCTCGATGGAGGAGTGGTTACTGTATTTGGAAAGCTACAGTCGAATGGCGGGCCGGTTTCCCACTTGAGCAAGATCGACAGAAATGTCTATTTGGGAATGTGTAAGCGCTCTGTCATCGTCTGGTGGATGAGCATCACCATTCTTCAAACATTGAGAATAGAAACATGATCTAAAATCTGATGATATCGGACGACGTATTTCAGGATTATTCATTCTACGCAGCAAAGCGCGAGGACCATACACCACGCAGAGGCTGTAGGCAATTGAGTCTAGTTGGATGACCCTAAATCGACATGTATGGTTCAGAATATACCAAGTCTTTACCTAAATGATCGAATTAGTTCAAAAAGCTTAGGCAAATCATCTACCAGCGCCTGGAGAACGATCGGTATAAAAATGAAGTCCGAGCGTGCAATAAGCGGACTAAGCACTCTAACTCTCGATCTTATACACACGAGGCAGCAGACGGAGGATTGCAATCTTATGGACTGGTTCAGTATGTCTTACCTGTGAGCAGCCTCATACAGAACTAGGACATCAGTGGAATAGGCAGAAGCTGGTCCTCATGGCGCTGAGGCACAATGCCTATACCGTGAGCATGGTAGATTGATTGCTTCTTATTCCTTGTCCTACTTCTGGACGTGAATTGGCGGATAGTCCGACCAATTTCTAAGAATGTGCTTGGTTGGAAACATGAAACTACATTCCCCATTTCAACACTATCATCGAGATTATGTACTTCATAAGCAAGATTCGCCGCCGCAAGGCCGTGTCCCCGCCTGCACTGTCATAACACCATGCTACCTCGACAAATAGATAACACAGTAATTAGGAGCGTCAGTAACCGGTCATCATGCTGGGTTGACGTTTGTTCTGACACTTCCCCCTGCCATCTTCTATATAATTACTAACAATAATAATACTATTTAACAAAGGGCTGGCATGCTGTAGATCTCACCAGACGTCGAGTACACAATCTGAGTCAGGAGCTTCCATACCACTTTATCAAATCAAATGGTTTGAGCCTCGCACCATGTCAGACGGTCCGGAGACAGTGAACCCTCAGTCCCACTCCAGTGAGCTAGCGTCGGAATCCTTGCCTGGATGAAACAGCCGTCGGTTACGGCTGAGTAGCGGCTCAGCTCTGGCTTGAGGAGGAGAGCACGGTATCCTGATTGGAAGTCTGGCAGGCAGAGCCTCTTGATCTGCTGGCAAAAGACCGTACAATTGGATACACCGTATGTGAGAACCCAAGCGGAGCCTGCTTGGCAACGGCCTGCTCTGCATCCCTTAGAGATTTGATTATCGCCCTGATTCCTTCAAGAGCATTGAACCGCGATTACCATTCTTTATTCTGGAATGGAAGAGAGAGCATATTTCGACAATGAGTATATCAGTTCTAACATGTAGAAAGACACAGAGACCCCTGTATATGAACCGTCAATAACATAATGTGCCTCCAGCACGTTAGCACACACGCTACCACTAGCCGATATCAAGGCCTTCTAAGCCCTGGGATCATCGAAGGATTTAGTAAATGGGCCCACGGCCCGGGTAGAAAACGTGTTCGGACATTCGACCCCTCATTGCTTGCAATGCAACCTATATAAATGCAGTGACGCCTGCTACTGTTATACTTGCGAGTGTCCCTTCTCAGCCCACAGCCATGCCAGAAGAAGAAGTCTTCCATCTCCACCCAAACGGGTGGGAAAACGACCCAGAGGAAGAGAGATTCAAAGTCTCGACACTCGACTACCTGACGCCCTGCACATACAACAACTACGCCTTATTCTTCCGACTCGACGACGCCGAGAAGAGCAACGCAGCCGCAGTACTGAAATCCGGCCTCGAGCGCACACTCAGCCAGACCCGCCATCTCTGCGGGACCATCGAGAAAGACCCGGAGGGCGGCCACTCGTTCGTCAAGAGAAAGGACAGCACCGTCCGGTTCTTCGTCCAGTGGCTCGACGCCGCCGGCCCGGAGTACCCGTCGCTGGACGACATCGAGAAAGCCCACTTCAGCGCCACCACCCTCGGCGACCTAACCCGCTGGAGCGTGCCGCCAATGACCTACGGCGAGAAGCCCGAGGCGCACCCGGACGCGCACCCAACCGTCGCAGCGTACAAGGCGAACTTCGTCCGCGGCGGGCTCGTCTTCATCATGCACCACCACCACTACGCCAACGACGTGATGGGCTGGGTCGGGCTCACGCACCAGCTGGCCGAGAACTGCCGCGCCGTCTGTTCTAACGACGCATCCGCCTTTCCGCCCTGGGACGCGGCGTGTCTCGACCGCGCGCGCTTGACGAAGCCCGAGGTGCAGGAGGACGCGAAGATTGACGGCCCCCCGCCGCCGCGCCGCCATCCCGCCCACACCGTCGCCGTGTCGCTGCTCTTCCACCTGCCGAAGAGCAAGGCCGCGGCGCTGAAGCGGCGGGCCTCGCAGACGGACGCGGACGGCGCCTGGGTGTCCACGTACGATGCGTTCTCGGCGTTCATCTGGCGCACGCTGACGCGGCTGCGCGCGCCGGTCTTTAAGCCGGACATGGACGCACCTCTGCCCTGGTTCGAGGCGGTCGACATGCGCCGCCGTCTGCACAGCCCGACGTGTCCGCCGCGGATCCAATGTAATGTGATGTACGCGGCGATGTCGCCGACGGCGCCTGTGCCGCAGCCCACGGTCGCGGAGGTGATTAACTGGCCGCTACCCAGGCTGGCGCGGTACATCCGCCAGCTGACCGACAGCGTCACGCAGGAGAGCCTGGACCAGACGCTGGACATGGTGGCGAGGATCCGTGACCGTACGGCGCTGAGCTTCCGGATCAACGCGCAGCCGCCCATGTCGATTCTCCAGACGGATCACCGCGATGCGAATGTTGCTGAGGCGGATTTTGGGTTTGCGAAGCCTGTTACTTATCGCCATCTGCTGGATTGCGTGACAGAGGGGGTGATTATCATCTACCCGCCGCGTCGTGCGGCACCGGACTCGGATGAGGGGTGCGAGTTTGCGATTGCGTATGAGAAGAGGTTGGCGCAGGAGTTGATTGATGATCCGGAGTGGAGGGAGTACTTTGAGTACAGGGGGGTGGATGCGGAGGATGCGGGTCATTATCTCAATTGACATGTACGTTGACTTAATCTATGGAGTATGGGCTTTGGGATACAGATCTATTATCTGGACATGGAAAGTGTCTGTCTTTAGGTGCAGTGCAGCACTCCTCCATCATGTGTGTGGCAGTTCTGCGTCACGTCAGCTACCTATCATGCGCGCTTGGTGCAAATGAAGAACTCACATCAGGAATGTCCTCCTTCTCTTCAGTCTCCTCGTGCTCACCAGGACATCCCTCCCCAGGAACGGCAATATCAAAAGCATAAGCCTCAAGAGCAAAGAACTGCAGCGTCTCCGAGTCCCTAGTCGACACCGAGCGATTGCTCTTGGCCAGCTCCAGTACCTCGCCGTATCCTTCCGCAAAATGCTCGATCCACATCTGTCCAACAGCCGGCACATGGTACAGACGGTGCATGAGATCCGCAGCCCAGAAGGTGTTTGTCTCGAAGCCAGCGACGGTGTATCCCAGGGCACACATGGAGTTGAGCGAGCGGCGGGTGTGGTAGCTCAGCTCGCAGATGACGGTCTCGGAGGTGGCGTTTTCGCCGCGCCAGTGTCCGCCCCAGCCTGCACACATTTTAGTTCAAGCCATGGCAATGGCATCTGATGAGAGAAGGGGAGCTACCTTCAAGATCACAGTTCTTGTCTGGATTATCACACCGGAAGAGAACACCCTTCTTGTCAGCGTTGACGATCATGTCGTAGGCGCCGATGGCCTCGAAGGAGGGCCTGTCGCCGAAATACTTCCGGTAGATGGCGCTCTCGTTGCCCCAGCGCAGGATGTGAGCTTTGGCGTGGTCGGCCAGGGCGATGGTCTCGTTCAGGCCGACCTCGATCTGGTGGCGCTCGGTGGCATTGCAGCTGGCATGGATGGGGTATTGGGTGACTGCGCCGGCGTCCCATGCGGCGGGAGTTGTGGTATTGGTGCTTCTGGCCACATGGGCTGGTGCAGGCACGGCAGCCACTACGCTGGCTAGGAGCAAAGAAGAAAGAAGAGAGATCATGGTGGAGTTGTCGGGATGGGATATTCTGTCGGCCTTGATAGAGTAGAGGACGGGCTGTCGTTCAGGGATGGCTGGGTGGTCCCTTTTATAGGCCCTTCTACGAAAACTCTGCCATACCAAGCAGTCGCCAAGCAGCGGCACACGAGCTCTTTGATGCTTTGGGAGAGATGCTGATGTTGGTGAAGTCTATAGAGATCATCGTTGAGGTGCCAAGGAGAACCTTGTGCGTGTCCGAATCGTCTAGAAGTCTAGATACAGTTACTCCTGTCATCGGGGGTTTTCTATACTCCATCCATTGCATGACTCGCATGAACACAGCACCGTACGGCATCTGCCGACCTCTGATGACCGACAGCAACATCCGACAGCGGACGACAACACGCAACATCCGGATGCACCTGCCAAGCGACATGCCAAGCAGCCCCCGAGGACCTTGAGAGGGACAAGCCCTTAATGCCCCGGCGGAGAGTGCGCAGAGCCAATATCATCCATATCATGCCCATCCTACCTCTTGGCCGCTGCTTGGCAGTAGAACCTTGGGGGTGAAGCTGCGCCGCCGGCGTTGAAAACTTCTCCATTCCCGCCGTAGTGAGACCATCCGTAGGCATCTTTTTTGTTTCCAAAGAGCAGCCGGTGAAAAATCATCCAGCAGGGGTGGCCGATACCTTGGGAGCAGCCCGTGTTAAATATCGTGGATTGGATTCTCGCTGCTTCTCTTGGTCAAGTTTCCAGACGACAGCCACCTAGACAAGATGCATATGCAGATGCAGACGCAGGGTGTGATACTGGCGCTGCTCGCCGCGTCTGTAGCCCAGGCACAGACTTACAGTGGCTGTCATACGCACGGCAACGTCGAATACTGCTACGGCACTGACGGGAGTGAGACGCCTGTGAGTACGTATGCGACGGCCACCTCAGCTCCGGCTACCACCACCGCAGCGGCGCAGGCGGCCGCTGTCACGGGGTGTCACAGTCACGGCGATGATGTCTACTGCATTGACAGCGACGGACATGAGGTGCAGGTGTCCTTGACGGCAACTCCCACGGGCGAGATGCCAGCCCAGTACACGGATTGCCACTCGCACGGCTCAGAGAGGTGCGTGCCACAGTGTCCGTCCGCTCTTTCTTTCGACTAAGTTCATGTATAGATACTGTGTCGACCCCGACGGAAACGACGTGCAGATCCTCGAAGAAGGCGAATCTGGCCAGGGCTCCGACGATACCAGCGAAGAGTCCAGCGGCGAACACGCCGGACAGAACTGCCACTTCCACGCGGGCGTTGAGTGAGTCTCCACGCTGCCTATCTAGATCAACCCACTAACATAGAGCCATAGACACTGCGTAGGAGCCGGCGAGTCCGAAAGCGGCAGCTCGACCAAATCCTGCGGCGTGCAGACCCGCGACTACGACATCCCCCTGCGCATCGGCACGCTGTTCGTGGTGCTGGTGACCAGCGCCATCGGCGTCTTCCTGCCCATGATCGTCATGAAGCTGCCCTTCCCGGCCTTCAACTCCATCGGCTTCACCATCATCAAGCAGTTTGGCACGGGGATTATCATATCCACTGCCTTTGTCCATGTAAGCCCCCCATGCACACCATCTATATACGCCCGTTGCTAATGAATCAGCTCTACACCCACGCAAACCTCATGTTCACCAATGACTGCCTCGGCGAACTCGCCTACGAAGCCACCACCTCCGCCATCGTCATGGCCGGCATCTTCCTCTCCTTCCTGACCGAGTACATCGGCCACCGCGTGATCCTCGCCCGCGGGCCCAAAGACCTCCCCACCACCACCACCCATCCACCCGCCGTGCAAGACACCCCCAAAGACGGCGCCACCGCCGCCTCAGCCCTCGCCCACCTCGGCCACAACCACGGCTCCCCCTTCGACCCGACCAAGCCGAACACCAAGCTCTCCGTGCTGGTCATGGAGGCCGGCGTGGTCTTCCACAGCATCCTGATCGGGCTGACGCTGGTCGTCGCGGGGGACTCGTTCTACCGCACGCTGCTGGTGGTGATCGTGTTCCACCAGTTCTTTGAGGGGCTGGCGCTGGGTGCGCGCATCGCGCTGCTGCCGGGGCGCATCTTCCCGAGCAAGGCGGTCATGGCGGGGATTTTTGCGCTCATCACGCCGGTGGGGATGGCGATTGGCATGGGGGTGTTGAATTCGTTTAATGGGAATGAGCGGGATACGCTGATTGCGCTGGGGACGCTGGATGCGCTGTCTGCGGGCATTCTGGCGTGGGTCGGGCTGGTGGATATGTGGGCGAGAGATTGGGTGATTGAGGGGGGCGAGCTGGTGGATGCGTCGATGGCGAGGGTGCTGACTGGAGGTGTGTCGTTGGTTGCTGGGATGGTGCTGATGGGGGTGTTGGGGAAGTGGGCTTAATGTATAAATGAGACAGTTCGGAAGGAAGGGCTTTGGTTAGATAGCATGGCCTCGTCTAAGTCTATACAGCTCATCAATCTTTCAAGGCCAACAGGCCCTGATATAGGAAAGGAGCGCACGTTTCCAACTGACTCTAGCCAGTAGGTGAGTCTCTAGCCAATACTAGGGATCTAACCCTATGGACGATGGATCAGCACAACATGAAGCAATGCAGGCGATCATGCAAGCCACCACACCTGGTCTGCCATAGAATCCTTCCAAAGAAAGGGACATGCAGCATCTACAGGCCAATCCTTCCACTCGTTCAACTGAGCGAATATCCTCGAATAATCCGTGATCCCTATATAAAGGGTCTGGATGGCTCCCGTAACGAGATAGAAGGGATAAGAAACATAAACCATGACATAAGACAGAGGACCACCGAGGTAACGCGTAATAAGGATGGCTACTGCGATGAAGCCCGCGACGAAGACTGCAAAGAAAAAGATCAGAGCGCTATCTGGCAAAGTGGACCCCCATTTCGGCCTCATATTCCATATGCACGCAATGTACGCGAAAAAGTAAAGCGTTGTTAGAAAACCCCCTGCAACCATCATCACTCCAAACGAGAGTAGAAGCGGTAATAAAATCAGCAGGCTCCCTTGGGTAAATTTGCAATTGTGTGGCACATCAATACTCAGTAGGCACTGAGCATCATTGAAGGGGTGGAGGCTCCCAGATGCGTGGAGGACAAGGCAGGATGTGATGGAGAGCACAAAGGAGCATTTTAAAGAGACCACAATTGAATCCCAGATGTCAGAACGTACACAGGGAGGACAACGGTGCCCTAAGAGTACCATGGCTCTCTCGATGTTGGTACTCGGGCCCTGTGCTGGGTTTGACAGTCTGAAGCCTGGGAATCGCAGCGTAGTAGCCAGAGTGAGGAGACCAATAAAGATACCACTCGCAGCGAGCTGGAAAATCTTCTCGTCGATTAAACCGATAGACTCAGGCCCATGCGCTTTTCTGCGGTGGTATAGGAAGAGCGAGAGGCTGCACTGGACGAGAAATGCGATAGTAACGAGAACTCTGCCGAGGCGTCTGATAGCTCTTTCCCCGAGCCACTTGCGACTCGCTCTACTTTGCCCTAGCTCTAACCCTGGGTCTGGCTCTGTTGATGGGACCTCAAATCTGGCGACTAGCCACTTGACAGGCGAGACCAGGTCTTTCCTGACGTCTGGGTATCTCCGTTGCTTTACGCAAACGAGCGGGATGGACAGGATGAGCGCCGCGGCTGCGATAACGTGCTGGGCGATGAAACCTAGGGGTGCGCAGATATAGAAGATCGGTCTTAAGCTTAAGAGGTATTCACCCCGGAGGTTGAGGAGATGGAAGAAGGCACCTATTGTCGTGAAGTGGACCACGAAGAGCTTAACCAGCAGCTCTGTTTTTGCTCGCCGCTCGTCCAGGGGACAGAGAGGCGCGCTGCTGCGGATGACTGGGACTGTGGTGTTCATGGTGTGGTAGTTGTACAGTGAGATTTGGGAACTGGGGGATTATTTATAGGCTGGAAAAAGAAATATCATGGTGGTGGCTGTGGCCCGTCTCAGCCACCTGGGCTTCAGGGTGCTTGTACGAGTCAGCCTTGTCTGTCCATTGTCAGTCCAAGTGACCACCTTGGGCTGGGGTTTGTGCTAGATTCATCGGACATGGATAGATATGTAGATGTTCACTTGGTGGTAGTGGTGGTGTAAGGGAGGCTTCGACCAGGATATTGACTATAGACTCAATTGATATTACCATGTACTTTTGATCATACACATACTATTACATTTGACACTGTCGCAATCTCCCATACTCTCCGGTTAAAAAGCAACCGTCGAGCTCAGCCCGTCCAGCTCGCGCTGGTAGTTCCGATGCAGCGAGATCTGGTAAAAGAACATCCCGATAAAGTCCTTGGCATCCTTCACCATCTGGAATCCCTCCTTGAAGCTCTCCGGCTTGCGCTTCGCGGCCGCCGTCACCACGCCATACCACTCGCGCGGCTCCGGCTGCGTCGACGTGGCGACCTGCACGTCCAGCGCGGCACCCAGCGTCTCCTTGACCAGCTCCGCCGCCTCATCCGTCGCGCCCAGCGCCTTCAGATGGCCAAACGTCTCGGTGATCCAGTAGCGGATCTGGCCGTTTTTGCGGAGGGTGGACACATGCGGACCGCCGGGGATGAACGTGGCATCGAACATGGTCGACCGCTGGCCGTCGTACTGGTGGTCGGGGACCACGCCCTTGGACGTCTCCTTGGACTCGCCGTCCGCGTAGATAGCGGAGCGTTTCAAGCCAATGACGAAAGGCAGGGCGCCGGCCGCCGTAACAGCCGCCTTGATGGCGGAGAAGGCGACGGGGTCGTAGCCGTCGCCGATGAGGATGGCGACGCGGCGGCTCTCGATGGTCGGCTTCTTGGGCGGGAACTCCGTCTGCGAGAGCCCCGGCGCCTTCTTGCCGTGGTTGGCCTTCAACTGCTTTTGCGGGATGGGCGCGCCGACCATCTCGGCGACGGCCTGCGCCAGTGGTAGGTCGATCTCGGCGAGGCGGTGGCCGGCCATGCGGTCGTAGACGGTGGGGTCATCGCAGTGGTCCAGCTCGAAGGAGAAGGCCTTCTTGATGTGCTCCTTTTCGTGGGGGCTCATGGAGTTGTAGAACAGCTGGGGCCTGGTTGTGGTGCTCGCGGAACTTGTCGCTCAGCGCACGGCGCTTGGAGCCGGTGAAAGTCTGCGGGTAGGACTGGAAGCCGCCGTTGTTGTTGTTCTCGCCGGCGGGCGGCACGGCTTCAAAGCGGTTGGGCCAGTAGTTGACGGTGCCCTGGGTGATGCGGTGGCGCATCTGGCCGTCGCGGTTGTGGTTGAGGAACGGGCAGACGGGCCGGTTGATGGGCAGCTCCTCCCAGTTGACGCCGAGACGGCTGATCTGGGTGTCGAAGTAGGAGAAGTTGCGGCCCTGCAGCAGCGGGTCGTCGGAGAAGTCGATGCCGGGGACGATGTGGCTGGTGCAGAAGGCGACCTGCTCGGTCTGCGGGAAGAACTCGTCGACGTTGCGGTTGAGCTCCATCTCGCCGATGACGCGCAGCGGCACCTGGTCTTCGGGCCAGACCTTGGTGGCGTCGAGGATGTCAAACTCGAAATCGTCCTGCTTCTCCTCGGGAATGACCTGGATGGCAAAGTCCCACTTGGGGTAGGCCTTGTTGTCGATGGCCTCCATCAGGTCCTTGCGGTGGAAGTCTGGGTCCTGGCCGGCCAGCTTGAGGGACTCGTCCCAGACGAGCGAGTGCACACCCAGATGGGGGAGCCAGTGGAACTTGACGAAGTGTCGCTTGCCTTCCTTGTTGATCAGCGAGAAGGTGTTGACGCCGAAGCCCTGCATCATCCGGTAGGACCGCGGGATGGCACGGTCGGACATGGCCCACATGAACATGTGGGTGGCCTCGGGGTGCAGGTAAACAAAGTCCCAGAAGTTGTTATGGGCGGTTTGCGCCTGGGGGACTTCGTTGTGTGGCTCGGGTTTGACGGCGTGGACTAACTGGTCAGAGGCCTTGATCATCCAGGTCGAGAGAGAGGGTATAGCATACCAAAATCAGGGAACTTGATGGCGTCTTGGATGAAGAAGACGGGGATGTTGTTGCCGACGATATCCCAGTTGCCTTCTTCGGTATAGAACTTCGTCGCGAAGCCTCGCACATCACGCACGGTATCGGCACTGCCCTTGCTACCCTGGACAGTCGAGAACCGCACAAACACCGGCGTGCTGCGAGAGGTATCCGTCAAGACCTTAGCATAGGTCACGTCTTCGGCGCTTTCTTTGAGGCGGAAGGTCCCGAAGGCGCCGGTACCCCGGGCGTGGACGACTCGTTCGGGGATGCGCTCATGGTCGAAGCGGTGGATCTAGAGGGTTAGTTGATTTGGACGATGAAGTAAAGATGCTCATGATGTACCTTTTCTCGCGCGATCTGGTCTTCCAACATGGAGGGACCGGAGTGCTGGTTGTCGACGGCGCGCAGCCAGTTGTCGGTGTTGCTGATGCGCACGCCATGATCGGTGGTCATGGGCTGGTCGGTATGCACATTGACGGTGTCGGGCTCCAGATCGACGACCTTCTTGTCTTTGGAGGAGACGTCTTGGACTTTTTGCTGGGCTTTTTGCAAGCCCTGGGCCAATGTGGTAGCCATTTCGATTAAGTATAGTTTTTAATTAGTGTACACAGCATGAATGAGTGAATAAATGGATGAGTGGGATGAAATGCTGCGTAATATATGGCCGTGATGGCGTTGATGTAGCCATGACAAGAGCTCCATTCGGATGACGTTACCACCCTGTCATCCACCGTTGCGGCCATCAACGCATCTGTCCCATCCAATCCAAGGCAGTTATTATTAATGATATTCCTGATTCTTGATTTAATGCGCCAGTCTGTCAGTGAATCATATGTCACTGATTAGTTCTGGACTGGTCTTACCATGTAAGCAACGGAAGTTATGCAACTTTTCATAACTATACTTGGTTGTTATTAGTACGTATGTTCTAGAGAACCAGCGTTCATTGAATATGCACTGATAGTCATTCATAAAGATCTCACATAAACTGTAAGAAAACCATATCCAATTCATTTTGCACTGTTTTATTGTTCCGGAAAAATAATGCGAGAATGCGATAAAGTGAAGATGCCGCAGATCGTCCATGACGTCAGTCACTTTAGACATCGTTAGTCTATATAGGTAGCTTTATATCTTTTCGTTGCTTTCCTATCCTCTTAACGCCGGGTTGATTTAGACTACCTAAGTAGTTTTTACTATTAGACTGGGTTCTCTGTGCTCTACACTTTGCCAATTCCTTTTATTATGGTGAGAGAGAATTTTTTGTATCATTTCTAAAAGCGTTACTGATCAGTCTTTTCTTCTTTTAGCCGAACAGAAGATGCAGCAGGATTCAAATATAATCCTAGAAATTGCGTAGGGCGGCTTACTTTAGAAATTGATACTTAGATTTTTTTAAGCGACACAGATGATGATATGCAAGAAACATAGTGGATGTGTCCTATCGACAGGTCAGATGAAGCCGCCACATGACCTACGATCATCCATCAGTTGAAGCTGCTGCAGCCTGAGAAGGCGCAGGCCTTTTCGCCCTTGTGGCGTGAGATTGATCATTGGAGGGCGACCGTGGCGGATATCAATTCCGGGCCATTCACCCGTTCACGAGGTAGCAGGACTGCATGTATAGCTTTTCTCGAGTATCTCAATAGCCTCTTTACCTTACGTTGTGATGGCGCGTCGGTAAGCTTCAAAGCCCGAATGCAGTAGGTTGCGTCTTCCAAGGTTCTAGTAGGGGAGTAAGTCGCCTCTATCACATGCGTGTGTGCACCCTATCGTATAAATAATCGAGCAGTGTGCTATACCGGAGCCCAAAGGCGATCTCGAAGCGACAATGCTCGGGCTGTGGAACGTGGACTATGGCCACAGATCACCAGAGCCTTCGTCTCCGGGTATACTTGTTATGGGTGGACATCTGGTTGTCAGAGGATAGGTTCAAGGGCCCGTGTCCAACATTGCCTATCCAACCTGTGGATGAGCTAGCCAAGCTATTCCAAGACGAAAACTTGTCCCAACTGCTCTGCCGTGACCGTTTGTCCCGGGTGGCTTTTTCGTTCCTGCACCACGTCCGAGTTGGCAACTTGACAGTGGCTGGCATATGTGCTCCGACGTGCGAAGACACAGATTTGCTCTCGGAGGCTTACAATCCGCGGTCTGAATGCTGCTGTGACGGCGATTATCCCCTTGCCGACGGGGTTGATCTACAGAGGTTTCTCTCCCAGTCGGATTGCAAGGCTATCCGCAACACAATGCTGGCCGTTGCAAAGGTCAATGCCCGCATAGGTCGCGAATGGAGTGGCAATGGAATATTTACACCGGAGAAGCTGTTCAAGGCCGCGGAGGAGCTTGTTCTTGCTAATGCTGACTCCCTGCCAGCACCTATCACTTGTTACGGTGAACCTATGCTTGCCAACGTTCAGGCTCCGGATCGCCGCCCTGATCCTCCCATCGATACCGATGTGTCTGTCTTCTGTGAGCTATATCCGACGGTTGAACAAATCAAACTCTGTGTGGACGCGAAGTACTTCTTCGCCATGGCATGCGGTGCTGGAAGATGCGACGAAGGCCTGGCCCGGGCAATTGCCGATTCAGGGAACGACATCCTCATAGGGGACTATTGCGAAGCGGCAGACGAGACAACCCTCAGGAAGCTGCAGCGGACTGGCGCGGCAGCGCTGGCGTTCCTGAAGCTGTGCAACATGGCGGGAGCCATCACAGACTGGCAGCTGGGCACTCTCGGGGCCGGGATCATCCAGTTCCGGGCGCTGGGTTATTATCGGGACCACGCACAAGGCCGCATCCCTGGTGGGCTCTACGGTAGTCGAATGACTGGGAATATCGTACACCGGCACATTGATATCGCGATTTTCAATGGGATCATCCCGGCGTCCGTGGCCACCGGCGAGGAGCTGAATGAAGTGCAGTACAATCGGCTTGCCGAAGCATGCAGCCTGATCAACGATCTGATCGACCTGCGGAGTGACGCAATGCGGAGAATGAGAGAAAACACCGTTCTGAGAGGGATACGCCGGAATATCTGCGAGTATCTGAACCGGTTATTGGGCCACTGCTTGCAGGTCGTTTGTGAGGTTATTTACTCCGGAAAGCTCGGTGCAATTGTCGTTATGAGCTTTTGCAACTGGGCCCTGATGGCATCGCACCACAAGCTTCATGAGTTGGCGACGCAAACGAAACCACTATTGCATCACCCCCCGTGCAACTACGACTTGGGGTTGGATTCGTCTTCCTACGAACGGTTGCTAAGTGCCTTGGCTCCATATGGCTCATTGGGCAGCGCTCGTGGGCCGAGCGTATTCAAAACACGTACGGAGATGGATAGATTATTCCATGTCTACCGAAACCAGCCACTGAGCATGATGGCATGGCTCGCAGACAGTACCCGGAGTGTTTTACATCCTTCAAACTTGAGACGGATTGTTGACGTTGTTCATTACCAGTGGGAAGGCACCACAGGAGATGTAGGATACTGCCCTTAGGAGAGCCTGCACTACGACCACAAATTATCAGAGCATTTACCTCCCTGTATACCTGAGATTGTGCATGCTTCTTAGAGCTCTATAAAGTTAGAGCGAGCCAAGGTTTCCATAGGCAGTTATTAGAATCCGTCCTAGTAGCCAAGTGGAGTCGATCACACAGCATACTCCCACTCGTGTAATATTAACAGAACAATTAAACTGCAATCGAAGAATAAATAATTGTCCATTTCTATCGATATCCATACTCCATATAGAAAGATCGGCGATCCAATCGAGCATGAGTCACTACCTCGGTCTTGGCCCAGGCTCCCGCGTAATCCCCGCTTACAGATGGTCACCTTTCGCCTCATGAATCCGGATCGGAACTTTTCTTAAAGATACCTCACCCACAATGTCCATCCAGATCCGGTATGCCACCGAAGCCGACGGCCCGGCGCTGGGCCAGATCAACATCGACAGCTTCAAACACCAGCGCTACTGGGGCAATGTGTTTCCCGGCCTCGACGACGCCGCCATCCACCCCGTGAAGCATTTCCGCAGTCTGGAGAAAATGGCGGACCCTACGGTCCACGTCCTATCTGCCGTGGACACCGCCGCGGGCGATCAGGTGGTGGGATATGCACGATGGACGATCCCCGGCGAATCCAACCCGAATGTTGTGGCGTTGTCCGAGGAGGCAAAGAAGACGACTGCGGACATGTCGAGCGTGATGCCCGCCGGGATGTCGATGCCGATTTATCGGGACTTTTTTACCAAGATGAAGAAGTACCGGGGGGAGTATGTGAAGGAGGACGACATGAGTATGTCTTGATTCCTTCTGTTTCTTTTCCCTTCTATTACTGCTGGTTGTGCGTTGTTGTATGCAAGGCTGACGCGCATAGTTCTGGACTTTTTGGCCACCTCACCCTCCGCACAAGGCAAGGGCGTGGGGACTCGGTTGCTGCGGTGGGGGATGGACCAGGCCGACGCGCGGAACGCCCGTATCTACCTGGAGGCGACGGCCGACGGGTATCCACTGTATCGCAAGCATGGCTGGACGGTGCTGCGGGAGATGGAGATGGACTTTGAGCCGTTTGGGGGGAAGGGAACGCAGACGTACTACTTGATGATGCGAGAGCGCCAGAGGGCATAGAGGGCATAGAATGCATGATAAGTGCATGATAGGTCAGCATCACCATTATCACAGCATTATCACCGCACCGTCAACATCCAACCACGATAAGATAACGGCACTACCTGCCCGAAACGGTTTAGGGCCTCCCCGCAGCTGATCATTCGCCGTCTGGCATGTACAACCACCCGCGTCGAACTGCCTCGTAGGGTTGTCTCGTTCCTATAAGATGGCCATGCCTCCCTTACTGCCTGTACAAGGTATCCTTCCTCTCCATAAGCATCATACTTCTGGTCTGCTCGTCCCTACCTCAACTCTCCTCCGCCCTCCGACCCCCTCCCTCCCTCCTTGTCCACCCCGTCTATCGACACTTAGATGGCGCTGTCGTTATATCCTCTTCGCCGCCATTCGCACGCCTACACTATTGCTTTATCCCAACCCATCCGCAGAGCCAGTAGTAATTGAATCTCCACCACCATGGCGATCGAGATCGTCCCCATGACCGAACGGGATATCCCGGAGGCCGTAGAATGTGTGCAGACCGCATTCGCCGAGGATCCGTATTTCCAGTGGCTCTTTGACAACACCAAAGTAAGTCCCGCCGCTGAGAATAACGCACAGGCTCGTACAACACCCCCATGGGTCCATAGTATGGTGCAAGTCCAATACACAAGATACACATGTTAAATCCGTCACGGTGTAGTACAACATCCACCGCAACGCTGCCTCCCTCGCCGCCCACTTTCAGTACGGCCTCAACTGCAAGACCCCCATGTTCGTTGCCAAAGCGCCCCCCAGCGACAAGCGCTCGTCCTCCGTCGTCGGCGTCTGCTGGTGGTACAGCCCGCACCCGCCGACCAAGCCCGTCTCCTGGACCGTCTGGGCCCAGGACTGGGTGCTCTCCTTCCGCCAGCTGCTGTATAATGTACGTTTTGGCGGCCGCGGTGGTCTGAACATGCGCCGGTATCAGCTGTGGAAGTCGATGCAGAAGGAGACTCACGACGCGGTCTGGACTGACCCCCGCGGATACTACTTTTGCAATGTGATTGCTGTCAGCGCGGAGATGCGCGGCCAGGGGCTTGGGCGTAAGCTCGTTGAGGTGGTCACGAAGCAGGCGGACCGCGAGGGCATCCCGTGCTACCTGGAGAGTTCCAAGGGCGTGCCAAATTTGATTATTTACCAGAAGCTGGGGTTTGAGTTGGTGAGGGAGATTAATTGTGTGGATGGGGACGATGCTTGCAAGGTGAGTGTTCCTGATAATGTTTGTCGGTGTGGTGTGGTGAAATGCTGACTGGAGTAGTTGTATTGCATGGTCCGCCAGCCCAACGAGAAGGCGAGATTTGGTTGAAGTGAACTGATCTGTTTGATGAAGCGTAGTAGGTTAATTGGAGACCACAGTGAAGCAATCTTGGAAGTGACTGAGTGGCTGTGTGTCTGTCACTGGGTTGGGGATTTAGTTAGGTCGCGTCTACCTATTTATAAGTTCCAAGATCTATATCATTTCTACCTCCTCTTCTACTCTACTCAGACAACATCATATCAAATACCTCTTGATCTTTAAACGTCCAAGCCTACCTACTCAATATCATTCTACCTCGTACTATTTCGGGATACCTAAAGGCAATAGCTGCGACCTCTGAACAGGTCGCCTAGCAGCGTCTTCCAGATCCAAGGCACCGATTCCCACAGACAAAGAGCAGCACTCTACACCCTTCATTCCATTGCATCCGTTGAGTTGGTTGCTGAAAGCGATGACCGGAAGACGCATAAGCGCCATCTGCACCTTAGACTGGTTGGGGAACCAAAGCCCGCAAGGATTCTTCACGAGCAAGTGCTGGTGGGCAATGAACTTGGCCTGCAAAGCAGGGGTGGCGGGGGCAACAAGAGCGCATAATATATTGGAACCTCCGGTATGGGATTCTGTCACCCACAGACAGACCATGTTCCTTCGACAACACAATGATCCTGCTACGGGCCGGTAGATTCAGTACAATAACTACCTCATCACTCCGAGCTGTCTTACCGAGCGAAGGTGCTACTACAAAACGCTGGTGTTCTCATACACACCAAGGCTCGTTCAAAAAGTGCCAACCGAGACAAGGAACAAACACCTGAGTCCCATGCGGTTGTCTTTATGATGTGAGAATACCTCGATATTCCCAGTCCAATTTCTCGTTTTCAAGAGATTAACATTCAAATAGCACGCAGTCCTCGAGATATGGCTCAATGTTAAAGGACTGTGGGCGGATGTAATTATTTTCCGACGGAGCTATCAGTATTTCTCGGTTTTAACAAGAAATAGAAGGACCTTACGTAGCCCAAGCACCCGCGCAAGTTTTTCTGGGCATGAAGCCTACTGTGGGCATAAGGTCACCTTTCGCGAGTCTGAGAGCCCGTATTTCCAGTTGTTCGATGTAAGGTCTATGTTGGGTCTCCCACTTTATTATTGTATTCACAAGGGAGCTTTCTGTGACCGAAGCGCTCGACTTTTGAGCGAATAAACAAATAACCCCAAAACAGCGCGCAGAACATTCCAAAAAATAGACCCAAGTATTATCGTACATCTTCATCTCACCAAGAACAGATTGTATGCTCAAAAATATGAAATTTTGCCGTACATGGCCGCTGTTCCCAGCCCGAATGAGGCTAGTTTAATTCATGGATTACCCGTCCATGCCCCTTGGGCTTAACATCCAGGGACCCAAGCTCGTGCGGATCAGGCTGCCCAATTTCGTGGATGGCATTTTGTTCTGAGGACATTTCGAAAGCTTGCCAGGCTGAGCCATCCCGGTAAGGCGCATCTTGTAGCGCAGACTGCCTTTGCGAAGGAGCATACGTGGGTGAAGGTAATGTCTGCTCCTCGTCGGCGACAGGCTGTTTTCTGCGGCTGCAGCAGATAACGAGCTGCTTCCTGAATATCCAAAGCAGCACTATTGTCACTGCTGCAAACGACACGACGACTACTCCGGTTATTGCGCCGCCAGATAGGTGGTATGTTTTGTCCTCAGACGAATCCGATCTAGATCGTATGATATGATTGATTTCTGCGGCCCCTGACAAGAAAATCATATTCAGCATCTATCAGGAAGTGTCTGAAAGGTTTGAGTCTTTCTGATCAAAGGTTACTCACTGTGCGAGAGTGTTGAAGTGTTTGTAGGCATCATAACAAGTCCGTATAATAAGAATGTATTGCTTCCAAATAGATTGTTGGAACCCCAAAGATCAATAATCTCCTCAGTAGATCGAATGCTTGCTCATTGTCACCGAAGAATTCATGGTTGTTCGGGATTGACATGGATAGGCTGCCAAGAGGATGTCGGATCGGCGATAGTGCTGGGTGGAGTCGGTTTAAGCCTTCGGGTCGGAGATGGTGGTACGGCGGGAGGCTGAAGAAGCCTTGGGACGCCTAAGCTCTGCATAGAAGTATGCCAATGGCCGAAAGCGATGGCTGCACAGCCCTGTCGCAAAGCCGATCAATGACTCGATTGGGGTGATTACTCCTCCGGCTCGGGGACGATGATCTTGTGAAGTAAGTGATTAATCCTTGGTGATTCGTACAATTGATCGAAGCTGAGATGCAACGCTGGGTCCTCGAGGGCCTAAGGCGACCTGGGAAACACAAATTTTGTCCTATGATGGATGGATTTGAGCATTTCGACGGAGCTGACGGTAGGATCTACTATACGGCCACCAGGGATTATTCATTTGTGTGATGATTCACTCTTGCTGGTTCTTCTATAAAGTCTGATGTCTCTACCCATCACCTACCTGTCTTCACCACCTGTCTTCACAACCGCTCATCAACTCAAACCAAACAATAAGAAATCTCGTTTTCCAACAATTTCAAGATGAAATTCAGTTCACCAACGTCGCTTCTACCGATCGCTATCTATGGCATCTTGACTGCTCCAAGGGCAGCAGCAAAGTGCTCAGCGGGACTTGTCAATATTGTCTTCAATGGACCTGCCGTTGGTGATAAAATTGGGCCTGGATCGCACCCCGACTCTCAGTTCTTTTCTTGGTTCTCCAAGATGCCAGCCGCCAAGAATTGGATCACTTTCAATGAGCATGAATACGAGAAGAAAATCCCCATGCTGGGTGACAACGAAGATGCTGTTCTGAAGGCCATTAAAATGGTCACCAGCGCAAACCCGCCAGAATTTCTGCTCACATTCAATGAGCCCGACTGGGATTACAAAACGGGGAAGACCAAATTGACGCCTCAAGCTGCTGCTGAACTCATTGAACCATTGTTGAACACGACCGCAAAGCATACCAAGTTCATCGCACCAGTGCCGGCCTTCCAAATGAGCAGCTGGCTTCCTGAGTTCTATGAGAAATGCAAATGCAGAGACCGTTTCTATGCACACAGCGTCCATATATATAACCACACCATCAACGAGACCAAGACTGCTATCAACACCTTTCACAGCAAGTATAACGACAAGCCTTTGTGGATCACCGAAATTGCACCGAGGCAGCCGAACTGTGACGCTCCGACGAGTAGCGTGTGGGCCAAGTCAACCGAGTTTATGAACGAAATCTTCGCCTGGGGACAACAGACCGAATGGATCGAAAAGATCTTTTGGAATTCGGGTAACCAAATTGTCCTCCATTGTGATACAAACGTGGCCGCCTCTTATTTGATCGACGGCAACGGCAACCCAACGCCACTGCTGGCTCCTTTCAACAATTTGACCTGTTCGCACACTTGACTTGTTCATGGAGTGATGTTCATCGACTTGATAATGGAGAAGCTGAAGCCGGAAGAGAGCGATAATGGTGATTTGCCGTGAGATGAGGTTGGATCAGACCAGGGAACCTCGCCGCACAGCCGTGATTATTTCCTCATTGTCTGTAAGAAGAATACATTCTTTTAGGTCTTCATCTGGTCCTCGAATCGTATATATAGTCTCGTCTACTTCCAAGATCTAGAAACTCAGGATGTTGTGCCAACAGACGACTTATCGAAGAATGGGATGGAGGAGAAGAGAGCTTGCAGACCGTAGATTAAGCAATGATCCTTTTCTCTCACCCCGCGCGTATATTTAGTGATTACGACTTTGAATACAAATAGTGATCAATTACCTTATCCAGTCGGACCGCATGGAAGGCCTTGGAGGGGAGAGAACATGGAACGTACCTTTCATCCGTCGATTTTCTGTTTGTCTGATTTCATAGGTTTGGCTAGGTTCTGGTCTAGGTATGACAGCGAACGGTGCAAAATCGCACAATGATACTAGATAGTGAAAATAGTTCCATTAACAGTGAATCCATTCCGACCAAACTCCATAGTCAACCCACTACAGCTGCAATTCGTACTGAAGTTCAACAAGAGGACAATCAATTACAAGCGCGCTATTGTGGCCTGGGTAATCGCCGATATACATAACGCCTAAATATCCACCCAGTTGTTTGCATCCTCCTCTCTACCTCCTGCCAAAGCCCTGCAAACAAAGTCCACGGCAGCGCTGTTGGTCTCATGGAAACGCGGAATGTAGTGAGTCCCCCAAAACGTGACAACCGCAGAATTACTGCAACAATCCGCAAGGCGCATCGTCAGGTCCGGGGGGATAAACGAGTCCAGCTCACCGATAAAGAACATGGCGGGAGTCTGGACCTTTGGCGAGTACAGCGACGAATAGCACGGGTTCTCCATCACGCAGCCGCTATACGCGAGGATGAACCGAAGGCGAGGATGCGAGGTCTGCTGTGGTCAGTACCGCCCTGATCAAGGGGAGCCTGCATGCACACCTTGACGGAGAACTCAGCGCAACGATCGGGATTCTCTAGGAGCGAGGCTAATGCCACTGCCACACAGCACCCGGCGGAAGATCCGATGATGCCGTCAAACGGACCGTGCTCTTCGAGATAGGACAAGAGAAAGGCGACAGACTTGTCCAAGCCTGGCACGCGGGACATCCGGTAATCGCCCAGGCCCCAGGTGAATGAGTCTTCGTCGAATCCAGTGGGGAGGAAGGGGGCGTTGGGGAAGAAGAACTCGACGTTTTGGTTTGTGCGCTGCTTGATGGCGTCTCGGATTAAGGGCTGGAGATGTCTGGTTTTGTAGTCTAGTCGGGAGCCGCTGGATCCATTGCCTGCACTGGCTTAGTGGCTGGTTGGTATTAGACATGGCATACTCACCATGCATCATGAGAATCTTGACAGGCTTGTTGGCTGAAGATGCGGCACTGGCGCTAGGGACGATGTTGCCTGTGACTCCCATGGTTATGCTTGCTCTATCCAGTGAACTTGTGCATACACGACAATGATATGGGTTGTTCTGATGCTGCTGGAGACTTTAGAAACAGACAGACGGATGTAGAAGAGCAATGGCTGGCTTTATATTGTCAGAATTCGAATGTAAAAAGAAAATTCACTACAAGTAGAATACAGATCAAACTACTTACAAAGCCGGGGTGAAGATGAAGTCACTGCGAGCAATTGAGAAGAAAAGCCTGCCCATGTACATTGTCCCAGAACGTTGAAGATTCACAGATTGCACGTTCATCCTTTTGGTTGCATGGTTTAGAAGATCATGGAACCCTGATACCAAACAACCCATCTCTTGCAACTATTCACCCAGTTGAAAGAGAACCACCGATAATAGGAAGTAGTTAAGCTATTGCATAACGCATACTGTAGATATGTCCTAAGGCAGGGATAAAAGACCATACGGAAACACTTTGGAGATATCTACTCTTTGTTGTACTCTTCCAGTGCTCTTCCAGAAACAGGTTAAAATGAACCATGCGGACTATGGCGTACCTGATATAGGACGTTTGAATCTATTGTTATGCAACGTTTGGATGCTTTACGTGCTCAAACTCCCTCTAACCACCTCTTCTGGAAGGTCTAGCATCCGTTGGATATCTCCAAATGGCTATTATTGGTATCCATTATACAGAGGACAATAATTAATCTCTCTCTGGAGTAGATATCAGAAACTATAGAAGAAGACAGGTTCAGAGCAACGTTCGCGTACATTCATTAAAAGAATACATAATTGAAAAGAATATCACAACATAAGCAGCCCCCGAATTCACTTCTTCCCAGTCAACCCCAAAGCATCTGTCAACGAGCCCAATCCTAGGTTTTGCAAGACTTTGTCCAAACCAAGACCACCCAGGAGACGATTCACCAAAGGCCCCAAGCCCAGACCATCAAGCAGACGTCCAACTAATCCAAGCACTCCGCTGAGCAACAAGCCCACTGCGGCAATGATCTGGAACAACGGCTCGCTGAGAAGACCCCACAGGGGGTTGAGCTTCTTCTTCGCATGGGGCATGTCGGCGATCTTTTTGCGGCCATTTTCCACGGTGCGGACGACCGTATCCGTGAGCTCCTTGAGCTGATCAGCCAAGGCGTATTCCTCAGGAGGGGCCTCGTGGGATGCAGCTCGCGCTTTCGCATTGGCGGCAATCTGCCCGTCCGGATCGAGTGCCCTGATGGCACCGTTGCACTCCTGGAGGATACTGCCTCCTTCTTCAAGAAGTGGCTTCACGTTCTGGACGAGTTTTTCTTCGTCCAGCTCTTCCTTTGGAGTACGCTCGGCTTTTTCGATATGCTAGAAAACAGTTAGACATGAATGAAAGATTGACAGTGGCATAACTTACCTCCGAGATCATCTTGCAGATTGGACGCATGCGGTCGAGGGTCTGGCCAACGATAATGCTCATCTTCTTTGCCAGCTGCCTGTCCTCCTCGGCCTTCTTTTGTGCTTCCTCTTCCTCAGGGGATGGACCTGGCTCTTCCTCTGGTTCCTCCGGTGGTATGTTCTCCATCAACGTACATTCACCGAGTTTGTTGCCATCGTTGTCCACTACGTAGCCATTGTCATCGATGTCCTTTCCAATAAGGGTTGCCAGGTTTCCAGAAGTCAATTTGCCGATGAGGTTGCCGTCGACATCCCGGACCTCGCCCTCGCGAGTGACCTTGCGTCCTGCCATGGGGTTGACGTTGCGCTTCTTTTCTTCAGGCTCCCAACGCTCTGCACGGCCGATGGTGTTGCCATTCTTGTCCAGAATGTCGCCGTCCTCGTCGACTTTGCGACCAAACAGCTTCTTGGCATCGCCTTCTGCCACACGGCCAATGGTGCGTCCAGAGGCATCAACGACGACACCATCTTTACCAACCTCTGCGGTCTCAAAGCCGTAGAACGGACCCTCCGGCTTCTGCCTTTCAGCGCCAGGAATGAGCTCGGCTTTGCCAATCACCTTGCCGTCATCTCCCCAGACCTGACCGTGGCCGTCGACCTTTCGGCCAGCCAGACGCTTGTCACCAGACACAATCCGTCCAAAGACTGTACCTTGGGCATCCACAACATTTCCGGCCTTGTTGACAGTCTTGCCTTCCAGGATGGAGAGATCTTCCTCCACTTTCTCCTCCTCCGGCGGCTCATAACGCTCCGCATGGCCTTTGGTGCTGCCAAACTTGTCGAGAATATCACCGTCTTCATCAACGGCGCGACCACGAAGAGCCTTCGCATCGCCCTCCGTGACCTGTCCGACGATGTTGCCTTCGCCATCCTCGACATAGCCGTCCTTGTTCACGGTGAGATTGTCCAAGCCGGAGAAGGGCCCTTCTGGTTTCTTCTCGCGCTCGTTCTCAGGAATGAGCTCGACCCGTCCGATCGGCTTGCGACCGTCCCATATCTGGCCGTCGTCGATCTCCTTGCCAGCCAGCTCCTTCGGGTTGCCCTCAACAACGCGGGCAATTGGAACGCCGTTGGATCCGATGACATATCCCAGCTTGTTGGGAGTGAGCCCATTCAAATGGGAAAGGTCAACAACCTCGGGCTCAGACTCGTCCGGAGCCTCCCAGTAATCCGCTTTCGCAATAACATTGCCGTGCTGGTCGGTGACTTCTCCATCTTCATCGACCGGACGACCGAGGATCTTTTTGGCGTCGCCCTCCACGATCTTTCCAACTCTCTTTCCCTTGTCGTCTTCCACCCACCCGTCCTCAACCACGTGGAGCCCTTCAAGGCCAGCGAAGACGGGCTCATCCTGATGCTCCTCGGTGGGAATGGTCTGGGCCTTGCCGATGACATTGCCGCGGTTATCCCAGAACTGTCCTTTGGCGTCGAGCTGGGCTCCCATGCGAGAGAGCTTCTTGGGGTCGCCCTCGATCAGTTCGCCAACGGGCTTGCCTGTGGAGCTGATAATTTTGCCCAGCTTGTTGCATTTGAGGCCTTCCAAGGTGGACAGGGGAGGGAGGTCTTCTTTCTCTTCGGGCTGGCTCCTTATCGGCTTGAGCTTCCGAGGGGTTGCCCTCCTTTCCAAGCATAGTACTCGGGGTGATTGGTTTGTCGCTGTCCTTGACGACATGCTCTGCCTCGGACGTCGGCTCGACGCGACCGACAACACCACCATTGTCGTTCCGAACCTCTCCTTCCTCGTTGGGGGCAAGGCCAACCAGATCCTTCGGATCGCCCTCCACCAGTTTCCCAACAACCTCACCAGCGCCGTCCTTGACGATGCCACCATCCTTGATGGGCAAACCAGCAATGTTCGACAGCGCACCAGGGACCTGACCTGCCACGTCTCGGACCGCATCAGGAACAGCCTCGACCCGACCGATAAGACCCCCGTTATCGTCGAGAATCTCCCCGTTGTCGCCGACAGTCTGTCCCACCAGATCCGCGGGGTTTCCTTCCACTAGCCGGCCTAGCAGGTTGCCGTCCTTTCCAAGGACTTGTCCTCCCTCACCAACTTCGAGACCCTTCAAGATGGACAGGTCCAGAGGCACTATGTTGTCAACAGTCTGGCTGCCCGTCTTGGTGACACCCTGAAGCGTGCCCATCAGGTTGCCTGTCAAACCTCTTGCCTTTCCGAACAGGCCTGACGATTGGCCTGAGGCTGAGGCCTGCGACTGGCTATCTTCGGGCGCGGGCGAGGGCATATCGCGCTGTTCGGATGTGGCGTTAATGTTCGAGGGAGTGGAGGGCTTCTCTCCGTCGACGGGAGCGGGCTCCTTGACGCGGAGACTGGGAGAAGTCTGCTCGGCGTTCGTGGGGCGTTCGGTGCTTGCGGACATTATGCTGAAGTTTGGGGTGGCGGAGGAGAAGAAGAGTCTTAAGGGATAGAGCTGGGAGGATATTCGTGGACCTATGGCGGTGTCGTGATGGAACTGAGCGAGAAAGGTTTAGGTATAAGTATATTAATCAATCGAGTATGCGATTACTGGGAATATAAACATATAAACAGATGATTATGATACTACACATCGACATAGTCTTCAACGGTCGTTATATACCATCCTATCTCTAACTATATCCATATAGATACAAATAGCATCGGAGTCGATATCCACATACGTCATGATCAACAATGCGTCCAGGGCCTCCATGTCAGACCGTTGGCGCGCCACGCAATTAATCTAATATAGTTGGCCGAATCCTGATTCGGGTGGACACCAAATAGATTAAATGACATGATTCTCGAAGCCCATGAGCGGTTCCGCCGTTTGATAGGTTCCACTCGGCGGCCGTGCTACGTCGATTGCCATGGCTTACAATAGGACAATGTGTGCCATCCGGCCTGCATGACATCAACCCTGGTATCTAGGGTTCGTTGTGAGAGCCATGAATAACCTGGTGTAGAGAGTGGGTTGCATAGAGGTCGTACATGGGAGCACATCCCTCATCCACGCAACTAGTTATAGTATCAAATTCTGCTAGCCACGAGGCGATCCACAACGGCAACACGATCCAGGATCGCGATTGAGGCAGATTAAATGAGATCATCCAAGGCTCGACCTGCCAATCGGAGGATTTACCCGCCACACGAGACGGCAATTGATATCATATCAACACACGTCAATGTGGTGGGCGTAATGACGTCGAAGCGGAGGGATTGTATACCTGAATCTGCCAACGAGATGACATACATTGAACAAGAGCATCAGCGTGGACAGTTAATGAAGGGCGAATATGGTCATCCAGTCCCAGCATTCTAACATGACCGAAAGCACAAGCTTGGACCACAATTATGTGAGACAATTATCGATCCATAATGCATCAATGATAAATGCAATTTGCAGAGAGAACAGAGTTGTAAGCCCAGGCTCTAACACGATTATACAATCGCAGTCCACATAGAGGTGATGGGCCAATACGGTATTGACCTGCAGAGACAGGTCATAATTGTTTTAGAATCCTTCATCAATATCCTCCGAGATCTGGGCAAGGAGCATGATATGTTCAATCAATCTCAATCGGAGAAAGATGAGAAAAAAAAAGCCATGGATGGGATCTTGTTGTCGTCTGGTCCTAGAATCCTAGGAGATGGAGGAGCATCGGAGAATGCACAACGTGAAAAGCAGACTTTATACCACACTTCGCTTTCTTGAAGTCCGAAGGTATTTGAGCTCTCTATATTGATACCGTCGACTTGGAAGTAGTCAGGATCTGTTCATTCCTGGATCAATTGCTTGAGTTGGACGCGGTAGGGTAACAGAGGCAAGTCCTCACCTTCACTTCATGCTCAGTGAGACCCAGTCTCAGCATCTGCCTCATTATCCAAGGAGCACTACCATACCTACCACCTAATGTAACAGATATATTTCTCGACAGTTGAATCAAAGGACGTAACACTTACTCCAGTTTTGATCAGATATCATTGCAACCGGCGGAATAGAACACAGTTCCACAGTCCAGATGTTATCAGTATTGTGCTGCTTTGACCGTCAATCCCTCGACTTAGCCATACAGATTACCCCTGTCTACTCTGAACAATAGACGAAGACTGATTGTAGCCGGGGTAAAAGCTTACACAGGACATGTTGATCAATGATCAGCACTCCTCAGATATGTTTACTGGTAATTCCTCTCGGCTCATACTCGGCATTCCCCACTACACGAGTCCATGAGAGCTTTACCCCTATCGACCATGATGTTAGGGGATTCGGGTGGCTGTGGGAACCGTTTATCGGAGGACAACCGAAAACCGACATCTTTCTTATTGTGATACAACCGCAACTCCGGCATCAACACCTCTTGCCGATTAGACTCACACCCAACCTCCAAGGGGCCAAATGGGGCACGGTGGAAGTTATTTGCTCGTGTTAAGATGGGGTGCGATCTGTCCCGCGACGAACCGGTATATTATTGCAAGTAATACTCCGTACTACTCCAGAGTAGGTACAGTTGGAGCGGACTGAATAAGGACAACCCGTCCATGTCAGTCATGAAAAGCTCCACTTTTCTCTCCTGATCGGCGCCCAAGACAACTGCCAATTGGGCTAGAGATGATATTCCGCGTTGGACCCATCGTCAAGACAAGCTGTCAAGAACTTAGCGAGGGACTATGCCTGCTTGGGCGCCCCAACCGAGCTTTTGCCTTGGACCATCCATCTACATCGTACATACGGAGTACAACCTCGGCTTGGATAGTTTGAGATGCCAGGAAGGAGACGGACGATCACGGGTAACCTTATTGTGGGCTACACTGACGGCTTCCCCATTGATGCCTTGGCTTAATGGATTATTGAACCTAAACCTCCTCCTGTTCACGTAGTTGTTTCCTGTACTTGCTTCAGAGCAGGCCTGATCATCCTCTTTCCCTGCTCTCGTGGCTACGGTGTTCCATTGCATTTGGATCGGCACAGTTGATCACTGAGCCCCGGATCTCCGGAGGAAGATGGATTGAGCCGGTGAAGCTTAGCATTGCAGCCACATTGAATTGCCCAGGCGATGTAGGAGTCGAGGTGCATGGAGACTTGACCAGGAGACAAAAAAGTGCAATGCTAATAGCCACGTCTGATTGTAGGCTCATCGAGGATTATCTATGTGAGATGTGTGGTCTTGTGTACATACTATCTATCATGCCTCGGAGCGGAAAGTCTCCGTAGTAGCAGCAGAACTGTACCTGTACGAACAATGGCAATGAAGAGACAAGAATAGCAGCCGAGAACCACTAAACAAGAAGACTCGGATTTGTTGAACTGCTTCCGGGCCCGTATAACTCCATATCAATTTCCTCAGTTCCGGACCAGTCGCCAATCAGCCTCGGCTGGAGCGATGATCGTCGGGGCACTAAGAGACTGCCTATTTCACTATGCCATATGGCGTTTCTCGCATGGCACTAGTCAGGCACGGTCTGCACTGACACGGCATTGCTCTGACACTCTTGCCACCCGGAACGGTTGTTGCTCCGACCCCCTTTTCGACTGTCTCCATCAGACTCCGTTCGGGGCTCGGTAACGGTCGACTAAAGCGGAAAAGTATACACTTCCGTCCGTGGCCCTCCACACTCTCCGTGGTCGCCGTCTCTCCACCCGCAGAGCCCGTTGAAAGGTTGGTCCGGCATTTGAAAATACTGACAGGTGCATCCTCAGTTCTCCCTACTATCGACTTAGCGACACGGGGTCAAATTACAACTGGTCGATCGTTCATGAGTCTTGCCTTCAGTTATGCAAACAACGCTTGGCCAGAAGCACGGTGGATGCAGCTTATCCTGCATACTCTGCTCGTCAGGAGTGATAATCTTCAGTAGCCGCCTGTCTAGTGGACCCTAGACGCCGCGCTAATAGATGGAAAAATGTTGACATCCAGGCTACAATTCGGATTTCTGCCGTTGCGACCCAGCCGGCATACGTACTACTAAAAGTAAGACTAGCCTGAAGAATCAGTCCCAGACCCCCCATGATTCGAGGACCGGGACCCTCAACTTCTTCTGAGCCCCGTAGCAGGGGCATGCGGCTGCCCGCGGACGTCCTCGCTGGGGTCGTTGCGGCGATCCCTAATTTCGAGAAGGGTTCAGCATCTCCATCATTCGCCTCGCTTGTGTCCGCTGGTCCGCCAAGTGGGCCATCTAGAGTGAACTAATCTTCCCCAGCAGCCAACCAAGGCAATATCTGTTCATTTAGCCTCGCTTTGCAGGAAATGGACGAAATGATGGCCAGGGACTGTTTACACATGCAAATGGACTACTCCTTTCTGAGCGATGATCGTCTTGAGGGGACGGCGGTCGTGATGGCTATAAAAACCGTTATCCCAGCGGGCATACCGGACGCTTGATGTCCTTCTATACCGCACTACAATCTTTTTATCACCATGATTTTCAAGCGGCTGGTTGGCCTTCTGGCCCTCTCCGCCGGCCTCACGACGGCCGTGGAGCTCGAGGACTATGAGTATGTCATTGTGGGATCGGGTGCCGGTGGTGGTCCTTTGGCTGCTCGTCTGGCCCTGGCCGGCCACAAGACGCTTCTTATCGAGGCTGGTGACGACCAGGGTCTGAGCCTGAACTATTCGATTCCGGCCTACTCTGCTGTCGCCTCGGAGGACCCCGAGATTGCCTGGAACTTCTTCGTCCACCACTACAAGGACGATGAGAGACAGAGCCGCGACTACAAGGCCACCTACGAGACTCCCGATGGCGGAGAATACACCGGCCTCAACCCTCCGGAGGGCTCTGTGCTCAAGGGAACGCTGTACCCTCGTACCGGCACGCTCGGCGGATGCACTGCCCACAACGCTCTGATCGCCATCTATCCCCACCAGTCCGACTTTGACTACATTGCTACCCTCACTGGCGATTCTTCCTGGACCCCTGAGAACATGCGCCAGTACTTCGTGCGCATGGAGAACAACGGCTACCTTCTTCCCGGACAAAAGGGCCACGGCTACGACGGATGGTTCCACGATCAGACTGCCCCGTTGAGCTTGGCTATCAAGGACCCTCAGCTGTTCAGTCTGCTCTCCGGCGGTGCCTTTGCCCTGGGCAACGCCACCGACATCCTCATGAACTTCGGCACCCTGCTCCTCGGCGACGCCAACAAGGACTCCAAGGACCGCGACACCGAGCCCGGCTTCTACCAGATCCCCATCTCCACCAACGATGGCAAGCGCAACGGCCCTCGCGAGTTCATCGTCTCCGTCCGTGACGCCAAGAACGACGACGGCTCCAAGAAGTACCCTCTCGATGTGCGCATGAACTGTCAGGTCACCAAGGTCGTCTTCGACGAGACCGTCACTCCTCCCCGCGCCGTTGGTGTCGAGTTCCTCGACGGCAAGTACCTCTACAAGGCCAGCCCCCTGCACCAGTTCGCTGCGCCCGGCGTCCCCGGCTCCGTCAACGCGACCCGTGAAGTCATCGTGGCCGGTGGTGTGTACAACTCGCCCCAGCTGCTCAAGCTGAGCGGTGTCGGTCCCGCCGACGAGCTGAAGAAGTTCAACATCTCCGTTATCGCCGACCTGCCCGGTGTTGGCACCAACCTCCAGGACCACTACGAGACCACTGTCCAAGGCCGCACCCCCCGGAACTTCACTGAGCTGGAGGACTGCACCTTCAGCTTCTACGGCCAGGACGACCCCTGCATCGACCGGTGGGAGAGCCCTGTCCTCGGCGACCGTGGCATCTACTCTTCGTCCGGTCTCGCCGCCACCATGTTCTACAAGAGCTCCGTGACCGCGGACGACAGCTACGACGTGTTCGTCTTCGGCGGCCCCGTCAACTTCCGCGGCTACTTCCCGGGCTACTCGATCAACGCCACCAAGGAGCACGACTGGTTCACCTGGGCTATCCTCAAGGCCCACCCCCGCAACACCGCCGGCTCCGTCACCCTGCGCTCCGCCGACCCTCTCGATGTGCCCGAGATCGTCTTCAACTACTTCGACACTGGCGTTGGCGACTATCAGTCTGACCTCCAGGCCATCACCGAGGCTATCGGTCTCGCCCGTGACGCTTTTGACCGCCAGGCGTACAAGGTCGAGGAGGTCCTTCCTGGCTCGGCCGTCCAGAGCGATGAGCAGATCCAGGACTACATCAAGAACACTGCCTGGGGCCACCACGCCTCGTGCACCTGCCCCATCGGCGCCGATGACGACCCGATGGCGGTCCTGGACTCCAAGTTCCGCGTCCGCGGTGTGTCCGGTCTGCGTGTCGTGGATGCTTCGGTCTACCCTCGGATTCCGGGCACCTTTACGGCCGTCTCGACGTACATGGTCGCTGAGAAGGCTGCTGATGAGATTCTTAGCGAGCTTAAGAGCAACAACACGAAGCGTCATCATCGCCGTGCTGGCCACCACGCCTAGCCCCCTCATGGGACAGAGGTGTAGTGCGCATGCCCAAAGGCGCATGTTCTGATATTGCTGGTGTATAGTGTTTAATACCGGATCTCAATAGAGAATAATGTTCTTGTAGATATTAGCATGAGCGAGAATATATATTGCCTGTTACCATGTTTACCTACCTGAGCCTCTATGTAGCGGAATATCATACTCAGACCGAAAACCTACGCTTGCACCCTCCCTTCCCGGCGCAGTGTATGAAACTTCCGCACCACCCGCAACGTCGCATAATAACTAAACGGCAGCGCAAAAAACCACAACCCCATATTAACACTCGCCGTCGCAATCAACGCCGTCGGCACAGCCTGCACTCCAAACCCCACCGCCACCCCGGCCGTCTCCAGCCCGCGCAGCAGCGAACTATACCGAATCTGGTCCCCGGGCGAATCCGACAAGTTCCCAATACACCAGTAGATATAGTTCTCGACCATGGCCAGGCTGATGCGCTCGAAGAGATACACGCCGAACCCGCGCCCAAACGCGCGCTGGTCGCCCCAGTCCAGCACAGGACGCGTGCGTCGGTACTCGCTCTGGATCACCACAGCCCAGATCCAGGTCGCGCTGTTGAGCAGCGCAATAAACACATACGTGACCACCGCGCGGGTCTCCCTCCGCTTCGCCCACGGCAGATCCACCAGCGACCCGGCAAGCCAGGTGCTCAGCGTACCCACGACCGCTTGCATGAAGCTGCCCAGCGCGCGCGACCGCACGGTAAAGTACGTCGCAAGGTACGTGCCCGGGTACGCCTGGATCCAGCCGAAGTACCAGAACAGCGGGGTGAGCAGGAGGATGGACCTGCTGCGGAGCAGACGCCACATGGCGGCCAGCTCTGTGCGCCAGTGCACGTCGCGCGGCGCTTCGATGCGCGTGCCATCGTCGCGCTGCACGTTCTCCGGATTCGACAGCAGCAGCCCCACAAACGGCCCCAGACACTGGATCGCGATGAACGCGAGGTACGTCTGGTATCCGACCTGGCCGCGCTGGGTGGTGCGGTGGTTGATGGCGAGGGCGACGGCGCCGCCGATGATGTTGCCGCAGTTGCGGAAGGAGAACCAGGTGGCGATGTAGCGGCCGCGCTTGTGCGCCTCTGGATACCCGGTTGCGATGGCGCCCTCAACGCTCCAGAAGAAGCCGGCGCTGATGCCGCAGGTTACGGCGCCGAGGTAGACGAGCCAGGTGGCCCCGGTGCGGTTGTTGAGGTAGAGCCCGGCGGCGTACAGCGGGTAGCCGATTGAGCCCAGCGAGAGGGTGTATTTGAAGCCGATGGCGTTAGTGAGCCAGGGCCCCGCGAAGCAGGTTACGGTCATGATGCCGTAGAGGATGGCGTTGGCGGCGTTGACTAGGTCCGGGCTTTGCGAGCCGCCGACGCCGAGGCCGTTCATGGCGGACCAGATGCCTGGGGCGCAGAAGGCGCAGAGGCCGACGATGAGGATTTGGAAGAGGGTGCTGTGGAAGAAGTTGGTGCCATTCTTGGATGGGAGAGTATTGTCGGGTATGGCAACATCTGGATCGGGTTTGCTGATAACCATGTTTGTGGCATTTGAGTAGAGGTATAAAACAGTGACAATGTCGAGTTTTATGTCCACACAGTAGGACACATTGCTTCTTCCAGTGTCACCTCTTGGCCTCGAGCACGTCAAAGTATGCGAGAATGACATGATAGCCACTCAGTATTATCATTCGGTGGCACAGGGATGGCCGACCCCATCGAATCATAGTGTTGTGATCCCGACGGAGATGAGGGGATCTGTACGTATAAAGCAGCCACCGTTAACTATTGAAACCCAAACTCCATATGCTCTATCTCATACACAGCTATCAGTGAAAGAAGCATGGCCGTCTCAACACAGACACCCATCCCATCCATCTCAAGCAACGGAGAGAAACCAAGTCTCCTATCGTTCAAGACGTTCGATCTCCCATCCTCGAACCAGCGTCTCCTGGGACCCCCTCATCCCCCCAACACTGTCATCCCACTTGCCCTGCGTCCCGACGTCGAGGACAACACAGACATCAGCCTCGACAGCGTGGTCGAGACAATCAAGCAGCTGCAAGCACGCGATGGCATCTTCACCAAACAACTAGCCCGCCACGGGACCCTCCTCTTCCGCGGCCTACCCATCCGCAACGCCGAGGACTTTAGCAAATTCGCCCACGCCTTCGGCTACACACCGCACGAGATCATCGGCATCGTCGTAGACCGACCGCTGCTCGCTCCGAACGTTGCCCCAGCCAATGAAGCGCCCAAGGAAGTCCTCATCTACAACCACAACGAGTCACCGCAGGTCCCGCACGCCCCGGAGTACATCTTCTTCTACAACCACCGGGCGCCCGCCAAGGGCGGCGAGACGCCCATCTCATCATCCCTAGAACTGTTCCGCCGCGCGCAGCAGGAAATCCCAGAGTTTATCGACGAGCTCGCCGAGAAGGGCATCCTCAGTCGTGTCGTCTACCAAGTGCAGCCGCAGTACGCGGGGGGCTCGACGCTGCGTCAGGCCTTCGGCAAGGAGATCCGCGACGACGACGATGCCACGACGCGGAGAGAGAAAATCGAAGCGCAGATTGCGCGCTACGGGCGCGGCAAACACACAACCTGGGAGTGGAGTGACGACGGCCAGCGCCTCGTCCTGACGCACCGGCTCCCTGTGATCCGGACGCAGCCGGGCACATACTCCCGACTCTATTCACGGGGCTTGCGGCGTACTGGAAGAGAGCGCAGCTGGATAGCGAAGCGAGGAAGAATGTCACGCAGCAGCTGTTTGGGGATGGCACGCCCATCCCGGAGAAGTATCTGGCGCACCTGGCGAAGATCACGGATGAGATCCGCGTGCTGCATAAGTGGCAGGAGGGGGATGTGTTGGTCTATGATAATGTCATTGCGCAGCATGGACGAGAGCCCTGGGAGGGGGAGCAGGCTGATCGCGTTGTGTTTGCTAGCTTGTTTGATGGAGCGAGTGTCCCTGGTGCGTATGGGTTTGGGGACTGGGCGCAGGTGGTGCAGGCACTTGATGGGTAGGCCAGTCTTTTGGGCTAGTCTATGACGAACTTGTATGTATGATGCTATCTATGCAGTGCATTTTTAGTAGCAAACGGGCTATCAGATGGTATTGTCAATTACCACAGGATTACCGGCTTCAGATAGTCTCTCCTTCACGTAGAGATGCCCGGGGGCATCGAATCGGACAAAAGGCGTTATAACGGTGGACGGCAACGGACTATGTACCTCGCCTCGGTGTTAGCGCCAATGTGCTTCTAGCGTTGGGCATGTGAATGCTCCTCACACACAGGACATTCATACAAATAAGACTATATTGGGATTCTGACAGAGAATTGGGTGATTTGGCTAGACAAGACATCGGTATAGTCACATCAGTGATCTGAAAGTCATGGCCGAAGAACCCGAGAAGCAGTATTCCAAGAATGAAATCTCCCAGCATACAACAGACGGAGATATGTGGGTTATCATCGACAACACCGTCTACGATCTGAGTTCTTTCCAAGAATTACATCCCGGCGGAAAGAAAGGTGTGTTCTCGTTGAACTCCCCTGGCTTGTCCTACCTCTGACATTGTGTATACAGTCCTCTCAGCAGTGGCAGGCACCGATGCCACTAAAAAGTACCGAAAGTACCACAGTGACAAGGCCTTGGCGAGATATGGGAATGACCTACGCACTGGCGTTGTTGAACCGTCCAAGCAACAGAAACCGAAGAAATCGTTCCTTTCACGATTCCGCCGAGGGGGTTGAGACTGATGACTGGGAGGATTGAATGCGTGACACCCAGACCAGACAGCCTTCCTCGTATAGTATACTTCATGTACAATTCAAGAATATTTCATTCAAACTACACCCTCCTCAGATTGCTTGGAGGGCTTCTGCATGACTAGTGTGCCATAATAGTTCCCAGCGATTCGGGTCTCATAGAAGGGACAATATAAGAAGTCATTGGTAGTTACATAGACATAGATATTGAAAGAAGTAGAATGACCGGGATTAGGACGAAGACTAAGAATGAAAGCCTGATACTAGAAACTGATTCATACAACAAAAGCAATAATATGTAACGTATTGTTCTCGTGCAGGTGAATGTCCAACCAGGTACATAAAAACAAACACATAAAGAATCATCGCAAATGGAAAGCTCGCCAGTCGTTGATATGTATCCTTATCCCCAAACTGCTACGCACATCTCAATCCTTGACGAGCTGACCTCCTCTCTTATTCATTCTCTTCCGCACAAGCCTCATATAATAGGTCTTTGGAAGCGTCCGAATGAATCGTGGGGTCAAAGAATACACACCAGACATTCCGGTGATAAAAGACTAGTCATAGCTCGCGAGGATTTGGTGGAACGTAGGGCGAACTGCTCGCGTATGGCAGGTGGCAGTTGCTCGGCCGTGGTACGACGGATGAAGGGCATGGCAACCCAAACAGCAGGCTTGATCCAGAACGGGATGCCATTGGGATGCCAGAGAACTTCGAGAACCATGCGTGCATCGACAGTGATCTCGAGGTGATTCTCGACCATGTCCCTCCAATACACCCTGAACGCGGGCAGATTAGCTGGCCAGATTTCACGGGGAACTTGCAGCAATGTGCCCATGATAGAGTACGCTTGGTAGACGCGCTCACCCATATCAGGAGGAAGAGGCCCGTAAATCAGCTCATACATGCTAACCATGGAGGTGTAGACTGTAGCGGCTACCCAAAGTTGAAGTTCGTGGTCCATCGCATCGTAGGCGTTGTCCTTCTCGCCTCCTTTGACTCGAGAGTGTGCTTTGTCTACCTAGGCTCGCATTGCGCCTTTCTCGTCCTAGTTGCTGAAAATCATGACATAGATGTACGTCTGGGTATACTGGGCACGACTGATTGCTCTGGTCGTCAATGTGCTGTGATCGGCAACGCCCTGTCCAACCTTTGGATGAGAAATCTGGAGCAAGATGGCTGCAGGACCTCCAGCCAGAGCAATGCCTTCTCTTGCAACTTTCTTCAACTGTTTGATTGCCAAAGGGGATTCTCCCTCGGGAAGAGATTCCTTGTCTATGGTGATGCAAAAGGAGCCGTCAGACGAGGTTTTCTCCATGTTGTATAGCGCGATCTCTTGGTTTGTGTTTGTCGAGGTAGATTATGACTGGTGGACCAATACAGGAAGAAGAATGATAGTATACCTCCAGAGGAACCCACGACAAAGGGTTGTCTATGATTCTCAATATATACAACGACCGTCTCACTATATCTATCACTTGCCGCTCTCGCCACAAAGTATCCCCTCAAGGCATGACGACATGTCCGAGGACCGCCAACCGCGAACCGTGTCGGCAGGGTAGATTTTCACGTATCATATACACTTGTATACGTACGCAATACACGCAATGTCCTATAAGGTGTCTATACACTGGACGGATGTACAGCAGTATAACGGCATGTTAGGTTACGGGCATCATTGCAACCCGCACATCCAATGAAACCACACTCCCATCCCCGTATATCGTTGGTATGACTGTATAGATGCTGAAAGCTTGCCCTAGCTGTTTTAGATCTAACCTTAGTTTCTACGCATTAGGTTTATCGGTGCATCGGACCGCGGAGCGATACCAAACAAGACTGGTCCTTTGGCCCTTTTTACCCTGATTCTGTCTCTCCACACCCCATGGGCTAATTGTTTCTCTATGTCTTTGGGTATTTTCCCTCATGTGCTGGTCACTAAGCTCCAAGTGGTCTCTTAGTGTCATTGCCTACCAGTTGTACAAGACGTATACCCACTCTCGGAGTGTCGTTATGCGCAGCTGATCTCATGATGTGAGTAGATCCTCCTTTATAATTCCTGTTCTATATGGTGACAACTTATCAAGCTGGACTATTCAACAGATCGACGTATATCCCGATCAGATATGCCCACGTTGGCAGCAAACATTGAAGTATAGTTCTCACGACTAAGTTCCTATTTCCTAACGTATACGGGGCTGATGAGAACATATAACCATGACGATTGCGACTGAAAGATGCTGGCTGACTCTGCATGTCACTTGCTCAACGAAGCTTCGGCATATGAAACGCTGAGTTAAGTACTCCTAATAGTAGGCATACGGTATCACTGGGACCAAGCCTACCTACGCTTGAACGATATTCCGAGGTAGTGAACAATTGACGAACGCTTATTGATTCCCTGGCTACATATGCAGAGCAAACACCAATTGTTATTCACTATTTGGATGGCGCATTCGAGTATCTAGATGAGGACTGTATTTCGACAATGCCATAAGGACATCATAGAAGTCCCAGCTAGTACGAGTCGGAAATAACACATTCACATGCTACCAGATGCTCAATGTTGCCCCTGGGTATTTCGGTATAAGATGGTCTCCTCGGCCATAAGAGGGGCAACGGATCCTCTTAATCTATCGCTCCAATAAAAAAGTGTTAACTTGTAGCCCCCCGCATATTACTAAATCGGGGCACCTTTAACCGCCTTCTTTGTCCGCAGCTTGTACCGAGCATACTAAGGCTCCCATCTCATATCGTTCTTTGATCAAAGATAGCTTTATCTTATAATCCAAATTCAGGACACAGAAGCCGCTCGCAAAGGCCCATCATGCGATTCTCGATCGCTTTTCTCGTTTTCATCATCGCCAGTGTCGCTAGGGGCAGCGCTGATCAAAACGGCGATTTAGCCGCCAGCCTCGATCAACTCAAGAGCCAACTGTAAGTACACTCACGGTGCCTAGCTCAAACCCCTAAAAGAACGATCATATTAAACAGCATCCAGGAGGTCTTTGGGGGATGCAATCGCCACGGCGCAGTCGAAACCTTCAGACCCCGAAAGCACAGGCTCCAGCCTTCTGGAGAAGCTGCCCGTGCCACCAGCGAATGTTGTCATCCAACTTCTGGCTGGAGTCCCGAAAAGCGTCTATAGCGATCTGATGGACCCTGTCGCGCGGCAGGATCTCATGAAAAGCTTCATCGACGAAGATTACCCGCAGTGGTACCATGATCTTCCCGTGGGAGCCAAAAACTACTTTTCGGAACTTGCTGCCAGTATGACTGAAGCTGGGATTTACGACCCGACTAGTCTGGCTGCTGCAGACTCAGCCGAAGCCACTCATCACGGTCGTGATGAGCTCTGACAGCGGTCTCAGATCTGTTTCGCGGTTGTGTCGGTGTGATGCATGAGTATTGTTGGACCTCCATGCGGGATGATAGTTTCTGTGCTAGTAAGGCTGAGGAAATGATAGATGTTATGTGAAGGGTGGTTCATTCCTTTTGAAAAGGGCACGGCGAAGGAGAGGGTTTGATACTCTATAAAGTCCTCTTCGCTCAAGATCCAAGCTCTTTCGTTGGGCTTTCTAGTTACCTTCCAGGTTGTGGGAGCGGGGGGTCCGAATCGGAAATCATTCATAGAAGCCACTGAGCCTGTCCAAGGGACTGCTGGCCCCAAACCGACCATACGACAGGTATTCCACGACTGCGTTGCAGTACACACCCACCAGAAGGCATGTCTTTATCTTATTCATGTGGGGTCAGAAATCTGGGGTAATAAACCACTGGGGTAGACCACCTGCCAGTTGTAGAGATTTGCTGTACGGAGTAACGGCTGTCAGTGGTATCGCACACGAACCTACGTGAGAATACCAGTCGGCTCACTCAGTCTCCGTCGATAGCAATCGGGTTGGAGTTATGCACTGAATGAGCAAGTCTCATCACATGGATCTCACGTCTGTAATCTTGGCGATTGTCTTCATTCATTTGATTGAAGCCTGCCGAACCTGAACCCGAGCCCAGTGGGGGTGCAGTTCCCTAGACGGACTAGACCATCTCTCGTTTCTGATTCAGGGGTTCTGACTCGGTTGGTCGATATGACCTAGGCAAGCATGACAGGCGATGTGCTTCCGCCAATAACGGCCAGGTCAGTGCGAAACATCAGGATTCATGACTCATGCAGCCTGGTAGATGTGGTTTTGTTGACTTGTGCATCAGATCCGGACAGCTGCGGTTAGCCCAACGGGATACATAGCCCATCGAGAACCATGTACATTGTCTTGTTGTGCCTTTAATAGAAGTCACGTGATATACATACAACCGACCGAAACATTGAATCTATCTCCATTTATATCACGTGATATTTGCGGCCCCACTGGATCCGCCACACGTGACCGGACCCGTTCAAAAATTTTGTCTTTTTGGATCTTTTGTTATCGGCGCAGGCCAAAGTTCTCCCCGTTCCATCGACTTCTACACAGTGTCGTCGCACAAAATGGGTTCCGCTCAGGATCAGACTAAGAAGAGAAAGAGACAAAAAGTCTCCGACGGCTCCAAGTCGTCCAAGTCTCGCGTCGTCGAGGCCGACGATCAGCGCGAGTTGACCGAGACGACGACAAAGCCAAAGAAGCAAAAGACCGAGGATCCTCCTACGGACGAGACTCCCGATGCCGAGGACGTCGAGCAGACCGAGAACGGAGAGACCGCGCAGGATGATGCCGCGAAAGATGCTGAAGCGCCGCTCCCGTCCACCATGGGCCTGTCGCTGCCCACCGACGCCGCGCCGCAAAAGTTCGACGAGCTGAACCTTTCCGAGCCCACCATGAAGGCCATTCGCCAGATGGGCTTCGAGACCATGACCGAGATCCAGCAGCGGACGATCCCGCCGACGCTGGCCGGTCGCGATATTCTGGGAGCGGCCAAGACGGGCTCCGGAAAGACGTTAGCTTTCTTGATTCCGGCGGTGGAGATGCTGAGCGCTTTGCGGTTCAAGCCGAGAAACGGTATGCCTGGGTTGTGGGATGATGTTGTTTAGGTGGAGCTAATGGTGGTCGCAGGAACTGGTGTTATCATCATTACCCCGACCCGTGAACTGGCGTTGCAGATTTTCGGTGTCGCAAAGGAGCTTTGCGAGTTCCAGTAAGTCTACGTTCCGCGTCTCGCCTCGCTTAAGCTAACGGTCTAGTTCTCAAACCTACGGCATTGTTATCGGAGGCGCGAATCGGAGAGCCGAAGCGGAGAAGCTTAACAAGGGTGTTAATCTGTTGATTGCGACCCCGGGACGACTCCTCGATCACCTGCAGAATACCCAGGGTTTTGTCTACAAGAACTGCAAGGTTCTGGTTCTGGATGAGGCGGACCGTTGTCTGGATGTTGGTTTCGAAGCCGAGCTTCGCCAGATTGGTGCGTACCCGTCGACGGCCAAATGCGCACTGCGTACTGACTGCGATAGTTAAAATCCTGCCTTCCGAGGAACGCCAGACTTTGCTCTTCTCCGCCACGCAGACGACCAAAGTCGAGGACCTCGCGCGTATCTCACTCAAGCCCGGCCCACTCTACATCAACGTCGACCACCGTAAGGAGCATGCGACCGTGGATGGTGTCGACCAGGGATACATCATTTGCGAGGCCGACAAGCGGTTCCTCCTGCTATTTACGTTCCTCAAGAAGAACCTGAAGAAGAAGATCATTATCTTCTTCTCCAGCTGCAACGCCGTGAAATACTACGCCGACCTCCTGAACTACATCGACCTGCCCGTTCTCGCGTTGCACGGGAAGTTGAAGCAGCAGACGCGCACGCAACGCTTCTTCGAGTTCTGTAATGCCACCCAGGGCACGCTCATCTGTACCGATGTGGCCGCGCGTGGGCTGGACATTCCCGCCGTCGATTACATTATCCAGTTCGATCCCCCGGATGAGCCCAAGGCCTACATCCATCGGGTGGGTCGTACGGCCCGTGGTACGAAGGGCAAGATCGGACGCTCCATCATGCTTTTGCAACCGTCCGAGGTTGGATTCCTCAACGTCCTCCGCGAGGCGCGAGTGGTATGTTTCCCTTGTTCGATTTTCCGGCTGAGCCGGCATACTGACTGATGTTCAGCCCGTGGTGGAGTTTGAGTTCCCCCAGAAGAAGATCATCGACATTCAGTCGCAGCTGGAGAAGCTCATCGGACAGAACTACTACCTCAACCAGGTATGTCTCATCCTCATCCACCGTCACGCATTATCCCGCTAACACAGATCCAGTCCGCCAAAGACGGTTACCGCGCATACCTCCACGCCTATGCGTCGCACTCGCTCCGGTCGGTGTTCAACATCAACAAGCTGGACCTGGTCAAGGTGGCCAAGAGCTTTGGATTCACGACCCCGCCGCGGGTGGACATCACTCTGGGGGCGAGCATGAGCAAGGACAAGGTGCAGGCGCGGCGGCCGTACGGGAGCCAGAACAAGTCGGCGCGGTTCAAGCGGCGGGCTTGAAGGACCTAGGATGATACCTCTGTAATATAGACAAAAGTGGATAGATATGCATAATGATAGCGTTCTCTGCCGTTGTTGTACTCGTAAAGTGCGGTCGTTTACCAGAGGAAAGAAGAGAAAGAAGAAGACTTGCATGTTTTATTATTTGCGAGATATCCAGATCGAGATCTAGATCCAGCCATCACGGATCCTCCAAACGCCAAATAAACCCATCAAACATCAGACATAATCATGAATCGTATCGATCGATCGATCGCTGTGGACCGAGCGTGGGGTAGGGTCTAGTAGCGCGACGAAGTCTCAACCGTATCTATACAACCGTCAGTAAAATCACTAACCAGCACGAAAATAAGGCGTACACCCCGACTCAACATCTTTCATCATCGACTCTCTTCGATACTGCCCCAGAGTCTTCAGCCGGATGGCCCGCATGTACTGTTGCTGCTCGGGGGAGTAGTGGAAGCGGTCTCCGGAACCGTCGGGAGCATAGTGTTTGAAGAGGGCGGCGCCGAGGGAGACGACGGCGAGACAGGCGACGATGACAATGACGATGATGCCGGCGGTGGGGATGTTGGCCATTGGATTTTGATCGGATATGCCTGGATGTATGGGAGATGTATACGGAGGATGTGTGGGATGTGACTAGGGCATGATGTGTAGTTATGTGTGTCTGTGGATGGTGGAAGACGAAGTGGCCGGATGTCCGGATGATATACAGTAGAGTCCTAATTATATACGGACTGTCTGACTGCCTAGGTGTACCGGTACACTACTTTATTTTTCGGTCACTTTCCATCCTTTCCAGCCTTTCAATGCGATTGGCCAGAACCGGGGTATACATGCGCATTAAGGTGATTGGCCGCGTGGACGGTGGAGGCCGAGCAGTAAGTATAGAGTACGGAGTAGATCTATAGAAGTGGTCTACACTGGCCTATCCAGTATCAGAAGACACTCTCTTCGTTCACACTCTTGTCATGCCGCTTATCCGGTACATCTCCACTCATGTGTTTCTTCCAGGTTGCACAACCAGTCAGACACTTCATCGACGAAAACAGATGCTTACGCACGCCGACGTGGTTCCGCGGATCCCGGCCAGCAAAGCTTGTCTAATAGATCGGCATGGGCCGAAGCAATACATGCATGCGATTGGCACTGGGTTAGGCATCAAGGTATCCGAAACAACCACATGGCTCCATCGGCTCATCGCCTCCGCTCAAACACCACATTCAACTCGCCCATGTACAGCACAAAGTTATCCTGGGCCTCGTCCAGGAACTTCCGCCCGTCGTCTCCCGGCGCGAACCGCACGTCAAACTCCATGACCAGCCGGGCGACCGTGGTGCGCAGGTTGAGCATCGCCAGCGGCTTGCCGATGCAACTGTACGGGCCTGTCTTCTTAGCACTGCCGTGTCTCTCTGGGATTCAGGTACGAACCGATGGTAAACGGCGCAAACACCGTCTTATCCTTGATCAGCTCCGGGCGTTTATACCACCGCTCGGGGATGAACTCGTCCGGTTGTTCGTAGCAAAGGGGGGCTGTTCGTCAGCTCATCCGCTAGGCACCTCTATAAACCGACTCCTAACGGAAGGGCGGGACATCATCGGACGCGACATACATACATCGGCTCACAACATACTGCGGACACGACACCGTCATGTCCCCCGGGATAAACACATCGTCGATCATGATCCCCTCCGGCGGCGTCTTGCGTTGCAGCCCCCCGGGCACGGGAGGATACAGCCGCAGCGCCTCGTTGATCACGCCGTTGAGATGGTCGAGGTTCGCGATCTGCGAGTGGAGAAGCTCGCCGTTGTCACTGGCGTCCGCGTACGGCGCCAGCTCCGCGCGCAGCTTGTCGGCTTCTTCCGGATGACGCACTAGTTCGTATAGAACAGCCGCCAGCGTACACGCCGTGGTATCACTACTATAAGATCAGCCCATCCCACTCCCCCAACCCCAGGACAACTCACCTCCCAGCCACAACAACCAACCGCGCATCCCCATCCAGGAGCAACTCCTCGCTCGGCGTGGGGTCTCTCCCCTCGAGATGGGCGATCAACGCGGAACTCACATCCGGGATGGCAGGTTTATTCTATCCCGGCGCATCAGCACACCCACTCCACAACACCAGCATCCCCCGAAGGAAGGGAAGAACTACCTTCACCCGATACCGCAACATCTGCCCACAAAACTCCAAAAACCGCCACCAATCGCGCGACAACCCGGGCACAGCATTCATCGCCAACATAACCCAAATAGGCACACACAAACCAATCTGCCGCATCGTGGCATCCAGCAACTCAATCGCCCAATGCGGCTCCCCGCGCTCCAGACACCCGAACCCCTCGCCAAACGTCAGCGCGCCCATCACGTCAAAGCTGTACAGATTCACCCACTTGCGCGCATCCACGGCGCGCCCCTCCATGCCCGCCAGCCGCTCAACCAGCCGCTGCTGGTACTCACGCACGCGGGCCTCGTACCCGCGCAGCAGGGGGTCGCTGAAGGCGCGGGCCCAGACGCGGCGGCGGGCGGCGTGGGCGGCGGGGTCGCGGATGTTCTGCAGGGCGAGGCCCGGGTGCGTGAAGTCGTAGTAGGCGGCCTTGGTGCAGGGCGAGGCGGCGCTGTAGAGGGCGTGCACGGCGGCGGGGTGGGCGATGGAGAGGTCGGAGGAGCCGGTGCGGACGAAAGGGCCGTAGTGCGTGTGGTAGGCGTGCAGGTGCTTGTAGAGGTTGTGGTTGAGCTGGGTGGGGAGGTAGAGGCTGGAGAGGCGGGAGCCGAGGGGTCCGGGGAATTGGTGCAGGGGGTGGAGGAACAGGCGGTAGATGAGCAGGCTGGTGTAGAGGCCGCTGAGGTAGGCGGCGGCGAGATGGGAGGTGGTGGAGAGCGCGTGCGGCCAGGGTTGCGACTGGGTGTAGTGCAGGGTTGCGGTGATGGCGGCGATGGCGGCGAGGAAGAGCTTCAGGTATTGGGTCACATAGAGGTGGTGCTCGCCTTTGTTGAAGTAGGCGATGTGCGAGGCGATGCCCGCAGCGGCGGATATATATAGTGGGTGTGATAGCGGCATGGTGGTGTTGGGGGAGTAGTAGACAGGTGCAGGTGCTATGCTGCTATCTGGGTATTTATCTATTGTCACGCGCAACAGGCGAGATGTCTGACCCCGCCTATCTAACATTGTAGGTGCTGTCTAGCGAGTGGTCTGGATGGACCGATATCATCATCTACTGCAGACGATGCTATCTGCCGTCTGCAGAGTTGTTTATACATCGCAGGGTTCAGCGTCGTCCCCGCTCCTGACGAAGACACTAAATAGCTATAGCGTGCTTGGCTGCAGTGCACACCCCGGCTCTCGCCTTACAACGAGTCCTAATTGACGGAATGGCAAATGGTTTCGTAGATGTGGCAACGCCATGAAGAGATGTGCAGATGGACGAATTTCCTGTTTAGGTTACTCCCGGCATGCAGGTCGTGCCGCTGTTACACGACGTAAGGACAAGCCATGTGCTACAAGAGGTGGAGCTGCTAGACTACTGATCCAGGTTGCGCAAGATGTATATGTTCAATTGGAAGTACACGAAGTGAAGAATATACAGTCTCAATGGCACCGCTTCCTCTTATACAAGAGATAGAACACCGTCCGCGGCTTCAACTCGCGGTCGCTTCATTTAAAGAGCGTTCAGGACGGCAGTGAAGGCCTCCTTGGGCTGGAAGCTGGAGTCGAACAGCAGGGGGCTCTCGCTGGAGCGCCAAGAGTCCTACAATTTGTCAGTAATGCGCCATGATGGGAGAAGAGGTTGTAAAATGACTGACCTTGTCGGAGACTCCCCAGGAGGTGATACCGACACAAGCCTCGACGTTGAGGCAGGCGTTGGCAACCTATACCAGTTAGCGCACATCCTCCGGAGGATCAGGCTACACCTACATCCACGTAGTCCTGGGCAGCGGCGCCGGCAATGTCGAGCTCGGTGATGGCGACCTCGGAGACGCCGGTCGAGGCGAGAGCGGACAGAGCAGTTTGGGTATGTCAGTACGTTCAGTGGTAAACGGGACAGGGGAGACTTATGCTTCAACGCCAGAGGCGGGCCAGGCAGAGCTGCGACTGCATTAGCAACTCACTCTTGACTTGCGGTCGGACTATACATACCCAAGATGCGACTGCGAGCCAATGCCGTCGATCGGGACACCAGCATCAAGCCACTTCTTCACCAGGCTCACCATACCCTGGGTCTTGGAGTAGTTGGCATCGTCCAAGCTGGCTATGTCAGTGACAGTCTTCCATCAGCCAGGTCCAAGGTCCTCACTTGTAGTCGTTGATGTACAGCTTCGCATCGGGGTCGACCTCACGGGCGGTCTCGAAGGCGATCCGGATGTAGTCCTCTCCGAGGACATCGTAGAAGACGTCGGAGCGGAGAGTGCCGTCCTCGTTGAGAACCTCGTTGACCACATCCTATGCTGGTCAGCTACCATTCTTGTCCAGTCCTGTCCGACACACCTACCCAGGCGTAGATCTTGCCCTTGTACTGGGTCATCACGGTGGTGATGTGGTTCTTCAGCACGTCGGTCAGGGTATCCTTGTCGGTGATGCTCTGCACCCACGAGGGGAGCTGAGAGTGCCACACTACATCCGTCAGCGGTGCTCAACCCCAGCCACATGTCTCACATACCCAGAGTGTGACCACGGATGAGGAGGTTGTTCTCCTGAGCAAAGTTCACCAGGTAGTCCGAGCCGTCGAAGCTGAAGCTTCCCTGAGAGGGCTCAGTGGCATCCCACTTCATGCTGTTCTCCGGGGTGATCTGGCCAAAGTTGGCCTTGATGACGTCCACGTTGGCGCTCTCCGACAGCGTGCCCTGGTCACCGCAAGTACCCCAGTACTTCTTGCCGTGAGCGACGAACGCGCTGTTGAGGCCAGTCGCATTCTGGCGACGTCCAATGACCGAATACGCCGACGCGGCGGTCGAGGCGAGAAGGACGCCGCTGGCGATAGACTTGATGTAGACCATTTTGATAAGGAATGAACGAGGGTAGATGTATGAAAGAGTAGTCCAGCTGCTCAGAACACTTGATCCTGTCGACGGACAGACTGGGCGCCTGGTACATATTTATACTACTCCCCGACAATGGAATAGACGTTGATGGCGTTCGGAAGGGCACCGCGTGGCTTTAGGCTAATGTTGGCGCTCTTCCTTATTGGGAACGGACGCCTCCAGGAACAGGACGATATCAAACCAGCGGCGTTTCAGCCAAGCATGCATTTTTCCCGCGACGATGAAATGATCGACAGGTTCTCTCGTCACTCCCCCGCAAACGCCCAGTCCTTCATCCTGTCGAGGCGTCGGTTCTTATGCCGATGTTCAGCCTGAAGAGGCCGGCGGGCGTGGCGTGGCATACAGCGTGGCGTCCTGCAGGACGAAGCATGTGTTTCGGGACAGGCATTGAAATGCCGGCGGAGGATGCTGTATTCCGTGATTGCTGCGATGTCTGTGATCGACATCGCAGTTTGATTAAGTCGGCAAGTGGTCGACGAGAGCTTGCCGGCCACTTATGTACATATCTCAGACCCCCTGCTGAAGACTGTGGGCTATGCTGCCGGTTGTTTAGAAGACCCAGAACTGGCAATATCCCATGTGGATACACCCACAGGAGCTGTTTGGACTTGTTGGACTCTGCTGCAGCCACGGAGCATCTAGCGTTTCAAGCCGTGGGTACAATGGGACAATGGGTCCACGGCTAACTCCGTCCCGCTGGCCTTACGGACCCTTCATAGACCTCATGGCGTTGTACGGAGTAAGTAACTACGGAGTAGATCGTATGACCATCCTCGTCGACCTGCCGCATCCAGGGCCGGTCTAGAAGTCGCATTCAAAACATCCACCGCATTTAGGAAGTGCTTTCATTAAAGGGTATATGTATAAGGTAAATTATAAGTATATCAAACGTCTCCACTACGAAGGCCGGCCCAAGATCGATCCAGCGAACCAGACAGCCGCACATACGCCCAGCACCGACGCCCCAAGTGCTCTCTTTTCCCAGGGAGTCTCCCCTGCCATCTTAGCCGGCTGCACCGCTTCTCTACGGGAACTGCGATGCAGCTCGACTGATTCAGAGCGGCCTAACGGAGGCTCGGTGACGCTGGCCGTGCCGTTGAACGTCGCAAAATATTCTCGGTCGCGGGCACGCCATTTCTCCACCAGCCTGGCGATCTCCAGCAGATCCTCCTTGAGCGAACCGGGCTCCGTCGCATTGGCATTCTCGACCTCGATGTTCTGCACGTTCCCAAAGAAATCCACCACCGTCCGCAGACGACCCTCGGGCTCACCACCGGGGAAGAGATCCCACCGCACCCCCGGCTGAGAATGGATCTTGGCTTCGTCATACGAGTCGAACAGGTCGCCCAGCGTGAGCTTCGAATTGGCGCTGGTGACCTGCGTCTCGAGGAACTCGAGCACGTAGTACGTCCAGCGGTCGATGACGGCGACGCCGACGTCGTTGTCGGCATGGTGCGAGTAGGACGATTCGTCGAGGGCGCTCGAGCCGGTGGCGATGATGTTGGGCGAGTAGAAATGCGTGTACATGGTGTTAGCCTGGCACGTGTCGATCATGAACAGCAGCTCATGGTAGCGTTTCTTCTCCCACATCTGGCCGAACGCATCGGCCAGATCCCACGCGCCGATTTCCTCCGCGTCCTGGAACTTCAGGAACTGGTCGCCGCCGTGGCCGGTCATGTAGACGAGCACGTTGCTGCCCGCGTCCGACCCGAGACGCTTGCTGCGCGGCACGTCTTCATCCAGCCGGTCGGTCAGCAGCCGGATGAAGTTCTCGACCGTCACCTCGTAGCCGCGGTAGTCCACCTCGATGTTGTCACCGTAGAGATCGACCGCGCGATCGGCGTTGCTGTAGACCGTGCCCGGGAAGGCGTTTCGAGGGTTGCATGCCATGTCATCAGGCAGCATCAGGATGATCTGGGAGTCGGGAATCCCGAGACGCTTGACGGTGCGATAGAGGGAGAGGACATTGGCGAGATGGCGGTAGTTGAACCAGAAACGCGAGGTTGAGACGAGAACGGCCCAGTTGGAGGTGTGTTCGGAGGAGACGAGGGTGAGAAGGAGGGAGAGGAGGAGGGCTGGGAAAAGCCCGCGAAAATGTAACATGATGAACAATTATCAAAGCATAATCGAAGAAAGACGAGGAAAGGGACTGGAAGCGAATGGAGGTGGAGAGAATGAAGCTGGTGCAGTGGTGGTGGTGATGGTTGCGATGAGGTGGTGGTTGTGGCTTACTCATGTTCATGCCTTAGGCAGAACATTTTCTACAAGTGTTCTCAACCAGCTTATTGAACAGCGACATTCTATGCGCAAACAATGGGATCTATGGATCAACTATCTGGCTAGACATGAACGGCATCACAGACACAATCACAACTTCCATTCAGTCGATTTGGGGACATCATACTCCGCATTCCCTGTAAACATCGGGACGGCATTCACTCTTCCCTCCCATCTGTCAGCAGAAAGCATGGGAGCGGTGCAGTAAGGCTCAATATTGAAGCTATCCAGATGCTCATCCAGACGATTCAGGACCGCATCAGCCGCCTTGCATTCCATCTCAAACTGGGCCTCCCTATTGATTCCAAGCTTCTCAACATACCAAGCAGGGTCACTCTTCACTGCCCCAGCCTCATATAAACCAAGAATGTCACCATCTACTCCCGCATCGAGAGCTGCTTCGTAGGCCATGCGCTGTCCAATAGCCAGTACCATCTGTCGACACTGCGGGAGGACATAGCGGTTGTATTGGTCTCCTCGATGTCCAGTGGAGTTTTTCAGACGATCTACCAGTTCCGCGACAAACCCTGCCTCGTGCTTCGCCAAAAGGCAATCAGGCCTTTGGGCTGCTGGAAGGCTATACCGTCCCAGTAGTAGCTCAGTAGCGAGGCCTGTGGGGTTTAGTGCGACATTCATATCAACATGACCAAAACCTACGGATAGACACGACCAAGACTTCACCCTCAGCGATACTAGTCACGCGAGATAGGCTCTGATTTGGTCAGGATGAGATAGACAGATTGGTAAAGGGCAACGCATACCTCGAATGTTCCCAGCTGATTGTGAGGGCACATTCCCTGCGCACCACTCCGTTCAATCAAGTCACTCAAACTTCCCTGTGAGTTCTGTAGAAATACAGCCTTCACAATCACCCCAAGTCCATGTTTAGCTGCCGGATGAAGGGAAGGATTGTTGTACTGTTCAGTCACCCACAGCGCGAAAGTTTCCATGACGGCCACCTGGGCTAACGCATGTAGTACTGGAAGTTGCTGGGTTCTGAAGGAGATGATCGGGGCTCGTTCTCCATGGACTCCCTGTTGCACCGTGCGGTTCTGACTGTACTTTCCAACAATAAACGATGCACATTTTAGAAACGGAATCATCCAGAGGCTGAGGCATAGGGCACCCGTACTGAGCCGGTGAATGGCAGAAAGAAAGTGATCTCGCATGTTGGTCGGCTTTGCTAAGTCTCCCAGCAACGCAGACGGAGGCAAATGAACACCCTCGAACGATGTGAGACCATGATCAAGCTGCCTACCACCTGTAATCTCGGGGAGGAGCCTACCAAGCCGTTAATGCCGGTCAATATATTGTCCTTGCCTTGATGACCTACCACGACTTGACTCCTTTGACCATCTGATGCCCATCGTTAATGGGGACTATGAAAGGCCGAAGACCCCGGTCTTCCCCGTTCACCAAGAGGCGCGCAAAGACTACGGCGACTCGTCGAATTCCCGCCACCGGCATCGATGGTGGCATGAACCTGGATCCGATCAGTTCTGTAACTCCCATGCAGCGGTAAGTACATACTTTGTTGCAGCACGTGTAGGCGTATTGAGAAGGAAGCTGCCGTCAGGTTGCCAGGTAGCTGTGGTTTCGATATTTCGCGCATCACACCCATGGCCGAGTTCACTAAGCATAAAAGGGCACCTATTGGAGGTAGTTCAGCTGGGGCCCTGCTAATGTTGTTTGAGGAAGTATATACGAGACATCAAAATTCAGTATTTCATCCATCAAAGGCCGAAGGTCTTGTCTCTGTACAGCGAACGGCGCAACTGTCCCTGCCACCAGATTGTACTGGATAGTGAGTAGCATGTGTGCCGTTGTATCTCGAACAATTATGTTGTCCATGTGAGCGCGCCAGAACTTCGGGGTTGAGTGAAGGATATCGTCTATAGTCATTCCTGATCCTTGTCAGCCTGAGCATATTGGAATTTCTGTTGGCTCAACAAACCGTAGTGACGCCCAACTGACCGAGCCCGGTGATATGAACGCTCCAAATGCTCGAGGCGCGGGGCATCCTCATAGTGATGTGCGAACAGAGGAGATGAGAGGAGATTGACCGTGGAAGGATACATGGCTCTACAGCCTCGTTCAAACAACTTCTAATGTTATAGAATTGGCATTCGTGCAATCGAGTGAGGGCTGTTATGCCAGCCATAATATGCCACTGTCCAAGGTTTTTACTTCAAAAAGCAAAAAGTATATGATACAACGATAGCGCCACTTCGTCATTCCTCTACGTTGGAATTAGAAACCCGTCGATATATTCTCCACCATCGGAGCTAGAAGTCGGAAGAGGATTACCGTTACAACTGTCTCTACGATTAGACGCCATTCATCAGAGACAATATCGATAGTTTATGTGGGTACAAAACACGTTCCACAGCGCAAAGGACATGACGAGGCAGCAGCACATGTATCTGTAAAGAATGAATATCTGTACTGGAATTAGAAAGTTCACATACACGCTGGCCCACCAGTGTAATAAGTTGTTATGTCTTCTTCAACGGTCAACAATTGCTACTATACACCTACTATCAATTATAGTTGAGCAAAGATCCAAGATCTATCTCAGACACCTAGCGATCCACGCCTGAGCCCAAGTCATGGCAAGTATGCCAGCCCATGTGGAAACCAAGGTTTGCAGCCAGGAAAATATTGTCATTTACGAACTTTATAATCCTGATTTGGACCCGTATCCCTCCCAAATCAGTAGGGATGAGAGGAATGACGATTATTGCGGAGGGCTAGATGACGCTCTGCCGTGGGAAATGTACAGGATACATCACAGGTCCATCCTCATCTGACCCCATTATATGCTTAGCACGTCATTTACGTTTACCAGAGCCCGTAACTATTCATCTCAGCCGTCTGGTTCTGCAGAAAACATGTCCACTGACAGTGGCTCCCTAACACTCTATAACATATGCAACAGCATCCATTCATGTTTGTCCACGAACGGCAGACCGAATGCGGTTTCTCACAATTTAAAGCAATTCGAAGACGGTAGTCAGTGTTGTGAGGTTGCTAGATTAGAACAGTAGATTGTTAATTGGATACGTGTTGACAGCATACAGAGCAAGCAGACGTTCTATATCATAAGCAACAAATCGTACTCCACGCACCCTCAACCCCTACTCCAAAATTCACCCATTTCTTACCTGGTCGGCAACTTCTGCAACCGAGTCCGGGTTCATCAACTACATCCCTGTATCAGATAACTCGGTTCACTCTATATCACGTTGGATCACTCACCGTAGACAAATCCCCCAAATCCTGCTCGCCACCGGCAATTCGCCGCAGAATCCGGCGCATTATCTTGCCGCTGCGAGTTTTTGGCAGGTCACTGACAAGAAAGATAGACTTTGGTGCCGCAAAAGAGCCGATAGCTGTCCGGACTCCTTTGCGAACCTCGTCATGTGTACTTTCATCGGTCCGTGGGTCTGACTTTGCTGATACAAAAGCATTCAAGGAATGTCCCGTCACCTTGTCTGGCACGCCGACTACAGCTGTTTCGATGGCTTGCTCTATGGCCTTGTCAGCAGAGTCGGGTTGAAGCGTGAGGCGGGTGTCATACCATGATCGAGGATGACAGCTTCGATTTCCGCGGTGGAAATTCGATGGCCCGAGACGTTGACGATATCATCTGCTCGACCCTTGATCCAATAAAATCCGTCTTTGTCACGACTTGCCAGGTCGCCGGTGAACTAGGGTATATGGTGAGAAATGTGATAATGCGTGCGGGAGTTGACAAACCCACGTAGTACCCCGGGTATCTACTGAAATATGTATCCATGTACAGCTCGTGAGCTCCCCAAATGGTGCGAGCCATGCTGGGCCACGGCTGTTTGATGACCAGAGCTCCCTCGTCATCATGTTCAGTCACCTCCTTCCCTGAACCAGGATCTAAAATTGCCGGCTTGATCCCAAAGAACGGTAGGGACACGCTCCCTGGCTTGGTAGGGGTGATGCCGGCCAGCGGGGCGACCAGGTGGGAGCCCGTTTCTGTCTGCCAGTAGGTCTAGAGAATCGAATAACTGCGTCAGTCTGGTACAGCACAAGGCTCTGCTTTGGTGGATTCTCACATCAAGCACACACCCTTCCCCATCCCCCACGGCGCCGGAATACCAGTCCCAGACCTCTGGTGCAATCGGCTCGCCAGCTGTGCACAACACGCGGAGATCCTTCATCTCGTAGCCATCCATGCAATCATTCCCCGCGTTCTTGAGGACGCGCAGAGCAGTTGGCGCAGCGCAGAGATGCGTGATCCCATGCTTCTCAATAATATCCCAGTACCTGGACGGGGTCGGATACGTCGGGGTACCCTCAAACACCGTCGTCGCGCACCCAAGTAGCAGGGGCGCGTAGACGGTATACGTGTGCCCGGTGATCCAACCCACGTCCGCCGAACAGAACATGCGATCGTCCCTGTGGATGTTGAAGGTGTATTTCCCCGAGGCGGCGGCGCCCACGAGATAGCCCGCTGTGGTATGCAGAATGCCTTTCGGTTTGCCTGTGGATCCAGACGTGTAGATTAGGAATAGAGGGTCTTCGGCACCCATTGCCTCCGGGGCGAGATAAATGGGAGCTTTTACGATCTCTTCATGCCACCAGAAGTCCCGTCCGCGGACCCAGTCGACCGCAGTGTCCGTCCGACGGAATGCTATAACCGCCCTTACAAACGGACATTCTTGCAGTGCGTGGTCAACGATGGATTTGGTGTTGATGCGCTTCCCCCCGCGCTGACCATAGTCTGAAGTGAGAACCACGTTTGACCCGGCGTCTTGGATGCGCTCTGCGAGCGAGGCGGAGGAAAAGCCGGAGAAAACCACAGAGTGGATAGCCCCGAGGCGGGCGCACGCCAGCATAGCCACTATGACCTGAGAGCAGTTCGGCATGTAAATCGTGACGGTGTCGCCCTTTTGCACCCCGTGCTGGCGGAGGACCCATGCTAGCTGTGACACATCCCGAAGCAAGTCGCCGTATGTCACTGTGCCGCTGTTGTTGGGCTCGTCTGCTTCGTAGATTATAGCGGGTTTGTTGGGATGGCGCAATGCATGCCGGTCAACGCAGTTGTAACATGCGTTTAGCAAGCCGTCCGGGAACCAGGCATTTTTCCCTTGCTCCATGCAGCCAGTATAGGTCGTCTGGAAGTCTTTGTCGAAGGCTAGTAGACTGCGGGCTGTACGCGCCCAAAAAGTCTCTGGTGATTTAGTGGATTCTTCGTAAAGTCGCTGGTACTCATCAAAGTCTTTCAAGTGTGTATGTGTTGACATTGTTGCAAGAGGCTTTTGTATGGGTGTCTAATGGTTCGTAACGGTCGATATTCTCGATAGTCGTTTTTATTAAAGAGAGAATAAGTAGATAAATCGAGAATGAACACTCCACCTTGCTGATATAGTGCAAGTCATAGTGGCGAAAGCATCATTGGCTGTGTTTTCCTGTTGTCCGAATACGTCGATTCGCATGACGTGAATCGATTCTTTTGAGCTTTTCGAACCAGGAAGCGCCCTGGTGTCCATTGGAGAAGCAAGTAATCCTGTAATTAGCAGGTTAGAACCAGGGCAAATGAGTCTGTCCGGCCCAATGGACGGAGCTGCAGAATATAGCCATGCTGTCTGTAGCAGTCATTGGCGGGTAGTATCGTATGCGATCATACTTTCAAGCCACTTACGGTTAAGGGGCAAAAGCAGCTCTACTCAGGTGTAATGATTCAATTCAGGTCTAGATTCGACATGCAGTGATATCTACAGTGGACTGGGGCAAAGCTCTGGGGCGAGGTAACACGGGGCAATCTTGATTGATTGACATGTGTCTGGCCGCTTCTTCATTTAACAATTGCATGACTCTCTGGTGTATGATGCTACAATGCATTATAGAGCTAAGTACAAGTAGGTATGGACTACAAAGTTGCAGCGCTAGCTCTAGGCAGTTCTATATCAACAGTCCACGATGGATGTACAGGATGGTCAATGGTACCCTCCATAGCAGCATTGACAAACAGCGTCTGCGCACCCCGTTGCAATGGAACAGGATCACCAGAGCAGTGGCTTGTCTGACACGTCCTCATCGCACCCGGACAGATGCCCGAGAGTTTCTCGATAACGACCGATTTCCCATTATCAATATCCGTCAAATGCGACGGGGTCTCGCCGATTTGCCGTCGCCATGCTACTATCTTCGCCCCCCAGCCTTCGTGGATATGACCGAAGCAATGCATCAAGGGCTTAACCCGCGCGACAGCGGCATACAGGCTGGAACAACCGGCCCTGCTTCCGGAATCCGCAACATCCATTATGCCCCTCGGAGGACCATGCGTCATCACCACGTCCACGTCGCGGATATCGAAGCGGTGGCCTTGATCTGGGTGATATTGGAACCCCCAGTCGCCAAGGGAAGGGGTGTATGGACTGGCGTATAATGTCAATAACGCACCGTTCTGCAAAGTGAATGTGTGAGTCCCTTCGTCTAATAGGATGATTCCTTTTGTGTGTTCCTTCATTAAGAGCTTTTTCGCGTCGCCGAAGTCGCCGTACACGGTATTCACCAAGTCACGATCAGCACCCTCCGACAGGCCGGCCTTTGTGACCTTTTCCTGGAAGGTCAGTGTGTCGAGGGTGAAGTCGTGATTCCCGGCTATAACCAGTTTGAGAGGGGCGTTGATGCTCTCGAGCATGTGCAGGGAAGCGTCGAACTCGTCGAGCTTGGATTCGGTAGTAATATCGCCGCAGTGGAGTACGACATCTGCGTGTTGGTTCGTAAGGTGCTCGCTAAGGTCGAGACCGTGTGTGTCTGAGAGGATGAGGAATCGGGTCTTGATCTTTGACGTTTTCTCCATCGTCATGATATAGGCGCAGCGCTTTGCGCGAGGATGAATGGGAAGTAATAGATAGAGGTACGGGGAGGTACGTAGAAGGGGGCAGGATGCATTTATAGTGCAATCACACGTGATGATATACTTCAGTAAAAACATGATCAAATTGACGTCGGCAGAACATAAGGGAGTCATCCCCAGGATCTATAGTAAGCCGGCAAGATCAATTCATTCACATAAGATCCCTTGTCAGAATTCTGTTCTATTCCCCGGACATACATGCAACTCTATCATACCAATGCCAACAGATCTAATCAATGACCACCGGCGACGAAGCATCCCCATCCTTCGCCTCAGCCTCTCGCGACTTCTTAAAGATAAACCCAATCTTATTGCCCTCCCCTTTCAACACCGACAGCAGCACATCGTCATCGACCGCCTGTTCGATCTCCGCAGATCCATCCCCACCAAGCAGATGAGGGTCGATATGCACATAATGTGAAAGTGATTGCTGCATCTTATTCTTATTATCAGGCTTTCCATTACCGCTCGTGCTCGCCTTCTCGCCGGTCCTGCGGACGGGAGGCTTGCCACGTCGGCTTCGGATCATCTGCTCCTGTTTCTCCATGTCTACCTCCGACGCTTTGATGAGCGACGGCAGGTCGGGGAAGTCTTCATCTTCGTCTGCTGAGTCGATCACACACGGTGAGCTGCTTCCATTCGAGTCCACTATGGGCTCGGCTCGACGATCCGGCGAGGCGGATTTGACTCCTCTCCCGCCGCAATCACAACCAAGCAGTTCATGTGTCTGACACCGGCTCTCCTGATCCAATCTGAACAGATCCCGCAGCTCATCGCGGGAAAACTGCGCCATGCCGTCCTTGTGCTCCATGACGCTGTCCGCAAGCCCAAGCTTCGTGACCTGACGCTGCCAGATCTTCTCCTCAAGACTACCTTTCAGCAGGATGCGGTAGATCCGACAAGCTCGTTTTTGGCCATCGCGGTGGATTCGCGCCATAGCCTGGATATCAGTGGCCGGATTCCAGTCAACATCGAACAGCACCAGACGACTGGCCCCAATGAGGTTCAACCCCGTGCCACCGGCTTTGGCGGATAGGAGAAATGCGAAGGATCGGTCAGCCGGAAGACGGTTGAAGTCTTCAACGAGGGACTGTCGCTTCTGCGCGGGAGTCGAACCATCAAGACGGAGGAATGGTAGGGAGAGGGCGGTGAGAAGGGTTGCAAGGAGGTTCAGGGTAGAGGTGTAATTAGAGACAAGCACAATCTTTTCCGATGTGGTTGTATGCAGCTTGTACAGCAGCTGGTCCAGCACACGAACTTTCGCGCTGGATGAAGGGGAAAAGTGTCTGAGCAAATTTGACGGCAATGAAGCTAACAGAGCAGCAACAGTCTCGCTGGGCGCCTGGTCTTTGTTGTTTTTCGGTGACAGAAGCGACGGACTGTTGCATAGTTTCTTCAGAATAGTGATAAGCTGTAAAGCACTTTCGGCGTTGCCAATCACGCTCTGAAACACCGGCGACGCAAGCACATTCTGATAGATATTCGCCTGCGTCGGCGTCGGGTCACAGAACAAGACATATTCCGTCTTTGGCGGCAGATAATCAGCCAGGATATCCGCCGTTCTGCGCAGAATGAACTTCGACGTCAGCTCTCGGAGCTCTTCATTCCGGGCCTCGCCTTTCTCGATGTCTTTCTCCGTCGCCTCCGGCTGTCTTCTCCGCACGATGGGCCCTTCAAACTCCCGGATGAAAGACTTGAACGTCCCCAGGACACCCGGATTGACAAGATCCACAGCAGCGAAGAACTCCTTCAGGTCGTTCTGGATCGGCGTCCCCGAAAGGATCACCCGCTTGTTTGCATTGAGCGACTGAATCGCCTGCCCGCTTTTATTCTGCAGCGTCTTCAACCGGTGGCCCTCATCCGCGATGATAATGTCGACCCCAGCGCCTTTGGCGAGGTTCTCCTGCACAGACCGCAACTTCTCATACCCGACAATCATAATATTATACGCCCGGCCCATAGTAAAATCCGTCAGGCGCTTGCGCTTGTCGTCGTAGACGAAGACGCCTATCCGCTCGTTGCCGAGCCATTTGCGAAACTCCCTGCGCCAGTTGTTGATCAGCGTGACAGGGCACACAATCAGCGCCTTCTTCACCACCGGCGGACTCTCGTACACTGGGTTCTGCTTCAGCAGCGTCCACAGAAGCGTAATGGTCTGCAGCGTCTTCCCCAGTCCCATATCATCCGCTAGAATCGCCCCTTCGCCGTTGAAATCCCGCATCCCCATCACGCACTCGTAGAGAAACTTCACCCCCTCCCGCTGATGCGGGCGCAGATGCTTCGCCAGGATGGGGTCCACGACCACATCCACGATCTGCTTCCCCTTCGGCACGGAGGACGGCCGCGGCATCACCAGCGCGCCTGGCTGGGTTGGGTCGTGTCGCGGCACAGGACAAGCGACGGGAGCGATGGGCGCCGCAGTGCTTTCCCGGAGGGGGTTCTTGAACGCATTGGATAGAATACCAGGTCTCGAAGATGCAGGGTTAGCGATCCGTTCTTTCTTTGAATGCTTCGCGGGGTCTGGGACACCAGACGCAGCCAATGTCGAAGAACTGGTTTTCCGACCCAAACCCGTCCCAGTCGTCTTCTTCGGCACGGAAGCCGTCGCTGGAGAAGGGATCTCCCTGGTCTGTAGAAATTGCTTCCCGGACAAGTACTCTTTCCGGGGTATCTCCGACTCAATCTCGACTTCCTTCCCGCTGATTGACAGCATCACGCCGGGCTCAAGTCGCGAGCCGTGCATTGTTCGACCCATATCTTTCCCCGAGACATCTTGCAGGTAGACGTATCCGTCGCGCGCGGTGAGCGTACCGTCGCCGTCCCATGTTTTGTTCTTTTTCGTTGTCGGCTTGCGCCTGGACGTGCATCAGTTCCCGTCTCTCTCTGATGGAACGGGAGTCTTACCACAAAACGTTGAAGTATCGGGGTTGTGCCGAGTCGTTTGTGCTCGTCTCTGGTGAGCCACTGAGGTTTTCGACCTGGACTAATGGTTTCCTCTCGTCCAGACGAGGCTTCTTTGCAGGCGGGCCATGGCTGTCGCGGTCCGCATGTGTAGCTGAGGATGGAGAGTTAGAGGATGGCTGTGATGATTTCCTTAACAAAGGAGGTTTGAACGGCTTAAAGACCATAGCTGGCGAGGTCTCATTCCGCTGTTCTGGTGGCATTGAGACTGGCTGCAGGCTCGGGATAGTCTGACGCGTTACGGGAACGCGTGGTCACGTGGTATTGTCTGGTTGCCAGTTATGGAAATCGCCCACAGTCGGCATAGATCGAAATACACTCACTACGAGTTATGGGAGAATTGGTTTAAAGCCTAAACTTGATGTCAAAAAGCGAAAATTTTATTTTCAACCCAAACAGCACGGATATCTCTCTAGGAAATTAAATGGCTATATATACAGATCGTCTGAGTGACCGTAGCTTGAACGTAAGCAATGCGGGTAATCGAGATCATGAACAGCATGAAGTGAAGGACATTAGAAGGGTAGTTGTATATCAAAAGTAGTCGCCGCAGATTTCGCTCGCCGAGCGTTTATTTCGCATCATCCATCAGCACCTTGTCCGTCAGAGGCACGAATTTGGGTCCCTCATAAGAGCCCTGGCGGATGAACCACCAGATGGCCACAAAGATCGTAAGACCGCCCGTCATCAGACTGGCGTAGTTCATAGACTGGGCATCGGTCGGCAGCGCATATGGGAAGCAGAAGATGACCACGAAGGCGAGAATGTACACGCAACTGAGAGCGTTGAGGACATAGCCGATCTTACCCATCCAGAAATATCCGGGAACGAAGCTCGAACGACGGGTCAGGATATGGGGGAAGATGGCGGCAAAGTACGAAAGACTGGAAAGTTGCACGAAGCATCCAACAAAGGCGCTGAACGCAGTCGAGGAGCCGACGTAGATGCACGCAAGGATGGTGACGATCACACCGCAGACGAGGGTGGCGTTGAAGGGGTTGTGCATGCGAGTGTTGACACGGGACAGCCAGCGGGAGCATGGGGTCGCTCGGTCACGAGAGATGGTCCACAGGGTTCGGCCGGCGGTGATATAGCAACCGGCGCAAGTGATGACGGTGGGCAGGAAAGCCACGATGAGGAGACCAAGGGCGCCTCCGCGGGATCCAGTCGCTTGATGGTAGATTTCGGCGAGAGGAAAACCGTAGACACTGTTGATGACGGCATCGAGGTCGTTAATGGAGTAGAAGACGGCAACCATGTAGACGATGCCGGTCACGAAACCAATGGACATCTGGGCGAGGACAGCCTTGGGGACATTCCGGGAGGGCCTATGACGACAGGTTAGTTATCGAGTTTTGAGAGATACAATGTCCACCAATACGTACTTGGGAATTTCTTCGGCAAGATGAGTTGAGCAATCAGGCGTGCCAACACTGTACGCGCCGTTGAGCATACCAGCGACGAAGACGAATCCCTGGCTAGAATAGCCGGTGCCATTGGTCCAGGTCTGCCACACGTTGGTATCCGAAGCATATCCAGTGCCGTTCACATGCGGCATCACAGCGCAGACAATAATGGTGATGAACACGCCGGCCAAGATAAAGAACGCTCCGAGGTTTCCAATATGGGGCAGGAACCGGTTCATAAACAGGACGGTGCAACAGCACATCCAGGTGCAGATGATCATGCTGATGAAAATGTGCCACGCCTGTGGAGTGAAACCCGGGTGCATGAGAGCATACATGGAGACGGTCTGTTGGCCCAGGATGAGGGACATGGAGGCGGCACCGAGGATCCAGGCAAGGCAGTTCCAGAAACCGGCGAAGAAACCACAGGGGCGACCATACTTTCCAGCAGTAATCGTAGCCCAGTGGTAGACTAAGACGAGGTCAGGAAATCGGTCAGTAGGCGGAAGAGGAGCTAACATACCACCACTAGCCGAAGGCATGCCGGAGGCGAGTTCGGCAATCGAAGCCGCCACCAACCAGTAGCATACCGAGACGGCGATGCTAAGTCAGAGTTAGTATATGATCAGTGACAAGGTACATTGGACAGAAGCTGCATACAACTCATAGATAACACCAGACGGACCGCCGTTGTACAACGCGGTAACCAAACTACCACCCTGGGCGATCCAGGTGTTTCCCGTCGTAACGGCGACGGCACAGATACTGAGAAGACTGAAGTTGCGCTCGAGTTCCTGTTGGTGACCGGAAGCGTTGACCAATTCGACGGAAGGACGTTCCTCTGAGCCGGTCTCAACGGCTGCGACCTTCTTGGCCGATTCAATGGTGTCCAACTCCATGGTGGATGATGGGTCCATTTTCAATCGATCGGAGGCGACCAGAGACTATAAGGAGAAGCGGAGCTCGAGATAAGGTTGACCAAGGGTGACGTCGCGGGATGGTAAGCCGACTGGAGTCGTATAGAACGCGGGGTGAGAGATTCCTAGGGCGGGGGGTGTCGAAAGAAGGGACGGTGTATACAAGTCGAGGGAGAGAGGTATTTAAAAGGGACGACCGAGCATGATTTGCGACAGGAGACACCGATGGGAAGGGCGAAGAGAGAACGAGAGGCCAACACCACCGTTGGAAAAGAACGACGATGATGGTGGTGGTGGTGTAGGGAGTTTATAGGAAGTCCAGGGATGAGAGGCAGAGGTACACCAAGCAATACTGGAGGACCCAGGTGCTAAGTACAAGTGGGTCCCTTGGAAATCTCGGAGGCGCGATGTTCATCTACCGCCAATCAATGAGGCAGAAGACGGGTGGGCTTTCCCCAAACGGGGGAAGGTGGGGGTGTTCAACATCAATGATTGGCTACACGTGATGGCGATGAACAGGGGGGACGCGGAGAGACGCTAAACCCAGAGGGGGAGCTTCAGCAGAAGGCCTTATCATTTGCTTTCTACTCCGATATACTAGGTATCAGGGTCGTGATTATGGAGGGTCTGTAGATGTGACTTGCACCAGATTTCAAACTCTCCCCACACTGTCGCAGTTCCTCTTAAGTAATTTTTTGCTTTAGAGATCGGAACATATGGGGAACACCCACTGTCTGTGTTATCAGGTGGGCGGATAAGGGACGGGTATTGCTGATCATAAAAATCACACAACAATATTTAATACTGGAGGACAGCGAACAATCCCATTTTGTGTCCTCGCGCGTTCTCGACCTTTCCATCCTTGGCGAAGGATTTTTCCTGCCTTTTTCCCGTTGACGCGCGCCACAAACATCCCGCTAGATGAATTAATTAATGAATGTGAATCTAGAATTTTAGTCCAGTCATCACTAACGTCTAAGTTTTCACCCGGTAGCACTATACCACCTTATTACTAACAAAATCCCCCTAAGGACGGAGGACCTACTTTAGTTAACTAGGGACCCCCGGGGCAGCTCCCCCCGATAGTGTCAGCATTCGAACCACGGCTTGCCGCTTGCCACCAGCGAAGTGAGATTCATGGAACGGCCGGTGGAGTCGCTGGGGCCCCAACTTTATTTGGGGCCAATGACAGCCGCCCCTCAGCGGAGCCCTTTATCAGGCGGGAGAGATTAGCACTCGGAATTACTCATTCCTCCCTAGTCGGACGGAGATGGGCACGAGAAATACCTCGCGATTGTCGCCCACGAGGTGTCTATCCGCGAACGGTTGATTTTGAAATGCTTGGTATGGTTGACAAGTCATGATGGATGATCTTCAGGTACGTAGAACTTATAGTTACCAAGGCACGGCATTCATCAGGAGGCGTTGACCGCTGACGGGCGGTATAGTGCTGACGAATTTATAGTTATGAAGGAGCGACCAGGGTAGCGACAAGCGACACTAGGCCTTCAGCCATCGTGCCATCTGTTCCACGGCCTGAAGAGTCCAGCCTACGGAGTGCTACAAAATAGTACTACTAAACAGTTGCGTCTACTTGTACGCTACTTGGGCACTACGTCCGGTCCTACCTCTAGGGTGAGGCTATACACCCCACCGATGAGACAATTCCCTACGGAGTACGCCCTACCACCAAGGCTGCAGTTGTCCGGACTTCACCGAGCATACATAGTCCCATCAAGTGCTGAAGAAGGCTGAACTAGCGTTGTGGCTAGGACTACTGACGCCTCGATTTCACCACTGTTAATATATCAAAGTTCGAGACCGAGTCTGGCAATTTGGCCGCGTAGGAGCAATATATTGTTAATCACCTGTGCAGCCATTGTGGGCGCCGGCGTCTCCTAGTTCCATCGTTTCACCAGTGGTGAGACATACGAACCAAATATACCTACGATATTTGGGTAATAGGAGATACGAAAAACTCCCTCGGAATACCCGAGAATCACTCGAGTCAGTGAACAAGGCCCGATCACATCGCGCACGCACTGATCACCGGCACGATGTCGGACCACGCACAGGCGAATTCCAAATCCAAATGTAGCGGAGAGGGTCAAGCTGAAATACTATGGAGTCCAGAGTAGAGGAACATGCAATAAGAATAGCCGAGGCAGCAGTGGTGCTGGTCTCGATCGGGGCAAAATGGACTAAAAATCTCAGATCGTGCTGGCCGGGCGCTGAAGCTTGTCATAGGTGCATCGGACAGGCCATCCCTGCATGCCAAGCATCGTCTGAATCGACTGTTCAGGACATCGTCTAGACTAACTATATTTCGAGTGCTTTACCGACCAGTTCTGTTCAAGACGGAGGGTTTCCGAGTTCGACCGAGATACACTCATGTAGTGGTGTGCTGAGGTTCGTTGTATGATTGGCGCGGTTGAGTGGAAAATTGAATTCGTCCCAGGACGCTTGGTTCAATATAGTCGGCTATGAATCTAGTTGGGTCGGAGGTAATGATTCCGAGTTGTTTCTATTGTGTTTTATGTGCGATCAACGTGGTTAGTGTCCTCATCATCAACCCGTCTGCCAAGGGAGATCGTGGTATTCCAGCTGCCAGATCTTAGCGTGTCCGAGGTGTTAGTCCGTGCGCTCGTCTACTATTCTCATTCATAGGTTCTACGGAGTAAGTATACATAATTCTCATCCCAAGGTTGCATGATGAGTTTCTCCTTTTCTAGAAAGATTCTGAGAAGATGTCCCATGTCTGTCTCATGTCTGGCCAGATCATGTACGTCAGACGGGCGCAGAGCCAAGGGACGACCAAGTATGGTAGGGTCGAATCACATCCCGGCGCCGAACCCAATACATTGGGTCGTCGGTGCAACGCAACGCACCCCCCGATAATAATACCTAGGCAATACCTTTCGCTTCCCCTGACCCACCGTGAATTGGATTTCACTCAGTGTGAAACCTGCCGGGATGAGGATCCTGGCCTTTGCTTGACAATTCTAAACGACGTGCCTATTATTGGTTTTTATTAGTGCCTCTGGACTGCCTGGCGTCGGCTACAGAGAACACGGGATGTACTCCGGAGTATAGTACATATGTGCGGAGCACGGAGTATAACTGCACAGGATAATTGCATAGTCCAGCCGATCCCCTCGCTTGATTCATGCTTTGAAAGAGAGAGGATCTTCGCAGGCGAGGGACGATCGCCTCGTGGGGAGAAGCCATTGGCAAATACTGAGAATAATACTGCCGGTAGATAAGCCGGTGCTGCAACCCAAGAGGGAAAAGGATGAGCTGATGCAGCCTCGCTCGATCAGGAATGGGCGCAACATTAACTTGCAACTAATGCGACTCCACCCGCAAGACCGGAGCTTCCTCTAATTTCAGTGGATGGAACAATAATAATAGCAAGAGAATATTATTGTTCTTCTCTCTATGGAGTAGCCTCCCGCCACTATTGATCGCTTGGTTACCTGACGTGGGAATCCGCCCATCCCACTCGCGGTGGGGTTCGCCTCTGGCCTTTCAGGTCCCCAGAGACCGCCTGCGCCCTGATCGGAGAGTGTTCACCCAGCTGGTTAGACATCCGTCCAGTGCACTGACTGGTCAGTCCTCTTCTTCCAAACTTTGCGGTCCGTAGAAAATTCAAAAAAAGGAGACTAGCAGTGGAATCAGTCCATGAGTCCACGGATGAATTGCCCATGCTCTGGCAGTCTGGTGGCCCCGCATCGCAACTATCTACATTCGGATGCGTCTGAGCCATGGAACATCCGGGTTCATCTTTTTGTAATTTCGAATTTTGCGACTCAACCTCTCAGCGGTCTCCAACACCCCGGGAAAAAGGCGTGGATGGTCCTCCAGGATTCTCGTCCATCCCCAATAGTGTTCGTCTCTCCTCTCAATCCAGCATCCGGATTGACTCCGCCGTCTGCATCCCCTCGCCAAATGTGCCGATTATTGCCCTGAGCTTATCTCTGCAGGATGTACGTGCTGGCCCTTACTTATATTACCCACGAGCTGCCCTTGTCCCTTGCATACATCCCTGGTCCTCGTGCTTTTCCCCCTCCATGAACCTCAATTGACTGGCCCCTCTTCGGGTTTAGGTTGCACGCCGACAAGATGGCCAGTCTAGGTCCAGCCTATGGACGCGCCTTTGCAAAGGAGACATGGACCCTGTACGGGGTGGGAATACTGGGGGTGATTCTGCGATTGTAAGTTTTCTTTGAATCATGCGTGGTATACGGATTCATATACCTCGATCTCGTCACTGACTCATTGTCTTTCTTTACAGTGCGGCACGAATACGCCGTCTGGGAATCCGGAACCTCCAAGCCGATGACTATCTCATGTTGTTCGCCGTGGTCTGGTATACGTTACTATGTGTGTCCCTCAATCAGGTTGCGTCGGGGGGAGGGTCCAATCTGATGGACGAGAACGACATCCGGAACCTCACGCCGGCTATCAAAGCGGAGCGAGTCAAGGGTAGCAAATGGGTGTTTGTGTCGGAGCATTCGTTTGTCCTCGCCATCTGGGCGATGAAGTCCTGCATGCTCGTCATCTACGCTCGTATCACGTACGCCGTCCGTCCCTGCAACCGCACGACCGCATACTAACCCGCTCTCAGAGAGGGCCTGAAACAGCGCAAATGGGTCAACTACCTCGCCATCTACGTCGCCTGCGGGTTTGTCGCCGTCGAGCTCTCCCTCTTTCTCATCTGTCGGCCGCTGTCGAACTACTGGGCCGTCCCGACACCCGATGGTCAGTCCCCTCCAACCATGCAAGAGTCTCGTCTCTCCCACCACTAACCGGATCTCAGCCCAATGCTCCACGTACCAGTACTACGAAATCGTGCAGGGGTGCATCTCCATCTCGGCCGACATCTTCATGCTGCTCATCGGCATGCCGTTGCTCGTGCAGGTGCGCGTGCCACTCAAGCAGAAGATGATCCTGGTCCTCCTCTTCGGCATGGGCATCTTCGTCATCGTCGCCGCCGTCCTCAACAAGGTCTACTGCCTGGTGCCCGCGCTGATCTCCTACGTCTACATGAACTGGTACTTCCGCGAGGCCACCGTCGCCATCCTCGTCACCAACCTGCCGCTGATCTGGTCGCTGCTGCGCGACGTCTTCCCCGCCTTGCGCAGCTGGAGCGCCTCCAGGCGCGGCACCGACCGCTACCGCTCCGGCCCCTGGAACAGCAAGGCCTCCGGCTACCCGCGCTACGGCCAACAGAGCCAGCTGCGCTCCGGCGACTTCGACCTGCAGAGCTACCACCGCAGCATCGTCACCCCGCAGAAGGCCGTCTCCGATGCGAGCTACCAGGCCAGCGACGACCGCGACATCAGCGACGACGGGTCCGATCGCGCCCTGCGCATCCGACAAGACGTGACGGTGACGGTGGAGCGTGAATCGCGCCCGCCCAATTACGGCCAGCCGCAGCCATGAGATACGATACGAGCTTTTTATTTTTGGATTTCTTTTGTTACTTTTTTTATGGTGTCTACAAATTAATTTCCCCTTGTACATAATTAGACGTCCGCTCGAGCCGCGACACTGGTCCGAGTCCGGAGAGGAATTCGCGCAGTGATCATCGGGCGAGGCCTGGGTGGAGTGGAAGGACCCATGGGACACTGATCCCCGGGAGGAGGATTCTTACGGGTGAAAGATAGACATAATGGCAGTTATTGGATAGACTAGAATTGAGCCCTGGACAGCGTCCATTCCGTCTGTCCGGTCTGATAAGCGTTTCCTACAGTACCTACTTTCCTACTAGTATGTGAGGATGTGTTGTGTAACTACGTTGTGTGGGATGAAAAATGCATGCAGGCTTTGGACGCCGATCTCCCGGGGCCCTTGCGTCACGTATGGGGCGGACTTTACGCTCAGCATACCGTATTTAGTCTCTTTTGACGGCGGTTTTCTCGATAATTTCCATGAGGTGACCATACATGACCACCTGCAGGGACCTGCAGGACTAAGGGACACTGAATGCTCATCTTAGTGCCTGAGTAGAACGGAGTATACTGTATACAGAGCACTACTCGAGTCGATACATGTATACACTCCGTAAAAGAATTGACCAGCAACGATCAGATATGATAACGTGTGCAGAGGTGACCACCACTACCTACTCCTAGGTATACACCACCGAGCCAGGCACTGTACTGTATAACTCCAATAAATCGCCGATAAAAGGAATTGTTCCATTCTTCCATGTCCCTCTGGACCCAAGATCTCGCAGAGTCAAATCCCCATACCCATCCTCACTGGCGGGAAAAGACTTTGGAAACGCACTAGAACAGGTACACACCATCCACATCGTGATCCATTCCCTCTTCCGTCACAACACCCCCGTAACCAAAAGAGCCGACGAAATTATCCGCCCATTCTCGGTCTATATTGAGAATTATTAGGATAGACGGTCTCTGTGGCATGATCCCATCCTCTCCTCCTGTCACTCCCATCAACCCAATATTGCGCCCGCTCCACCGGCGTATGGGGTATATTGGAGACCGGGGACCAGACCATCTGGGAGTACGGAGGATGGAGCATGGAAAAGACCCATGGTCGCCACTCTTCCAGCTCCACCCGGCAGCAACCGCTTTCGGGAAAGATCGAATTCCCAGACCCGCCTCCGCCGTCGAACCTCATCAGTTGGCCCACGGGTAAAGGTCGGGATCGTCTGGGTCGAGTGGCCTACGCAGTACTGGTAGAGGAGGACGCGCATCACGCATTTGGGGGTTTATCCGGTTTGACTTTGGGGCATTATGGGCATTGCTATGACCGGGGTCTGCGCAGGGTGGATGGATGCTGAGCACACGTGCGCTGAGGTGTGAATATCATAGTGCACCTACAAGGTACCTTAGGTAATATGTGCGGTTTGATCTACCTATTTAGGCTAGGGTCGTTGAGATTTCTACTTTGGTCTGGCGTATTTGGCTCGATTGGGTTCGGATGGCCTCCTGGTCTGAGCATATTCCTTCTGCAGTACTCCGAGAGGAGTATGACATGTAGATGTCTGCACTGCTCGCTCACCGTCTAAACTCTTAACTCCAGAGTTGGACTATTGCTGATCGACTGTCAGTCTTGCTTGCCAGGGTATCGCCTTTGTTCATCGCAGACTGATGTGGAGCGGACAACGAACGGGGCTTATCACTTCCGCTTCGGGGCTCGCTACATACGGAGTAGTTAGACAGTGGACATCGGATTCTGCTCTCCTCCGGTCGCCGACTATTGCTTGCCCGATATAACCGTGCGTATGCGCCGGAGTATGCATGTAGACTGAACAGGTGCTCCTGACCACCGAGCACAAGAAACAGCGCAAGACACCAACCCTTGTCTGTACTTAGCCCGATGATTATCGCCGAGCATAGGCAGAACTATGCCAAATCCGTCCTCCTCGGCGGGCTTTGCCCGAACAAAGAGAGTTGTATCCCCGTCGACGGCGCTATCCCACGTGGCGCTAGCCTGCCCACGCCTTATGCGCGAACCACATCGGGCAAATTCCCCTGCCATTCAGATCCAGTCGAGAACTCTCAACCCCGTTGGGGGAGCAGTTCGCAGCATTTGGACTGCTCGTGCAGGGCATTAGAGTTCGTACTTGTCTCGGCGCGTCTAAGACACGTTCGTGCCAGGCAAACCTTGCTTGATGAACTGCGGGCCTGTTCCTGTTACTGTAGCATTCGTGCTCGAGTCAGTGCTCCGTCGACAGACTTGGGTGATGGGTTAGTGTGCTGGGCGGAGTCCACCGTTGGATTAGGGCGCTCCCGTAGCGTAACGGGTAGCGGTGTAGGACTAGCAAGGAGGCCGATATTCGCGCGCCCAGCCACTATCTGGATCAGGGGCGGATGTGGATGTGGATGGCATCAGGATTCATTTGTCGCAATATCGAGTCTATTTCCGGCCGAGGCTGGATGCGTCTACTTTCACGCCCGACGGGGCTGGGGCACACCACGGAATTGCAGCGCAGGTCGCTTACAGACCCCATCAGTCGAGTACGGAGTGGGATGATGTCGTCGACGGGATATTTACATGGAAAAGTTGTGTAGATAGATACCCCTCCCACGTGACTGTCCCACCCTCCATCGTGGGGTCAAGTCGCTTTTCGTCTCAATATGAGATCACTCGCTCTCAATCTAGGACGAATAAGCCAGCTTCTCAACATACAAAGACTCAGTCAATTGTATGATCCCAAGTACTAAGTACACCGGTCTACTCCGGTAAGGCTCCAGCGGTACAATTTGTTGTACAGAGTACATTCTGCACTGCACGCCCCAGAGCAGGCCCCATTGCGAACCAAACATCACACCACTCAAAAACGAGTAAGTGACCTGCGCTATGTTTTAGGCCCTGCATCATAACAGCACCAGGTATAGCATTGGCGTCTTCGGGTCAGCATTCTGCCGGTTCTGAGCTGTCGTCGGATCACTGCACCTAACATCGGTACTTCCTATCAAAGTACTTGCAACATGGCTGAGAGCTCGAATACTCCCTCCTTTCTGGGTCTGGAAGGCCTGCATGTCTTCATTACCGGTGCAGCCGGTGGAATTGGCCGCTGTGCCGTGCAGGAGTTTCTAGGTAGGTTTCACACGTAGTATCTCGTGCTTATGCCCGTCCTTGTGCACAGAACTAGCACTGTAAGCTACAATCAACATTGTATACACCCGTGCTCAAGGACCGACGTAGAACAATGGACCCTCCTCCCGCACGTTCCTACACTGCCCACGCCGTGGTTTACGAGACAGCATCTAACTCATCCAGACCAAGGCTGCAAAGTAACAGCCCTAGATCGCCGCCCACCCTCCCCTCCCGAAAACACCTCCCACCCCGACGTCTACGCCCGCCTGCACACCCTCCAAGGCGACACCACAGACGAGGAATCTATCCGCTCTAGCTTCGCCCAAGCCACGCAGCGCTTCGGCCCCGTCAACATCCTCATCGCCAACGCCGGCATCACCGACGAAACCACCGACTACCCCATCTGGGACCTCCCCCTTGACACCTGGGAGGACACCTACCGCGTCAACGTGCGCGGCACGTTCCTGACCATCAAGCACTTCCTCCGCGCGGCGCGCACCGCGCAGCAGACCCTCGGCCGCGCCCTCGACAACCTCGCCATCGTCGTCACCGGCAGCGAGACGGGCAAGTTCGGCCAGGCGGGTCACGCCGAGTATGCGTCCGGCAAGGCGGCGCTGCAGTATGGGCTTGTGCGGAGTGTCAAGAACGAGATTGTACGGCTGAATGGCGACGCGCGGATTAATGCTGTTGCGCCGTCGTGGGTTGATACGCCCATGATTGCGGGCCGGCTGGATGACCCTGCGGAGATGTGGGCTGAGGCGCAGGCGACGTGAGTTTGGCTCTGTGAGGATCGGAAAGTGTACTAATGGGTGGGTGTAGTGTTGCGCTGAAGAAGATCGCAAAGCCGGAGGACGTGGCTCGCACGATGGCCTTTTTGGCGTCGCACCGCGCTGCGGGTCATATCTCTGGACAGTGTCTTAGCGTTGATGGAGGCATGGAGGGCCGGCTGCTCTGGAAGGAGCACGAAGTAAAGACCTCGTCTGAAATGACAGCCGTGCGGTCCATCCCACGGGCCCTGTCCAAACCGAAGAACAAGATCCGGGTCGCCGTGTCGATCGACCTGGACGCCGTGTCTGGGTGGTTGGGGACCGGGTATTCGTCTGAAAATGTCCTGGCCGATTACTCCTCGGGTTTCTTCGCGGCCAAGGTCGGCGTGCCGCGGCTGCTGCGCATGCTCAGGAAACTCGGTCTGGCGGACCGCTGCACCTGGTTTATTCCGGGCCACTCAGCGGAGAGTTTCCCGGACGAGGTGCAGCAGGTGGTCGAGTCAGGCTGCGAGATCGGGCTGCACGGGTATGCGCACGAGGGTGCCTACCAGCTTACTGTGGAGCAGGAGCGAGACGTACTGGTGCGCTGTATTGAGATTGCGACGAAGCTGACGGGGAAGAAACCCGTTGGATACCGTGCGCCGTTGTACCAGCTGCGCGAGTCGACGATGGATCTGCTTGAGGAGTATGGGTTTGAGTACGGTAAGATCACCACTTGAAAGAGGAACTATCATTTCCTTCCGGACCATGCTCACCCGTGACGCTTTCTAGATGCATCCTTAACCGACAAAGACTGCCACCCCTTCTTCGCCCCCAAGCGCCCCCCGCTCAAACCGATCGACTTTTCCCTCCCTGCATCCTCGTGGATGCACCCCATTCCGAAAGACACGGGCGATAGGAGACCGCTGGTCTGCGTGCCGTGTAACTGGTACATGGAGGACATGACGCCGATGCAGTATCTGCCGCATGTGCACAACTCGCACGGGTATACTGATGTCCGGGTCATCGAGAACCTCTGGCGGGACAGATTCCTGTGGATCCGCGAGAACGAGGAGGAGCCAATCTTCCCTGTGTTGATGCATCCCGATACGAGTGGCATGGCGCATGTCATCGGGATGCTGGAGCGGCTGTTGACCTGGTTGAAGGGATGGGGGGACGAGGTGGAGTTTTGTCAGACGGGGGAGATTGCGAGATGGTTCCGGGAGAAGGAGCTGAACAAATAGATGGGCTTTACCTTTTGAGTGACTGTGTTTATAAACTAAGATATCTCAATATTCTGATCATGAGCCGCTGGGCCTTACTAAAGATATATATTTCAACCCTTAGATATACTGGGAAGCCCATACTCCGACGTAGCCTTGCAATGACCACGAGGAGGATGCGTCTGATATCCGACTAGGTATTACTCTCATCTTCTAGCGATAGACTGAAGTGTTTCTCCAGAAGAGGAAGTCTGACGTTCATCCACATGGCGATCCCGAGTACATCGAGATATGCAGTCACTAGGTATACTAGACAAAAACCAACTACCACGTTTATTATATATGTACTATGTACATTCTTAGTCTCATAAGCTGCAATTTGCTCCTACCCAGTTGACCTCGCTGTCCTCAAATGTAACGTGGATGTTCATCACTGTAGTGACATCACTCATGACATCAACTCCGTCCCTTACCTCGATCGATCGTGATCGAGATCGCAAAGCATATAACACGACAACATAGTCCGAAAGGCAAGCCGCATTCTCCAGCTAACTATGTAATCTCGATGGACGCGTCTAGTAACAATTCTCCCCCCAAGAGGGTGGCCATTATCGGCGCCGGGGCCGCAGGGATGGTGAGCATTCTTAGCTGCTACACGACTACCACTTACAAACTCAGTCCTGCGCCGCCACCCTAGCCCGACATCCAGATAAATTTGCCGTCTCGCTCTTCGACATTGCACCGTACACAGGAGGCCAAGCCACCTCCATCGACATCGACGAGGGCTACCACGGCGCCGGCTGGCTGAACGACGGCGTCCAGGGCGGCTCGAGCATCTTCCGTCACACGCTCAACTTCTTCCAGAAATACGGCTACCACGCCGAGACGGTCAAGCTGCAGGTGTCTTTCGGTAAAGGGAAGGACAGTTTCTTCACGAATGTTTTCCCCAGTCCGCTCGTGGACCGGTACTCGGCGGAGATCCAGAAGCTCGGTCGCGTGCTGACATGGATCAAGCGACTGATGCCGGTATTGGGCGTCATGCCCGTGAAGATCATCCTGCGTCTCTTCCGATTCAGTCGTGATTTTGCAAATATCATGGTCCTCCCTCTCATGGCGCTGTTTCTCGGTACGGGCAACCAGACGCCCAACGTGCCTAGCGTCTTGCTCGAGCGTCTGTTCGACGACCCCCAGATGCGACTGTGGGATTATGATCCGGACACGCTTCTGCCCAATCAGCCGGAGATGTGTACATTTCCGAAGCTGGGGAGTTTCTACCGCGACTGGGCGCAGGATTTAAGTTCGCGCGGGGTGCGTCTGCATCTCGAGACCCGCGTGGAGGTCTTGCAGCGAGATAAGAAACGCGGCGTCACGCTGCGGGTGCGGCCTGTCGACGCCAATTCTGAGGCCTCTCCAACCATTGAAGTGTTCGATGAATTGGTCATTTGCATGCCAGCCGACGAGGCAAAGACGATGCTGGGTAAACACGCTACCTGGCGGGAGCGCTACGTGCTGGGTGGCGTGCGCTTTTTTGACGATCTCACTATTACGCACCATGACTCGACTTATTTCAATAGTATCTTTGAGACGCGGTTCAAACAAGATCTCTGTGCCGAGGCAACGAGTGAAGCCCGCAAAGACCAGATCGCCTTCGCGAAGCAATCTCCCTCAACACGGTCAGACGGCTGGGAAGGCTTCGCGCCAATGTACTATATCCATTCGTACCAGTCGGCCCCGGACAAGATCGAGATGGGTTTCGACTGCACAAACTACCAGCATCAGTTCCGGCAGGCTTTGGGCGAGGGCGTGCAGGGCCCAGAGCCAGATCGACATGTCTACCAGACGATTTTCCTCGACAAGACGCAGCAGCACCTTTGGACATGGGGTAACATTGATGAGAGGAAGATTATCTCCCGCAAATGGTGGCACCAATTTGGGCATCGATGGCAGCATTATACGCGTGTGGTCCCGGGGATGATGTTCATCAATGGAAAGAATCGGACATTGTATGCTGGCGCGTGGACTTTGGTGGTATGTTATGTCTTCTCCTGTTGAATTCTCACGCTTACAAGTACAGAATATGCATGAGATTGCCTGTATCTCGGGGATCGCCGCTGCATACCGGCTTGGTGCTGAGTATGAGCCATTTGACGATTTTGCAACGGACTGTTTTGCGAAATACCTGCTGGTTTGCCACGGCACGCGATATAAGTCCTCGAAGAGATCAAATGCGCACCGATCCTAGTGCTATGGTCGAGCTTATCAGTTTAGTTGTATGCGTACCTTTCTATAGTATAGTACAAGACATAATTGATTCACTTAGGCTAGTTTTCATGTGTAGACAGTAAAGAGGCAGTGGTGAAAGTGCATATCAGTCCCAACCGTGTTCAAAACTGGGGCGATGCTCTGACAGTGCCTTGTCATATCCCAACAACATTCGATCATAGAACAAGAGTATATATACTTCTCTCTTACTTAAACTAGCACATACGACCATAGGGTGTGGAAAACAGGGCTTCCCGTCCGCTCAGCCGTACTTAAACCACACGCCGGCACGTTAGTAGTTGGGTGGGTGACCACCAGCGAATCCGTGCTGTTGTATGTTTTTCTTTTCTTTTTTGCTATTTGTAGATATCTTTGCTTGCTGCTGACTTCAGCCCTTCAGCCTGTTCACCCGATGCTCAGCCGAACCTCCTCAGCCAGCCTCGGCAGCACGGATGGCTCCTTATCTAGCTCCATTCATCCTAGAGTCTAGATTATACTGATATGTATTGAGCACTGGGCCTATCCCATCTCAAACTGCTAGCGTTGCTGGCTGATATTCAAGCGCTACTACTAGGCATATTACGGGTATAGACCTCTTCGAAAAGTGCAAAAGTATCACTTGATAGGCGTCTTCCGTTCTATATACTGGAAAGGGCGATAAAACGTAGACAAGCCGGCAATCAAGTCTCAATGTAAGCGTGTCCCTTCTCTTGGTCTGGTGATAGACCGAGCAACGAATCACATATTCATAGTTTCCATTCTTCAGCATTTGCTCAACCTTTATGATCTTGTCCTACAACTCACGGTTTCTGGCAGTGGTGTATCCCTACGAAGATTGTACAGTAATAGATAAAAAACAGATCTGCCCTGATGCATGCTCACTGGTCTTCTCTTGTGCTATCCACATAAAACAGCCTGCGCCATCCTACATCGAAGAAACATCTCATTCGGATCCGGGCTTGGGGCTGTTCATGTAGTCGTTTGCTTCAGACTGAACCATATCCATCTGGATTTCACTCCAAGTAGGACTAGGGGGTATGTCATCCTCACTATCCTCGTATTCTGAACCCCACAACTCACGCCTTCTAGCTCTTCTCATTGCCTGTTCAGACCGCAGCCTAGCCCTTTCCTGTCGCTCCCTAAATTCCTCGAGACGCCGTTCGATTTCTCTCGAATATAACCGACAATGACGGCATCAGACATGTTCCTGCCTCCTTCTACTGCAGCCCCACGGAAGACCCCGCAAGATCGGCAAATCACATACTGTTCTCCTTGTATGACGATTTGAGAGCCACGGGTATATCGGGTGGTGCCTGGACGAGCATTGACGCCGCAATCAACGCAAAATCGTTTCTTTGCATCAACAGCAAACTTTGCTCTCTTTCTCTTCACCATATTATCCGCAAATCTGGCTCTTGGGCGTAGACGTAAACAGTCCCGACAAGTATACAGGTCTTTCTGCATACCAAACGCTGATACCTCCACTTCCAGCATTTGGCTGAGGTTGAGTGGGGGGAGCAATGCGTAGAAATGCTGGCATACCAATTTCAGTCGAATACGGCTAGGAAAGTCGAGACACTGAGCAATGAGTTGATGGATTTCGACTGGAAGGTCAAGAAGTGTTGTGGACCTCGCCATTCTCGACGATGAAAGAACTGACAGTATCGTATTACATGCATACAATAGAGAGGCCTAGAATGTCAGGCATACCCTGCTATATTTCAATACAGGGAAAAGAAGATCGACGGAGAATCAATTCCACTATTGTAGTTACGTAGAGTGCGACAATTGCACTCAACTTAGGAAAGTGGGAGAGATGCGGGGATGGCCTTTACAGTCATGTGATAGTCATGCCACTTTGTGGTGGAAGCATGGAGCAACGGTCTTATGCTTTTATTAACTACCTAGTATACACAATGCCAGATCCCACTAGTGTATGGGAGATGGAAAAGGGTAGAGAGAATGCTAGGACTTGGAGCAGAGAGTAGGGACTGTCGTTTGAGCAGTCTCGACTTTTCGTTCTCCTTCATCGAAGCTCCGGAGTCGCTTCACTTTCACCCCAATCTTCCTCAATTTGCTCTGTAGCCCATAATACCCCCGTTCAATATAATGAGTGCCCGAAATGACGGTCAGCCCCTTGGCAGCGATGGCTGCAATGACTAGACTAGCACCTGCCCGTAAATCTGTAGCAGCTACCATGCCCCCGGATAGCTCCCGCACACCTGATATCACGGCGTCTTGCCCATCAAGGCGAATATCCGCTCCCATGGCGATCAGTCCCGCAGCTTGATTGAAACGCTCTTCGAAGATCGTCTCAGTGATCCTGGACGTGCCCTGCGCTATTGAGAGCAGTGCCATGAGTTGCGGTTGAAGGTCTGTCGGGAAGGCAGGATATGGGCCCGTTTGGATGTCCACGGCCACGGGGCGACTGGCCTTACGGACAACTATTGATCTTTCGTTGACGTCGATCTGAGCACCGATTGCGCGCAGCTTTTTGAGCAATGGGGCCTGGTACGCAGCAGTACAGTTATACACTGCCAGAGGATTCCCAGCCATTGCTCCGAGAATCAGAAAAGTTCCTGCCTCGATTCGGTCTTCCATGACTTTATATTTATAGGGGGCGAGAAGCTTGTCACAGCCATGGATAGTGATACGATCGGATCCCGCTCCTTGTATCATCGCGCCCATGCTAATGAGACAATTGGCCAGGTCTGTCACCTCGGGTTCCCTGGCTGGATTGTAGATATAGGTCACTCCAAAAGCTATACATGCTGCCATCATCAAGTTCATGGTTCCTGTCACGGATGGAGTCTGCATATGAATGGTGGCCCCATGTATTCCCGAAGGCGCGCGAGCCTCAATGGACCCCTCCGTGACTTTGATATCAGCTCCCATCTTCTCCAACCCCTTCAAGTGTTCCTCGATTGGCCGTGCCCCGATTGAGCATCCTCCAGGGAGACATAGTTTTGCGAATCCAAAGCGCGCAAGGAGAGGACCCAGGGTCAAGATTGAGGCCCGTAGTGATCGGGTGAGACGGTCTGGGACATCGAGACTGCCTAGGTTCGTCGTATCGATCCGCAAGGAATCGGATGTGCGTTCAATGACTGCGCCCAAAGATTCACAGATATGGCCCATACTGGCAATATCGGACAAGGGCGGGATCCCTTCAAGGGTGCTTTGCCCAGCGGCCAAGAGGGATGCGGCCAGGAGAGCTAGCCCGGCATTTTTGGAGCCAGAGATGTGTATATCTCCCGTAACATTGTGACCGCCCTCGATAGCTATATGTCTTGTCGCACGTGGCATGATCAAGAAACTGCTGCCTTGACATATTCCTATGACGGAGAAATCTATCGCATCGTAGGATTCCAAGATCGGTTCTACGTGTTCAGGACTCTGCAGGCCGCACCAACTGCAAGCTCAGCAGCCATGGTATTTGATCGCGGGCCATGGTGCTTTACAGTGGGCTGTGACGAGGGATTAGCGTGCTTGCATGACTCGCACTTGCATAGAAATGACCCTGGGCCAAGGCTGACTGGTCTTTCAGCCACTAGCGTCATCGAAGAAATCATCCATATACGGATAAGATCGATGTGATCGACGCGGACGAACAGATGAACTGGCACGCAACACAGCATTTGCAAGAAACACAAATTTTCGGTGAATGTCCGGAGTACAAAGGCGACTACCCCTTAAGCAGCCCAGTATCTGCAACACCGCGACCTCAGAAATGGCAAGCTTTCACTGGGAAGAAAATGTCAGCTTACAATGCTACAATACGTTCAGTATTCCAGTGACAACACGCTATCTCGTCCGTATCCAGAACTCCCGCCTCAGCAAGCTTGTGCAGTCACCTTTTTTTCAAGACCACCGCCATGTGATTTTGGGAGGAGGAAGTAATGTACTTTTCGCCGGGAAGACCTATGACGGCATTGTCCTGAAGAACGAAATTATGGGAATCGAGACCCTAGCCCGAGACGACATGCATACGACGCTCAAGGTCGGTGGAGGCGTCGCATGGAGCTTTCTAGTTGACTATTGCCTCACCCACAAGCTGGGTGGTATCGAGAACCTGTCTCTTATCCCTGGTACCGTGGGCGCGGCTCCCATTCAAAATATTGGCGCCTATGGGGTGGAACTCAGTGATGTGCTCGAAAGCGTGGAAATTGTTGATCTGACGGACGGCAAGACACGCACCATGACAAGGGCCGAATGTATGTTTGGGTATCGAGACAGCATTTTCAAGCGGCTGAAGGATGTGTTGGTTTGTACGGTTACCGTAAAGCTTACCAATGCTCCTCACCATCGACTGAATACCACATACGGCTCGATCCAACAAGTGTTGAGCGAGCGAGACTGTCTCACACCCACGATATCGTCGGTCAGTGAGGCAGTATGTCTACTCCGCAAACACAAACTGCCTGACCCAAGAGAGTTGGGCAATGCGGGAAGCTTTTTCCAAAATGTTACAGTCGATGATTGTACTTGCCAGTCTCTCAAGACCAAATACCCCGCACTCCCTGTTTTCACCAAGGCACAGGGGCGAAACCTCATTCCAGCCGCGTGGTTCATCGAACAATGTGGCTGGAAAGGCAGACGGATAGGCCGGGTCGGGGTATATCACAACCACGCTCTGATTATAGTAAACTTTGGAGAGGCAGATGGTGATGAAGTGAAGACGCTCGCTGATCGGATCATCGAGGACGTTGACCGCCAATTTGGAGTGCGTCTTGTGCCCGAAGTAAACATAATCAGATAGAAAATCCAATAACCTCAATGTTTACTCCGAGGATGACGTAGGATGCTGAGCGGTAATTAACTAGTTCAGCGGCGGATGACGAACATGTGGGGCGAGCTGAATGGACTAGGACTACGTACTGTGCATAGGTAAACGCAGCTAGCTATACTAGTGTCACTTGGGGATGATCGTCAATGCTGCTGAAGCAGACAGAAAAGAAAACTGGAGCGACATCTTTTCTGTGACTACTTGTTGCGACTTCACAGCTCAAACTCTCGCCAGACGTATCAGGATGCTTTCTACAGACCTGAAGGAAGCTCTTCGCTACGAGAGCCCCGCGCACATGCCTGGGTTCCCACCATCTATTAGCCCCATTCATTTTGTCTGCATCGGAGGACACGGCCAGTCGGCGATCGCTTTGATCTTGTTGAAATTGGGATATGTTGTTCAAGGAAGCGATATCAAGGAAAGCGACAATGTCGTCCGATTGCGGGCCGCAGGCGCAACAGTATTTATTGGCCATGACAAAGACCAGCTCGGTTCTGCAAAGCTCGTGGTAGCATCATCCGCGGCAACGTGGGGGAGCAAACCCAATGTTGAGGTTGAAGCTGCTCGAGAACGACGGATCCCGGTCATTCACAGATCCGAAATGTTGGCCTCGTTGATGCGCCATCACAAGTCCATTGCCATTTGTGGCAGCCATGGCAAGAGTACTACGACTAGCATGGTTGCCGGCATGCTGGAAGCCGGCGGGCTGTCCCCGACAACGATATCTGGTGCTGTCGTCACGCAGTATGGCAGCAATGCTCACATGGGCTCCGGTAACTGGATGGTTGTGGAAGCCGACGAAAGCGATGGCACAATGGTCCAGCTTCCTGCTCTGATTTCGGTGGTAACGAATATTGACAGTGACCATATAACATTTTATGGCACACAAGAGAAGACCCGAGCAACATTTGCTCAGTTCGTACGGAATGTGCCATTCTATGGACTCGCGGTCCTTTGCATCGACGACCCGGGAGTTCGCAAAATGCTCCCCGAGGTTCAAGATCGCAACATCATCACCTACGGGGTTTCAGAAGATGCAGATGTTCGTGCAGAGGACGTCAAATACAATCCGCAAGACTCTACTTTCGTCCTGTCCGTCAGAAACCGACGGGATGGAACTCGTCGAGTTGTTGGATGTATAGTCTTGAACGTTCTGGGATTACATAACCTCCAAAACGCGTTAGCCACTACTGCCATTGCACTTGAGCTAGGCATTGAGCTGGAAAGCATCCGCTATGCTTTAAGGAACTTCCAGGGAACAAATCGCCGTTACATCCACGTAGGTGAAGCAAATGGCATCCAAATCATCGACGATTTCGGCACACACCCTGCGGAGATGAAGGCGACACAAACGATGGCAAAGCAAGCGGGTGCGCGCAGAATCATTGCTGTCTACCAGCCTACCGCTGTAGTGAGGAATGTGGAGGCATGGCTGGAGGAATATCCGGCGGCTTTCGAAGAGTCGGCACACATCATCATCGGCCAGGCAGACGGGGTCGGGGTTGATCCAGTCCCAGCGGGCAAGGCACGGGAGACACTTGTTCAGTACCTGCACTCCCACGGGCGTGAGGATGCGATCTCAATGCCCGACCCATCTGCACTTCCAGAGCTGGTTTCTCGCTTGGGGCAGGAAGGCGATTTCGTGGTGTGCATGGGCTTCCGTAGCTCAACTCTCTGGGCACGAGCATTGGCAGGTCAATTGAAAGCGCTGGGAAACCCGGGGATGAAAGGCGACCAATAAAGGAAGTGGCTCCAGTTAACAATAGTCGCCAACAATACTATACGCCTGACGAGCTGATGAAGACGAGTCACATTCAATAGCCGCTACACTGTAACCCCATTGTAGAGCAATACCAGTGACTCTGCATTTGGAGAAAGTCGAAGGCTTGTTTGGTCCATGCTACCGCCCCGAGAAGCAATATTTCCTTAGGATTGAGTGAATTTGTTAGACTTGGGTACTTCACCGTGACATGAGATCCTATGTACATTCCTTATCTTCCAGTACTAGACATCAAGCTCACACCAGATATACAAAAAGTTAGAGGGAAGCATTCTCTTACCATGGTTCAAGTTCATGGCCTCCCCCTTTAAGAACCTGTCGATGTATAAGAATGCTCTTAGGTGCGTTGTAACAAGTGTAGACCTTTTTAGTGTCACATTCTTGACTCCCAATTAACTATGTGGCGGGTCTCGGCCCCAAATACCTGATATATGCGCATTTAAATGACCTAATGCTATCGCGGTATATGCAAATAGCATTCAGAAACCCAGTAAACCTCCTCTTTTACAGCCTCCTGCCATTGAGACAGATAAGGACTGGCCATGGTCTGGTCCAAGCTTCAAAAACGCTTCATACGGCTCCACCCTGTCTGGAATCTCGTTTGATTAAATCGAGGAAGGACATGGGCTTCCGTGTTGAATACCACCTCGCTTAGGGGTAGAAATTCCCTCGGAGAGAAAAGCAGGTATAGATATTTCAAGGTCTCGGCCTGCAAAGAATTAGTTGTGACCACCACAGGGCGTGGATATATCACATCTTACCAGCCAAAAACTTTCCATATTATCTCGTTGCGGCGGAGGAACCTCTCTAACGTCTTGCAAGGACGTATATCCTTGGTCGTCGCTGACTTTCGTGTGCCTCTGGAAGGCCCTGAAGATCTCCCAGCCCCATTTCCGATATATGGGGTCGTTTGTCACTCGATACATCAGGAAAAGACTCTCAACCGTTTCGGGCCTCTGGAGGTTGTGCGCATCTAGCGGTTTGATGATAATGTCGTGTTTCCACGAATTCACATCATCCCTACTTGACGGCCGCGGCGATGGCCCAGAAGACGGTCCGAGATCGGCTTCGTCGACCTCGAACCAGGCAATTTCCGGGGACAGACCGGAATCGGTGACTGTGTACATCGCCCAGCAGGTTTTAGTAAGTTCCCGCGCCAGCTGCATTTGCTGTTTCTTCTGGGCATTCCATCCAGGCGTCTGTCGGGCTTCCTTTTCGGTTCGTCCCTCGGTAGCGCCAAGGGCAATTGAGCCTGGTAAGAAACAGACGAGATGGTCCATCTTCGGGGATAGAGGCCCACCAATTCCCTGCGGGAGCTCGGCAATGAACTGGAGCTTCGAGTGTTTGGTAGAAGTCACAAGATGTTTCTGGATCCCAGCCAAGGCTTGTTCCCACATCTCGCGGTAGATTGGCTCCTGCCCAGATGTTTGCAGGTATTGTTTGATTAGGTATTCTAGAGCCCGTAAGCCATGTATCTCGAATGGTAGTTAGCATCGGTCGTAATGTATACAGACCATAGTATGAATCTCCGCGACTTCCAAGACGAATCTCCCGGCACCTAAATTGTCCAGTATCAGGGTGAATAAAAATCGGTACCAGGCCATCCTGCATTTGCTGATCATCTATGATTTCCATGATCCGCTCGGCCTTCTGCCAGTAGGTTCTATTGCCAGTGAGATGGGCGAGATACTTCATCTCCAACTGGAGAGTAGCGGCCTCGGCGGTTGATGAAGCTCCACCGTCTGCATGCGATGGAAGTCCTTGTCGAGTCCCAAGATTCACACTTGCATATGGTATTCCTGATTTTGACTCATATGCACCAAGCAGCCGGTCTGCCAGATCCACAGCTTTAGCCAAGTAAACATAGTCTCGCCGGGACGAAACGTCCGGCAGAATGGTAGATAAGTAATGGGCAGATAAGAGCCCCCCAAGCATGCGGATAGTCATCTCAAATGTGTTTACCTCCTGGTTCTGATTATAAGTCAAGCCTCGCTGAAGCCATTTGCGCGCATCCGAGAGCCGAGCGGTCTGGTTCATGATCATCAGGGTGTCCAAACTGTCAACTATAATCCACCCTAGACCCTTGGGGCTCATTTGCGAGCCAGTCTTGGAAACTGGGTGAAAGCGATCTTTCCCTGGACGTAGAAGTCCGAGTGTCAGTTGCCTGTACTCAACGGAGACGGTGGTGTGGCATAGGGTGTACAAACTTACCCCAAGCATATCTAGCATAAGCATCCCAGCTGGTCACGAAGGCATCTTTGACCTCTTCCCGACGTCCCTCCCAATAGGAATCTTCCTCAATGGACCGAAAGAAATTCAAGGGAGTCTCCAAAGCCGTCTCAGAACTTAGCAATTGAAACCACCAAGCGGCCACCAAGGCCAGGAAGCCAGTGGTGAGGGATACCAGAGTCCAATTCAGGCGAGGCAACGGACGCGATCCTGAGTTTTTGGTGTCTTTTCGCTGTGGGCGCTTCTGGCTCCTCGAGGCAGCTTTCGACGACATGGTCGTGTCCTTTGTCTGGGAGATTGGACGCCTGGAAGGGTACCTAGCCGTCAAATAACGGTTCTAGCAGCGAGTCAAAACGCCAGTACGAATCTGTTGAAGCGGCATAGTCTGTGTGGTACTTATGGTCCCTGGCCAAGTATAGGGGTTGGAGGAGAGTGCCCCTAAGATTGGTCGCGCCCCTATACTCTTCGGGTGTTAATGTAGGTTGTGTACCACCGTCTGCGCTCGTTCTTTGTCTGTCCGGCACCGCGTCATCTAATGGCGTTCATACCTCCACCAATCGAGTTCGGGAGTTTGCTTTGGTGCTGTGGAGCTCATTTGTTTACTCTTTGTGCATTGGACTATTGGCGTCCTTGTTTTTGTTTGGGCTTGCCTTTAGCACCAGCCTCATTCTTTTTGATATAGTACCTGAGTTATTTTTTTTTTTTCTCCGCGATGTCTGGTCTTCCACAAGTTCTGTCTTTAGCTGTTTGTATTCTTATATCACTCCGAAGCATGGGTCCTTGAGCCTCCATTCTGTCCGAGTCCATACATCGCCATCATCCACCGAACAGAGTCATCTCACCTGGCACAACAGGTTGAATTCTGGGCGCGCCAAATCCAATGTCAGTCACTCTTTATCCAGCGGAAACGATTGATGGTACAGTCACATCGTTTATTCCTCTTACGACAGCCTGGCCTTCGTCTTCGGAATGTGACCATTACTTCCGTCTGAATGGGGCGAGCTTGATGGCCTACGACCCCGGCTACGGGCTCGAGATTGACAGGAACGTGATATGTGCTCCGCCAGCAGTAACGACGTGGTGGGAGCAGAGACGTCTGGGTGGTGGGAATCAATACCACACGGCAGTCAGCATCGGCCCTATGGTATGCCCGGAGGCTTTTTCCACAGTGGTTACTTCTGTGAAAGATAATACAAGCACGCTCGCTATGTGCTGCCCTTCGTAGGTTGCCTCCACACTCTCACTCATCATTTCTAGATACTAATCACTGTAGTGGATACGATCTAGCAGATGGAATACCCGGTAAAGTCGAAGGCCGTTGCCTGTCCACTGTATCTCCCGGCATGACCCTCACTTATGCATCAACTCCTTATGGCGACTCGACTGCATGGAAAACAGCCACAACCACATTATCCCGGACATCGACTGTAGGTGCAATCGGCGTAGTAGGCTGGAACATAAAGCTCGCTACCCCAACACCCACTTCGACATCCACCTCTCTTGGCCCTGATACTACATCTGCGACATCTATCCCTTCTGCCATCTCATCCGCCACCCCATCTGCCACGTCAATCTCTAGTTCTGGCGGCCTTACAACGGGCGCAAAAGCGGGAATAGGAGTTGGAGTTGGAGTGGGTGGTGTAGGTGCGATATCACTGTTTGTTGCGCTATACAAGTTTCTCAGGCGAAGGAAAGAAGCCGTGCCCGATACGCCTGTGCACTATTCACAGCAGCAGTTTCCGATGGCACAGGAAAAGCTGCAGCAACCTCCTTGGCCATCAGAACTCCCTGGCTCAACAAAATATACGCCTGCTTCTCCAGCGGAATTGCCCGCGTCGCCTATATTTATTCGAGAGCGTATTTAGCTCTTATGTTTCTTTCTTCTTCTGTGTTCATTGTGGAGCTACTTAATCTTCATATAGATCCTTCAAGTGCCGGCCAGATTTTATTTGTCTGTAATTATAAAGGGCCTTGAATGCCAATCGCCTGATTCACTCCCCATCACCTGCAGCCGCCGCATCCTAGCGGCTCAAAATGTACTTTAGGGTTGATTGAACGGCTCGAACTCCGCTCCTGTGCTATGGGTACACTAGATATATTGCCTAGCCGTAGCGAAAACGGCCGGCTCAGCGACTACTCCTGCACGAAAATATAAAACTGAGTTAATGATGAAGAAAACACAGAAGCTTCAGTAATAATCATCACAACATCTATGAACTCATTGCGCTGTTCCATTGTCTCATCAACGGTACCAGCCCTCCGCAGTAGCTCCTTTCTGCCTTGACATATCTAGCGCCATGCTTGCCAAAAGACCATGCAATTGCGTTCATCTCAACTTCGTCATATGATGGCGCCCGAGTAAAAAATACTTTCAACCTCTCATCCATCGCAGGATAGGTCCCTGGTGCCAACTTCAACGCATATATTCCCACTCTTTTGATGTCACCTGTGCTATAATCCATCGTTACAGCAAAGGTGAATCCCACAGGATTCAGCAATCGCCGCATCTCTTCTACTTCACCGCACTCCAGAAGGTAGGCCGGATCGCTGAGGCGCACTAAGCTCCTTGCTCGCTCCAGTGTCAACAGGCCTTGGACACGAAAGTAGATGTTGATTGTATTCGACGTAAAATCGGCAGCGACGTGTCGGACCAGCTCCAGGCCAAGGTTGTAGAACGTCGTTGCGTGCTTGCGTATGGACAGAGGAACATGAGGTGCACTCAATATGTCGCTCAGAGGGCGCATGTCCCCTAGATACACCCAGATCTTTGAGAACCCTTGCTCGGCATCAAAGTCGCAAGACTGCTGCGCAGCTCCCGGGTATAAGGCGGTCCAGGAGACGATTAACTCAGACAACGGATGATTCGGCTGGAATAGTTTTGCCTCAACTGCGCAAGATACAGCGTCGATGGATACGCGTTCGTAAAATCGGTAATTGAGGGCATCTCCGGGGCGATTGGTGATTCTCCACAAGACAGCTCCTCGGGCAAAGCTGGCTTGGAAACCCTCCAGGACTTTAAGCGTCTTTTCCTGGGAGTAAGGAGCACCGATTGCCCGACATGTTTCTTCGATATCGACCAGAAATCTTTCTGGATCGAAAACGGCTTGCTGTACCTGCTGTATCATGGCAACGTCTATACCGCAAGAATGAATAGGAAAGCCCGAGGACAAATAGCCAGATCGTACAAGCAGGTGCTTATCTCGTCCTTTTTAAGTGCCGGAAATTACCACATGGTCACCCCAGAAGGAGTCGGCTGTTATTGCCAGCTTCCACTACAGCCGATTCCTACCATCTCCACTATATATTGATTGGTCTGAAGATTGCACAATAAGATAAGACCTTGGACTAATGGGGATATGACTGCAGAATCTTCCAATACTAACTATTCTAGGGAAAGGCATGTGTTTCGAAAGCCGTTCTCTTTCGGGTGGTGGGGATGCTTACTAGAGACTATAAAGCTATCGCTTTAAGACACTAAACTACCCAGTCGCACGACAACTCTGACTATTTCCACAAACTCACTGCAACTTGCGAGAGCCATAATGCCGTCAAAAGTGTCAGAAGTTTACATCCTAGGATCTGAGTCCATAAAAGAGAAGCCCAGGTATCACCTCGATACATTGGATCATGTCCACTTGTAGTAGAGATGACTCTAACAGGCTATAGGCTCAATGAAGGCCAAGCATATTTTAACATACTGACCGACGGGGAGCTACTTCCCTCGTGTCTTTCAATTCGGAAGAATGAGCCACTTCGCATCGCAGACGTGGCCACAGGAACGGGGTATGTGAGCAGTAGCCACCCCTGCAACTGCATAGCCTAACGATAGTCTTACAGACAATGGCTGCTTGATGTGCACAGGCAACTGCCAGATCTCCTGTCCTCTCGCTTTGTGGGCTTCGATGTATCATCGGCACTCTTCCCACCACCGCAAGCCCTTCCTGCCCAGGTGACGCTCTATGAACACGACATACGACACCAGTTTCCTGCTGAATTTATCAGCACCTTCAATGTGGTGCATGCAAGGTTCCTGAAATACGCTTTCCTTAACATGGAGTGGGAAGGCGTCTTGCAAAATATGGTTTCTCTCCTAAGTATGTCATGGACTGTTTGTTCTCAGAAAATTACTTATTTGACCCAATAGAGCCCGGAGGCTACCTCCTATGGGAGGATTCGGACTATAGCTTATATAGCTGTATTCCATCTTCATTGGCCTTTACTGAGATGGTAAACTTTGATATCGAATTTGCGCTCAAGTGTGGGCGGGACATCAGGTAAGACAACACTTTCTAGTTATGATAACTCCATAATCAGCGGGATTGATCAACTGCGATAGACACACCGAAACGCTATCTGACCTCTTTGTGTCAGCCGGGCTCATTAATTGTGACCATGTCACACTGTTTTCAACTGATAAGCCAGAATTGAAGCTTCTGGCAAATGACCTTACCATGCGACTCTTTTCGACCTCTTTGCAGGGAATGGTTCTGCAGGGCGGCGTGGAGGGATGCCGCACTGCACAGGATGTGAAGAGAATAGTCGGCAGAGTCCAAGATGAAATCGACAATCATGGTCTTCAGATTGTGCATGGGATCAAGAGGATTTGGGGGCAGAAGCCAGTTTACAGTACTGAAAAGCATAACTAGGTCAAGTTGCTTTGAACCACATGGCCAACCAACCCTACTGATTCTTATTGTCATTTTCTACACCTAGATAACTTAGTGAATCAACTTTAGAAAGCTCAACTATGTCTTCATTAGACTAGAAGAGGCAATCAATCTCCTAGTCATGGATAATATGTACTTGATAAATCCAACCACTATTTACAGCTGCGCTTCAAATAGCGCCATCAGTGATATCCCCATACGCAGGGACAGAATAGTTGCCGTAGCAGCTCTCATCAAACTTGGCCTTGGGAATGTTCTCCTTCAGAGCACTGACAAATGTCTGCAGCTCGCACCACCCGTCATCACGATCACCACACTCCTTCAGACTCCTTCCGAGGGGAATGGTTCTCTGATTCATCAACATATGGACATAGGTCGTTTCCTCCCCAGACTCGTAGGCTGACGCATGAGCATTCTGCGGCCGTTTCGCACGGACCGGCTGAGGCGCCTTGATCACCTCGATGTTGAACCGGCCTGCAAACGGCACAATGTGGCTGACAATCAGCTGTTGGTCTTTGGGCGGTCCACTGATAGGAAGGAACTGTGCAAACTGCGTAAGACCCATGGCTGTCAACATAGACATGATGTCAGTGTCATGGCTGAAGTCCAGGTACAGAGACTGGTCGAGGGGGAAAGTGGTCGCGCTGTCATCCAGGGTCTCGTTGATGGCCACAGAGCCCTCGGCCGGCTGGGGGAAATGCCTCTGCAGTCGGGCAACGAGCTCCTCCACGTACCCCACCCCGACTGCTCGGCCAGTAGGGGAGCCGAAAGAATTGCTTCCGTAGTAGCTCAGATCGAGGCTGTACTCAAAACCGAGCCACTCCTCGTACGTGAACAAGGAGCAAAACGAGCTGTAGCCGAGCCCGACAGTCTCATAGGGGCACATGGTCTGCGCGTTATAGGTGTCGTCCACGGTCCAGTTGGCATGGCCCGTCATGGAGCGGCGGAACCGCTCGGTTGCGTTCTTCAGATAGATCTTCTGCCATTCGCTCGATGCAGTATCCCCGGCCGATGACCGATCGTTCTTGGAGTTGACGCACTGCTTGTCCCCTGCCAGGGAGTTGTTGAACCCATTCGCTTCGATGAGAACCTCCAAAGTCACGTTCTTTGTCCAGTCAGGACCGAAAAACCCGTTCAGCCAATTTTCTGCCGACTGCAGCATCCGCACCTGGGTGGTGGTGCGGGCAATTAGCGGCTTGGACGGATCATATAGTCGTCCATAGTTGAACCAGTTCAGTACACCGCTGTCGAAGAGCTGTTGACGACCCAGAGCCGTCAGCTCCTCTTTTCCGAGTTCGTATCTCCAGCTGTTTAGGAACTCCAGATCTCCCTTAAACTTGGTTCCTCCCTGCAAAAGCTCGGAGACGCGGTCCTGCAGACTGGCTACTGCGTTACCAGTGGTAGGATATCGAGAGCCATGGCGATGGATCATGTGCATTTGGGTGATATTAGCCCCGGCTGGGAGCGGGTACTCGTTCACGCCAAATCCAGAAGGATTCGGCATGTACGGGCTAGGCTTGAAGTTAGCACTGTACCAAGAAGGACGTTGGAGGCATAGACGTACGAAAGATTCCCCATAAGCTTGAAGATTTCGGCACCATCCGAGCGGCCAGGGATCGGCACATCGGTGACTACCGGTGTGTTGGGGACATATGTTGGGTTTCCAAACGGCGCAGGATTGGTCTGCGCCAGGAAAGGAGGCGCTCCCGCTTCTGTAGGGCCTATGTTTCTCACGCTGTCAGCCTAGACCGCCAATTGCAGAGTACCGTGGATATACGTACCAGCCCACGGGCCAAAGCTGGTCTGGAAGTACTCCGGAACGGAGGAAGTCCGGCTGGGGGAAATGACTGCGGCGTGGCCCGCAGTGGCCAACGCCACAAGTGCTGATTGTGAAGCGAGACGCATTTCTACGCAGAGCCAACAGGTATACGATCAACGAAGTCAGATCACCGCGGTTTCGAATTACTTTCCCATCTCAACTGTACGACATGCAGGAGATGTTAGGCCATTTTATAGAACCATCGGCTCCACTGCCTCCTCTCTCTGCCGCGCTAACCTCCATAGCGCGGGATTTCCCAAATGGGCTGGTTCATTAGCCGATCTCATGAGCTTTGCTCTCCTTGCTTCCGAACTACGGAGTACGTAGCCGTTTCACCGTCTCTGTCAGCAGTGGGACCTGGGCGATGACATTACTGGAACGCCGACCCCGCATTGTCAGCCAGGGGTCTCCGCTGTTGACTTACCCGACAATTCCCCGGACTGTGTTTTGGTCGGAAATGTGTTTGCCTAATTCGGCAAGGAGTTGAATAGGATCCCTCATCCTTCTTGTACCGCTGGGGTTAGCTCTCTTCCTACTGGGCCTTGATCCTTCTGCGGCCAATTGTGACGGCGTTTGCAGGTATTTGGCCATGAAAATGGATTCCGTTGCCAATAGTCGGCAACTGACTATTCTATAGACATACCTTGGTCTACTCCGTAGAGGAGTGAGTAGCAGTGTAGGAGATACGGAGTATATATAACTTCCGGCATGCATAGGGCTGTCTCCACTTTCACAAGCAAGCATTCCGGGAAGTCCACTTAATTGCTTGGCATTGAGGTTGAGTTTCTGCTCTACAGACTTCACCTGAAGTGCAACTTTCGATGTTAATTCGCTCTTGAATAGTTCAGTACGGCAGGAAGAGACCAGTTACTATCTCTTCGTTGTGGAAGGGGAATCTTCACTATCTTTTACTCGCCTGCAGTCGTGAGTAACTCCTTCACTTCCGACCTCTTCATTACTCTTCCATTTCTTTCTCTTCCCTCCTGTCTGCTTTCACTGCCTCCTTCCTTCTACTTCTTACGAAAGACGCATAAAGTCTGATCTTTTCCCTTCATCTTCTATCTACCCCAGTCAGCTAGGGCTCTCTGGTGGGGTTTCATCTCCTTGTTAATCCTGTCTGTCCCTTTTCTTTCTTCTGTCTCTCTCCTCAAGTTGTGGTGATTCTTTCTTTATGTGAAAGACCTTCAAGGATCCGTCTTCGTCTAAGCGCCTCGACATCGGTGGGTACCCGTCGGTGCTTTTGGACGTCCAATATCGTTCCCACGCTCGCCTATACGCTCCCACGTCTGAAATTTTCTACAAATCGCAGATTCGGTCAGCTCGCATGGATTGTCGCGCGAACGTAAACGGCCTATTTAACAGAGCCGTGACTGTAAGATGGAACACCTGGATGTGGCATCTCCCTCAGGAGATTGGATTCGTGCATTACGCTGGGGTAACATCTCGCAATGCATCCAGGTTCATCATGAACTATGAAGAGGCCGAAATTGCGATTCGCTTAGCAAAAGTCATTATGCAATACTGTCGGGATGTCCTGATCATTTCGCCGTACAAGGCACAAGTCGCTCTCGCCGCCCAGAAGTGGGAAGCGACCTAGGGGTCCCCTGAGAAACCGACCGAAAATTGGGAAGCCCTGTTTCGCTGCTTCCCCGCCATCCGACATGTTGGATTGCATGCGGAAGAAATCAACAATATCTTTAACGGGATCACTCTTCAAGAAAGCGCCCATACGGAGTTTGGGAAGCTCAATCTGGCATTTGTTCCACAGCCTGATCCTCACACGTAGGCGGTATGTGGCTGGCTTAATGGGACAACGCCTGAAGTTCCCCTCGGATTGATTCTTCCAACTGCAATCCAGTCTCAGAGGCTCCTGTCTTCGCCGAGACTCATCGAAATAAACGAAGCTATTAAATTGAAAGCGATTTCTTTCCTTTCACTACGTGTGCGGTGGGTCGCAAAAGCTGATCATCACCACCAGAACATAATAGCCGCCTACCGTCAAGCCAAATTTTCACTATGCCAGAAGTCACGACCCATACAATCGACAGAGAGACACATGCGGAGTTAGTGTCTTTCGCAGATGCTGTGGTTCTCCTCTGCAGGGACCGATCACAAAGGAAGGCAGAGGGACTAGACATAAGGAATATAGAAGATCAAAGTCCATCAGGCTCAGGCCAAAAACAAGAGGAGAACAGCGGAAGTCCCTCGGCGACGGCCCCTTATCCCCTAGCACACGTGTACCTGTCCACCGGGTCTGAAACGTCGCCCGACGCCCAAGCTGGAGGAAGCCCTACAAATCGGAGCTGCCGCAGCGGAAGATGGTGTCAACCCACATCTACAGTCATATATTACACCTTACATACCACTAAGTGGGTTGTCCTTTTTTGGTAGTGTAATGGTATTTTGGTTGACAGATGGCCGCCGCGAGGAACGTGCAGAAGCAATCTCCCGCCTGAAGGAGCTCCTTATCTAAACTGGACTTCTTTTGAACGGTGTGCATATAAAGATGCATGATTGCTGTTATCCCTAAGGGACATCCTAGAAGGTGTATCTCTTATAAGACATGACTTTGTATTTCCATGAGCAGACTTAGCTTCTTTTCCTATGAAAGCGTTGTTGATTCCTCTATAGCCCCAGTATTGGTCTGACTACTCCCACTTACGGAGTACACATCCAGAGGGCCTTGTACTATAGATGCCCCACGCCCCACATAATGCCCCTCGATAAAAACACATCAACCCCTCACCGTCACGTTCAATTCTTCCCTATAATCAACCTAACCCGCTCTCCAGGATGCCTCCCAAAGTACAAACAGTCGGGGTCATAGGCCCGGCCGGATTCGGAGGATCCCATCTCTGCCTCGAGCTCATTCAGCGCGGCCACCGAGTAGTGGGCATCTCCCGCCACCCAGAGCGCCTCGGGGAACACCCCTCCTATACCCCCCGCGCCGTGGACCTCGACACCGTAACCACTGCCGGGCTCGCCGAAGCGTTCAATGGCCTCGACGCTGTCGTCAGCGAGTACGCCCCGCACACCCCGGGACCCGGGCCCTTGCAATACAGTAAGCCCACCATCCCCGCTTTCCGCAGGAAAACACACAGGGAAACAGTTCGCTTACGACAGCACGCAGTGACCTTCCTCGAAGTCGTGCGGAAGATCGTCCTCGCTGTGCAGTGGGCCCAAGTCCCCTACTTCGTCTTCGTTGGCGGCGGCGGCAGCCTCCACGTCCCCGGCACCGCGCCGCCGGAATGTCTCGTCGACGACCCGGACTTTTTTGTCGCCTATCGCCGCGCCCTGGCGGACAGCGAGGCGCACGTCCGGTATATGGAAGAGCGGCTCGGCCCGCTGGTCGCGTCGCTGCGCACGTACCGCGAGGCGCGGTGCGCGGTGCGTGCTGGCGCGGCCACGACAGAGCAAAAGGCGTTTGTCGATTCGTTTGAACAGTCCCGGCGGGATGGGAATGACGAAGCGCGGGATTTTATACGTGCAGCGAGAACTGCGTATATGTTCTTTGCGGGGAATACCTCGTTTTCGTGGTCGTTTGTCTCGCCGAGTCCGATGTATAGACCTGGGAAGCGGACGGGGCAGTATCAGGCGTCGATTGATGAGGTGCCGTTGCTGGATGCGACAGGGGTAGATTCAGGTAATAGGTTTGATGGGAGATTGCCGGGTATCTCGGTGGCGGATTTGGCGATTGCTATTGCTGATGAGGTTGAGGCGCGCCGCTATGTGCATCGGCACTGGACTGCTGTAGGGGAATTGGATGATACACCTTCTCCGAGTTATGTGCGTCTTTGAGAAGAGGCTGCGTTATGGACATCAGAGAGTCTACTTCGTGTTGGATTTCGCCATCTCCTTCCGTGATATAGGAGTGTACTGCTGGCCATTTGGTCATCCCAGACGGAAAATTTTGTACTCCCACCGGATATTCGTGGCTCTTTGCTCCTTAGAATAGTAGATAAATCCAATTCCAACCCTTCTCGAAACGCTGTTCTGCGTAGCAAGACCGAGGAGGATCGAGTACGTGTCAGAGGGCCGGGTAATGGTTTCGCCAGCAACAATCGGAACAAGCTCATCGACGTCGGTGTCCTCACAGTCAAACCTGAACTCTCCATGGTGATCACCCATTTTCAGACGGTGAACATTGCCAGTAGTTGTTGCATCCGTAATATGGAACTCCGTGGATGTCATATATGGACCGAAAAAGCCAAGGTCGCCAGATGATAGTTTCATTGTGATCTCCGTTGCAGTGTGCGAAAGGCTCAGCAGCTTATCGACGTCTATCCCAATACGGGCATTGAGATAGCTCTTTGCAGTAGTCAGCTCGCTGGATGTAGTGTGCTTCGCCTTCGTATTATCTTCGCCAGCGTCCATCCATATATTGTGCGAACAGTACCTCTGCTCTGTCTTCCCATAATACCAATGGACAATCACAGGATACATCGGCGAATTTTTGACGACCGCATGGGATATATTCCTGGAGAGCCAGAGGCTCTCCGCAAATACAAATTCGATCGCGCCGGTCCATGGAGTCCTGACACACTTAGCTAGTTGGTTTCATCAAGAGACCCGAATGAATGACCTACCACGACCAGGACGAGAACTTCTCAGCCGTACGTCCACATGAACGCCTCTTAGCGCCATTTGAAGGAAACCATAGGATACCCTGGTATAAAAACTGAATCGGGATACCCTGAGCCTGGCGGATACCCAGATCTGACCCAGGCCCTGAGCGTTTGAACCGGTTGAAGATACCCTCGAAAGCATTGAATATATCCTCCTGGAAAGTAAGATTCTTCCGCGTATAGTCCTGCACCGCAGTCTGATACCTTTGGGCCTCGTCTCGTCCAACAACATCCCCTAGGTAATGGTACGGCGTTGGATCCGGGTCTTTCCTGAGCTTACTATTCCACATGGGTGGTCCAGTTCTAACCTGCACATCACGGAGACGCCCTTCTTTCTCGCCGTGGTCGTACCCTTCTCTCCGCTGCACCTCCGAGCAGTTGAAGTACACCTCTTCGGCTGTGAAATACAGCACCCGCTGGGACAGGCATTGCTCCTGGAACGTCCAGCCGCGAGTGTTCCAGTTCGACCTGCGCACCTCGTCACACAACGATGTCAGACAAAGCGAAAGGTTGATCCTTTCCCCGTCAGAGAGGACAATCTTCTCCGGTTGTACCGGGTGTCCATTTCGAGGGCTTATCCCGCGCAAGCCTGCGTCTGCGACACTGCCCGCTGCAGCGATGAACGTCACCGTCGCATTATCGTACACGTCATCCATACGGCCAATCAGCCGGGCCTTGTCGTCCGGATCGTCCTGTACAATGCACAAAGTGTCGACCCAGAGATATCGCATCCCAATCAGTCGAGTTAGCTCCATGGCATCTCGGACCGTACGCGGGATCTTCCAGTGCCCATGGGGCGACTGCTGTGGCTTGGATAGACTCTTATGAATACCCAGTGCAGCGACATTACCCTTGGTGCAAAGAAGGATAGGCACTGTCCCGGAACCGTCCTCTCGGTGTGATAATATAGTCGGAATAGGACCCCAGACGTACGACAGAGCAACATACTCGCACACTTCACTCTTCAGGACGAGACATTCGTCCACCACGTCAATCAGCCGGAACGGACGTTCTTTCTGGAACAGGTGAGCGTTTTTGTTGATAGAGGCTCTCGAGTGCTTGTGCATTTTGCACTCGTCCAACCAGCGCCGAACCAGTTCAACATCTATGTGGCTCCCTATCTCCCGGCGAGGAAGCAGAGTCCCCCCGAGGGGCTGACCTGGCACAGAATTCGTCAGGGCTTCAATCTCCGCGATAATGAAACGATTCCTCACTCGGTCTACCTCTTTGATCGGAGCCCTGTTGCGTTGGAAGCTGGGAGGCTGCAGGTCTATCGCCAGCAGGAGCCGCGGGTGCGGATGCTGGATGCGACCGTTTTTTCTGAGGGAGAAGGGGCTTCGACTGCGGATGTAGAGCCGGACTGGAGTGGGTGTTGTTGCGCAGATGTGTTCAATGTTCCATTCAGTACCCCATGCCTGGCGAATCGATTGGGAAATAAGGCTGCAAAATCGGCAGCTCGGGTTGTTGTAGTTTGATAGGAGCCCGATGGGGATTTCCTTCGTCTCTTGAGATACCAACGTCTTCAGATCAAGTTTATCGCAACTGCTGCATACATTTGGCAAGGGTGCGGATTCGGGGATACTCGAAAGGCTGCGCTCATCTGTCGTTAAACGATACGGAAGACTTCCCTGAACCGTTATCATTGACTCCATGGTTTGAGAAGGGATAGCTTGATGATACGCTCAACACACACTATCACGAGTACAAAGAAAGATTGACAAGATGCTTCAAGGGATGTTCAGTTTTAAGGATAAGAGCTGAGGATGGCTGATCTTTACGCTTGCTCTGTGGGCCAGTAGTCACCTGTCGTATCAGAGGCTGGCTGAATGTGAGCTGGCAGTATGATACATCCAGTGCGTCAAAGGGAGTACTTCGATATAGATATTCTAACAATCTAACATGATCTTACTACATTAGAACCCCTGGGGACGAATAATCGACGGCTACTCGGACACAGGAAACTGACAAGAACGCTGCAGATAGAGCATACTTAATCTACTTCGCTACAACCTGATGCCAGTGAGAAGCTGCGAGGACCTTTATCAAACTACGGAATGGCTATGAATTTATACTCTTGGATAATTTACTGTTCAATGTAGATAAATACATTCATTGCATGACTTGCGCTATGAAACTCTAACCGACAAGCAAATATGCATTAACCGCCAAAATCGGCGTCGTAACTCATAAATCATAAACATTCTTTTCTTCACCCGTCACCCTATATGCATGCCTTCGCTTACTCGTACAGATCCATGTCACCACTGCCCGACTCCAATTCGGCCACTGCTTCATCATCGTCTTCATCGATCATGTCGAGATCTTCATCGACTGGTACCTCGTGGTTAGGCAGCACATCGATGCGTCCCTCGCGCATGACCACGCGAGCAACCTCGCCATCGCGGATACTGCCACGCAGGATAAGGATGGCAAGGCGGTTGAGGACTTCGCGCTCGATAATGCGGGCCAAAGGACGCGCACCATAGGCAGGGGAATATCCGGATGCGCCGAGATAATCCTTGACCTCTTCGGTGCATTCGATCGTGACATTGCGGTTGTTTTGTTCCAGACGTTTCTGGACTTCGCTGAGACGGAGATCGACGATCTTGCGAATCTCGCGCTTCGTCAGACGGTTGAAGATGACAATGCTGGAGATACGGTTGAGGAATTCGGGGAGGAAGTAGTCGCGGAGAGCACCCATGACCAGCTCACGGGTGGCCGGGTCGATGCGTCCGTCCTTGGTGGTAGGACGGGCCAAGAACTCAGCACCAAGGTTGGAAGTCATCACAACAATGCAGTTTCTGGCATCAACAATGCGGCCTTGGCCATCGGTGATCCGTCCGTCATCCATAAGCTGCAAGAGGACAGTGAGAACCTCCTTGGCGGCCTTTTCAACTTCGTCGAACAGCAAGATGGAGAATGGGCGTCGGCGGAGGTTCTCCGTCAGCTGGCCACCGGCATCGTGACCGACGTAGCCTGGAGGAGCACCGATCATGCGGCTGAGGGAGTGGCGCTCTTGGTACTCGGACATATCGAACCGGATCATAGCCTTGGGATCATCGAAGAGGAACTCCGCAAGTGCCTTGGTGAGCAAGGTCTTACCGGTTCCAGATGGACCGCAGAACAGGAAGCTGGGCGGCGAGTTGGGGTTGCTCAGGCCAGATCTCTGCAGGCGGATGGCATTAGACACGGATGTCACTGCCTCCTTCTGGCCAACGACGATCTTGCCCAGATGCTTCTCCATGTTCAACAGCTTGTCCTTCTCGGTGGTCTTCAATCGAGTCACAGGGATACCAGTCCAGCGAGCGACGATTTCGTTGATCTGGTCAGGTCCCACGGCATCTGCCAGCAAAGCCTCTCCAGCATCTCCTTGTGTCGCCCGTCGCTCAGCATCTGCCCTATTGCGCTCCTGCTCGAGTCGCTCGATGAGAGCCTTGGTCTCGGGAATGGCGTAGTACCCAAGGTCGGCTGCAGTCTGGGTGTCTCCGGAGCGCTCGGCTTCGTCTCTCTTGACATTGAGATTCTCGAGTTTCAACTTGGCGTCTTGGATGGCTTTGCTGCGCTGCTTCTCACTCTCGTACTTTTCACGGAGAGGTCGCAGTTCTTCGGCCACATTTGCGGCCTCCTGCTTGGCAGCCTCGAGGCGGGCCTTGGAAGCGTCGTCCTTCTCACGTTCCAGGGCGTGAATCTCAATCTGGAGCTGGCGAAGCTTTCTCTCCAAGTTATCCAGGGCCTCGGGCTCGGATTCACGGGTCACGCGGACAGCAGCAGCAGCTTCGTCAATAAGATCGACTGCAGAGTCCGGAAGTCGACGGGCAGTGAGGTAGCGGGCGGCCAGTTCCGCGGCGTTGACAATAGCACCATCAAGGATGTTTACACCGTGATGCACTTCGTACTTCTCCTTCAGACCGCGAAGAATGGAGATGGTCTCGGAAACGGAGGGCTCCTTGACGAGGACTTGCTGGAACCGTCGTTCGAATGCCTGGTCCTTTTCGATGTATTTGCGGTATTCGCCGAGCGTCGTGGCTCCAATGCAGTGAAGTTGACCACGGGCCAGCATGGGTTTGAGGAGATTGGCAGCGTCCATGCCACCTTCGCCGCTCGAACCGGCACCCATGAGAAGATGGATTTCATCGACGAAGAGGACGATGGTGTCCTTGGATTCCTCGATCTCCTTAAGGACACCCTTCATGCGTTCTTCAAACTCACCACGGTACTTGCTTCCAGCGACCAGCGCGCCGACATCGAGAGAAAGCAGCTTGCATTGGGCGAGGTTGGCGGGCACATCGGCGTTCACGATACGACGGGCCAGCCCTTCGACAATCGTGGTCTTTCCGACACCGGGCTCACCGATGAGTACGGGGTTGTTCTTGGTGCGACGACTGAGGATGCGAATGACCCGTCGGATCTCTTCTTCTCGACCGATGACAGGGTCGATCTTACCCTCGCGGGCCAATGACGTCATGTCAATAGTGAATTTCTTGAGGTTTTCGCTTTCGCTCTCGGAGTCGGCGGTCTTGGAATCGACGCGTTTGCTGCCTCGGATTTGCTGGACAGCCGTTTCGATAAGCTTGGTGTTGGGAATGTTCGAGTCCGCCAATGCCGACTGCACTTGGGAATCCTGGGCAACAGAGATGATGAGGTGGTCGATGGCGACAAAGCTGTCTTTCTGGGTTTTGGACAGGTCGGTTGCGGTACGGATGACCTTGGCGAGCGCTGGCGAGACACTGACGGTCTCTGGCGGGGGGTCCTGACTCGGTAGACGGACCATCCGCTTCATGAGAGCCCGATCGAGGAGCTGGGGGTCGCCATGGGCACGCTCGACGACCTGGCGGAAGAGGGAAACGGAGGCACCATCGTGAGAGGGGTGAGCGGGCACCTGTTGGTCTTGAGATTCGTCCGGAGAAGGATTAAGAAGGGAGTAGGCGAGGTGAATGGGGAGGATTTGGGAGTGGGCGTATTGTTCGGCCAAGCCGCTGGAATCCAGCAAAGCTTTGTTGGCTCTGTCAGTGAGTTGAGCCCCGTTCATTGTGGAACGGCTGTATGTGAGATATTAGATGAGGTCAGATTAATCAGATTAAGAGATTAGTAGATGTTGCGTGAGAATAGAGAACGGGCCTAGCAAGGCGAGACGAGATGAAGATATAGTCGTCAGCTTGGGCAGCTTTTGTTATTCCGGAACATGCGACTGCACCCATGACGACACGAGTGGCTTCGACCGCCTTCCAGAACCACCTGGACGTCACGTGTAAGGACTGATCGGATCACGTGACCATAAGGTGGAACGACCAAATGACATACTGATGAATGTCGGGTGATGTTTTCCACTGTCTGTGTTTCATAGCAGCAACGCTAAGGTGCATGGGTAGAAAATTCTTCCACACCGGAGAAGGTCCCTTCAGCTCTGTCCCAAGTGGAGCGATGTCTTACCTGTAGCTGTAGAGGGGATTACCTAGATGGGAAAGCCTCGGCTCATCAATTACATAAGCCGCATAGGGCACCGCATAGCTACCCGCCAATCACAGCCCACGGAGTCGAGATACTTCATTTCGACTGCTTCAATTTCCTATAATAGGTACCTACTTACCCGGCGTCCTTTTGAAGGTGCAGGTACACACACCAATGCATCCACTGCCACTTCATCCCATCACGCAATTCCGTCCTTCAGACACCGGCGCCAACAGCGCTTCCCCCACGTTGCAGAGCATTCGCCATGATTGGCATGTCTCACGGGGCTAAGATTACTAGTCCATGACACCTACCCCTCTCTGCCCGGAAGTGTAATCATCAGAATATTAATAGCAAGCAGGATTAATCTCTCATGTTAAGGCCGTGGGGGGTGGCTACGGGTGGAGGACTGCGAGCATCCACCACGGGCATCAGCGTTGGCCAACGCACCTTATCCTATCCGCACTCGATCTCGATTGATTTTGCCTTTCGTCTCTCAACATGATTCACATCAATCCATCGATCCAGTTGGCTTTTCTCCTGTGAACAGACTCCTGACTCTCCCGGAGTCATCCCATTTCCCCCATTGAGAGCCAGGGAAATATCCTCCAGCCCGTCCATGACGTCAAAGGTGGAAACCCCCAAGAGATGCTCGATCGTCTGGATGGCTTGTTTGCAGCCACGATGACCGGGATGCTGTGCACCTCGTCCACTCGTTCTCCCCGTCGACGCAGGAGCCTCTTGCCCCAGCCATGGCTCAGGAACTCGAGTCCACTTCGGGCGTTGTCCAGACGGCCATCGCCCAACGGGGTCATCTAGCCTAGGTGCGCCATCCGAGCTCAGATGTAGATCGTAATCCGTATTGCTCCCTTGTGGTGTGGGTGGAAGTCTCGTCCGAGTGCCGATGAAGATGTCAGTCCATCATCGCAGTTGTCATAGACATCCACATTCCAGTCTGACTGTCGACATTAGGAATCATCTTCCGCAACCAATCATGGCCGCCCAGATGTCCAGTCGCGGCGTCTGTCTGCAAGTGATCCAACAACGCTTACGACCGTATGTATATGGACATGGATTAGTGTAGTAGTTCATGTATTGTAGCATAGCACTACCTAGTATGTACTATACTTGTAGGACCTTCTTATCTCGGGCTGGACACACGCCGAACCTGCCCTGCAGAGCGATTATCCGTTCAATTTGCGTAATTTGCGTTGTGCTTTTTTTCCCTGGCCCGGATTTGACTTTTCGAAGGGCCCCCTCTCGCCGGTCCACTTATCGTCGTCCACAGCCAACAACTGCTGCTCCTATAAAACCCGCTTGCCACCCTCCTCGTCTGCACTTCGGACCAGCCACGCTTCCTCAGCTCTTTGCAGCCTGTGCAGCCGTACGCGATACTCCGGATTCTCATCCTGGTGCTGTCCCTGTCGGGATCGTCCGCTAGCACGGTCTCGTTCGAGTGACATCAGCCTCTCAGTAGCTACGCCGGTGGTGAAACTCCCTGGTCGATAGTGAACCGTTCGATAGAGTGGACAGGTCGAATCACCCAGATCTGATTGTCCAGTTGACACCGTCAACATGTCTCAGAAACCAATTTTCGTTGCAACCCATCCCCGCGCATGTTCCACTGCGTTTGAGCGAGTTCGTGCTCCACCCCTGTCGTCTACGAAATACTAACAGCATATACAGGTCTTCATGACTCGCCGGGACACCATCCAATGTGTCCACGAGCCGTTCGGCGACGCCTTCTACTATGGCCCCGAGCGACTCGGCTCCCGCTACATGGGCGACGAGCACGCACAGACCCGCCGCGAGAGCGGGTTCGGCGACTCGACCTACAACACCGTGCTGGAGAGAATCGAGCGTGAAGCCTCCGAGGTCCGACCTTCCTGCTTCCCCGTAGACCATGGACGTCCGCTCTTCAGGACGTCCATCTACCCTCCCTCCCACTCCCGTATCCCAGTCGGATCTCCTTCACCTCTCCACGCACTGGCCCATACCGTTCCACCGGTTGGATGAAGACATACTTACCTCGAACAGGGCAAAAGAATCTTCATCAAGGACATCATGCACTACCTGCTCCCGCCGGACGGCAAACCCGCCGACATCGCTCCGTCCCTGAACCGGATCAAGCGCGGCGTAGGCACCGACTCCTCCGTAGAGCCATCTCCCGCTGCTGCCCCTGCCTCTAAGGCGGCGGCAGCAACCCCCGAGGAACGCGGCAATCCCACCGTGATGCCCAGGGAGCTCCTCTCCCGCTTCCACTTTGCGTTCCTCATCCGCGACCCGCACTACAGCGTGCCGTCGTACTACCGCTGCACGATCGCCCCGCTGGACGACGTGACCGGCTTCCACTACTACGACCCGTCCGAGGCCGGGTACGACGAGCTGCGCCGCACGTTCGACTACCTGCGGCGCGAGCGGCTGATCGGCCCGCACATCGCGACCCGTGAGCAGGACGCCGACGAGCTCGAGGGCCGGCTCAAGCCGGTCGGCGCCCCGGGGAGCCACGCTGCGGGCGACGAGATTTGTGTCATCGATGCGGATGATCTGCTCGACAAGCCTGCGGCCATGATCGAGGCGTTTTGTCGCAGCGTCGGCATCGAGTATGACCCCTCCATGCTGGACTGGGATAACGAGGCGGATCAGAAGTATGTCAACGATGCGTTTGATAAGTGGAGGGGGTTCCATAATGATGTTATCGAGTCGAAGGGGCTCATGGCACGGACGCATGTAAGTTCCGGTTCTTCCTGGAGGTGTATAGGAGTGTCAGCATGGTGGACAGCAGCTAATTGTGCAGGAACGCCCGGTCAAAACGGAGGAAGAGTTCGACGCCGAGTGGCGCAAGAAGTACGGTCCGGAGGGCGCGGCCCTCATCCGTCGGGCTGTCGACCAGAACATGGCGGACTACCTGTACATGAAGCAGTTTGCCATGAAGGTGTAGGCCATGGGTGGAAACGAACGAAAGAATGAATGAATGAATGAGACGGGAGATTGCTTGTGGAGGACCCCGCTTTACTTATGTTGTGTGTTTCTATGATGATGATCATGATGAGATCTTAGCTCTGATGACGCCATTTGATACTGCCTGTTCATTCGTGATGCGTGCTGGATCGGAACTCTATTCTGCATGTTGGGAGATTGTCTCTATCTAGTTTGTCCGTTATGTTGCATTCATCCGTCTTTTGAGCATATGTAGTCGTCATCCGTAGGGTTCAGCTCTACCGAGTACTGTAGATCTCTCCAGATGGAGGACACGGGTAATGCAGGTCAATTCCCTCTACAAGTACACGACACAAATATCCAAAATCACGCAATGTACGGTTGAATCGTAACGAACCATGAGTCTGCAGCATGCTCACCAGCCAAATACATCAACCAAAAACAACCCAACCACAACCACTCAAAACCCCTCATACAGCACTGTATCCCCCCCGCGAGCCCGTCCCCTGCAACGTATTGATCACCCGCCGCAGCCAGTCCTGGAAGATATACGGGACGTCGCGGATGGTGTCACCGTGCGGGAGGAGGTCCCAGCCACGCGCCCCGTAGCGGTTGTAATTCAGCCAGGAACCGAAGATGAGGTAGGCGGCCACGACCATGAAGACACTAGCCGGTCAGTACAACGCATTCCAAGCAGACAAGAGAACAAGAGTAAATAACAGACAACTTACATCAGAATCATCCACGTAAAGAACCCCCAGTGTCCGGACGAATCCCCCTTCTTATCCTCCAGGTAGTGGTCGCACGCATACCGCGTCCGCCAGTCCAGCCGCAGGACGTACGAGTCATCGTCCGCCGGGCCGAAGCTCTTGAACGTCAGACTGTGCGGCCGGTCGCCATCACCACCGTCAGCGGGGGGCTCCTCGCCGTCCTCGCGGGCGCGCAGCCGTCTCCGCGCCGGCTCGCCTTCATCCTCATCCTCATCTTCATCCTTACCGCTCACGTCAGACAAGCCCTCCAATCCCGACCGGTCGGGATCACACTGGAACTCAATCACCGCCCGCGCGCTCTTCTTCTTGTGCTCGTCGTCGAGGTACTCGCCGCCCTCCATTTTGACCTGCAACCCCTCGCGGTCGGCGTCGATCTGCTTGAGCCGGGTGACTTCGGCGTCTTTGGTGCCGTGGCCCAGGGGGTCGAGGCCGACGATCGGGAAGGCGCGGCTGGACTCTTCGAGGCCGTCGCGGGAGGTCTTGTATTCGAAGCCGCAGACTGGGGGATAGATAAACGTTAGCTGTGAGGTAGCGATAGAAAGGGGGACGGGGAAGTACTGTTCTTGCTGGTGCCGCATTTGAGATGTCCGCGGATCGCCGAGCCCTTGAGGATGTTGCAGATGTTCAGCACGTAGGTGGTGTTGGTGATGTAGTCGTCCGACTCGTTGATGACGGAGAGCTCGTGCACTCCGCCCAGGGCGCTGAGGTCATATTTGAAGCCGTCGGCGCGGATGTTCTTGCAGTCGAAGGTGCCGGAGGCAGCGGTTAGAGCTGGCAGGAAAGAGGTGATAAGGAGGGAAGAGGGTATTCGCATGGTGATGGGTGATGCAGTGCGGTCGGTCGTGCGGGCAGTGGATTGCGTGAGAGGATGAGGAGCTGAGCTCCGTCACGGTAGATCACGATATAGATACGTAGTCTGTGATCAGAAGTAGTGAGTCGTGTTTAGGGGTCGAAGACAACAGCGTAGGCTGGAGATCGAAGAAGAGAGAAACGAGCTGTGGTGGAGAGACCGATAGCCCGAGTTGTTTCTCCGACCTTGCATCATTCTGGCCGCCAGCACTCCCAATGCGGACTGAGGATGATGATGTCACCTGATCCTGCCAGCCCTGCACAACAACAGACCATCTAAACAATATCGTCTCATAGATATTCTTCTTACACTATTCCCTACAATCACTGTCTATTACCAGTACCTGAATCCCTCACGATGGCCCTCTAGACAGTACTGCCGGCAGTACTCAAATCCCCATCCCGCACAGACCACGTCTCCCACTTCTCCCGCCGATAAAAACACATAAAACCACCCGCCGTATCTTCAACCCCATATTGCCAACATGATGCAACGTCGCATGGTGCGTCTCCTTCCTCTCCCTCCTAGACCCCGTTCTCACCAAAGCAGCTATCAAAAGAAGACGAAGTCGCCGCCGGCGACGACACCGAGGTGCGCCGCGAAGACCAAGAAAAGATCAACCGCTTCAGTCGGCTGCACCAGCGACAAACCGTTCTGGAAGGACAGTTGAAAGCAAAGCTGGTGCGTGCATCTGAAACCATGGACGTGCAACTGCACTCTCTATATTGCAATTCTAATACCCCCCAGAAAGATAAAGAAGACCTCGAGGAGATCTCCACGGAGCTGGAACTCGCCGACGAGGATGAATTAGTCCCGTATGTTCGCCGCCCCTGACTCATCCTGTGTGTGGAGTGCCATGAACGGCTGTATTGATCGCCTCTTCAGGTACAAAATCGGCGACGCCTTCGTCCAGCTCCCCCTGACGGAAGCCCAGGAGCTTCTCGCAGACTCTACCCAGCAGATCGATGCAGAAGTGTCGTCGCTGGAGGACAAGATGAGCGAGCTGCGCGATGAGCTGCAGGGGCTCAAGGTTGCGCTGTACGCGCGCTTCGGGCGGAGTATTAACCTGGAGACTTGAGAGCGTGGTTGCATTGATGAATGAACAATGATAATGTCTGGCTGTTTCATGTCCAACACAGTCTGCTTTACCTACTATACTTCCTGTTCCTGATAGAAAATAATTAAGCTCGTCAGTGCCCTTCTCTGAGTACCTGAAATAATAGAAAAAAAGGAGTTTTGGTGCAACGCATCAGGTTGATGCTTCAATCAATATCTATCAATAATAAACTATGTACAGAGTAATAAGGTCGTAAGACATAATCTCATCTCGCGTGGTCCACAAATTTTAGGCAGTAAGGAAATAGAAATACAGCCCATAGCTCACCGCCGCAGTCACTGTCTTGAGGTCGAGAAGCGGTCGTTTATCAAACAAGGCGAGTATATGCAGATGAAGCACAACGCAACACCACCCAGTCCAGAAACCGCTAATCATACAACAAATAAGCGTAGAAATCCCGCATTATATGATGCTCGCAATGGTCATTCGGGAAGCCGTCCGCTGCGCAGCCGCTTCGTCAGTACTGGCCGGTCTTTCAGGACTAGGGTAAGCCGATTCACTCGACTTCACACGCGGCGAGACGGGGCGCTGTTCGTAATCCATCGGCTGCGGCTGGGCTTGCTGTCGTTGTTTTTCGCTCAGGAAATACTGGATCGTCTTTTCGACCCACTCCCAACCTTCCCAGCTCTCCGCCTCCCCCGTGGACAGATTGTCCCGTCCACCCGGGTGCGGGTGGGGAGGTGGACCGTCGAGTGCGGCCTCCAGCTGGGATCCGGTCTCGCTTCCCTGCCACGCCCAGCTGCCGTCATTGGAGCCTTGCATATCACCCGATGCGTAGACCATCAGTTCCTCGTCGCGTTCGGGGTCCACGGATTCCGGGCGCTGGACTCGCTCGAGCAGCTGGTGGAGGAAGAACGCAATGTACCGTCCACACGCCGCGTTCACCACGCGCGAGTCTCCGACTACAGCCAGAGCCTGCACACAGACCAGCGCGGCGGCGAACTCTTGACGCAGAAGGAGCAGTAGAACGCAGCGCCAGATGTGCGTGCAGAGGATGGTGTTTGCGGATGACGCCAGCAATGGCCGCCAGTCATCGACATCTGTGTGACCGGGCGGTGTTCGCATGCAACGCATGAGCAAGCTGGCGGTATCTTTGCAGGTGGACATGCAATAATCCAGGGCCGACGCGCGAACTTCGGGGGTGCAGTAGGGGGAGATGTTATGACGATGGAGGATGAGACGGGCGTTCTGGAGGTGGACAACGGGAGCGAGGCACCGGGGATCGAGATACTGGTCGGACGTAGGGTGGTATTGCGGTGGGAAAACGGCGAGGCACGCGTGGAAGTGACGTTCAAAGGTGTCTATCGTGGCGGGGCTGATGCTGCAGCTTCTCAGTGTCCGACATAGCTGGCCAATCGATCGCACGACATGAATCGTGGCGAGAAGCGGAGTCGTCTGTTGACTCTCCGGCACGCATCCGCCTTCGATGCCTTGTTCTTCCACCGGACACGGGAGACCAACGTCGCAGTCTTGATCGTTGATCAGAACAGGCTTTCCCATTTCCAAAGCCAGCAGCCTAGGTAAGAATGCAGTCAGCATAAGTTCTATGCAAGTGTTGGATGATCACAAACCTGTCCCACGCATACATCCCCCACCATACCCGCTTGCGTATTTCACCGTCGAGGACAGACCATGGGCCAGATTCCAAATGCAGTCCGATCTCCTGCGCCACTCGCACCGCGGAGCCAATCCATACCCAACTAGCCGATTTCGCGTTCACCTCATAAAGGAAAATGCTAGCCAGCAGAGCCGCGCGCGCCTGGTCTAACGTGAAGTCGTCCTGCCATACGTCGATCACCCCGCACGAAATCCGTATAAATTCCTTGCCATTTCGTTCGCGCGCGTCATCCAAGGTGTGTAGGGAGCCGCAGGCGAAAATCCCAAATAGCACGGCCGCCCATTCCCTCGGGACACCAAGGAGAGACCCAGCTTCATACACCTTTTCGTAATCGACGACAAAACTTGGCCAATGGATGACCGGTAGCACGGAGTGGATGCAGGAGAAATACTGGGCGAGAAGACGGTCCGCAACCTCTTTCGAAGGGAGCGCAGGGGGGTCGCTGGCCAACAGTGACTTCGAACCCTGCGGACGATATGGCGCCGGGACTTTGATGATGCCTCGCCCGTAGTTTCTCAGATTTGCTCGCGCTTCGGTGAGATCCTGCGTGACCGGCGCCTTGGGGCGGCGCGAGGGCCGATACCCCAGGTCGGGGAGTTTCAACTGGGGCTGACCCGTTCCATCGATGTCGAGATCCATCAGGTTATCAGACCGTAGCATACCCGAGCGCAATTGTTGCAGCTGTTGTCTGGTGGAGGACAGCTGTTTCTCCAGGTCTTGTACTTGTCTAAAGCCAGTCAGCTTCAACCCTTCCTGATGGCGGAGATCAGCACGCACTTGATAGACGACATGCGCCGGTTGGTCTCCTTGGTGAACTGACAGCGCACTTTCCGATTGGTACATTCGGTGCAGCTGGACGATTCCGAGGCGTCACACTAGAAGGTAGTCAGTATCGGTCTGGCACACCCGATTGCGCCCCGAGTCCGGGAAAGAGCGAAATACCTTGACTTTGCGCTCCCGACAGGCATCACAGCTGGGGTCCTTCCTGCGCTGCCGATAGGCTCTCTTCTGCTGTAGGGGTTGATGCGGATGTTGCTGCCCCGCGCCTGCGGATTGACCCATGAGACCCGACGCAGAGCCGTTCAGCGACTGCGCATCCTGTAGGATGGTCGCTCCGTCGGCGGGCGATCCACTGGATTCATAGGATCGCGAGTAGACCGGCGGTTGAGGGGGAGAGGGATTCTGCAATGGGTGTGGCAGCGGCTGCAGAAGATGCGGCATGCGCAGTCCGCTATCCGGCCGACTGGGCGGAGCGGAAAGATGCGGCGGAGGAGGGCCATGCTGGAAGGGACCAGCGGGCGAAGTCACCGACTGCACGGGTGGAAGGTCATAAGAACCGCCCGGTTGGCTCTGGCTAGTCGATGGGCGAAAGTAATGGTTCTGCATGTCGAACCCTATGCGACCCGCTCATAAGGGAGACAAAGAATAAATAAAAATAGACGCGACAGGACCAAAAGGAGGTAAAGCACGAGGAGATTGTATGGCACTCGTGAAGGTGTAGGAATTCCCGAAAGTAGGGGACTCTCACGCACAACCCGCCGGACGGACTGGAGAAATCCAAGTCGCAGTCGTTGTTGAAGACAAAGGCAACGGCTTGTGGGGGTAGTAGAAAAGGATAGACTAGCTGGGACGGCTAGTACGAATTGGCGTAGTGGTGGCCGTCCGGTTTGCCTGGACCGTAGCAGAAAGACCCGAGGCTCCCAGGACGGTTAGGTAGGTATAGGCAGAGGGGAAAGAAAAGGAAACGGTGCCGGAAGAAGAACGGGGGGGAGATGGTGGTGGTGGCGACCCCAAATGGGAGATGTCGCGCGACAGGGGAAGAGAATAATATAATAGGGTAGGGTAATATAATAAATATATGATGACAACAACAATAATAATAATAATAATCAAGACGAGATATTGTGGCTGAAGAGAGCCAGACGAAGGACTCACCACAACAAGAGAAGAATGGACGGGAAGAAAAGAAAATAAGGGAGCAGCAGGACGAGCGGATAGGGTGGGATCTCCACTTCACAAAAGGAGTAGGAGTTGTTAGTTGGTTGATTGATTGATTATTGAGTATGACCGTCACAGCGAGTCAGAGCATGACAATTGCATTATCGCATCATGAAGATGCCGGTGCAATGTGGTCTTTGTGAATCCCGTCAGTTTAGATGGGAGGAAACGTTGAAGAGAAAGCAACGAAAAGAATAAATAGAAAGAATAGAAAAAGGAAGGCCTCGAGAATGCTCGATATCAGACCCTCAAGAACCAGATCGACAGACGAATTCCCCTTTGCAACGTCCAGGGTCTTTCTAAGCACCAGGAATCGCCGCCGAAAGTCTCTCGGCTTCCCCCGGTTGAATAACATTATGGAGACTCTGATTATGATTATGACTATGGACTATGGACTACGTGGTTGTTCTCATCAACAAACCATCACAATTGTATAAAAGTTATAATAACGCCTATAAAGAATCGGAATCAGTATAGTAGATGATCAATACCCATCACTCTCACTATTGTTCATCTCTACATAATACATAATACTGGAGACACCACCTACAGGTGCCATGGGTCTGTCAAGGAATCTTCTGCCGACATCCTTTTGACTTTAGCTTATTCCTTAGTGAGTTTGGCCGTAGTTTGGTTGGGGTTTCGCTTGCCTTTGCGTTTTTCGGTTTTTTCCCGGACTCCTTGGCATTTTTATTTTTTTTTAAATATTATTGAATATTTTTAAAATTATCATCATCCTTATTATTATCATACTTCTAGTACGCCGTAATAATGATTGAGAGGCGATACGAACGAACCGTCATCTCATGGCTACACAGCATTGGACCATCCAGCCTCGTCCCAGGATCCGGCTAGTTCTCTTCGTCCACCAAAAGGCTCCTAATTCAAGCATTAGGGGACACTTGTCTCTCGGAGAGCTGTCCCGAGGTCAATCTAAAACGCCATCCGAGAATAGCGCTTCTGGGGGAGAATGACCCAACAGCCTTCCATGGTTCCGTTCGCCCTGGGTTTCCGTTCCGACGACGGTGCATGGTCTGACACTGATCTAGATGTGACATCTTCGTCACCCTCTTACCTTCATCAGATGACTGCATAGAGTCTAAACGGATCCAATTCGCATGGTTGAGCCATCAGCCAGGCTAAAGATCTATCCGAGTCGCGACTTGGCGGGAGATCAGACCTCTTGCCTAACGTTGAGGTCTCCCGAGATCGGCGGTGGCAGTGTCCTCCGTCGTCTGCCTCACGATCACGACGTGTCCCTGGGTGTTATCCACGGTCCACGGTCCCACTCCTGGCGTAGGCTGGTAGCAATTACCTAGGTACCGGGGGGTAGCTAGTAGCTAGGTTGGATCAATCAGCGCTCGCCAGTGACATGCTCTGATCAGAGTTTCCCGTCTGCACTGGTCTGCAATAATGGTTCGCCCAAGGATCCTCACGGCAACTCGGTGGACCTGCGCACGCGCTGCCCTCCTGTCCGAAGTAGTACATGTACTTTTTTAGCTCATGGAGGACAGCACGCAGAGTTAATTGGCCTTCCCTACCTTATTCTCCTGCCTCTGCCGGATGATTGGCCCTCGTTTTGCGGGTTGCCATTCTTATTCGCTTCACCGATGCCGATTGGAGCCTTGTGCTCCAGATTCGGTGGGATCCTGGGATTCCCCCCCTTGGAGGGCCTGGGGTATAACCTGGCCTGCTATTCCTTCAACCTGTCGGAACCCCCGGCAGAAGACACACATCCCACCAATTCCCTATCTTGGACATCCTCCGTCCACTGTTCGGTGTGCGCTTCGATCCTAGAGCAAACTCGCCCTTCTTCCTCACCCTCCTACTCCGTAACCCCCCTAAAGAAGCCAAACCCACGCACAAGTGGACATCAGCATGGTGTGACGATCGCTCGGAACCCGCCCATCGGAAGCGGCCATTGGAGGAGCCACATGGGCGACGGATGTTGAACCGGGACGGTAAGACGAGGCTAGCGGGTGGAGCGGGTGATAACCTGGCTTTGATGGGCGATTAACGCTGCTGTGGCGACCTGATGGTCAGAGGGAAAAAGGAAAGGGGAACGATTGTCCCTGCAGAGAGCCCGAGAGGTGATCCCCGCTCCCAATCATCGCCCGTCCTCTGTTCCCCGGAGATTTTTCGCTGCCCGCCTGCCATCTCTGGGTCCGCGTTTCGCCCGACCCTCCTCCGGCGGTCTGTACATACTGTACATACTCTTCACTATTTGATATCATTCAGGATTTGATAATCTGGACGACAATAACACCCTCTGCTATTGCCAAAGCAAATACCGAAGATGTGGGCCGTCTGCCTCGTGCTCGTGGCGGTGTCGATCGAGACTAAGTCGACTAGTTAGGTACATTCATACTCCGTACAGTAGAGTAAGTAGTATGTAGACTACGTAGGTTCTTCCATCTGCATTTGCTTTCGGTCTGGCCCAGCCGGCCCCATCATCGTGTCCTTACGGTGGTCTGTCCTCCGTACTGGGTCTTCTCGTGCGATAGACTGTCCACCTCGTATGCATGCGAATGATGTATCACTCCAATTTAGCTTCCTCCTATCACACCCCGTGCTTTCCACCCACCCGTCCCTCTCCTCGAAACACGCCTCCGTCAGGACCCCCTCGGCGTGCATCGGCAGGATTGGGGGCCCGAGCTCCTCGTGCTCTTTCTTCCCACTCTCGCCCGCGAGCTGCCCAGGAGAAGAGTGGGGAGCGGCCGCAAAACCACGCGGAAATATTCTCCAACGCCCTATAGTCGGGTTGATCGGATCCGCAGCTTTTGGTGGGTTGCGCGGCTGGGAAGAGGGCCGATCAGAAGACAAAAAAAATGAAGTCCACTGCGCGGTAGTCCACCGCCCAGTAGGGAGGGGAGGGAGGCTGGTTCCAATAATAATACACCCATCCCGCCCTGATGCATGGTCGTGATGGTGCAGACGCAGACGTACCCTCAGACATATCACGCTGCAGGGCAGCTCGAAACGGAAGGGTTCCGATGGCCCTTCTGCTTGGTTGATGGCGTGGTTGTCGGGCGGGGGGGGTTCGTTGGGGATGACACGGCTCCTGTGTAGAGCTGTTTGTTCCCCGCACAGTGATCACGGCATGCAGTAGCCAGGGCTAGCATTATTAATATTGCTGATCGTATAATTTGGGGTATATCTAGTGATGGTTGGTCTGGATGTTAGTCGACGGCGATGATCGGAGCTATGGTCATGATGGGGGACATCCGGCGTAATCCGTCGAATACAGACTGATTCATCCCATCAGACTACCTCCGTAAATAGAGATGAAACAGCCTGGGACGGGCCGAGATCTGCTCATAATGAATAGCAATGTTTGAAAAATGGCGATTCATGTTGTTCGATGGAGCCTCTGCACGAGACGTCGAGGGCCGTGCACCAATCAATGGGAGCTGACGGGGGAATATAACTCGAAATAGAGCACAATCCGACTCAACATTCTGATATGTTGAAGAAACAAGCCGGCGCACGAGATGGCTGGACCGCCAACCTTGCATGGCGGGTCTCCTCCCTGTTCCCGTTAGTCCAACTCAAGCCCCCCGGCTAGCGGATTAGACCAAACGGCTGTATACTCCGGGCCGACACAAACAACTCGTCAGGACGCGAGCGAAGGCGGCCTTGCGCGATATTCCACGGGAGATGCCCCATTCGGCAGAGCCAACCGGGTATGTTCTCAATCGAATTACGTAGGAGGGTGTACTCCGTATACAGGAGTGTATGGACAGGTATACCTCCCTCAGACCCTAAGCACTAACCCTATCACCGACGGAGATCTCGGTCGGTTCCGTGGCCTGAAACCGTCAGCACGCAGCGGGTCTGTCTCGTGTTGATGCCCTAGTCGATAATAGCGCGGCAGTAAGATGCATGGGTAAAATGACAACGGTCCACGTGGGCCATGCATTGACCTACTCGCCAGGCCTGTGGCGTCCGGCCATTGATCCGTCTCGCTGCGCAGGGCCCGGTCGTTTGTGGTCGGAACAAAACACCGCGTCGTCAACACTGCTCAGTCGTCTACTCCTACTTGTCTGCCGTGTTTGTTGCCGGGAAGGGAGTCTCTTGCCTACTTTGGAAGCCCTCTGGCGAGGACGGAGAAAAAGCAATTATCCCATCCTCCCCGCCTGATTCTCCCGCCTGGCCAGAGGTCAAGACTCTTCCGCGCATTGGTGTTGCAGATTTCTCATGTCCTGACTCAGTTCCTGCATTCAACCTGATCTGCCTGAATCGGATGTGTTCGGCCTAGAAACAAGAAACCTCACGACACGAGACTGACTAGTTAGTACCGACAGTATCTATGTGGACATGGCCTCCACCCAACAAGCTTATTGGCTTTTTGTCCCGGCGGTAATCCGTATACCACAACAAGAACAAGAATCCAAGTTCCCAACGAGCCATGGGAAATGACGCTGCTCCACTCCGGAGGTCCAGCCGTCTCTCGGAATCCATCCCGAGATCACTACGGAGTACTAGCCTGTTTTCCAGCGGGAAACTGCGTTTCCCGTCGGCTTGTTGTACAGTACAAAGTGGCTGGTTTTGCTTATTGTTCTTATATGTAGCATTGGATGGATACTGACTGGTCAATTCGGTCCCATGTAAATTATCTTTCTCTAGTGCGGCAGTCATGACACATGTCAAGCCTGCCCTTGGAGCAGGCTCGCTAATCGCAAGGAATGCGGAGTATATATCCAGATTAGAATGTCTCCAACCAAGAAAGTCTCCCCAGGAAGACGCATGCATGCAACCATGCAGGCCTATATCCAACCGGGTTCGACGGCTGAAGACGCCACGGTACAGAAATAGAGTAGCCGCGTGCTCGGAAGCTCGGAAGTTTCTATCTTTAGGGTATGGCGCTGTCATCAATTCCCTGTTTTCCCTCGGCTAAGGTAACCATTCTTCTGTAGTCTATTGCGCAGGATCATGGTGGATTGCATGCGTCGCATGAGCCCGAGTAAGCGAGATTGACTGCGGCCCCCCGCCGTAAAAATAGTGACCTGAATCATGGGCTGATTCAGGTTCATTCTTGCATGCGTCTGTCGGTGTGGGCCTCGGCCATCCCATACGGCGTACTCGGACATCACTTTCGTTTCGCTCAGCAACCGATCCGAGACGGCCGACAGAGGAAGTGGGTACCGATTGATATCGACGGATTCAATCCATTTCTATCCGGACCTATTCGGACATGCCGTGGCCGGTCTATGCATATTCTAGAATTGTACCCCGTAGGTCTTAGTGCCAGTCCACCTTCTCATAGGGAATCCGAGCAATATTGTGCAAGGCATTAGAGGAGAACGATATCGTAAACTTGATGACTGGAAGGAAAGATATTTGATCTAATTGACCTGGAGTCTATTGAAGAACGACACCCACTACAATCCTGATACACAACTACGCAGAGCCTACGCCTCAACGTGCGCAACCTTTCCACAGACCTTTAGACCCATCTCATGATCAAACCATCCCTCTTCATCGTCCCGAACTCTGCTCTTCCCATCCTCCACGCCAGCTGTGATGGCATAAATTTTAGAGATGGTCATCTTTGAAGGAGGCACATAGACACAACTAACGGAAGTGCGCTGCCTCTAGCATATGAGGCGACTGACGTGAAGGCTCTATTGCATAATGGTTGTTTATCAATATTAGTTCGCCTCTATGTCCGACTCAGATTACCAACCCCATGTCTCTGGCCATCTACAGCCGGTTCTCCCAACTTCTTCATCCATACCTTGGCCACGTAAACTTGTAGTCTAGCCTCTCCGCATCATAGTGGAACAATGCTATCAATTCTCTAGGTACTAACAGCAGCCGTCTTCTATGTTCTAAAGACGCAGCACAGACATAATAACAAAAAAAGACAACAATAATTACACCGCTCAACTTGCAACGCAAAACAACGCACTCGCTCGCCCGGCCGGTATACAAGAGTCAGATCAGTCGCAATCCCGACTTCTTCATTGCATACCTTAGCCATCTAAAGCCGTCCTGGAAGAATTGCACATGTTATAAGTTATTCTTTGCCTAGTGGTGGTGGGCCTGGCTATAGATGGCTCTACCCGCGTAGACCACATCCTTTCCTGATGAACTTTCTAAGCCGGCTGAGGGAAGCTAGTAATCAGTACCGTTCCTCGAGCCCATCGGGGTGATGATAGTTCTATATTACATCTCATATTGGAAATCCTGGAGCACCCATACCGAGCTCGCCAGTTCAAGAATCCCAATTCGAGAACTCGGGACAAACAGATTGAACTTAGGCGTTGGAAAGCACACACAATCAAACTGGAGCATCATGATTCCCCTATCTTTCAGCTAGGTTGGTGTCCTGGAGCGCATCACACTGGCCTGACAGACTGATCATATGATTCGCAGCAGTAGACAACGTCCTGTCAGACATCCACATGTGTTTTAGCAGGCTTGCAAAAGGACAAGCCACATGACAATCATTGGTAGCAGCAGCCTCAAGGGCATGAATATATTGCTGCACCAGGGAGGCGGTTCGGACGTGCTCGGCGCGAGCGAAGGCCCGAAGATGTTGGCCTTGTATAAGAAGACAGCATAGCATACTGTATACCTATCTACTTGTTAGCTCAATCAAGACCACACATCTCCTTTTCGCGCCGCATTGATCGCCTCGAGCACATAGGCACCCTCAGCACTCGACATGATGCCCCCAGGAAAGAGCAATGGTGTGCGCTTTTCTGGAGCAGTCCTGGAGAGGGCCTCGCCGGAGGGGCAATTCTCATGCACAGCTCTTGAAGAACCGACTGGAACGCAAAATCGTTGGCATATAAACAAACTCCTTGAAGATGCGCAACGTGGAACTCAACTGTGGTGATGCGTCTAGAATCATCCCAAGGGCGTTGCCACGCGGACTAGGAGCACCGAAAGTCATCCAGATAGCAGTAGTAATCCCCTCACCGTCGCTCTTTGGAAGCGTCCAAGATATCGTGAGCTGGATTACTCGATGCTCGATTGTAGCACGTGGCCATACTTGTGTTCCTACGTCGGCGCGGAGGCACAGACTTGGACAGTCGTTGGCCGTGAAGTGAGTCGACAGTGACGGGCCTCGCGACTAGAACGGTTGTTCCGTTCGGACAGAGATCTGGCGATCAACAATATACACAACTAGACGCTTGTTAGTGTTTTTCTATCGATGCATCAGGACCCGTCATTCCTTCGGGAACGTACATATCCATACTAATGCGGCTCTCCAGGACATGCCTCCTCCAGACGCTGGACGTACGAGTGTCGCAGCTCCATACTAGGTTATTATCGGTCTGTTAGCATTTGATATGCTTAGCACGAAGGCCTGCAGTATACTTTGGTCACGGCCTCATACATCTCTTTGAACACTTCGAGAGATCAACGCCGCTGATTTCGGCCGCAAGGTTGTGTGCAGGGAAACCAAGATAAACGAGAAGTCAGCTCCATTCGTGGGAGTCATGATGCTTGAATAATGTGTGTTGGTTTGGGCACCACGCAATTTCAATGAATAGATTGGATAGTTGATAGCTGTGAGCCGGCGGCTCGTACAAACCTCTGGTATATAGTACACCCATTGAAGGACGAAATACATGCAAACCTAGCCCTTTCAAGGACATATAACTGCCTTAAGCCCGTCCACAGCTGGACTATTGACCCTCTTTCATCTGAGCGCTGGTTTCCCCAAAATTCGTTCCCTCCGGTCATCTATAGCCTTCTATACCCGGAATCTTACTGAAAGCATGAAACGATTAGCTAGCGATGGCAAGACACGGTCAGAAATATCCCTGCTATGCTAGGCCTTTGGTTCAGACTGGACTTGAACGTGGACAGGAGGATTCAGGAACCAAAAGGCGCTGAGAGATACTCATAGTCAGACATATATATATATATATATATATATCGTGCTACAGTATCCACCCACCGTGTCCATGTCGGAACCCACTCAAGCCCTTGCAATTCAAGTAACAGAAATCCGTAATATCATCATCGTAATAAGCATTAGGTACCCCATGAAACATATATCGATTACATCGCTCTCTTTTCCCACCGTTCCATGACGACGTTCACAATCTTGGTAAGTCCCTCCATCTCTTCCTCAGGCATTAGACCAATGGCGGTAGGGTCAATGCTACAGCCCACATAAACAGGGACTTTTGTGCGTCGAGCTAGGATTTTGGCTATCCGGGCCGTGTATTCCTCGGTGCCAGGAGAGGTGTATAGTGTTGTTGATATGGCGGCACGTGAGTTTGTACGCTGTGATGGTGAGCAAATTTGTAAATAGATATTGAAGATCATGTCATATAAATGAATGACAGGTCAACTAATACAGTATAACAGTATATGCGTGAAAAAGCAAGAATATTGATAGAAAAACGTGTGCTATGTTTCTCAATTAGGTGATCACTTACATCAGGCATGGCATAGATAAAACTGCCCATCGGCCTGACCGAGCCAGCCGAGTCACCGGGCGTCGAGGTGGCCAGGAACACAGTCGCGCATGTGTCCAGGAGCGTCAGATGGATGTGAGCGGTAGTATGGAGGGCCTTGGGCAGAGGGAATGATATCTCTTGTGGTTGGAGACGAGGAGCCACGGGTTCCGTCGGGGTAGGCATTGTGGCGGCTTCCATGGTCTTCGAATGGAGACGGACGAGCAATCTGCGCGGTTGGCCGGGGTAGTTCCGACCTGGATGGTTCGAACGTGATGCTTTGCCTGGTGATGTTGAAGGGTGAGGTTGGAGGGACTCTCACTGGGCCTTAGTCACTCGGCGAGATTATTTGTTCCCCGCCAAATCGGGCGGTGGGTCCGCCATTCCTCGATGAATCTTCGGTGCATCTCGTGCTCTCAACTCCTTGTCTTCTTCATTGCACACCGCATTCTGGGGGTTCTCGCTTGGAAGTGATCCTCCAGTATCCTCGTACAAGACGCAGAGACGATTCTCGTGTTTTGTGACGGACAGCCCAGCGCCGGACTTGACACAGCCATGACACCGGAGGCGCACCATGTCGATGATTCAGAAGAAACACGCAGCTGGGCTGGGGATTTCGACCCATTGGCGGATCCAGATGAGCGAAGAGTGCTTTTTGCGACGTTTGATTCTTTCAGGTGCGTCTAGCTGTACGAATTAGGGTGTGGATTGATCGATACTACATGTATTCTCCGTCTGTATTCGTGATCGCGGAATAGTATCAACTTTCCTACGCAACCGTCTACGTACGAAGACTGACCCCTCCAGACAATACCGCCGGACGGCTCACATGAACACCACCCACCGTCGACGACAAGCGTTCTACGCGCTGCCATCGTCGCACTGGCAAATGCTAGCCGAGCCACCATTCTCGCTCCTCGACAACTTCAACCGCGTGGACGACGCCATCGACGTGAACGCCGAGATCGCCGACTCAATCCTCGCCACAGGGCTCTCGTCGTTTGGGATTCCCGCGCAGCCCGACGCCTCCGACCCGCGCCAGAACTGGCACGGCACGGCGACAGCGCAAGACGTCAACAAGGCGCATTCGACGATCCGGCAATTTTACCGCGACTGGAGCGCCGAGGGTCGTCCCGAGCGCGACGTCTGCTATGGACCCGTGCTCGAGGATCTCCGCGCGGAGTTCGGCGGCCGCCTCTCCGGCGCCGGCGACAACGCCGATGACGCGGAGGAAATCCGCGTGCTGGTGCCTGGCGCTGGGTTGGGCCGGCTAGTCTTTGAGATCTGTCGGGCGGGCTTCGCGGCCGAGGGCAACGAGATCTCCTACCACCAGTTGCTGGCGAGTAGCTGGGTCCTGAACCACACGTTGGGGGCGCGCCAGCATACACTGTACCCGTTCGCGCTGCATTTCTCGAACTTGCGGTCGCGGGAGCAGCAGCTGCAGAAGGTGATGATCCCGGACGAGCACCCGGGGAGTGCGATGCTCGAGGCGCAGCAGAGTGGTGGGGACGGGACACGGTTCGGGTCGATGAGCATGTCGGCGGCGGACTTTGTGGTGCTATATAGTAGCCCGTCGAATGAAGCGGCGTTCGATGCGGTGGCTACGGTATTTTTCATCGACACAGCGCCGAATCTCATCCGGTACGTGGAGGCGATCCGACATTGTTTGAAGCCGAATGGGGTGTGGATCAACGTAGGACCGTTGTTGTGGCATTTTGAAGAGGGACGCGGACCGAGCCATCGAGAGGGGAGTGAGCAGGCGCCTCAGCCTCCGACGATCCAGCAGCAACCGGCCGGGATTGGGGAGCCCGGTAGCGTGGAGTTGACGGAGGCTGAGGTGATTAGCCTCGTGGAGCGCATGGGATTCCGCGTGGAGAAGCAGACGCCGGTGGAGGAACGACAGACGTGCGGGTATATCCAGGATCGGGACAGTATGTTGCTGCCGCTGTATCGACCGGCGCATTGGGTCGCGCGGAAGGTCCAATCGTAGCAATTCAGCATGAAGACATGAGATTGGGATGACTTCTATGTATAGATGTAGAGACGGAGTGCGCCTTGTTGCCTGATATGGTGGGGACGGGTATCAAACGGGCTGTAATACCGGGATGGCGCTGTCAGCCGCAGTCAGCAAAGAACTCGGGTCGAGGCGGAGCAGTGGCTGTTCATGGATAGAGTAGAGTCGTATTTTAGATTGAATAGATTGGTGTGGTGAGTAGTGTATGTATAGCTCGAGAAAGTATCAATTACTATAGAATAATATATCTTGTATAGCTGGATCATATGGCAATATCAATCGACTGACTCTATACAAAGTGTCATCGTCCTCGGTAATGGGGCCGTCACAAACCATACCGCACAGGGCGCGAGAATCAAATTCCGAATGTAGTACATAGGAAGAATACATTTATGGGTAGAATAGTAGTTGAAGGTACTTATGGTTAAAGATTAGGCACTATTAGGTGATTGTAGCCCAGGCAATAATGGAATGGTTGGGAATGAAAGTGATTCCATCTACCTGGGTCCCTGGTAATCGTATCTACAACATGATCATCAATCAGCCTCACATTCCTCTCTCTGTCATCCATCCCCATTTCCATGCCTCTCGCTCGCCCCTCGCAACTTTAGTCGCTGTCTCGAGCATTCCTCTCTTCAATCCATAATCCCATCTTCGTCGCTCTCTCCTTTTCTCCCTCTGACAATCTCGCTGCCTGGTCCAATCAGTCTTCCCTCCGACCTCGTGTTTTTCCCCGCCCAAATCACCAAGCACTGCCTCTTTTTTCCCTTTTCTCACCTTCACTACTTTCTTCTCTTTATCTCTTCTGCCTCGCTCTCCCTCCGTCTTCCCTTTCTTTCAACCTCCCTTGTTCACCGTCATTTCTTCTCTTCTCTCGTCTCTCTCCTCCCTTCGATCGACCTCCTTCTCAGGTCGCACATGGACCTGATGAGCTCTCGGTTTAAGTCCTTCACCTTCCGGTCGAGATCCAAAAACAACATTCAACAATCCACTCCGCCGACTTCCTCGACGCCTCCTGCGCCCTCCAATCCCTCCACCAGCACACTTGTCGCGCCTCCTGGTCCGGCGTCCACCACCTCTGTCAGTTCCGCGCCCTCGGGTCACAGTTCGTCGTCCAGCGCCAGTCTCCCTATGAACAACAACCAGCTGGGCCGACCCCCCAGTTACTCCTACAACACCGCCCGGCCCACCAGCCCCCTTCCGCCCGGTCAACACCTCTCCCACCAACCCCCTCCCTTGAACACCAATATGCAGTATCAACCCAACCCGCAACCCATGGGCGCGCCGCCCGGCTACGGCATGCAACAAGCCATGGCACCGCACGGTGGGATGGCTCCCGGAATGCCCCAACCCCAGTACATGCGCAACCCCGCAGTGGAGGTCGAAGGCGCCGGCCGGAGTAAAGCCCAACTTATCGTCGGAATCGATTTTGGAACCACCTTCTCCGGAGTCGCCTTCGCCTTTGCGACCAACAATGAGGCCCGCGAGGATATCATTACTGAGTGGCCGGGTGCAGGAACCCACACCAAACAAAAGGTACTCTCCTTCTACAACCCCCACCTTCCTCCCACCCTTACCATGAACTCCCAAACTTAGTTCGACCTCAACCACTACTGGACTATATCTGACGTCGTGTTGTTTTCCTTCAGATTCCCACCGTGTTATACTACGACCAGTATCAAAAAGTGGTCGGATGGGGTCCGGATATCGCCGACGCTTTGGCCCCCACCGGCTATCCCAAACAAGGGGTGCAGAAGGTCGAATGGTTCAAACTGCAACTGATGCTGTCGGGCAACACATACATCGACCCTATCAACCTACCTCCTCTGCCACCAGGCAAGTCCGAGATCGATGTCGCCGCCGACTATCTCTTCAAGCTGCGCCAGGCCATGCGGGCGCAGCTGCAGAAGACCCTCGGCGAGGTCTTTACGAGAGAAGAGCGTAACATCCGATACTATCTTACGGTACCAGCGATCTGGAACGACGCCGGCAAGGCCGCCACGCGTGCGGCCGCCCTCCAAGCGGGATTCTTGCGGGACGAGAACGACAACCGCCTCACCTTAATCTCCGAGCCCGAAGCCGCGGCGCTCTTCTGCGCAAAGACCGGTCTGTTGAACCTCAAGGTCGGCGACGCCATCCTCATCGTCGACTGCGGCGGTGGAACCGTAGATTTGATCGCATACGAGGTGGAGGAAGAACAGCCCTTCAGCGTCGCCGAATGCACCGCAGGATCCGGTGACTCGTGCGGTTCCACCGCGTTGAACCGCAACTTTAGCAACATCCTCCGCGCGAAGATCCGCAAGATGAAGCTGCCTGACGGCTCGCGCACCGCCCGGAAAGGTGTACGCCAAGTGCATCATGGACTTTGAGAACCGCATCAAGGCCGACTTCCGCAACAACGGTTCCAAGTGGGCCGTGGATGTGGGTATCGAGGCCGACTTCCCCGACGCAGGCATCGAGGAGGGCTATATGACGTTCACCAACGAGGAGATCCTCCAATGCTTCGAGCCGGTGGTCAACCGGATCCTCGAGCTGGTGCGCAACCAGATTATCGCCATTCAGGCACAAAACCGCTCGCTCCAGGTATGTGATAAGGGTCCCCACAGTCTTTTGACCGCGTGCTCGAACTAACCGATTTCAGAATGTTCTGGTTGTTGGTGGTTTCGGAGCATCGGAATATCTCTTCCAGCAGATCAAGCTCCATGTTCCCCCGCAGTATCAGACCAAGGTCGTCCGCCCGATGGACTCGGTCGCCGCGATCGTCAAGGGCGCCGTCACCGCCGGTATCACCGAGCGGGTCATCACGCACCGTGTTGCGCGTCGGCACTACCTCATGGCCACCTTGCAGCCTTTTAAGGAAGGCTACCACCCGGAGCAGTACCGTGTGCCGAGTCTGGACGGGCGAGACCGGTGCAAATACACACGGCAGATCTTCGTGCAGAAGGGTGAGCGCGTGCGCATCGGTGAGCCCGTCAAGGTCAGCTTTTTCCGACAGGTCGCGCCCGGCGCGACCCTCATGTACGAGGATATCCTGTACGCGTGTGATGAGGATGTCTGTCCCGAGTACACGAAAGATCCACGTAAGTCGTCCGTGTAGTGACATTGAAATTGCCTCTCACACTGTCACAGGTATCAAGGAAGTCGTGACGCTTACGTCGGACCTCTCCCGCAAGAACCTCGAGACCGATTTTGAGCGCATGGATACGCCACAGGGAACCTTCTACCGAGTATACTTTGACATCTATCTCACGCTAGACGGTAGCGAGTTCAGCGCCGAACTGGTCTGCCAGGGCGAGGTCATGGGCCGGTGTCGGGCCAAGTTCCGGTGATCTGGGTCTGGGCTAGGACGATACAGGGGGAGGAGCCCCCCAGCCACTGACGGTGAAGGCTCGATGCTGGCCGGACCGAGCCGATGCAATATATGGACTAATGGAAAAAGAAACGCCTAGTCTCCGACGGCCTGTCTATCCCGAGCCTATTGCAAACGAAAGGACGCCATCAAGGAAGGGAAAAGCAAACAAAAACGTCAAAATGAGGGAAGGAGAAGAACGATGGAATGGTTCGCTGCAAGGCAATCTGTCGTCGTTGCACTGTCCATAAATGATCAGCATGCACAGGGGGCGTTATACCTTTTGTCTTTCGACAAGGCCAGAGCCTTATTATTTCTTCGTCTGGCTGATTTTTGAGATTCTTCCATGGTCCGAACGCTCTCGCCAATCGTGGGGGTCTATTTAGTTGTTGATTTGATGTCCTGGATACCTTTTATATGAATTTCGATGATTATTTAATTGCCATGAATGATATATAATAGTCGCGTCTATATGATCTAGACTAGCCAGAATACAGATGAGCTGATCTGAAGAAGATCTTGTATGCAGCTGCGGATGACATCGAACGAATGACGCAGAGTTGTTTGACCGAATGACGAGCATATGGAGGATTCGCTCGAGCAATCCCAACACTGCCTCGCTGGACTCCGTATGATCTACACCCAACCCGATCGGATTGTCCAACGCAACCCGCGGAAGCGAACAGAAAAGGAGACCAGACGATCATCCCCTCATTCAACTACTGCTCCCCACAGTGAAGATGAACAGTGAGCATCCGTCCGTGCACAGATCTAGTCTCGTCCCTGCGTGTCCTGTCCTCAGCACGCCCCTCTGGCCCTAGACTAGTGTATACCACGAAGTGACGGACTCGTCACTAGTAGACCCCCTCCCATCCCCAACCCCTCGGAGTAGTCCCGTTTGGTCGGTGGGTTGGGCTGTTCTTGTCCTGGGCTAGACCTTCATTGATGGAGTAATGGACTGGTTTATTGTAATACTCTGTAAAGTGAGACAGACTCTACTGCGGGTTGTTGCCTTGTGTAGGGTCGCCATTGCAATACTGCTCCTGATGTATGAGCATATGTCTGTCTGCCTCCTGCGGTGGCCGCAACCGCCCAAAAAAGCAACTCCTCCACTGATGTCATAGTATCAGGCCTCGGAGGATTATGACTATTCGCATTGGGCTGGAGGAATTGAGAAGAAGGAATAATCACGGGACGGGAGGATCGCTAGGCAGAGGCGGAAAAAGAAAACATCCAGGTCAACGGACTAGAAAGAAAGAGGGAAAGGGATGCGCAGGATGGATTTTTTTATTTTTACCTATTTTCTTCTTTTGAGAGAAATCGTAAAGTCATACCATATTGCAGTCCGGGTCTGTAGACAGACAGTCTAGACCAACTCCTGAAAAGACAATGATGTTTGAGTTTGACCCGCACGACCAAATAAATGGCCCTGTAGCGGCAAGCGCGCTTTGCGCGAACGCTGCGGTTGCAGCGCACCAAAACAACCCCGGATGGGTTGATTATTTCCATTAGTATGTCTCTGCCTGGCTGGACCTGGACCCTCCCCCCTCCAGCATGTGGAGTCAGTCGTGCAACCGGCCCAAGCTACAGAAGCTAGTCAGGTATGTTCCCTTTCGTTTTGATCATTTCAGGTCTCGGCCGTCTGGCGGCCTCTGGGCCTGGTGGATCGATCGACCGCCGGGTTGCTTGCCTGTTGCTGCGCCCATTCTCGAACCCCAGCGAGGGGTGGAGGGATTGTCGCAGGGCACGCTGGACGTGCACGCCCGCTCCTGCCAGTCGGGCCCGCAAGGAGCGCCCCCTACACCTCATAATACGTCAGGGTCGCCCCAGAGGATGACCAGTCTGGGCGCAGAATGACCACCAGCGCGTCAGGCCCAAGTTGATGTAAAGGTGGAGCCCGGGGGTCCATCGTGATCTTGAAGATACGTACCCCCCTCGGCCAGTCAGACTCACGTAGATTCGAGTACTCCGTAGACGCTAAGGCGACCGACCGGTCCCTGATGGTCAGTCTTAGGGGGGTCCCTTCAGACCAGACCCATCCTGGTGTGACCGTGACCGTATCTGGTCGTCGTCGACGGCCCACGCAGCATCCCACGCGCTGGACCCCCGACGGCTGTCGCACAGGGAATGTACTCCGTAATGGGATGGAGATTCTGCAGGAGACCCAATACCCATACCAATACGGAGATAGATGACCATTTTTTTTCCCGGTGAGAAAAAGTAAAGAACGATGACTTTCCGTTGTGTTCGCCTCCAAAATTCGCGCCAACGTTTCTCTCTCGTAATTCCCATTTGAGGTCCTCATGCCATTCTTGGGCTTTCCTGCGTCTGGCTCGGAAACTGGAAGGCGAATACCGCTGGAGCGGAACCGCAGGAACTGTTTTCGACAGGGCAATGGATTGGTACTCAGCTCACGAGGCCATACCTAGGCTGGGAATGCGCACGGACGGGTTACGCGTGAGCTCCGCTGAAGGTACCGTTTGGTACGTACTTTCAGCCATCTTGGCAGTCCGTCTTGCCCGCGACTGTCGCTTCTGGCGAGTACATAGTACCTCCTGCCTCCTGTAGGCACCATGATGGACGTGCGGATCTCTTTCGGGGGGGCTGTGGCTGCTCGTCGCCCAGTGAGAAGGCCGCGTCTCCTGACGGTCTCCCTCCACCAGCCCTCCTGCTCCCCCCCAACAGTGGAGATCCTGAAGTAGCAATGGAAGCTGAGAAACTCTGCCGTATCATGTGGATGCTGTCAGGTCCTATTTTCTTTTTTTGGGGCGGCGAATTGCGGCTTTTGCGGGGAAGGCCACGACGTATCAGCGTTCCAACCCAGCCGGGTCTATAGAGCGCATCCGCCAGTGTAGCTCATCGTCTGACCCGGAGGATGATCGTTGCTTGGATATATTTTGGGCGGGACCCCGTCTGCGATCGAGGGAAGCTCTGAGCCATGGTGACTGTACTCGTTTTGTCGGACTCTGGGTGTGTTGATGTGGCGCTCGAATGACTTCAGCGTGCGTAAAAGTTCTTTAGTTGACGATCATTCTTTCTTTTTATTTCTTTTGCCTACCTTTTCTTTTTCTTTTTTCTTCGTCTTCGTTTAACTTCAACTGTCCTTCTATCCTTTGACTCTCTGTGTTGGTAAACATCCACTAAGAGGCGAAGAAGAAAGCCGCAATGAATCATCTGACATGGCTGGCGCTCGCGCTGCTGCTCGTCTCCCTCGCCGTCGTCAAGTACCGCAAAGACAAGAGTCCGCCGTCGAAAAAGCCCAACTGCAATGATCTCAAGCGCATGGCGCCGTATCCGGCGCAGCCGATCAAGGGCCGCGAGCGATACCGCGTGATGATGGACGTGCGCAAGCTGGACGTGCAGAACTGGCTCACCCTCGACAAGAACTACATGGACGAGCACCAGGTGCGGAGCCAATTGCTGGCGCACGAGAAGCATAAGGTGCTGCAGTGTCTGCCCGAGTCGTACGACGCCTGTCTGGAGGCATTGGAGGAGGTCGTCGAGTTTCTGTGCCAGCGCTTCGCCAGCATGTTCGAGCGCAAGGTCGCCGGCGACCAGACCACCGTGTACAACAAGATGACCGGCGAGACGTTTGTCTTTGGCGGCGAGAAGGGCGACGGCATGGATCCGCTGGAGATCGCCGTGCGTCTGACCATGGAGGATCTGAGCATCTTGATGAAGAACGCCGACGATGAGTATTACATGTGCGGTTGCCTCCCTCTGCCAACTTGGTGTATGTGACTAACGACAACAGGGCCGCGAGCGCCAGTCTGTTTCCCGTCGGCTGGACCGTCCAGGAACGCATTGGCTGGACCATCTCGCAGCTGCACAACCCCGTGCCGCTGTGGCATCAGCAGGTGGCCAATTCCGTGAGCAAGTACGTTGCACTCCAACCCATTATCCCACCGAACGCAGCTCTGACCGACCACAGGTTCCTGGCGCGTCTGACGCCCTCGTCCCCCATGGAGCGATCCAACTACTTCGTCGAAGTCAAGCGCCCCGACGAGGACCTCTTCGAGATCCTCTACCGGCCCACCACCCTTTCCGAGGACAACCCCAACCCGTCGCCGGAGGACATTGTCATCCGCCGCGAGCGCCAGACCTTCCGCCGGCTGCCGCGCACCGGCGCCATCGTCTTCGGCGTGAAGACCTTCCTCACCACGCTGGAGGAGCTCCCCATGCAGGAGCTGGAAAACCTCGCCAAGGAGATTAAGAGCTGGCCGCCGTATGTCGGCGAATACAAGGGCCGGGAGGTCTGGGGGCCCAGGGCGCTGGAGTTTTGCGAGAAGAAGCGGCAGCAGCAGCAGGAGAAGATGGAGGTGTGACGGACAGTGGGGGGTTTCCTTACGGTTTCCTTGTAGCATTATGGTTTGCATTCGGGACTCAAAAATGGGTGGGCGGCTTTCTGCTTTGAAAAGTATTAGCTTTGCATTGTCCTTTCCTTTCATCCATGTTGTGCTTTTGTTGGATTTTTACTACATTGTGTTCAGTGCTTGCAGTTGATGACATCGCGACTACCCTGCTCCTACATGTCTTGAGGTCCAGATTGGAAAGAAACGAATTGAAGTCTATGTACATGTGGTTTGGATATTAGTCTGTGCACAAGAAAGTGATATATCTAACGAAAGAGACAGCCTAAGGCAACCCATCGCACGTCGCTCTCTGTATCAGGGTATAGTCAGATCTATGACAAGCGTCATTCAAATCTTCGCTCGAGGCGGTTCGTCCTGCTTTAACCGCACCACGCCCTATATCTCGTCAGCAACCCGTAAACACCCTGCTCGAAAATAAACATACCTCTTGTGTGCACGTCGCGATCAACGTCCCGTCCTTGGCCCAAATCTTCTGAAGGACTAGCCCCCTGCCCTCGCCAGCCCAGGGACTCTCGATCTCCGTGAGCATCCACTCATCCGAGCGGAACGCCCACGGGTTGTGGAAGTAGATCGAATGGTCCAGGCTGACCATCATCCCGACCTCCTTCTCATCCTCGCCATTCAGCTTCTTCCAGTCCGTCGCGCGGTTGAGCGCGCCCTCCAGGCGCCGCCGCAGCTCCGCCGCCTCCTCCTCTTTCAGCTCCTTCAGCGCGCGCGACAGATCCTCATCGTCCAGATCGGACGGGTTCTTCAGTGCGTTCAGGAACCGCTCCAGATCCGCCGGCGAGCTGAATCGCGGGATGTCATGCACCCGCGCGACCGTCCCGATGAAGTAGCTGTCGGTGATGTAGGCCAGCGCCGACAGATGCGCGTGGTGGCCGCCGGCTTCCGACACCGTGCCGCGCGAGCGCACCCAGCGCCGCACCCGCTTCTCTTCCGGCTTGTCCGAGTTGCCTGCGTTCAGTTAGCTACCGGACTGGATTGGGGGCGGAGGGGGCAACGCACGGTTCACGATGCCGGCCTTCTCCGACTCAAATGGACCACCGCCCGTCTCGTCAAACGCTTTCTTCAGCGGCGAGGCCTCCTCGGGGGAGGGGATATCCGGCATGGGGGTCGCATGTTCGAGACGCTTTTTGCCGCCGCTGTTGGCGCGGCTGAAACTCAGGGTGGTTGTGAAGATGGGTCGGCCGCGCTGGCGGGCCTGCACGGTGCGAGTGATGAAGCTGCGGCCGTCACGGACGCGCTCGACGTGGTAGAGAATGGGGACTTCGGAGTCACCGGCGAGGACGAAGTAGCAGTGCATGCTGTGGACGGCAAAGTCGGAGGGTACCGTCCGCATCGCGGCGGCGAGCGACTGGGCGATGGCGGCGCCGCCATAGATGCCTCGTGCGCCGGGTGGGTGCCACAGGGGACGGGAGTTTGTGAATACATCCTGAGGGGAGGGTGCATATGGTTAGAAAAGGTGAAATAGTGACAGGGAGGGTGTTCGCACAGGGCCGATGTCCACCACGGGGGTCAGTTCCAGAACATTTTCGATCGGCGCCTTGGAGGCGTCCAACGGCGGCGGCTCGAACAGAGTGACTCGTTTCGCCATGGTGTTGACAGATTATGAGGGGAGAGGGTCAAGGAGAAAAGAGCGAAACGGGTTTGTATAAGTCAAGAGCAGAGAAAGAGAGGTCGGAAGATGAGAATATCAGCGGGATATCAGTCACGGGGCTGCCTGTTTGGGTAATAGCCGAGGCGTTCCAGCAGAATTTCTCGGCCTCTGCCGATGCCTTTGTTACCCACTGCGATCGCCCGGATGGGGTCTCTAGATGTTTCGTCAGGTTGATGGAATCGCCGGTAACGAATTACCCCTGATCCCTTATCCAACTTCTTGCAGCTGGTCCCGGCTACACAAACATCAATCAGACGTCATAGCGGGATGACATTTCCATGTGAAGTGATCGACTATCGTTTCATCTAGTTACATTCCACAGCCAGAAGACCTGTCGACTGTTCGTATAAGAATCCCCGAGGATTCCCGGCAATACGCCATCTCCGACGACTCAGAGTCATGAGTCGGACACAGACCCAGCTGGCGGGAAACTTCCGCTTCCATTATTCGCACGTGTGGATATTATTAATAACAATTCCATAGTGATCCTTCGAAGCCTCAACTATAATACCCTTCCTCTCGAGGCGATGGCGTCGGGATAAAGGTACTCCAACCTTTCCCAGGATTGATGCGCTCCGGAACATGCACCGAAAAGGTACTCTGCGCAGATTTCCGACTCCGTCGCTTTTTCGATCCGTTATCCTCCTGGAGCAGACGGAGGAGCTGCTGTCGCTGTTGTTCCTCCTCCGTGAGCAGCGGGGTGCCCTGGTCGGGCATCGCGTCGATGGTCTGCTGCGCCCAGATCCACAGGGCGCCGATGGCGTAGACGAACGCAAACGCGCTGGGGAGGGAGATACACACGATCTCGAGACGGTCAAGAGGCAACAGGTCTCGGCCGAAGATGTTCAGGAGGACATTCAACAGTCCGATCAAGTCGCATGCGAGACACGGACTGGCAGATGGCGCGTGTTAAGTGGGATTCTTCTGGAGACGGCGCAGGCACACCTACAGGAAGACAGAATGGAGCAGATAGTCCTGTTGGTCATACTGGAAACAGGTGATCATGAAGGAGAGAGTATATGCGAACGCGATCAGCACTGCGGCCGCAACTAAGGTATTGGCCTTGTTCACGTGTGTGCTATCATCCGCGCCAAACGCCAGCGGTATTACTATGTATCTGCAGGATGTGAGACGAGTCCATCGCGCCTGTAGAGGGCGCATAACCTACCCCACGAGCAGGAGATAGGACGAGAGAGCGCCCATGAACCTCCATGGTGATCTCACCGCGTCCCCCTGGCTGGGCGGTGACGGGGGAGGATAGGGCGACGGCACTGGCTGCAGCTCTTGGTAGAGAGTTGATGTGACGGTCGACATTGGTGAAAGACATGCAGCGAAAGGTAGTGTCTATATTATAGTATTATAAATTAAATATCCGTCAACACGCGACGGAGGAGGTAAGAGGCTGATAGTGCGACCAGAGCGAACGTCAAGGTCAAGCGAAGGACAGTGCGCAACACATTAAAACGTCAACATAACAAGCATTAGTGTAAAGATGAAGAAAAGCACCCAGGCGATATGAGGCAGTTGATATCCAGAGGGGAGAGAAAAGGAGAAGGCTGAGTACAAAGGACCTTCGCGATCAGATGCGCGAGGTGACACTAAAAAAGGCCGGCGTGTCTGGCCTGCAGCACCACCAGGGAAGGTTCCGTATCCCTCCACAAATAAGAGTCAATCTGGTGCTCTGTCCCTCGTGCTGTTCGTCGGGGCCAAGAGCCTCAATGTGAGAATCCCTCACTGAGGAATGGCTGCAGAGACGATCTGCACCACTACTCAGCCACAGTGTTGCGGTACATGCCATCCAGGTCTGCTCTCCCAGACTGCCGCATGGGATCACTCACTGTGAAAATAAAAATAGCAATCTCTGCACGGGGGGCCTAATGACTGGCGCTTAACTGGTTTTACCATCCCGATCTGCATGATTCGTCATCATTATTAGTCTATCATTGAATGTTTGAATGTACTTGATAATTTGATGTTGCAGATACACTGAAGAACGAAACTCAGAAGCTACCCTCAATCAAATCTATTGATTTTATAGACACATTGACATTGGTCATCCATTGGCTAATACAATGGTCTAAGAAAAAGAATCTAAAACATTCCCAACCGAATATAATACACCAAAATCATTCCGTCCCGGATGGGCTCATCTATTTGGAGATCTCAACACCGCCAGTGGCACCCAGGAGACGCTTGATGTCACCGTAGATGGCGAACTGACCGGCAGTCAGGGTACCAACCATGAAGAGACGAGCACCAATACCGGCGTAGGAGCCACGGAAGCCGAGCTCCTTACCGATCTTGACCAGACGAGAGACGGTACCCTCACCAGGAGCACCAGGGGTCTTGTTGATCTTGCTCAGCATGGTGTCAGCGGGCTGGGAGACGAGGGCGGCAGCGAAACCAGCGATCAGACCAGAGCCAAGGTTGACAGCGGTCTTGGAGCCATCGGAGAGGGATTCCTTATCGACGGTGCGGAAAATAGCCTCAGAGACCTTCTCAAAGACGACGAACTTGGCCATGGTGTAGGGGACCCTAGGAATCGTTAGAGAACGAAAGAACGGAACGGAACGAACAAACTTACTGCTTGAAGAGGATGGGACCGAAACCAGAGTAGAAAGCACCAACACCCTCGTTCTTGAGGATCTTGGTGAAACCGCTCATGAGACCGCTAGCGAAGTCAGGCTGAGAGACGAGACGAATACGGGTGGCTTCCAGAGGGCAGAGGGCAATGTCGGCGAAGAATTCGGCGCAGGCAGACGAGGCGAGGTAGACGGCGGTACGGTTGTTGGAGGCAGTCTCGTAACCGAGCTGGTTGATGCACTGCTGCTTGAAGAACTCATAACCACCGAACTTGAAAGCACCCTGGAGGAAGTAACCGGCGGCGGTGGGACCGAAACCAGTCAGGAGAGCGCCAGCACCCTCGTTGGCGATAACCTGACGGAAACCACCGATCATGCCACGGTTGTAGGTGACGGGGTCAAGCTGGATTCTGGTCTTGACGCTGGAGGAGATCAAAACGAGCGCGTTAGCTTTGACATGCTGGGTTGGTTCGATACGGAACGGGTCGGAAAGAGAGATACACGCGCGCGCATCGATGGGATTGCGAGGGCGATTGCGCGAACCTAACGTCCAGACCAGGTGAACCATGACGAGGAATGGACTTACACATCGACGGGAGTGAGAGCACCGTGGGTGACGGAGCAGCAGACAGCACCAGCGAAGGCGAATCTGGAGTAGAGCTGCAGACCGCTGAGCTGGGGAGCCGCAGCGACCGGGGCGTCGGTCTTGGGGGCAGCCATTATTCTAGAGTATTAAATTGGAGGGAAGAAACACACACACGACTAAATGAAAAGGAAGAGAGAGAGAGGAGAGAGGAGAGAGGGTGCGTGGGTGGAGCACTTTGAAGATGTGATGATGGGATGGAAGAAATTGAAGGAGGGAGATTGAAAGGGATGCCATGGCTTTTTTTCGGCTCGATGGCCACTAGCGGCTCCGGAAACCCGAAAACTTTTCGCGCGGCCAATGCGGGCAACGCTCGGACGCACGCTTGCCACCGGATTATTCAGAATTTATCCATCCAGCACGGTAGAGAGTATCTAAACAATGTAGTATTCAGTGTTATTATTCTGGAGTATACCTATAGTCATACATTCACAACATAAACCAAGAGGGAAAAGAAGATGGCCGGAGATCCTGGCGTCTCCCGTCATCGGAGAACATCCGGCAATCGGCACAGGTCTCCTTCCTGCATTATGTCATTCCCTGTTTTTTGACGCTCCGGACGATTTATTCCGCGATGCCGGATTGGTGGAATTGGCCTTGGCGGTGCATTATTACTCAGCAACAGTGTGCACTGTGTTGACTCAACGTCGCCTTCCGCAAGAGGAAATCCACTCACGAACTACAGGGAATCAGCTACTGAACACCAAGAACATCTCGAGATCTCTTTCTTGATACCTGAGTGTATCTAATTATCCAGGTACTGAGTACAATCTCTTTGGACATTCATACATGATTCGATACGTTCGCGAAATCTCGCGATATACCTGCATTTCTGTCCCAACCGACTCACTCAACCGTTCTATACGAAGTATATATTGAACCACCACCGCCTAATTGTCACTATATAGGCACACGCGGTATACTACGGCCAAGAGAACACCTGAACCATTTCCAAGATATCCAAGCGCACAGCCGCTTTCCATGTCACCATGCCTTGCAGGTGCAGCAATTCTATTTCAAATCTGATGTGTAGGACGGACTGGTCATGCATCTCTCAATAGTCTCCTGCGGATCCTTCAAGCTTTAAACCGATGTGTGCCCTACGTATCTCCGCCCCGGCAAACTCGCCAATTTGCTTCTGCTGCCAGGAAGTTCTAATACGATACAATCTCTGCCCCCATGTCCTCCCTCATATGCGGTCTTGCTCATTGGAGAAAAGCAAGGCGCCACCGAAAGCAAATAGAACGTGGGTGAACCTCTTCAAACATGTCAATCTGCACAAGACTAATCTGTCGCGCCCAGAGGCCGCCCAATATCTGGATCAACTTCCGTCATGGGATGCCCCGGATAACACCGTCATAATGGAGGCGTTCGAGTGGGATGTGCCAGCCGATCACAAACACTGGCGCCGTCTCCAACATGCGCTACCTTCGCTCAAGGCAATTGGGGTCGATAATATAATGATTCCTCCCGGCACCAAACCCATGGACCCGTCTGGAAATGGATACGATCCCTATGATCTGTACGACCTCGGCGAGTTTGACCAGAAAGGATCGCGCGCGACAAAATGGGGTACTAAGGAGGAACTGCAGGCTCTAGCCCACCACGCAAAAACCCTTGGAATCGGGGTCTACTGGGACGCGGTACTCAACCATAAGGGAGGCGCAGATTTCACAGAGCGGTTTTCGGCCGTCAAAGTGGACTCACGACGTACGTATTGATGGCAAGACGCTCGAGTGGTCTGTTGACTGACCGCCCCATGAACAACAGATCGAGACGTGGACGTGCCCCCCGTACAAGATATTGAAGGCTGGGTCGGGTTCGACTTCCCAGGTCGCGGTGACCGCTATAGCTCGATGAAATATCATTGGTCTCATTTCAGCGGAGTCGACTGGGACGAATCCCGGAAGGAAAAGGCAATATACCGCATCGTTGCCGATAAGAAGGGCTGGGCGAAGGACGTCAGTCTTGAGAATGGCAACTATGACTATCTCATGTTTGCTGATTTGGATTATTCCAACCCCGAAGTCCAGCAAGATGTTCTCAACTGGGTTGAATGGCTTTCGGAGCAGCTGCCGCTCAGCGGTATGAGGTTAGACGCAGCGAAGCATTATTCCGTGGCTTTTCAAAAGAAACTAGTCGATCGCATTCGACGCAACATTGGGCCCGACTGCTTTATCGTTGCAGAGTACTGGAAAGAACAGACCGGGTTCCTTGTAAATTATTTGGAGAAAATGGAGTATCAAGTGTCCCTCTTCGACTCCTCCCTCGTCGCACGATTTTCAAACATCTCCAGAACGAAAGGCGCTGATATCCGCCGGGTCTTTGAGGGAACATTGGTACAGAGGATACCTGAACACGCGGTCGTAAGTTCTCACAGGAGGTGGAGATAATTCCTGGACGACAAACTGACTCTTACCGACGAAAGACTTTCGTGACAAACCACGATACGGTAAGGATCACTCATTATGGCCTCTGGATGTCAATCTGTTCTGACAACGTCGTGTGAAGCAACCAGGACAAGCTCTGGAGGTATGTTCACTATGTTCCCACCCGCACACAAGTACCACAACCCGCTAAATCATATCAGACACCGATTGAGCCATATTTTATACCCCTAGCGTATGCCTTGATCTTGCTCCAAAACAGGGGCCAGCCCTGCATCTTCTATGGTGATCTATACGGCATGCGAGGGGATCCAAGACATTCAGCCGCCCCTACCTGTGGGGGCCGACTTCCGATACTCACCCAAGTTCGGAAGCTGTATGCCTACGGAGAACAGGAGGACTACTATGATCAGCCGAACTGCATAGGTATACATGTCATTATGATCAATGCTGTGCATCCGCTAACCACAAGTAGGTTTCGTCCGTTATGGCAACCTTCGACACCCTTCGGGTCTCGCGTGCATCATGAGCAACGCCGGACCTACGCGAAAGCGAATGTTTGTCGGCCGGGCACATGCCAAAGAGCGGTGGACTGACATCCTCGAATGGCATAATGAGGTTGTCACGATTGATCGACGAGGTTACGGGACTTTTCCTGTCGCTGCAACGAGCGTGAGTGTCTGGGTTAATTCTGCTGCACCAGGAAGAGAGAGCTTCGTTCGCAATTTGTGAGTACCCCTTTGCAGGAAGCTCTCAACTATGATGACCGTCTCCTGGGACTTTTAGCTAATTAAAGTGAAGCGATACGGACATATATAAGCCAGTGTGACCTATAGATCCCGTCCGATCGTCAGAGAATATCCGGAGTATATAGAGCAGTACTCAGAATGGGTCCATCAATGCAGGACAAACACCAGATCTACATTCTGATTTCTCAACAGAGATCTGCGCAATACTGCCGGTAGTATTTTACCCCAGTCAACCGGACAGGTGCTAAGCCAGCCTTCATACCTCAGCAGTCTATAACTACTCTCTTTATCAACGTCAAAAGAAGCTTTCTCCGAGAGTAACTAATTGATACAAGATAGTTTTGAAAGTTCACCTACCTAAATCCGATTTGTTCATTTCATTCCTCAGGGGAAGTGGAGAGATTGGCAAGGAGATCCCTACTATATAGGGTTTACTCCAACTAATAATCACTTCGCCTGCATTCTATGACCCTATACTCCGGTTGGAATCACTGGGTACAAACCTTTCCGGGACATCGTTCGTAAGCTGATAACTCCGGCTTGTCCCAGTTATGCAGAGTCGAGGTGGAAGTCGTTACATATTTGCTGATCCGTAGATCCAATGGCTACTCGTTTGAGTCGCTGATCTGCATGCCCTTGATACCAACCTCACCATAATGAGCATCATCATCGAATTCCGGCTCAGGCAAGGGGCCTGGTTTGACTATGTCTTACTTCGTCGCTTCTCTTGACATCCTGTTATCGTAATTGATGACGAATACTCCTGTTGATCTTCAAAGATTGTGCATCGGGTAATAGGTACACAAATGATGTTATATAGGCATTTTATATCCTGGGATTCGAGAGCGCTAGAATTGGCAAACATTGGCAAAAGATGTCTCAAACCACTCCACCACGAGATATCTCGCAGAAACTGGAGCCTGATGGTATGAAGGTCTTGTTCCGGTGCTTTTTACCCTCCTTTCCTGACAAATTCAAATAGAACAGGCAATAGACACAGAAAGCTCTCATTCATTGAATCAAGATGGACAGAATGGCCACCTTACGGCCTCGAAGCAAGATGGGGACATGTACTCTTCGCACTGTCATGAAATAACACCAAAGACTGTTATCTCTTTTGGTCCCGGTGATCCTGACCATCCTCAGAATTGGCCTAAGGTACTGTATCCTGGACCTACTCAAGCCTTGATGGACTTCAGATATTACCAACTACAAGCCCTTGTCGATGCACAATAGCTGACAGTCTCAACCCTACTCTTGCAGGCGCTGAGATTATTCGTGTTTGCAACTGGTGGAGTTGGAATAGCGAACGCGGCCTTTGGAGCGACGACCACTTCCGGGTCCTCTTCCCAAATCGCCGCAGAATTTAATATCGAGAACCATGAGGTTGTGGTCCTAGTCACATCACTCTTCATTCTTGGCTATGTCCTGGGCCCATTCTTGTGGGGTCCCGCCACCGAGGCGTATGGGCGAAGATGGCCTCTGATGATTGCGTCCATTTTCTATACCATCTTCACAATGGCATCCGGACTAGCCTCTTCATACCCCCAACTTCTGGTTTTCAGAATGTTCAGCGGCATGGCAGGTGTTGCACCGATGACCAGCGCGTATGGTGTCTACGCTGATCTCGAAGCTGACATTACTGCCCGGGGCCGGCTGTGTGCAAACCTCGTAACGGTGAGTGCGAATCGGCTCTGATGATAGACGACGGTGGCGTACTGAACTCAGTGGAACAGGCTTCTCAATCAGCCCCCATATTTGGCGCGTTTATAGGAGGCTTCATCGCTATCCCCGGCTGGCGATGGTGTTGCTGGTTTTGTCTCATTTGTGCCGGCATCACTTTGCCCATGTCAATCTTCATGCCAGAGACCTTTGCGCCCATCATCCTGAAGCGCCGTGCTGAGTTATTGCGGAAGACAACGGGCAAGATGAACATTGTCGCCCCAATTGAACTCAGCCACCAGGGCTTCAAGGACAAGGTGACCTCGAATTTTTCTCGGCCGTTCCATATGCTGTTTACTGAGCCTATAGTTTATTGTTCTGCCATCTTCCTTTCTCTGACTTATGCCATGGGCTTTGTCTACCTGCAGGCCTATCCCCTCATCTTTAAAGGTAAGAATCCACTGTGCTACGGACCCAAATGTCTTGTAGGCTGACTCGTGCCAACAGGTATCTACGGGTTGGATTCCGCGTACACAGGGATCTGCTTTCTCCCGAGTAAGTTGACTCCCGGCCTTTCGTTTCCTTCACAACACCGCTGATCATCCAGTAGTCTTCGTCGGCATCGCAATCGCCCACGTTCTCTTCATATGGTATGAGAACTTCCTGGCCAATGCAAAAGCACGCAACGCAAGCTGGGTCGACATTGAAGAATACCGTCGTCTTCCGCTCGCTTGCCTCGGAGGCCCCTCGTACGTAGTGGCCCTCTTTTGGATCAGCTGGACGGCACGCTCCAGCATCCACTGGTCTGTACCCGCGCTGTCTGGCATTTCGTTCGGCATCGGGTGGAACATCAACTTCCAGACCCTGACAAACTACGTGAACGACGCTTATGGCATTTACTCGGCTAGCGCCAATGCGGCCGTGACCAGCTGTCGGTGTCTATTTGGGGCGGTCCTCCCGCTGGCCGTCAAGCCGATGTTCGATCATCTTGGAGTGAACTGGGGGTGCTCGCTTCTGGCGTTTGTGTCTCTTGCGGTTTCGGTGGTCCCGTTTGTCTTTATCTACTGCGGGACAGGCATCCGGGCGAGCAGCAAGTTCTGTAGGGAGTTGCAGAAGTTGCAAGAGCATGAGATGAAGGAAGCGTCTTCTGATTCGGAGGCCGGAGTCGCAGTGATCAATTCTAGGCCGAAGGACGTGGAGAAGCAAGATTATCGGTAATGAACGCCGAGTTAGCACACAATTGCGCATTACCTTTTTTTTTTTTTTTTTTTTTTTTTTTTTTACCTTAGGTTGGCGAGAATCGGTGTTTGGTTAGATTAGTGTTGTATAGATGTCATATCTTCTTCCCATTAATATTTCTAATCGTCGTCGAAATCAGAATCGCTTAGCCAGCCTGTTTCGTAGGTCTCGCGAATCTCCCCGAGCCCATTAACGATGTTCTCGCGTTCGTCGACGCCAATAATCCGACCCGCAACGGCTTCAAACTTTTTGATTCTTTCCGCTGTCCGTGACGACGCGGTCAATGTTGCGAGGATATTGACACTACCTCCTGCCTTGGCTCCTTGGATCAGGTTCGCTGGGAAGCTGTCCAGAATGGGGAACCGAAGTGGAGTATAGAAACTACAGCGAGGCATGAATATTAGCAAATGGCTAGGAGTAAAGTCAATGGCGAGCACAGTTCCCCGCTCTTACCTTTGGCACATTGGTTCCGAGTTTTGGTATTGCTGTCTTCGGATAAGGCCGATGTCCTGGGGTGCTTCCTTTTGTTCGTTCTCGAGCCCACGCCAGACCTGCACTTGGTTGTAGATGTGGGTTTGATCATTGCCTGCTTCATCGTAGGTGAAATCCAAATCAAATTCCCTCTGTGCCTTTGACCCTGTCGCGCTGGAAGACTCCGCGCCTGTGGATCGTTTGGCTCCGTCTTGTTTCTCTTCATCAAGCATGATACGCGACTGTAACTCGAAGATCTTGTGAGTCCCATCATCCCCAGCCAACGAGGCCTCGAAGTCATGATATGGACGCAGACGAGTAGGCAACAGAGCACTCTCCATCGCTGAGCTGATCAACGCGGAGGTCTGCCACTCAGAGCTGGGATCAAAGCGGACTGTTGGAGGAAGACGGCTGGGAGGGTCGATGATAGGAATATACAGAGAGGACTGGGGCGAGATTGCATGGACGGTTCGGGCTTTGTTAATGTCCCTTTTTAGCTGTGCTTGCTGTGGGGAATTGGTCAACGGCTCGGAACATAGCATTAGCAGAACGGCTTTGATCACATACCCGTTGAGCTTTGGCGCCGTCTTCAATCGCCCACACCCAGATAGCCTTTTTGCCATACTCGTCGCGCAGTCTGTCGACGTAGCGAGCGGCAAACCCGCCCCAGGCATCATCAGCACCTGTAAACAGCTGCAGAGCTCTCAATTGGTCGCATTCCTCTGCAAATGGCCGCACATCACGGTCGAGCAGGTCATGCTCCTTGTCGAGGTCACTGAACAGATCCTCGCCGACGCTCCAGTCCTCGAACGGCATGGTCCTAGAGTTCAGCTCGTAATCGTTCAGCTGCACGATTGACCGGGGGTGGTAAAACAGCCGGTTATAGTCTGACCAGTACCGGACGGTCTCTGTCGACAGTGTCGGAGCCGGAAGTCCGCTGTCAAGACTCTTCTGATAATCACTTTGGAGGATTGGGGGTTGTTGTTGGATCACTTCTTTGCCGTCCCTTGGTAGGTGTAAGTAAGCTCGTTTATACAGAGTATAGTTTGGTTGAATGGGGAGCTTACCATAAACCTTGTCCCGGATTTGCGTCCTCGGTCAATTCATAGAGGGCGTTGTATTTACGCAACGTGCCAAAAGCACCTTTAAGATCGTATATTAATGTGCGAGGCGTGAATGTCTCCGAGCCATCGGCCCCAACGCCTGGGCGGAAATGCACATCATGGTCCACTGGAGATTCATCCTGGTCGTTGTATGTAAAATATGATTCCTATGCGAGATGATAAGCCGCACATTCTTGATAATCTAATCGGACACAGTGGGGGTGATTACTTGGAGATTCCAAAAGTGTGTTGCGAGATAGTTCGCCCGCTGTCCCAGCTGGAGAGTCACGATTTCGTGCATGGTGAGAGCTGCACGGAAGTTGAACTGGGCGCTATGCTATGATATCAAGACAGTTCACTTTGGAGATTGATTGAATATTGAGCATCATAATGAACGCACAGACCAATACCAATCGCTTCCAATCTGGGTATAGCGCCAAGGCGATTCCACGTGAGTGACGCCATATTGATCAGGCAGCAATGGTTGTCCCGGGCAACTATCACATGATCTGAGTAACAAACAAGGCAAGTGTTTTCGTTCGTCACCGATCGCGATCAGCCGAGCCATCTCCACAACAGTGGGCTGTCAACGGCAGGCCAGTCTGATTATTTATTATCCCAGTGACACCCTCAGTGTCATGACAACGCCATATTAATCCCACACCAAATCGACGTCGCCTATACTCTGGAGAGATGGATTCTCCATCAAGCATCCGATCGAGCCCCTCGAAAATGTTCAACAGCCCGTTCTCAAGTCCGACAAAAGCCAACAATCCTCTTTCCCCAGAACGCATGAATCCCTCAAGCCCGTCAAAAGCACTCAACCCCCTTTCTCCGGAGCGGATGAATCAACAGAGCATGTCCGGGTCGCCATCATGTTCCTCCGATTTACGAAGCATTCCACGCAAAAGCGCGAGAGGACTCTCCGACGTCCAGGCCAAGGTCGCTTTTCTGAACAACCTGGCACGCACAGGCAGCCCAGCGGCAAACGCCTCCCCTCCCCCGCCCCCTCAGCCGTCTTCGTCGTCGAATGCAGGGGGCTCAGCTGCGCTCCAACGCGCTATTCTGGGCCGCGAAGAAGCAGAGTCTGCTTTAGCCAACGTCAACGCCCAGCTTGAAGAGGCGCAATCTCGGGAGCGCCGGATCAGCGAACGGCTCGAATCCCTGCTGGAGGAGCTGGCATCCGTCAAGGAACGACAAGGTCACGAGCGAAATGTTTTCGAGAAGGAAATCCGCAAAGCAAGAAAGGAGGCCTTTCGTGCCGGCTCAACACTAGTGAAGCTCCAGGAGGATTTAAAAAACGCAAAGAATGAGGCCAAGGGATTGAAAGACGAACTTCGGGCGGAGAAGGAAGCCAAAGAACAGGCTAAGCAGGAAGCCTTCGAGAGAGCGTACGCTCTTGCGGGCCTCATGGAGGAAATGGAAGTTCTGAAGGAACAACTCCGCGCGGCTCAGACAAATAACCGCTCAGATAACCTCGAGGCAGAAGCACAGGCCATGCAGACTAAGGATGTCGGACGGTTGTCGCTGGCAGAAGGAGATCTCGCGCTGTTGGCGACCCCGACCCCTCGCCCGCCAAAGAGACCTGCTGAAGAGCCGGCTAACTCACCCTTGGAGAACGTCACCAACGCCGATGCGCCTAAAGCCACACCGCCAAAGAAGTTGAGGCTATCGGAGTTGACCCCTGCAGAAATTTGGGAAATGGAGGTCGAGGACGAACGTCAGCGTGCGATGACGGAAGTTGAGGACCCTCAAGACAAGATCGCAGAACTGAAAGAATATCTTCAACATGAAAGGAGTGTGCGCGAGGAGATCGAACGAACTGTTGAATACATGAGGTGGGAATGCAGCATTGGATGGTGCCAATGCCGTATCGACGAGTACAGGTTGAAACAAGCAGCCCGGCGGAAGGTTCCGGGGGCACCTCCCGAGGCACTTCATAGTGCTGAAGAACGTATACGCAATACTAACTCAGTCGCGGAGGTTGTCAAGCTGAACGAGGCTATGAATTGGACCCGCTGGTCAAGGATGAAGCCAGAGGATGCTGTCAAGATAATGGACATGCAGGCCAAGGTCGAAGCAGACATACTGGCTCAGTCGGAAAACAAACAAAATGACGCGCAAGAACATGGCGGTCAAAAATTCAATGTGGCTGAACAGGATGAGAAACACGCTCAACGTCTTGGCAAATCTGGATCTGATGAGGGCAACATGGAAAAGACAACGCCCACAACGGACAACTGCCAGGAGGCACGAGCACCACCTGGACCTGATGAGGATACCGAAGAAAAACACGAGCTGGAAGATGAAGTTGAAGTCACAGAAGAAGTGGAAGAAGTCGAGGGGGACGAGGAAGAAGAGGAAGAACCTCTGATAACCTTCTCGCCCGCCACTGGAACGTTCCATACTATCCCATCGCCAGCTCGGTCACCGAAGAAGCATATCCAGAACGATTCTCCTATTCCTAAGCGTCAGCACACAGTTTCTCCTATGCTCGTCGAACATGAGATGTCCCCTGAGCCTGCGTTGAACGATGTCCCATTCCAGCCGTGTGATCCTCAGCCTCATCATTCTCCGGCGGCTGTGGACGTCCCGTGGGACTACCCATTGCCGAAACACAGCAGCGCGCAACCGTCACTGGAGACAAGAGAGTTCAAAGTACCATTGAGGAACGACGCTCCAATCCAGCATCGCCCTCCTGTCATTTCGGAGACGCCCATTAGCCGAGAAGAGGCCCTTGCACAGATCAGAGCACGCAGAGGACGGACCAACACGATGAAAAGATCTGTGAGCGCTAATGAAAGCACTTTCCGCTCTGGGGGCATGGGAATCACTCCTGTCAGGGTAGCTCGGCGTATACCGGGCGTCCAGAATGCTGGGAAGAGCCAAAGTGAAGTCAGGAGCCGGAGAGACCTGAGTGCGCCAGTCAGAATGTTCCATAGATGATGCCTCTTTACATGCCCACAAAGAGACCATGCTTTGGTTTAGGACGTTACTTGCTCCTAGCGATGTTGGATTTCGGTTGGCTATTGTGATACCCTCGTGTGCGTTAAGCGGAAAAGGCGTTCTCGGGTCTTCGTCTCATGTTGATATCTTGTTCACCCCTTGAATATTCTTTTGATGATTTACGTTTGTTCAAAATACCTTCTTTTCATATCTAGTTTCCTTTGTCGCCTATTGTTTCGGAGTAGATATTATCTTTCATCCCCCTATTTTCTACGTGGTTACCGCGGTCAATCACAGTCACTGGCCAGATTTCAATTCCCATAAAACATGGAGTCTATCTGAGCGTACAAGTTATATATAGCAATCCATGTTCATATGCTTCGAAATGCAGCAAATAACCCCCATGGAGCCAATTTAAATGATAGAGATCCCACAACACCGGATACGTGCGCTATCAACGTATGCTTTGCGCCCCCACCACGAACGCACCAACTCCTCAACAAAGACGCGATCGGCGCCACTCCAGACATCAAGGCCCATCTCAGTCATATCTTCCGTGGTGATTCTCACAGGTTCGTCGTCGTCACAGAGCGTCGGCTCCGCATCCCGTCCCAACAAAGGAGCCGAGGACTCGTCCTCCTGAGTGGTCTGGCGGCCAATCGCCACAGAGGGCTCTGTGTCGTCCTCCGGCTCATCCTGGTAAGAGGCATCGGTTTGACCATCATGTTGTCCTGGGTCTTCCCCATCGCGGCTGTCATGCCGGGCAATAACGTCGGACAGTGTAACGAAGATCTGCGCTGTCAGGCGTCGGAAGTAAGCCACCAACGCTATCTCCGGAGGCTGTTGCTGAGACGTATCCCCGGTGTGCATGCTTCGACGGCTACCAGAGCCGGAAGGCGGGCTGGGAAGGGTGTCCACGCTGGCTAGAAGCCGCGTGTCCTGCTCGAGTTGATGTTCTTCCTCCTCATCTTCTGACAAGCCTTCCCGCTTCTCGCCAGCGGACGCCCACCATATGAAGGACGAGTATGCTAGTCGGGCCCATGATATAGGCTCTACAACCGGGCTGGACGAGTATGTGGAGGCTGCGTCCGAGTCCGAGTCGGAATTCTCCGTTTGGGCATCCGATTCCGGCACGCTTTGGCGCAGTCCTCTTCGGAGAGTCGCGTAACGTCGTGCGTCGCGTTGTGTTGCCTTCAGATGAACCGCTTGCGGAGTGTGATGTTTTGCTGTTGGGGTTGGCAGCACAGATATTTCAGGGAATACCTTCTCTGCGGCGTTTCTTGTATGCGGAGGGGGGAGCGTCACTAAAACATCGAAGAGGTCGGATTTCATGCTCAGGACACTGTCGGTGCTGCAGGCAATCCATGCAGCATCCTGGTTGGCTCCTGGGGCCACTCCGACAAAGGTGGACAAATAGGGGATGTCGTGGATGCCGACGTTGAAGAGGGGACGAGGCCGCAGAGTTGGTATATGGTCTGACGGAAGCAAGGGAAGAAGGGAATTCGGCAAGGATGCGATCAAAGATAAATCGTACACTTTCATGCATGAGTAACAATGAAGCATACGGAAGAAGAATACTTACCGTAATTACAGGGTATCTGGACAGGTGCTTCCGCCATGAAGAGGATCCTCTTGCGGAGCAATGCTGCTCTATACAAGGGATATAAGAGTGGGCCGAAACAATCAAGGAAATCGGGGAGCGATGAGGCGGGGTGGAAGGGCGTCAGGGCCGGCCTGGGCGTGTCCAGCACGATCGCATCACTGAATGCACGGCTACGACGCAGACTCTCCGGTCGCTCTCCATGAGCGCGCAAGCGGAAGCTGAGCGGTGATTCGAGGGGCGATTCCGGCGGTACATTTGAAGCATCATTGTCGCGTATCTCATGAGCTTCCCAGTATTCAGACAGGGCTTGAGTATTGGACATATCCGTTGCATAGGATCTATTAAGAAAAAATCGTACGTTAGGTGTTGTTTACTCAAGTGGTTCAGGTGGTCAAGCCGTATCACGCACTGCGCGAGCTCCTTGAGTTTCGGGGCGTGTCTCCAGCTCTTGCCTAGTCTTCCTGATGCCAGGGGCACCAGAACGCCAATTGCGAACATCTTCGCATTGCGTTCAGCCTCCTCTGCAGGATGGTTGACGAATGCGCTGATGCCAGCATACTGATCATGGACAAAGTACCTGTGGACAGCCGATGTCTTAGTCGGGAAACCGTGGGAGCGATGAGTTCACGCATACACTAGATCTTCCGACACATTGTGCAAGCCAGACGGGAGGGACTTGTATTCGACAACACCCTCCACCTCGACTGTTCGAATCAATCAGCCAGCGTCCGTGAGCGCGAGCTGCGCGACACACTCACCTCCGGGAACGGTACGCTTCCATGATATCACGTATCTGCATCGTCACATGGCGTTAGACTATCTGACTTCGGTTGCAGATGGAGATAAGGCACAGTTTCCCACTTACCCAGCCTTGATATCGAACCGAATCACGAACAAGGCAGCAATGGCGGGCGGAGACTCCATTGCAGACGTGCGGGGCACATCAAGCCCTAGGGGCTTTCTTCTAAATGGGCCTGCTGCCATTTCAGAAACGCGCGTGAAATACGCAGGGTAAAGGCCCCATAGGGTGTATAAGCGACAGCGCAGACGATGAAGGTGGCTGCATTGAGGAGAAGCACGTTCGATCCCGAGCTCAAGGAGGTCGACGATAATCGCACGGGGACGTTGCGGAGCCATGGGAGCTGCCGCTGTGTTGCCTCAGGTCCACAGGCTAGCCGTTCTAGGTTAGCCTGCCACACGGGGTTCCCATCTAACCCTTTTGGGACAGCTCTTGTTTTGAAGAATCAATAATATCTACGTTCAGACCGGTCTATCGTGTTAAGACAGTCAGAATTGTCTAGGTACACTTCGCAAGAGAAGCGACTTTTTATGATAAAGAAATTCCCTCTCCAGTGAGCTGTCCAGAATCAGCCCACCGACTTTCACCTCCCAACTCAGCTGGCCCTCCGTTTCCCTATCAATCGACCATGTCTTCACAACTTCCTCAACATCCTTATTATCCCCTCGGTGCGCCAATTCACGGATATGTTCCGAACGAATCTACGATTTTCCGGCTTTTGACGACAGCGAGCGCTGGTGCGGTATTCTTACTGGGAGCGACGCTTGCCTTCGTTAGCCTTGTGCGACCAAATTTGAGCAAATCCGATCGAGCTGCTATCTTATGGTTCGCCCTCTGTACGATCCCTTCCCTGGATCTAGCAAATGAATCATATATTGACAATACATGCTCCATGTAGCGGGAACGCTGCATTGTTTCTTTGAGGGCTATTTCATGATCAACCACGGCCGCATGGCTTCTGCTCAAGACTTCTTCGGTCAACTTTGGAAGGAATATGCTCTATCGGACTCGCGGTACATGACCGCAGACACCATGGTCCTATGCATGGAGACTATGACGGTTGTATGTTCAAGGGCCGCATTGATGGGAATGCTTGCGACACTTTTGGCTAATCTTCCTCCCCTTGATGTCTTGATAGCTGGTCTGGGGCCCGCTGTGTTTTGTCGTCGCATATTCAATTTTTACGCAGAGCTCCCTGCATCATCCACTCCAGCTGGTCGTTTGCATGAGTCACCTTTACGGTGACACCTTGTATTATGCGACCAGCCTTTTCGACCATTACGTCCACGGACGACCGTACAGCCGACCGGAGCCGTATTACTTTTGGATCTATTATTTCCTGATGAATTTCATCTGGATTGTGATTCCTCTGTGTGAGTGAGCCGGAGCCCTGTTTCTGGTGGTTACCCACTCATGTTTTGGGCAGATTATCTTTCGCAGAGCTTGCAGGCGATATCAAACGCGTTTGAGCGGGTCAGAAGGTTGGACATGCAGCAGAAGTCCCGATAGGGAACCACCCGAACTGGTAACAAATGTGTTCAACTGTGGTTGCTGGCATTCGGGGAGTCGGCAAAGTAATGCAAGGTTCATGGATGCTACGCATGGTATGTAAGGCGTGGCGTCGGAGGAGCTGCATCCCAACGTGTCGTTGTCCTCATTATCGAGGATAAGGCAGTGGGCTGATGTGTCCACGCAGAAAGATCGTCCAAGAATAGATACAGCCTTTGGATAGTGGGAGGAGAGCCAACTAAAGACCTAAGAATGGCCCTGCAATGATTGTCATTGCAGGCATGTTGCATGGGGACACGAGAATGCTTCGCGAATACAGCTAAAGCTATCCAGCAAATCAGACCAAGCGAATGCAATGAGAATCATAACAATCATCAACTAGTCTACCTATGACAAGGGCCGAGAATGCTCACCAGAACAGCCCAAGAACGAGCGTTTAGCCGCTTAGCGTCCGATCTAGACTCGGCCTTTACCGTCCACGGATTGGGGCGGTGCTGATCGGTTTGGTTTCCCCGGCAGCCCCGGCAACTCCCTCTTATTATGATGATAACGGTGACGATGACGAGGCGGCTGATGTATAACGCTCAGGTCGAAGTTCTTCTGTCAGGTCGGCGCTCCAGCTGATACACCCCCTCCAGTCCGTGTGATCCCGATGGTCATTTGTATCGCTCTCTTGAGTATTCCATCTTCTGCTGGGGAGGGAAACCAGGCGACGGACCTTGATCGGGCAGCTGACCCAGTATTATTAGCATTATTATTCAGGACCCGCCGACATCATTATTTAATTTAGTGAGAAGCCAAAGCATAAACTCACTGACGTTGCTGCGACTTCATCGGCAGCGCTTCGGCGACGCTCCATTTCCACCTGACCGCCTGTTCGCCCGACTGTTTTGTTTTTCTTTTGCTCGATTGTGGTCACCGATTTGATTTGACTTGACTTGATCTCGACTTCTACCTGAGGGAGTGTTGGGTTGAAAGAATTTCGTCTCGCAACCGGCTTGTTTGTTCTGTCGTCAGGCGCTTCATGTGAGTGGCCAGCCGTTCCCCTCCATAAACAAACAACACCTTCTGCCCATGGGACCACAACGCACACCATCGGAACAAGGAAACATATCTGAGATCTGCCGTTTCCTCGATCTATTGTCTCGGATAACCACTGCGATCCTCTCCATTCACAGACAATGCTAACTGACACCCGCCTCGGTCGCAGACACTGATGCCCTCGCCGTCTACTCCGCATCGTCCCCCCAATCGTGGGGGAAGTCCCAAATCGTCTCCGACCAAACAGAAACCTCTCGATATCGGTGTTCCACTAGGAATCTACGACACAAATTCCGTGCGCGAAAAGATCCGGAAATGGCAGCAGCAAGGAGGAGGGGTCATCACCGCCGATGATGTCGTTTACTACGAGGATGATGGAGAGAACGCGACCGTCGACGCCATTCCTCCAAAGACCCCCAAAGACAACAAGCCCGCTCCGACAAGGAAGCGCAGTAAAAGTACCCCGCGGAAGCGCGTCATCAGCGACGAACATTGGAAGCTCAATCGCACTTCAACCCAGTCGCCAAGTTCACAGAAACTTCCGCCGCCGAAGCGCATCTCCCAATACACCACGAACGAGCCGCTCGCCTCGCCACGCGCCGGGAGACATGAAGCCAAGAAGGAAGACAAGACCCGACCTCCGCCGTCCTTGGACTCGTGGGAACGGAGAAAGTCGCGAGTCTTGAAGGAGACACTCGATTCTCTTGTCGAGAGTAAAGCCGGTGAAGATGATCTTTCGCACAATGGTTCTTCGAAATCGACCTCACGGCCGGTGAGCGCAGGCAAGCCAGGGATAGGAGCGTCATCGGAGCGATCCGGTAGCACAGGGAAGAAAGACCACCCAGCTGAAGAGGAGACGGAGTGGGCAGCGAGTGATGCCGATTTCTCGGAGCTGTCTCGACGGAGGGCCCGTGGCGCACCACAACCAGCACCGAAGCCGCGGGGACCGCTCAAGCCTCCAAAGGGTGGAATTTTCGAGCACATGTTGGGAGAATCGAAAAAGGTATTTGCCAAAGTCGAGCCTCCGAAACCAACGGCGAATCGAGGTTCAAAAATCGAGGCATGGCTCTCAGGAACCTCAGACCCATTCTTTGACAGCATCGTGGATCCAGAGGTTGAAGTCCCCGCGCCGTTGAAAATGAGGGTCAACAGACCTAAGCGAGAGGAAAGTGACCATAAGGGAACCCATGAGGGAGACAGTGGCACACACAGCAGAGTGTCATCCACCAAATCCGCAAGTAAACGGCGAGTGAAGAGTCGCGATGAGGGCCATGTGGAGAGAGTGAAGTCGTCTTCTCACAAAGCCGGGCCGAAAGAACCAGGAAGAGACTCGTCTTCATCTTCCAGCAGAAAACGATCCAGCGATCATAAACATAGTCGCTCATCTTCAGGCGCCAAAGACACTAAAGACGATGCTCTTCAGGAGAAAATTTCCAAGGGGAAGGACATTATGTCTGATGCCGAAACTGTTCCTTTCTCTGATGGCTCGGAGGTGTCAGGTAACAACGCCCCTGTTCCCCTTGCGCGAAAACGACCATTCCCGAGCACCGGCGCTCATCGACTTTCAACGATCGCTTCAATGGATTCGATGGATACAGGAAGTGAGGTGCTGTCTAATATTCGGTCCGGTGACGCTCTATCAGAGAAGCGGACGTTAGCATCATCCGACGTGAAGGAAGACCCAGAAGAAAGGGATCAATTCGATCCAAACTCCCTACCGGTGGTCTCGTCGCAGTTAAAGAGACGGCTTACAACACATGACGATCTCATTTCCGTCCTCTCTGCTCCGAATAGCCGAAGTAGGAGCATCAGATCCGCGCGCAGCATCCGAACAAACAAAAGCCGCCTAAACAATGCAACAATACCGGATCTACTCAAGGAACTATCCCTCGATGAAGCAAAGTACATGCGCGAACTCAAAACGTTGGTTGGAGGTGTGATTCCCGTGCTTTTGACTTGCGTCCTTTCAAAGTCGGATTCGGCCATCGCAGCCGGCCTTTTCCGCCCATCATTGGATCCCAAAGATGAGCTGAATTTCACCAAGCCTATCGTCGATATGGGAGTTGCAATTGAACGACTGAAAACTTTGCATAAGCGGATTCCGCAAGAGGATGCTGGGGCCTTACTGACGTGGGCCGTTGGCGCGCAAAGAGTATATCGGGAATACCTGAAAGCCTGGAGGCTGGGGTTCAAAGACGTGATCGTGAATCTGGCTCCACTCGATGAGGATGAAAAAGGGGAGAACGCCGAAACAAAAAGCCTGGATGAAGGCATGGATAGAGACGAGAACGGAGATATTGTCGATAGCAACGGCGAGAAAGTCGATGTTGCATATCTGCTGAAACGCCCCCTTGTGCGGCTCAAATATCTTGCAAAAACCTTCAAAGGTATCAATATGCTCGATCCATCAGAAAAAGCCGAAGAAGTCGCCGCGGCCTACCAGGCTCTTGTTACAGATGCTCGCCGACGTGCGCGCGATGAGCGGGCAAGACTTGAGGATGAGTCCGCTGCTTGCATTGACTCGACCAGAGCTCGCGACCCTGCAACATTAGGGCCTATTGCGGATGTCACCGTTGACAAAACAAGGCGCGTTCGAGCTCGGGATTTTTTCAACTTGTCCTTGTACCATTCAACGGGTCAGGTGATTGATTGCCGTGCTGAGCTTCTCTTGAGAGATAACTCTTCTGAGGGCAGCACTGGTGGTGATCTGCTTATTTGCGAGATCGACCATGCAGACCGTTGGTTACTGTTCCCCCCAATGGACCTCACATGCGTTTCCGCGAGGAATGGGGATGCGAAGGGTGAAATCGTGGTTATGTTAAGGAGCTCTCCTTCTCACGTCAAATCATGGCAAGAGCTTCTCCTGCTCAGAATTGATGAAGAGGATGTCGGGTTCGAGTGGGTGCAGATGCTGGGATTGAATCCTGTCCCACCAACAATCAGCCGAAGCCAGAGCTTCATCGAACGTGCAAAGCAACGACAACGAGCGCGCACAATTACCTCGCCTGGAGATGCTCCGGAAACGCCACCCAGTCCCACGAGTGTTGATGTTCCTCTTGGTGAGAGGGCCACCTCTCGCTCATTGCGTCGCTCTTCTCCAAGAGAACCATTGTCTGACCCAAGTATCGTCGGGTCGTCTCTTGCAACAACATCGAGAATGTCGGTTAATACAGCAATTACACGAGAATCGGATTATGCCTCCTCGACAGACCGTCAGGTCAAGTCTTCGTCGCACACACAGCCGCCGATTCTTCATTCCAGAGACCCGCGGAAATCCCTGACCGGTGAGGATAAGTCCCCTGGTCTGAAACGGTCAAAGGCAAAGAGAGTAGCCCGGCATGACGATGAGGCCACATCGAGCCCACAAAGTCCAGGCAGAGATATTGCAGTCTCCACACCTCCCCGTCGGGACCACGACGAAGCCAAAGGAGCGCAGAGATCTCCAGAAAAATTCAAGGAGGAGAAGGCTCCCAAGGAGCAGTATACCCCCAAAACTCCCTCAAGGAACAGTCCAGAGCAACTGTCCCCCCGTGTGTCGTCCGTCCCCTCAATGGACCTGCCAATCATTCCGAAGCTCAGGCAGCGCGACAGTCAGTCATATGTCACAGAGTCAGTTCAACCTACATCAGACGAATCGGACGACGACTTTGGTTATCTAGACTCCTCGAAGATATCGGACAGCCCAACAAAGAGAAAGAGTCATTCTCGTTCCAATTCAGATACTTCTGACAAAGCCAATGGTGACGAGCCTCCACCTCCACCTCCACATTCTCGGTCTCCCAGCTCGACAGGCTCGAGCCTGAACAACACTCCTGTCCTTGGCCCTACCGGTCCCCGACCCAGACGTAGGGGCTCCTCTCCTTTGAAGCATGAGTACGAACCATCGACCGCATCAGACTCCATTTCAGACTCCGATACATCTACTGTACGGCGCTACAACTTGTATTCTGAATCTGAATACTCGGACTCAGACAGCTCTGAGGAATCAGAAGCGGAGCTTTCGTCGGTCGCCCCCTTGAAGGCTGACAGCCATGCAAGGACTGCTGCCCAAGCCTCTGTTGTCACTTCTGCTAGCAGTTTATCCCCATCTAACTCGGCTTCTCAGGGTGGTTACAGATCGGTCCCTTCGCAACCAGCCAAGTCTTCCACTGCAGTGGCATCAGTCTTTGCTTGGTCTGACAAAGGCTCTTGGGATAGCATCTTCCCTGATGACTGCAGGATCATCGTCAGTCCTGGGTTGATCGAAGCATACCAACTCGGTGCTGCTCCAATCGGAGAAGATGGTATTCCAGTCAAGAACGGACGGCCCTTAATTGCTCTTGAATTAACCCCTCTTGTGCCTATCCGACGGGGTACGGCGATCGATATCAGCATTCGCTCTCCACCAACCGAACGCTCCAAGATCGCTTGGAGCAACAACATCATGTTCCGCTCGGCCAATGCAGACGAGTGCGAGGCCTTGTACGGGCTTATCAACCAGGCACGCATCAACAACCCCACCTACATCGCATTGCAAAATGCCAGAGGTCCTTTCGCGGACCAGTCTGTCCCCATCGAACCGTCGAATAAACCCTCAGGATGGTTTGGCTGGCCCCGCCGCAGAAAGAGCTATCGAGCATCCGCCTCTCCTCGGTCACTTGCGGATCACTCCGAGAGTAGCGTTGGCACAATGAGCAGCGCGTTCTCCGCTCTGAAGCGATTTGGCGGTGGGGGAAGCAAGATGTTCAGCATTTCGCGTTCATCCGTCACCTCCCGGAGCAGACAGAAAGAAGATAGTTTATACTCTAGCTCTGCTGGGTCCGGAACAAATTTTATGTCGAACGCTGGAATTGGTCGAATTGCCGCGGCTATCAAGAACGCTGATGGAATCGGTTTGTCGAATGCCAAAATCCGGCTCTACGTGCGTGAGACGGCGTCCAAGTGGCGGGATATGGGTGCCGCCCGTCTGACAATCATGCCGGCCGCTCCTGAGCCTCCCCGTCCTGACACCGCTGTTAGCGGACGAAGCGACCCGAGTTCTGCCGTAGACGGCACTGACGAAAGCCCTCCGGCATCGGGGTCTGCCTCTCCCCGTCGCGCTGTTGATTCCAAGAAGCGCATCCTCATTCGTGGTAAGACTCGGGGTGAGGTCCTCCTGGACGTCTGTCTGGGCGAAAGTTCTTTTGAACGTGTTGCGCGGACAGGAATTGCTGTCTCTGTGTGGGAAGAGAATGAGGGTGGTGCCATGCCCCAGAAGGGTGGCGTCATGGTGGGATCTAGCACGATATACATGATCCAAATGAAGAGCGAAGCCGAAGCGGCCTACACTTTTGGCCTTGTTGGCAAGCTCAGATATTAGACTCCCCCAATTTTCAACGTCAACTGGGTGAACACATTGTCTACTCAAGTTCTTTCATTCTTTCATCTTACAGTTTCTTATGTCGATATGCATGTGGTGTTTTTGAAGTGTTGACATACCCCATGAGTTGTGATTGTTTATTGTTCATGATTGATTGATTGCATCTGTATATGAGCGTTAGAGAAGTAAAATATTCCCTTTACTTGTCGGGTAGTTCGTGTAATTCGTATCCATCCTATGATGCAGTGGCGATCGGGGAAACAAACGGTGCAAACATTCCCTTTTGGGGGTGTTTGCATCGGGGAACCAAACGTGTCCTCATCAAGCTTGCCAGATCTCCGTTCGGCATTATCCCCATCTATATTTCGATGTTACTGCCAGCTGGCCAGTAGTTCGATTCGTTGTGTCCTCGATGGCTGTGCTAACATAAGGTCATCCTCAGTATGTTTCTCCTTCGTCCCAATTCAATACACTCTTTCTCTCTAACTTGACTTCAGTTTACCTGACCAAACAGTCCATTGATCACCGCCCAGGCCGATACCTCGACACAATTAGATTCGTCTATTCAATATATTGAATCTTCCAGGACAGAACCTGTTGCCTACGCAGCAGTCCTACTTGTTCACCCTCCAAGGTATGTAGTCCATGTCGCAATGCAATCGATTCGCACTCACCGCGCTGGTCCAGATACCATGGCTCCCCAGGGCCGTCAGCGGGCATATGCATCGCCCCGACTGCTGACATCCTCACCGATACTTTCCTTCCTGATTCTCCCCTTCCTTCTCTGCTTCCTCTGTTTCCCCGCCCCTACCTCCGCCGCCGGCTCCGCAGTGTTAGGTATCGATGTCGGAACGGAATACTTGAAAGCCGCCCTCGTAAAACCCGGCATTCCGCTTGAGATCGTGCTTACAAAGGATTCCAAGCGCAAAGAGACAGCCGCCGTCGCATTCAAGCCCACGAGAGAAAGCAATGCGCCGTTTCCCGAGCGATTCTACGGCGGCGATGCGCTCGCCTTGGCCGCGCGGTACCCCGATGACGTTTACGCGAACCTGAAATCTTTACTCGGTCTGCCCTTCGACAGTGACAGCGAGGCGATTCAAAACTATCACAACAGGTATCCGGCCTTAAAGCTGGAGAGCGCTGGAGAGCGTGGTACCGTCGGGTTCCGGAGCAACAGACTTGGCGAGGCGGAGAGAAAGGACGCTTTCCTCGTCGAAGAGATCCTGGCCATGCAGTTGAAGCAGATCAAGGCGAACGCGGATACCCTCGCTGGCAAGGGTTCCGACATTCGCGATGCCGTGATCACCTATCCGGCATTTTACACCGCGGAGGAAAAGCGGAGCCTTCAGCTGGCCGCGGAACTCGCGGGCCTGAGCGTTGATGCCTTCATCAGCGATGGTCTTGCCGTTGGATTGAATTACGCTACGAGCCGTACCTTCCCCAGTGTTTCGGATGGCCAGAAGCCGGAGTATCATATCGTGTACGATATGGGTGCCGGTTCCACCACTGCTTCTGTCCTTCGCTTCCAGAGTCGCTCCGTGAAGGACATTGGAAAGTTCAACAAGACAATCCAGGAGATTCACGTCTTGGGCACTGGTTGGGATAAGTATCTCGGTGGAGATGCTCTGAATGACCTCATCGTGAAGGACATGATTGCGGAATTGGTCCAGGACAAGAAGTTGAAGGATCGGGTTACCCCTTCAGATGTCGGCACACATGGAAAGACGATGGCGAGACTTTGGAAGGACGCCGAGAAAGTTCGCCAGGTCCTGAGTGCGAACACGGAGACCGGAGCTAGTTTTGAGAACCTTTACGAGGAAGATCTCAACTTCAAGTACCGTGTTACGCGCTCCAAGTTTGAGGAGCTCGCTCAGGAGCATATTTCCAGAGTTGCAAAGCCCCTTGAGCAGGCTTTGGCTGCTGCGGGACTTGAGCTGAGTGATATCGATTCTGTGATTCTTCACGGCGGGGCTGTCCGTACTCCGTTTGTGCAGAAAGAGTTGGAACGTTTCTGTGGATCGTCCAACAAGCTCCGGCCCAACGTCAACGCCGATGAGGCTGCTGTGTTTGGTGCTGCCTTTAAGGGTGCGGCTCTTAGCTCCAGCTTCCGTGTCAAGGATATCCGGGCTAGTGATGCCTCGGGCTACCCTGTTATCCTGAAGTGGACATCAGATTCGAAGGAGAGACAGCAGAAGCTGTTTACACCTACCTCCCAAGTTGGTCCTGAGAAGCAGGTCACTGTGAAGAACCAGGACGACTTCGAGTTCAGTTTCTACCACCAGATCCCTGCGGGCAGCGATGTGATCGAATCTCCCGTTCTCGGAGTGAAGACCCAGAACCTCACTGCCTCCGTCGATAAACTGAAGAATGATTTCGGTTGCTCTGCAGCCAATATTACCACCAAGTTCTCCATCCGCCTCAACCCTGTGGACGGGCTCCCTGAAGTTGTCGGCGGATCCGTTGGTTGTGAAGTTGAAGGCTCCAAGAAGGGAATCGTTGAAGATGTAAAAGGATTCTTCGGTCTGGGCAAGAAAGATGAACAGGCTCCCTTGGGAGAAGAAGGTGAAGCCAGTGAGTCGATCACCTTGGAACAGGAAGAACCCCAGGCTTCGACAACGTCTTCAACTGATGCAGCGACCTCCACTACTTCCACTAAGGAAAGCAAGAAGACTGCTGCCCCTCAGAACAAGTTTGAAATTGTACCTGTCAGTTTCACTTCGAAGCCACTTGGTATCCCTGCTCCTTCAGCAAACGAGCTTGCTCGTATCAAGGCCCGTCTCGCTGCGTTTGATGCTTCTGATCGGGATCGGATTCTGCGGGAGGAGGCTTTGAACGAGCTGGAATCCTTCATTTACAGAAGCCGGGACCTAGTGGATGACGAGGAATTTGTGAAGGTAGTCAAGCCTGATCAGTTGGACGTCCTCAAGCAGAAGGTTTCTGCTACCAGCGACTGGCTCTATGATGATGGCGAGTTCGCCCCGAGGTCTGAGTTCCAACAGAAGCTCAAGGATCTGAAAGACATTGTCAACCCTGCTCTCAAGAGAAAGCAGGAGAACTCCGCTCGGCCCGCCCGCGTCGAGCTTCTGCAAAATGTGCTGAAGAACTCGAAGGCTGTAATGGACCTGATGGACAAGCAGATCAAGCAAGATGAGGATATTTACTCCTCGAGCCTTTCTGCGTCTGGATCCTCCACGAGCGAAACAGAAACGTCTTCCACCACTTCGACTGAAACGTCCGAGTCTACACCGGATCCTCTGGAGGATCTCGAGGAGGACCCATACACATCCTCAACTACCACCTCGACCACCGCGGCGCCAAAGGCCACTGGTCCAAAGTATTCAGTGTTCCAACCATCTGATTTGACTAGCATCACTAAGACTTATGAGTCTGTCAACTCCTGGTTCGAAACCCAGATGTCCCTCCAGGAGAAGCTTAGTGAAACAGATGACCCGGCTCTGACTGTCGCGGAGATTGACACCCGTCTCAAGGAACTGGAGCGACTCATGAACCGCATCTATGAAAAGATGGGAGCTGCGGCCGCCAAGTCCAAGAAGAACACTGGAGATCAGCCCAAGAAGGATAGCAAAAAGGACAAGTCCGAGACGTCCAAGGATAAGAAGACGAAGGAAGAAAAGAAGACGAAGCCCGTCAAGGACGAGTTGTAATATGCCTTTATGTCTTCTGTTATATTGTCTTTTTTTCTTTGGTTTCGGTCTCAAAAAATGATGGGAGTTCACCTTGAGCGTTCGGTTCCTGCATTTTATGCACTGTCTGCTTTTGTTTTGTCTATACAAGAATCGTCGATGGCATTGGTTATATCCGGCATCGCATGATTCCCAGTGTCATTTCGGCATTGTTTACTACCATGTAAACTATATAGAGGTTTCCCTACACTATGAAAAGAGTATCACTGGATATTGGTCAACTTAGACTGCTACTCCATATAGTGTAGCTTCAGCAATGCCGTTAGATTTGCCTAAAAAGTATCTCGTCAGTCTGATCTCGCAGGCCTGTATTCGGAGCATTATCTCGAACTAAGTTGTCTTCACGTACAAGTTACGCCGAATGTCTTAAAAAGGAAAAGAGAATATATGCAGAACTCTGAAAGGTATCACTCAATTGTATCTTACTGTGTCATGAGAAAACTATGTTAAATCACCAAAACTGAATGTAAACGCTCCCACGCGGACTTGCGCGAAAATGAAGGCCAGTATATGCGAACACGGAAGTGCAAAAAAGGGTATGGACAGATGAAATGAAGTGCAAGCACTGAAACCAGCCAGTGAGCAGATCATAGCGTTGGGAAGTGGTAAAGTGTTGATACAAAGATTCTTCAAATGTACAAGATATGGAACAAGCGGGTACACAGATCAGATTAGACACCACCCATCTGGACCTCGTAGCCACTGTTTCGGCCCGTGCCATATTCCGTATCGACCTCCTCCCGTCTGCGAAGGAAGGAAGGCTCTTCGAAATCGTCCACCTCCATCCCACCGTGCTTCTGAGCCGCGACAAAGCGCCGCCGCTGCCGGCCCAAACTGGGAGCAAGAATGGTGCGTCCGATAGCCGGAACTGCTTTGTGAGCTGATCTCAGCGATGAATCCAGCCAAGTAGTCGTCCCAGGGTTGAAGGCAAACTCGTCGGATTCGTCCACATCGCTGTCATAGTCGTATGTCCGTTTTTGGCCGTGAGCTTGCGTAGAAAGCGACGCAGCGGATTCCTGGCTGCTGGGCGGGAGAGAGAACGCGTCACCATCGTCGGTGATGATCTGATCATCGGAGTCATCCATCACGGGTTCCGCGTAAGGCTGAGGTGTTGTCAGATGGCTCGGTCTTGCCATTCCGCTGAACGGAGTGAGCTCTGCGCGGGCAGTGACATATGGTCGGCATGCGGGGTAGAGGGTTGGCGTCGGTTTGATGTCATCCATTGTCTTTTCGGTCTTGGTCTTGTAGCCTTCGGCGACGGACTTGCGGACGCGCATTCCGACGGAGAATAGCGAGGCTTGGATCTTTTCAGGGAGGACGGGGGTTGGGGAGGAAGTAGCGGCGGAATAGTGGGTATGCGAAAGGTGAGGAGGACAAGTGGGGCTTGATGGTGTCGTGAAATATGTAGTGATGGGTGGCTGAAAGCGTCTGCGTTTGGAGTCTAGCGAACTGTTGTTGGTAGATACTGAGATGGTGGAGGAGGGCATCTTCGTAAGGCGCGGTAGCGCGGGCGATGAAATTGTGGCTTGGCGGGTGTATGTGTAATTATCTGTTTTTGAATCTGACTTTGTTTCAGAAGAATGAATGATAGATGTTTCGATGCTTTCTCAAAAGGAATTATGGAAATGGGGGTGGGAAGAAAGAAGAGTCGAAAGAAGATGAAGAAATGGAGGCTGGGGATTTTTGGCGGAACGCGACGCGGATTTGACGCGCGCTCTCCCGGCACGTGCTCTCTACCAATATATCCGCTTTAGGATGGTTGGAGTCTAGTATCTACCTAGATACTCTGTATACATCTTTCTCAGAACCTCGAAACTGTAAATGATTCCTAATAGCTCGTCCTACGTCTATCGACAATTTGGAACACATAATTCTTTCCGCAGAATCGTCACCACCGTCAATGACCATAGGTCGTTTACTTCGGCGTATGGGTAGATATATATATTCATGGACATGCTTGATTAAAGAATTCAGTGAGTTCGACTCTATACAATATGCTATGAACAGATACCATCTTTTAACCATTGTTTCCCCTCCTTCCACCTCTCTTCTGTCTCTCATGATGGGCTTTCAAGACATTCCGCGTTTCCACAAGACTACGCTTGCCCTTGGACTTCGCCTTGCCCAGGGTCATGAAGAAGTTCTTTCTGCGGGCCTTCTCTTTGTTGGTAGTACTCTTGCCCTGCTCCTCCTTGCGCTCCTTTCTCCTAGCCGTCACACTCTTATACTCGGAGCGATCGGTCTTCCCTTCCTTGGCATGGGCGATTCGCTCCTCGCGGGTTGCCTTTCCTGCAGACAGAGCAGCCAATCCCTCGATTTCTGCCGCAGTCAAAGCCTCATCAGTGCCACGAGAGGTGTTGTTTTGGCCACGACGGCTCTTGGGACCGGACACAAGCGCATTGACGGCGGCTTCATTGCGCAGTTCCTGAAGCTTAGCGAGATCAGCTGGCGTGAGGATACGGGTAGTTGCCAGAGCCAGCGGGTCCTTCTTCTCCTCAGGCTTGGCCGACTCTTTGTTTTCATCCTGCTTAGCTTTCTTAGCAGGAGGGCCGTCCTTTTCATCGTCTGAGTCGCTGAGATCAATCTCGGCGTCGCTTTGGACGTCGATCCAACCACCGGAACTGTCGCTATCATCATCGTCCTCCACGTTCCAGTTGGCCCAATCAGCTTCGTCATCATCTTCATCGTCCTCCGCATCAGAAGGAAGACCCTTCTCAGCACGCCTCTTCTTTCGCTCTTCCTGCTTCCACTGTTCAAGAAGCTCCAGACCCTCGATACCACCGGACTCCTGTTCTCCAAAACGCTTTTCTTTCTTCTCCCCCGCCCGGAGACCCATAGACGCTTCTTTACCACGGTCACGTCTCTTGAGCATTTCCGGGTTGTGCTCACGGAAGAGACTAAGCAGGCCTCTGGCCGCCATCACGACACCCTTATCTTTACTCTTCCTGTACATGACAAGATCTTGAAGCAAAGTCTCGTTCATTGCGAGCGGCTGTCTCGCGCAGATCTCTCTGATGGCATTGAGTCCAGCCGTAGCCACTTCTGATGCTGACGCTTCGGAAACGAACTCATTCGCAATTTTCTGAACGAGTGGTTCAAGATCATCCGGGGGAACCAGATCGTGCGATGCTTGGGCAAGCGAGGCCAAGAAGGACGTGACGGAGGGTTGACGGGGGGTTAGGTATTTCTGGAAATAGGAGTAGAGATGCATGATGTGCAGTTTATGCAGACCAACAAGACGGGTGACGAGCTGCAGAACCATGAGCTTCTGCTCCAAGTTCAGCTTGGACTTCGTGTTTTGGAGGTGCTTCGAGAAGAGCGTCTCCGCGAATCCCTGCGGATCATGCAAAAGGTGCAGCGCAGAAAAGTTCAACTGGTGAGGTTGGTTCTTCTTGCGCTCTCTCCTCTTAATCGTGGCCTTTGCCTTCTCGATGGCGCGGGCTTTGCTCCGGGTCTTCTTGTTGATGCCGACCTGGTGTTTGACCCGTCCCACATCGATCTCCTCGTCACTACTTTCATCCTCCATTTCCTCCCGCTCTTTGTCTCCTCCCAGGAAAAAGCGCACACCCCCAACAATAACCTTTTCGTTTTCGGCTAAACTGGCCTCTTTCATGACCTCGACAGCCTTGGCGTCTGACCAGATCTGCCGCTTCCACAGCTCACGAGTGAGCTTGATAGCCCATAATCCCTTAGAAGATGTACGGTCTGACGTGACCAAATTGAAAAGCACAGTCTGCATGGTACGGTTGAGTTTGTGATTCGTCGTCTTGGCATTAGATGAGCGGAGGTCCATGAGAATCTTTTGGAAAATCAGAGCCCGCAGCGTCTTGCTGGGCGTGGTGATCAGAATCGGGAAGAGCGTCTGAAGGAGCCTAAACGTCGATCCACGAGTCAGTAGTCGTTCGGACATCCACCTAGTATAGGGTCAGACATACGTCGCTGAATCCAGCAGCTCTTTCTTTCTCAGAAGAACCAGACTGCCCACGATCTTCTCTCGCAGTTCTGGTTCCAGGACCAAGTGGTGTTGCGACAAGATATCCATAAGCTGCTGCGGGAATTCCTTGGTAATGTCGGGATAGCAATCGGCCACATGCGCAATGAAATCTATTAATTCTCTGAGTGAGATAATGCCTGTATCGGTGGCCGATGCGGGTGCCGCCATGAAAATTTCCCGATGGCTCTCATACTGATAGTGTTGAGCGCGAAAGTCTTCGATATATGACCTAAAGCCCACCAGTCAGTAAAGCAATATTGTATTTGGAAATTTCTCCATTATGCGATCGGCTTACTTGGGGTCTCGTCGGATTTTATGTTGCAAGTTAGGCCTAGACAACGAGGACAGATTGGTTAGTGGCGAGCGAGATCGCTAAAACCTCAGAGAAAAAGGGCGTCAAGGTGCGCTTACAGATCAGCCTCGACCTTTTCCAAGGCCCCCAACTTCCTTTTCACCATTTCTTCAGATCGCAGTGAAAAGAAATTCTCTTGTTGTGGTGAATTGGCGGGTGTCGACAGACGATGGGGGTTGCGATGGCAGGCAAATGTTAGCTCCGAACTTTTTTTCCGCACGGGAACGGGCCTATCGATAAGCGATCAAACTCTGGAGCAGAAATCGACCAAGGCCGGACTTTTTGTAGAGCACGAACAGAATACAATAATAATTATAGTAACAGTGATCAGAACAATCCTTGAGTAGAAAGAGGTGGATTGTCTGATTTCGTTCCATTTACTGATCTACGCTTGGGCTACAGTTACTATGATAGAAAAGCAACAAACTATTCTTTTCAAGTAGAAAACAAAAGGAATTGACTTAAAGCCTGACATTTTCATGATCGCATCTCGACTACTTTAGAAGAAAGCCGTCCGATTCTCTTTTTTGGGAGCTCGCTCCCTCCCGTGACTGTCTTCAAGGTATATACAGTCGCGCAGATGCATGCAAACCGACTGAATCCTAATTAACCCCCCGTCCACTCCAGTACACATAAAACCAGACCAAACGGAGAATACGCCCAACATAACCCCTTTACCGGTTGCTCTTGGCAACACGCTCGAGCTCGTCCTTCTTCTTGATGGCATAGGAGTTCGAGCTACCCTTGGCAGCGTTGATCAGCTCCTCAGCAAGGCACTCAGCAATGCTCTTGATGTTGCGGAAAGCAGCCTCACGGGCACCGATGGTCAGGAGAGCGATGGACTGGTTGACACGGCGGAGAGGAGACACATCAACGGCCTGGCGACGGACGGTACCGGCGGAACCGATACGGGTGGAGTCTTCACGGGGACCGCAGTTGACGATGGCATCGACGGCGACCTGGAGGGGGTTCTGGTCGGTCATGATGTGGATCTGAATATCACGGCGTGGTTAGTTTTCCTCTCTCTGACCAATTGATGGGTGGACTGGATTGCCGCTGCGTTTGTGCGGGACACCAGGAACCTAGGGCACACATACGATCTCGAAAGCGTGAGCAACAATGCGGACAGCCATGAGCTTCTTGCCGTTGTTGCGGCCGTTCATCATGAGGGAGTTGGTCAGACGCTCGATGATGGGGCACTGAGCCTTGCGGAAACGCTTGGCGGCATAGCGGCCTGCGGAGTGAGGGAGGTAGACGGGGTTACGGATCTGGATGTAGTCGCTATATTCATGAAAAAAGATCTCGAGTCAGCAAATGTTCGTTGCGAATGTTCCGGTTTGATTCCTTGTCGTCCTCGTGTTTCTCTTGTCGTGTCGCAGGTCGTTTTCGCAACGCACGATTCCCCTCGCGTTCGCATCGACAATTGTCCCACGATCGACGTCCACAAATTTTCCTCGCAGGAGAAGAATCGCAAGAATAGCAGGGGATCACCTACGTCAAGGAGATGTCCCTGATCTCAACATCCTCGTAGCTCCACTTGTTGAACAGCTTCACGGTTCCCATCTCCGCGATAGCCTCCTTGGGCAGGACCTGGAAAGCCCCGGCGGGGTTTTCGACCTCGACTTCCCCGTGGTCAGACATGTTGACGCCGTATGCACCTGTTGTCGAGGGAGGGATACGTTGAAAGGTGACGGACGGTGTCGTTGGGTGATCTCAACGTCGACGATAGCGGACGGTCGGCTGAAAAGAGTCGGTTGGCTCAAGGAAATTCGAGGTGCGCCTCGCTTAGTTGTGTGGGTGGGGTTAGGGCAGGCCTCCCGCCAATGAGATATGCTCGATCAGGTGACCCTTGCGCGAGCCCCCTCGGATTGCGCTAAGCCAATCCGGTATTAGGGGTTCCATCCGGCCTCCCCTTCAATTGTACTTTAACTCCGTAAATTATGTGGACTGATAGACACGAATGTTTACGATGGAGTAGGTATGAAGAACACTAGGATAGAGGAATTATGATACTATGGAAAATATATAGAGCTCAACTTTTCACCAGCCTTGTAAAAAAAACAAACTCCGAAACTCTCATCCGCACACCAACCCCAACCGGCAAGACATCACGTGTGGCGGTGCATTGTGTCGGGCCCGCCAACTGGGCGCCACACCGCTGACGTTGTGGCTCAAGCGCGGAGAAACAGCCGAACAACTCGAACAGGTTGTCAATCCCTCGACGACATCTCAAGGGCTGCACGAGATTGGGAACCCTCCGTATTCCCCTTTAGTGCCTCCCGACTGACGCTCTGGGCCCCTGCGATGAGTATATCGTCGAAAGCAAATCCCCCAGTCGTTTGCGCACTCGGATGAAAGCCCCTCGATCAGTACACGTTCGGGCGCTTCTGTGAACATGGCGGACGAGAACCCCGAACTCCAGGCCGCTTTGCGGGATCTTGATCGAGAACTTGAGGTATGGCATTCATAGGAGAAGAGTTTGCTCTCAGTCCGGGAGACCAGTGTCTGTGTTTTGGTCGCTAACACTCGGGCTGTTGCGTAGGATGGTGATATCACGGAGAAGGGGTGAGTACTTCCCGTCAGATGTACCCCTCGGCCTGAGACTCCTAGTCGTGCTACGATACTCTCAATCAACAATCACATACTAGTTCATCAACGTTTCTATGCGCACATGCACTTTGTCAATGACGACTGAGGACTGACTTCTCCCAAGTTACCAGAAACGCCGTACCCTTCTGCTCTCCCAATTCTTTGGACCGAACAGGGCTCTGGATGTCAATGCCGCCAGTACAATGGATCCATCTCGGTCACTAACGAGCTCAAACAATGTCCCACCGGCAATCCTGAGTGTCCGACCTCCGACGGCCGATTCAAACCATGGTGCATCCCCGCAGCCTTTCGCAGCTGGATATGAGAATATCCAAGGCAACGGAAGCTTCGGATATGACCGAAGAATCAGCGGCGATACACAAAATTCCATGGTAAGAGAAAGTCTTTCGTTACAACAACTGGATCGAATGCCGTCGTCGGCTTCGTACGATTCTCTTTTCCTTCCAAAGCCCCCTCCCGGCCCCGGCGGAGCGCAAGAAGACTCGAGGACAGCAACATTGTTGAGCCAAAATTACGCGTTCAACCCCGGCGCGCCTCAGGAGCACTTTGAGGATCCGACTGGCGGCTATGAAGTAACTCCTAGCGCGCCTACGCGACAGTCAACTATGCTTGATTCACAGCAGGGTTACTTCTCCGACTTTGCAGGCCAACAGCAAGATGACTACAGAGATAGTTATGGTGGTGGAGGGTTTCATCGGTACTCGCAGTCCGATGCTTTCTCTCCCACTGCTAACATGGCGCCGCCTTTGATTCCCGCGTCTGAGCTCCATGGCCCGGCGATCGAGCACCTTCTCCCGCTGGAGCCTCGTGATATTCCTTTTGCAGTAAATGATCCTCACGACAAGAATACGCCAATGTCCAACTTTGACAATATCCCAACTGTTCTTCGGCATCGCGCTCGTGTCCATTCGAAACAAGCTGCTTATTGGGTGTTGGATCAGAAGGGAAAGGAAATCGCCTCGATAACATGGGAGAAGCTCGCGAGTCGTGCGGAGAAGGTCGCTCAAGTCATCCGCGACAAGAGCAACTTGTATAGGGGTGACCGTGTCGCTTTGATCTACCGCGATTCCGAGATCATCGAGTTCGCTGTTGCGCTCATGGGCTGCTTTATTGCGGGCGTTGTTGCCGTACCCATTAACAGCCTGGAAGACTATCAGAGCCTGAACCTGGTTCTTACTTCGACCCAGGCACATCTTGCTTTGACAACGGAAAACAATTTGAAGAACTTCCAGCGGGATATCACTACGCAGAAGCTCAGCTGGCCAAGGGGAGTTGAGTGGTGGAAGACTAATGAATTTGGGAGCTACCACCCGAAGAAGAAAGATGACACGCCACCACTCGTCGTCCCAGATCTGGCTTATATTGAGTTTTCTCGAGCGCCTACTGGGGATCTGCGTGGTGTAGTCATGAGCCACCGGACAATTATGCACCAAATGGCTTGCTTGAGCGCTATTATCTCAAATGTGCCGACATCTCCTCGCAACGTACGGCCTCACGGAGAGACTCTTATCAGTTATCTCGATCCAAGACAGGGTATTGGTATGATCTTGGGGGTCTTGCTCACCGTGTATGGCGGCCATACGACTGTCTGGATTGAGGATCGCACTGTTGAGACCCCTGGTCTCTATGCTCATCTTATCACAAAGTACCGCGCCACGCTTATGGCTGCGGACTACCCTGGCCTGAAGATAGCTGCCTACAATTACCAGCAAGATCCGATGTCGACACGGCATTACAAGAAGAATACCGAACCCAATTTCGGCAGTGTGAAGCTCTGTCTCATCGACACGTTGACTGTTGACGCAGAGTTCCACGAAATCCTCGCAGACAGGTGGCTCAGACCAATGAGGAACCCAAGGGCTCGAGAGATCGTTGCTCCCATGCTATGCTTGCCTGAGCACGGTGGTATGGTGATCAGTGTCAGAGACTGGCTAGGTGGTGAAGAGCGCATGGGCTGTCCTCTAACACACGAAATGGATCCGAACAATGAACGACGCGACTCTAAAAAGGAGGAAAGACAGGCTGGAAAGACAAACGATGGATTCGGAAGTAGTCTGCTGGGCGGTGCGCCAGCACCCGCTCCTAAAGAGCAGAAGCAGAACGAGCTCGGTGAGGTCCTTCTTGATAAGGAGGCCTTGAAGAGCAACGAAGTTGTAGTCTTGGCTATGGGCGAAGACGCCCGTAGGTTTGCTGGGACTATGCCAAATGCCGTTCGTGTTGGTGCTTTTGGCTACCCTATTCCGGACGCCACGCTCGCTGTTGTCGACCCGGAAACCAACTTGCTGTGCACCTCCAACGTGATCGGCGAAATTTGGGTTGATTCTCCGTCTCTCTCTGGTGGCTTTTGGGCTTTACCCAAACACACGGAAGCCATTTTCCACGCACGTCCTTATAGGTTTGAAGAGGGCAATCCAACTCCTGTGCTGGTGGAACCTGAGTTCTTGCGGACTGGTCTACTCGGCTGTGTTATTGAAGGCAAGGTCTTCATCCTGGGTCTGTATGAGGACCGCCTGCGCCAGAAGGTGGAATGGGTTGAGCATGGACAGGAGATTGTTGAACATCGGTACTTCTTCGTTCAGCATATGATCGTGACCCTTCTGAAGAATCTGCCGAAGATTCATGATTGTACCGCCTTTGATGTCTTCGTTAACGATGAACATCTTCCGATCGTCGTTCTCGAGTCGTACGCCGCATCCACAGCACCGACAACGTCTGGTGGACCGCCGAGACAATTGGACTCTGCTCTTCTTGAGTCCCTGGCCGAGAGATGTATGGAAGTGCTTTACCAAGAGCACCATTTGCGCGTGTATTGTGTGTTGCTAACGGCACCCAACACTCTACCCCGCGTGACGAAGAACGGGAGGCAAGAGATCGGCAATATGCTTTGTCGCAAGGATTTTGATGCTGGGAATCTCCCTTGTGTCCACGTTAAATTCGGGGTGGAGAGGTCAGTTATGAATCTCCCTATCGGTGTCGATCCTGTTGGCGGAATCTGGTCCCCACTTTCCTTAATGTCGAGACAGGAGATGGTCGGCATGCAAGAGAAACAGTACTCTGGTGTCGATTACCGTGATGTCATCATGGACGACCGGACATCTACACCATTGAACAACTTCAATACCATTGTCGACCTCCTACAGTGGCGGGTTTCCCGGCAGGCCGAAGAATTGGCTTACTGCTCCATTGATGGTCGAGGAAAGGAAGGAAAGGGCATTACCTGGAAGAAGTTCGATCTAAAGGTTGCTGCTGTAGCGACTTACCTGCGCAACAAGGTAAAGGTGCGCCCCGGTGACCATTTGGTTTTAATGTACACGCACTCGGAGGACTACGTCTATGCTGTGCATGCTTGCTTCTGCCTTGGTGTGGTTGCCATTCCTCTTGCGCCGATTGATCAGAACCGGCTTTCGGAAGATGCGCCAGCGTTCCTCCACATTATTAGCGATTTTCACGTGAAGGCAATCATCGTCAACAGCGATGTCGATCATGTTATGAGGCAGAAGGTTGTGTCCCAGCATATTAAGCAGTCCGCGCAAGTCCTTCGGATAGGCGTTCCTGCTATATACAACACCAGCAAGCCCTCTAAACAGTCACACGGTTGCCGTGACCTTGGCTTCACTGTGAAGGAGACTTGGCTGAGCGGGAACCAGCCCGCCATGGTCTGGACATACTGGACTCCCGACCAAAGGAGAATCTCTGTCCATCTTGGCCATGACACGATCATGGGCATGTGCAAAGTACAGAAGGAGACATGCCAGATGACCAGTTCGAGACCCGTTCTCGGCAGCGTACGCAGTACTCTGGGTCTCGGATTCCTTCACACTTGCTTGATGGGCATTTATGTTGGTAAGTCAAAGTGATCATGCGCCGTGTTGTGTCTCTTTTCTGATTAAGTTTCTCTTAGGAGCGCCAACATACCTCGTGTCGCCTGTTGACTTCGCACAAAATCCCATGACTCTGTTCCTCACTCTGTCGCGGTATAAGATCAAGGATACATATGCTACGAGTCAGATGCTGGACTACGCAATGACTGCATTGGCAGCGAAGGGATTCCAGTTACAAGAGTTGAAGAACCTGATGATATCTGCGGAAGGAAGACCACGTGTCGATATTTGTAAGTCTCCGTTGACAACCCTCATCTACAAGACGGATTCTAATTTTCAATGCGAAGACCAAAAAGTGCGCCTGCATTTTGCTTCGGCTAGCCTTGACCGCACAGCGATCAACATCGTGTACTCACATGTACTCAACCCTATGGTTGTTACAAGGTCGTACATGTGCATCGAACCGGTTGAGCTATGGCTTGACCTTCGTGCTTTGCGCCGTGGACTTATCGTTCCCGTGGACCTGGATTCAGATCCCAGTGCCCTCCTTGTCCAGGACTCCGGCATGGTGCCCGTGAACACGCAGATTGCGATCGTGAACCCTGAGACGTGCACTTTGGCCCACGTTGGTGAATATGGAGAGATTTGGATCCAGTCAGATGCTTGCGCCAAGGCTTTCTACGGCTCTAAGCAAGACTTTGACCAGGAACGATTCAACGGTCGAATTGTGGACGGCGACCCTAATGTGGCCTACGTGCGTACTGGCGATCTGGGCTTCCTCCACACCGTTACGCGCCCCATTGGCCCGGGAGGTCAACCAGTGGAGATGCAAGTTCTCTTCGTTCTCGGAAGCATTGGCGAAACATTTGAGGTCAACGGATTAAACCACTTCCCTATGGACATTGAAAACTCTGTTGAGAGATGTCACCGTAATATTGTCGCTGGTGGATGGTATGTAGCTGGTCCCTGAGTTTGGGCTTTTCGTGTTCATTTACTAACATGTGGGTATAGCGCTGTCTTCCAAGCCGGTGGTCTGATTGTGGTCGTGGTCGAGGTGACAAGAAAGGCTTATCTGGCGTCCATCGTACCTGTCATTGTCAATGCTGTCCTTAACGAGCACCAGGTCGTCGCAGACATCGTCGCGTTTGTCTCCCACGGCGACTTCCCCCGATCCCGTCTGGGCGAGAAGCAACGTGGTAAGGTGCTCGCATCCTGGGTTACCCGCAAGCTCCGGACAATCGCGCAGTTCAGCATTCGTGATATGGAAGGTGCCGAAAACCAGTTCGCCGAGGCCCCCGCGCCCCAGCATCGAGTCAGCCGAAGCTCCAAGCCAGGAAGCATAATGGGTAACAGCACGCGCCGCTCAACCGTTGTCCCGGATACTGAGGCTGCGCCTCGGTCTCCGGCCCCAGTCCTGGTTGAACACCCCGAAGCACCGGGCGGTACCTATCAACCCACACCGGGAGATGGTGCTCCCCTTACCAGTCCTACTGGTTCAATGCCGTCGGTGCCACAGATCGCTGAACCACGACCGGCCACGTCATCTACCAGTGGAAACACCCCTGTGCGGAGCGACGCTCCTGCAAACCCTGGAAATCCTGATCTTGGATTCGATTTTGGCGATTTCGCCAACACCGCGACGACCGCTTCTCATGGGGACAACAGCGTCCCTGCTACCGCGGCGGAGCTCCCATACCGGCCTGCCACCGGCCATGACTCCACCTACAGCCAGCAGCCGTACGCCAACTACCCAGACGGCGCTGTGGCTGGATATCACGACGTCGTCGCGGACGGCGGCGATTGGCCACAGGAAGCTCTCATGTACCAATCTGCCATGGCCGATGACGGACAGGCCTCAGGCGGAATTCAGCGAAAGCCAGCGCCACAGCTGTAAAGGGGCTGTCAGGAGAAGTGCACACCAGTGCACTTTCTGTCTGAGTGCTTTATTATATCTCCCAGTTTGTGTGATATTGTTGGAAGGACTGGGTAGGTGTCTTTGTTGAGCCCTTCCCAGGAAGCGTTTACGTTTCCCTTTACTGTTCTTGATTGTCCAACACTGTTCCTTACATTTACCTTCTGAATTTTGAGCTTTCCTGCCTGCGTCCTCTTTCCAACCATGTGTCTGGTCTTTTGTACATACAGCCTATCCAAAATACCCATCAATCCAGATGCATATAGTTTTGGTTCTCCATTCTTTGGGTAACCCCCGTATAAGATCAAATCTACTCCAGTACGTACCCAACTCTTAATAATGCTATTGTCTCTGAGGTATTCGCACTGCTATGTCACTTTAAAACCTGTACATGCAACATAACACAACAGAATCCCAAGAAGCGCACAACCCCATTACCATTAAAATCATGTCATCATCCTGTACAAGCGTGCTTTTATGTCCAGTCTTTTTGTTTTCAGCTCGCCAACTCCTATGCAGCTTGCCAGCCAAAAATGAAATAAGAAACAAAGAAGACAAAATCTCGGCGATACATAGATTTACTGCCGTTCGGCCTGCGCCGTCAGAGCGTCCAGGTTGACCTTGGGCTGGGTGCCGTTCAGGGTCTCAAGAGCCTGGAGGTCCTCATCCGTCAGGGTGTTGGAGCGCATCGGGCGGAAGGGAGCGGGGGAGCCGGCGCGGCTGGTCAGGAACTAGGAACGGTCAGTCAGAGGCGCGTTAAAATATGACTGGGTAGGCATCATTAGGGACTTACCGAGCTGGCCGCGCTGAGCAGGGCGATCAAACTGGCCTGGACCACATCCTGGTGGATACCGACACCCCATACCGTTTCCTTGCTGCCGGCGGAAGTGCACTGGATGTAGGTGGCGGCCTTCACGTCACGGCCCAGACCGATGGAGTGTTCCTTGTAGTCGACGACGTCGAGATCGATGCCGAGGGTTGAGAGGGCGGTCGCCAAGGAGGAGATAGCACCCGGGCCGACACCAGTGATGGCGTGCTGCTGGCCGTCGATCTCGATGACACCGGTGAAGCGACGCTTGAGGTTCTTGGTGTTGAGGGCCTTGCCGGGCTCTGGGGGTGCGGGCGAGGCCGACCGGTCGGTGGTGATGTTGTAGTCGACGAGGTTGAAGCGAGGGTTGGACTTGAGGTGGTAGGCCTCCTCGAAGAGGTTGACGATTTCGCTGGCGCGCAGCTCACGGTTGGCTTCCTCGGTGCGCTTTTGCACGATCTTGCTGAACTCGACTTGCAGGGCGCGGGGGAGATCCAGCTCCAGACTGCGCAGGATAACCCAAGCAGCACCACCCTTGCCGCTCTGGGAGTTGACGCGGATGACGGCTTCGTAGGTACGGCCGATATCCTGGGGGTCCAGGGGGAGGTAGGGGATGACCCATTCGTCGTCGTCGGTGGCGTTGGCGTCCTCGCGGAGCTTGAATCCCTTCTTGATGGCATCCTGGTGGCTGCCGCTGAAGGCGCAAACGACCAGTTGGCCACCGTAGGGCCAACGCTCGTTCACGGGGATCTTGTTGCTCTCCTCGACGACCTTGATGACGGCGTTGATGTCTGAAAAGTCGACGTTGGGGCTGACCCCCTGGGTGTAGAGGTTGAGGGCAAGAGTGACCAGGTCGACGTTACCGGTTCTCTCGCCGTTTCCGAACAGAGTACCTTCGACACGCTGAGCGCCGGCCATCTGGGCCAGCTCGGCAGCAGCGATGGCGCAACCACGGTCGTTGTGGGGGTGGACGGAGACGACGTACTTCTCGCGCTCGGAGACGCTGCGGCAGAAGTACTCGATCTGATCGGCGAAGACGTTGGGGGTGGACATTTCGACGGTGGCGGGGAGATTGAAGATGATGGGGCTCTCCACAGTGGGTTCCCAAGCGGCCTTGACAGCCTCACAAACCTCCGCAGCGAACTCCGGCTCCGTGTCGGAGAAGGTCTCCGGGGAGAATTCGAACTGCCATTCGGTTCCGGCCATCGAGGGGTCGTCCTTCGTAATGGAACGAGCGTACTTGGTACACCGGACGGCCATCTCCAGACTCTTCTGCTTGTCCATGTTGAAAACGATCCGGCGGAAGCATGGACTCGTGGCCAGATAGATGTGCAGGATAGCCTTCTTGGCACCCTTCAGGGAGTCGACGGTGCGACGGATGAGGTCCTCACGGCAGGGAGACAGGACCTGGAGCCAGACGTCATCGGGAACAACGCCAGGCGTCTCGACCAGACGACGGGTGAAGTCGAAGTCGGTTTGCGATGCCGAGGGGAAGGAGACCTCGATTTCCTTGTAGCCGATATCCACGAGCATCTTGAAGAAGCGGTATTTTTGTTCACCATCCTGTGTCAATGGGGTCAGAATTCGGGTATATACCACTCGAAATACATGGTTAAGGCCGTACCATAGGATCTGGCAGACTCTGGTTGCCATCTCTCAGGTCGGTGGCCAGCCACCGCGGGGCCTTATCGATGACCTTATCGGGCCATTGCCGGTTGGGGAGGTGAAGAGGCTTAAATGGCTTATATTTCTTGGAGGGATCTTTGAGCCTGGTGTGTTCTGTCAGTCTGACATGTTCCCAATACTACCCGTATGGCATGTTGGGAGAGACGTGGCGGTATGGCGGGGGAGGGGTATATGGAGGGGAACATACATCGGCATGATGGCAGTGAGGGACGTGTACAGGAGAGGGCAAGACAAGAGAAAGAGGTCAGAGGACTCTCTTTAGGATAAGGGAGATATAATGAAGAAAAGAGCTTGGAGAAGGGCAAAAAAGGAACAAGAGAAGATGAAGGAATGTAAAGAAGGACTCGGAGTCATGACGACTGGTGAGTCAGCCCTCCCGCGAATTTTCTGGCGCCGACAGCGGACTTGCTCCAGGTCGATTGGGCGGTGGGGCAATACTCATAGTTCCTGATGATTCCCTCACAACGCCCATGGATGATGAACGTCAGACGATGCATGAGGTTTAGAATAGTAGGCACTCTCGGCTGTCCGCGGAGTACCCGCAGCAATCACCGTGTAGTCATTAGCAATCTGCGCTACTGCGACGACTAGATGGGCAAGGGACGATGTGCTGCAGGATGGGAGGCCGATGACCGGAGCCAATTCCCGTGGGTAACCGCGCCAAGCTCCACCAGGCGGGTACAATACCAGAGTATGTACTACCTAGGTACCGTAGAGGCTCTGAATAACTTCGATAGGTTCCTAATAGGTACATGTGTATCAATTGGATATAGCACGACTATATACACGTCTCAATCAGTTCTTCCCCTTTTTCTTGTCCTTTCCTTTGCCTTTCCCCTTGGCAGGTTTGGGCGCCTCTCGCTCCGCCTTGCCCTTCTTCCAACCCGCCTTGCCTTCTAAACGCTGGCGCGCATCATCCAAGCGCTTCTTATCCTTATTGCTCAGCTTCACCTTCTCCTTCTTGGAGAGACCAGCATCCGGGCCGTTCAGCTGGGCCGCTCCCAGTTTGCGGGCTGCGCGCTTGTCCTTCTCGCTCTCGAACCAGGTCCGCTTGGGCCGAGACATGATCTCGGCTTCGTGCTTGATCAGATTCTCTCCCTTGGTGACCTGCATTTCCGCCTGGGCGAGCTGCTTTTCTGTCTTCTCCTCCTCCAGCACCTCGTTGATTTCCTCCTCGAGGTCGGCAGCCTTCTTGGCCCACTGGTCAGCAACCGCAGGGTCGACCACCCGACTAGCCACTTTGGCGCCTTGCGCCTTGCTCGCCTTCACGGCCGCCTTGACCACCTTCCGGTCCGGCTCCGCGGCGATAGTGCAGGCACGACCCGAGCGGCCCGCACGCGCAGTACGACCAACACGATGCAGGTAGATCTCGTGGCTCTGGGGAGCTTCGTAGTTGATGACGGTTTCCACCCCCTTGATATCCAGACCACGCGACGCAAGATCCGTCGCAAGAAGGAAAGCCACCTTCCCGTCTCGGAAGTTCTCGACGCTTTTAATACGCTATAATCTCGAGTTAGCACCGTGGATCGGTCCAGTGACGCCCTCGGGCAGAACGGAATGTGAACATACCTGCTCCTGGCTCATGCTACCGTGGAGTTCCGCCGCCTTCAGTCCCAACAGGCCGAACACAATGCGGACCCGATGGGCTTCCCGCTTCTGCCGGAAGAACACAATCACTCGTCCTGTGTAGATCTCCTTGCAGAGATAGAGAAGATAGCCCAGCCGCTTGTCCTCGCGTCCGGGGCGTAGACGTACGAATTCCTGGACCAGCGTCAACGACGTGTTCTTTTTCGAGTCCACCATCAGCCGAACAGGCCGGTTGAGTCCGACTCGGATCAGCTTGTCGACAGTGTCCGTCATCGTAGCCGAAAACAGCATAGTCTGTCGGGACTTGGGGATTGTAGTAAGAATCTCGTTGAGCTCGTCGGCGAAACCATCTTCGAGCATTCGGTCGGCTTCATCCAGAACCAGAATCTCCAGCGTATCCACCGTGAAACTGGCGGAGTTGCGCATATGGTCAATGAAACGACCGGGGGTCGCGATAATCACGTCGGGCCGCTTCTTCAGAATGTTTTCCTGCTCCCGAAGACTGAAACCACCAACAAGCTGACAGAAGGTGATGTCGGTGTACGTCGCTAGCTTGGTGGCCACATTGTAGCACTGGACAGCCAACTCACGAGTAGGCATCAAGATCGCAACGCGACTAGTCGGGACCTTGCGAGGACGGAAGAGCAATCTCTCCAGGATAGGAACCACGAAGGCAGCTGTCTTACCTGAACCAGTGACGGCGCTACCGACAATGTCTTTGCCCAAAAGGGCTACAGGGATGGTCTTGCGCTGAATGGGCGTCGGATTCGTGAAGTTGACGGCGGCCAGACCACGCAGAATGGGTCGAGACAAGTTAAACTCCTGAAAGGATCTTTGCGCTCCATCGGCTTGCTCTTTGGTCTTTTCCTCCTCCGGCGCGAAGAACGCCTTGCGCTTCTCCTGTTCCTCAGCATCGATCTCGCTTTCAGCGTCCGAGTCATTATCGGAAGCTTCATCTTCAGGATGACCGACAGGCGTAGCGACGGAGTCGTTATCCGACGCCGCTTCATCATCGTCATCTTCACTGTCCTTCTCTTCATCATCGTCGGAATCGTTGTCGCTTCCAGACTCATCCTGAGCCTCTTCGTTATCACTCTCATCCTCTCCGTCAGCGCCCATGCCGAACCCATCCGCCGCAAGCAACTCATCATCCTGAAAGTCGACCGACATGCCGCCATCAGACTCTGCATCCTCATCCTCAGCGACACCATCCCAACTCTCATTGTCCTGGGCTTCGCTCTGCTTCTTCTTCTTCTTGGCCTCGGCCGCCTCTTTCTTCGCCTGCCGCCGCGAGATAATGTCATCAATATCGACCGCCTTCTTGTCACCCTTCTTCGCCGCTCCCTCGTCCTCTGCATTGCCCATGCCCCAGCCGTCAAAGCCCTCGACCACGGTGTTCGCAACGCCGCCGACGTCGAACTCGAAATCCGAGTCCAGTGCGCCGTCGTCCTCTCCGGCGTCTTCTTCTTCCTGCGGCTCCTCCTGCTCCTCCTCGGCAGGAGTCTCCGCCTGGCCCTTTTTGTTCTTCTTCAGACCGTTCTTCACAGGTTTCTGCTGTTTCTGCTTCTTGCTCGTGTTTTGCGTCGTCTCCGCGGTATCGCGCTTGCGCTTCTTCGTTCCGGACGAAGCGAGCTCATCGCCGTCATCGCCATCATCGCCATCGACGTCGAAGTTGTTGAAAGCGTCGTTCTCATCGTCCGAGAGCGTAAGAACGAAATCGTCATCTTTCTGTTTAGGTGCCATGGTGGGTAGAGTGAACTGCGAAGAAACCCAGCGGGGCAGAAACGAAGGGAGGAGTAGAAAAAGATCGACCGACAAGATCTGGGATTCGAATTGGAAAAGTCCCCCCAAGCACTTGCGCAAATCTTCGAAATAACCCTCGCTGTGCTTCGTCGTCTTCTCTTGTCTCGACCGCGGAAGAAAAAAAAAAGTTCAAACTTCGAAGGCGGTGAAGGTTGAACGTGCAGAAAAAGACTGCGGACTGGGTAGTTCTTGGGTTCTCATTGGCTGGTTCTGGGGTACCTCAGGCACTCTTTTCTGATTATCCAAATTTGGTCTAGGTAGTTTTACCTTTGCTTTATACGGTGGACGAAGCCCAAATGTCCCTAGGTAGCTAACCACCCCATCAATACAGAAGTGTGAAGTGAGATTCTGCAATATCATTACTTGAATCCCTTTATTTCTCTTTTAACCTAGCTCTCATCGTTTTGTTCTGTGGGACAGCGAAATTGAGGGAAAGCAGGAAAACATGTACCGCCGAGAAACGAAACAAGCAGTTAACCATCTACAATTCCAATTGAAGTGAAAAGAACTTCTAGATGCATCGGTGGCCACATATAATAAAGCAGCATCTTGTACCCAGTGATGCCGTATGGCAGAAGCATCCAACGCCGAAGGATGTTAGCGGCTAGAAATCAGCTCTTCCGTCTCGGCTGTATCCGATGGAGCGAACAAGGTAACTAACGTCAAGGCTGCTCGAGTTAGTCCATGCTGCAGTGCGGAAGGAGAACAGTGTGCTTACAAGTGATCAAACTTCACTCCTCCTCCTTTGATAACGCCTTGCTCTTCAAAATCATACCTAGTCCGAAGCCATTCCATGAGCCACTTGTACCCCGAGCTTTCGCCTGCTGGGTAGCTGACGATGAAGACCAATCGGGCGAGTTTGCGTCGACCACCAGGCTCATACCCGGAGCGCTCCTCCAAGCTAGCATCGAAGAAATAGCCAAGCTTCGGGATATGAGTGGGGTCGCATACTTCCAGAAGCTTGTCCATCAAACAACTCCCAATCCGCAGGCGCTTGTGACCTTGTTTCACAAACAGCTGGAGCTCCGCCGTAAACCGTCCAGTGGTCGCTGCACTGCCTACACCAAGAAAGTCGGTCGCCAGAGCATAACCCAGGATTTTTTCGGGGGTACCATCCCGGGCATGTCCAAGTTTGCGCTCCACTGCAACAATGAAGGGAAGCTTCTCACTGCGGCAGTCATCAATTCGCTGGCGAACCTCGCTCTCGTCCAGTGAAAGCAGGTATGGACTCAACGGTGAGCGGTGGGCATACCAATTGAAGATCTCCAGGAGCTGTGGGACGTCTGTCGGCTCGACGGGGCGCAAGTAGACGTTTGCCTTGGGCGAATTGGGGTTGGAGATCGGCGACTTCATAGCCTCGAGATAGGCATTTCGCTCCATCTCCTTCCTCTCATTCTCCCTGTTCTTTTCTTCCCTCACATACGCGGTCCAGTTATAACAGTAACCCTCGGCGGTTTCACATTGGTGAAGCTGCGATTTCTCGTCGTTATTGAGCCGGGTAGGGTGGTCTTCGAAACTTGGAATGAACAATGACCGTACTCCATCTGGATGGGCTGTTCCATCGAAGAACTTGTCGTGGTAGGTATCCACGTAACAGCAAACCGTCACAGTAGTGTCGAGCCAACGGCGGAACCAGTCTCGGAATCCACCGAGCGGGGAACAAATTTGAGGCCGATCCTCCCAGTTCACGCGAAAAGCGTCCTTCCACGAACTTTTCAGCGGAGCCTGCGTGGAAGGGCTAACGTCTTGGATGATCGTATCCACCTGGATCTTGAAACGTTCGTATTCGGCAGTTGGCTCAGTTGAGAGACTCAACTTATTATCCACAACCACTGGATAGACACGAGCGCTTATCTCATATGTGCTCCATGGCGCCGCCAGACGTTGTTCCTCTGTCGCGTCTGCGGGCAGTGAAGCGCTTGCTGAGGAGTCGTCGTTACGCTTTCCCAGGTCCGATTTCGCCGCAAGACGACACCGGGTAATCTGTTGGTAAATTTTGGAGCTTGGATCCGTCCCAGCGCCGGTTCTACATGTTGCCAAAACCTCAGGACTGGCAACGGTATGATCGAATTCCTTGAAGCGATTGAGATGAGCGTTGGCGACGATCTCTTGCTGTAGTTGCTTCAGCTCGTCTTTCCTGGCTTGTTTGGAATCGCGCGAACTGTCCTTGGGGGAGCCTTGTTCTTGACCATTGGGACGTCCGTTTGCTTTGTGAGTTCTGGGTGTTTGGGGAGTAGCCTGCCTGGTGGCATCGCTCGTTGGTGTAGAAGGGACATTTGACTCCGGTCGAAAAGGAAGGCCACGCCCATAAGGCCTTCCTTGTCGGGGCTGTGGTTGTGCCCTTTTTTTGTTCCCTGATCTTCCAGTGTGAACGACCACATCTTCGTTACCATCGCTTGAGGACATCTTGTACGGCATTTGTGAATGGTCGGGAAGATGAAGAGTTCGCTGGGAGATGGTCTTTATACGTTCAGAGGGTGTTTTGTTGGGGGGAGGGTAGGCGAGAATAGCCCTCGCTGTGAATGTGGTTGGTAATTCCAAGGTGAATGATGTCTGTGGGCTGACTTGTCCTAGGCCTCCAAACTTTGTGTCTCAGGTGAGGTGGGATGTAGAGAGCTGTAGGAGTATGGGGGGCCGCCTGTGTTGGTGAGGTAGAAGCCACAGGTCCTTTTATAGGATATCCATAATGTTGTGGGTGAGGTGAAGAGTTGCTGATAGAAGGAAGGTTTGCTGTTGTAGTGATTCCCTCATGACGTTCTGTTGCCCGCTTTGTGACTTCAGGCAACGACTCAGCATTATATGATGTTATGCAAGGTAGGCGCACTGTATTGCTTAGAACCATGAGGTCTGGAGGTAACGGCCTGTAGCCAGTGTCCGGATCACCTAGTTTGTCTCTAGTCTGAGATGTCTCCATGGTGCTTGTTTGGCCTTACATGGATGTCTAACGAGAGGATGAGATAGGAGTAAGAGGAATAACTTTTGCTGTAAAGTGCGACGCTTTATAGTCAGGCACTTATGAACATTACAATGTTCAACTTGCACATCTAATTTGTTGTGAATTAAGCGTTGGTTTCTTAGTGAATTGTATTCACTCTCCTGTGCGCTATAGAGCGCTGTTTATGTCCCAAAGCGTGGTATGATTTAGAGATACAGGAAGAGGGGATAATTTATAATACTCATAAAATCTATTTCTTATCGTGTACTTGTCCTATAATCATGTTGGTTTGGTTGGGGATTTTCTGTTAAGAGGGCATTCTTCCATACTCCAGCATCTCGAAGGCGACCCCAAAACTTCTCCCTTCCAACTTCCCTCCCACACGAACTCAAACCCAGTTGTCACGGCTGGAGATGCTGTCGATTCTCAGAAAAGCACGATTAAAAGACAAAGAGATGCGAATATTGATGCTGTCCGTTTTCCAATATGCTAAAATTCGACAATCGTACTGATCAGGCTCCCAGCGGTCTCGATAATGCCGGCAAAACCACGATCGTCAAGCAGATCATGAAAGAAGACGTCACCACAGTCAGCCCAACACTAGGGTTTATCATAAAAACGATAGATTTTGATGGGTAAAATCTTTACAGTCTGTTCCCACTGAGTTTCTGCTAATATTTGACCAGCTATCGATTGAATATATGTGAGAGAAGAGCCCACCGTTATGTCTCGACCTGATGCTAATGCTCCTCGGTCAGGGGATGTCGGTGGTCAGAAAACTCTCCGATCATATTGGAAGAACTATTTCGAAAAGACCGACACGTTGGTTTGGGTCGTGGATGCGACAGATCGTCTTCGCGTGGACGACTGCCGTGATGAGCTCGCAGGCCTTTTGCTTGAAGAGGTGAGTCCGCCTTGGTGGTTCTTCCCGCCCGCCGGTCACGACGGTTGGAGGGATCTTAACTAACGGAAATAACCATGACACAGCGACTCATGGGAGCAAGCCTCTTGGTATTTTTGAATAAAACTGATGTCGAAGGTTGCATGACGGAAGATGAGGTCCGCGAGGTGAGTATCCCTTTCTCTTCTGTTTGTCGCACGGACTGTGCTAACAGGGGCCTGACAGCGACTCGGCCTGGACTCGATTAAAACACATAAATGGACCATATTGCCATGCAGTGCGATGACGGGGAAGAATCTTCATGAGGGCTTGGACTGGGTAGTGCAGGATGCCAAAGATAGGCTTTTCCTTTATTAGACGTATGTATGTGGGAATCGTGGGACTCTCTTCCCCTGTCTTCTGGCTTCGCGCATATGTTACTAGTCAACGACTTACGCGATTGGGAATTGTCATACGACCACATAATATTACGCATCAAGTTTTGCGTACAAGGCATTGCGTGTGTTTGTGATTAAAAGGGTGAAGGGATGAAGAATGCTGGCATGCTCCATAATCGGGCCACTAGAGAGAGATATATTTTGGGAGAGATACATTTTGATGGCTTCAGATGTTTCATACACATCACAACACATAGTTCGGAATAAGCTTAGATTCATGGGCCAGCCTGTCATCCCACATATTCTTGACCACGTAACCTGACATTTAAAGTCCGAGAGAAACGGTCGTTCGGAGTTCTCCAAGCCAGGACAGTACTCCGTAGGGTTACGAAGCGAATAGAGATCATCTCGCAGTCGGTCAGATCTGGATAAGCGCTGGGCGCTAAGACAAAGCACACAAATCACGTTGTTTCCTTTGGGCAAAAACAGTCGCCACCGAGGCCTTAGGTAGCGAGGCTAAGGCGATCGATCCGTGGATCACCGCCGACTTACTGACCACCGGTCAGACCGGGCAAGAAAACAAGAGCCTGATCGAAGATCACGATGTGCGATGAGTCGCCACGTTCCGAGGTCCTTATTGACCGTTCTTTACTTGTGTTGACGGGAGGATGTACTTTAGGGTCCAGAATTTTGGAAGCGGATTGCGTGCACTGAACCGCGGGTTGAAAGTTGAGATTTGCTCCACCCTACAAGAGCCGAACCGGGGGTGTATGTAAACAGTCTTCCGCGTCGAGAAACATCAAAACAATGCGTGGATACCTAGTTAGCGGGAAATGCAACGCGATGGGACGGAGACGATCATCTAGAGAACAACCTTTCAGTCGTGATTGTAAACCGGAATGTCACATTCGCAAAGTTCCGAGTCCAAGTGAACGGTCTGCTGGAACATAGAGCTAGGTACTTATCACCTAGGTCGTACTACTTCCAGAGTACCTAAGTATCATAGTCGTACCTACGGAGTTGAGGATGATGTACAGAGTACGGAGTAGGAGGCATGAAACACAGTTGTCTGTGCCAGTTTCCGAAGTGCCCAGCAAGGATGGAGTGGGGCGAGGACAGTCAATCAATAATATTAATGCAGCTCTAATATGGATTACCCAGACGGGAGATTCGGGGTCCACCACTATGGGGTGGTTATTATTGCCAGCGAAGGCGAGAGCGAGAGGGGGAAGACGAAGAAACGACAAAGCCTCTCCCGTCGCACATCAAGGGAGACAGACTCATCCTACCACGAGAGAAAAGGCGGCGAAGCCATCAGACCACAGCCGTGACCATCACCAGACCTTGGAGGGGTTCCTTACTCTGCATCGTAAGGCTGGCTGAATTCTTCTTCCTCCCCTCGTCTTAGTCTCCCCGACTATTAAGATTATTCCGCGAGGGAATATCGCCTAAATTTCCCAGGTTCCCTGCCGTACATCATCAGCCTCCCTTCTTCCCCTCCGCGCCATATCTCGGACCAGACCCCACCGTTCTTTGCCATTCGTTTGGTTTGATGACGGGATAATCCAGATCATATATTTTCTTTTCTTTTCTTTTTTTCTCACCCCTTTCCTTTCCTTTTCTCTGCATCGCGCTTGTGACCGATCAAGTGCCAAGCTGTGACCATGGCTTCCACCACCGACCCCGACGCCTCAGAGGATGTCAACGATTTCCTGCTGCGCATCCGGGAATTAGGCGAGAAACGCGACAAGGAGGATGAGGAACGCACAAAGAGACTAGAGGAGGAGATCCTGCAGGGGCGCAGAGAACGACAGGCCAGAAGACTCGGTATTTGCCCACCCACTGCACCATCATATGCCCCCCTTCATGACTCACGGTCAACCTGGCCTCTTCCACAAGATACAACGTGCCCGGATACTGATATCATGTCCTCTCGGGGGCAACTATAGAGCGAGCACGATCGATATCCCCGACAAAAGACTCCCCTCTGTTAGACCCCGCTCGATGGAGCATGCCGTCGTATAACCATCGACCGATTGACCCTCCGGAAAAACTTGCGCCAACACCCCAGACTCCGGACCGGGATCTCACGGCTGACAAGCCTGACCTTGCTCAGGTCCGCGAATCAATTGTGGCAGGCGGTAGTCGCAGAGGGTCTCGGACCGAGGCAAGCGACATCGAGAGCTCTCCCAAACCCGCTACGCCCTCCCTCCGGAGTCGGACGGGGACCTTGTCCTGGCAGCAACGGCCATCCTCGCGAGACCTCAATAGATTCTCTTTCTCGACGTCCCCAACCCGCGAGGGTCGCTTTAGCAGAGCCATGTCAATTACTTCAAATGATGATCGTGGATCGTCTCAAAGCCCGGGTACTCGCTCGCATATAACTAGGGATAGCTTCCCCCTGCGCCATTCGGAACGAGACGCTGGTTCCCCTACCCCGACGCCAATGACGAGGGCCGAAGAGAATGCGCAAGCCACCGCTATTCCGGATGGAGAGCTTCACGAGACCAAAGCGAACGAAGACAGTGCGGTAGAAGCGGAGAAGGACAACAGCCATCCAGAAGTTGCAGAGGAGCATTCGCCGTCTGGGTCAAGGACAAGCTCAGCGTTTGCAGAGAGCAGCGTTGGCAATCAGTATTCCAGCGCGTCTTCGGTTTCGACAGCTACCGGGCTTGGTTCACCCGCGCGCTTGCCAAACACGCCAAAGTTCGAGCCTCAGCAATCGGAGCCTATCCCCGAAGACCCAGTAATAACGCCATTGTCACCGAGGCGGCTCTCTCCCGAGCGATCCACATCGCCAACCAAAGGACTAGGTGGATTCGTGCAGAGTGCCATGATGAAGCGCTCTGACAGTGTATCCAAGCGTTGGAGTGCGCAGCTTCCATCTGGCCTCATGAGGGGCAACTCCTTCGCTAGTAACCGCAACAGCTTTGCGGCACCCTCGAACGCCGATTCATTCCCGCCGTTGTCTCCTACCAGGCTAAGCCGGAGTGGGACACTGTCATCGCAACGGCCTGGCTCGAGCCATGGAGGAACCGTCTCACCACATCGACCTACGTCGAGCCACAGTGAAGCGACAATCGTCCATGAGAATGAACGCCCCGCCACTCCACCAGACCCCATGAGCGACCTCCGTATGGTGGCAGATGAAGCCCCCAGCCGGTCACCTCTTGCTCATCATAAAAGGTCCACCAGCGCCTTGGGCAACGAGCTGAAAGCGGACGCCAGCCCCATTTCAACCAGTCCGGTTGTCTCACGGACAATGGATCCCAAACGTTGGAGCCCGACGAAGGCTACTTGGCTGGAGAGTGCTCTGAATCGGCCGGAGTCGCCGAGACATAAAAGACAGCCCTCCCAGCAGGCCAGCTGGGTCAAAGAGCGACAGTCACGCGGCAGTGTTGATCTGGGCCGGGTGAATAGTTTCAAAGAAGTGACTCCAGTCGGTCTCATGCGAACAGCTGCACCTGGTAGCCACGGCAAAACTTCTAGCATTTCTGGGCTTCCTGACGTGTTCGGTATCCTAGACGCGAGTAAGACCAAAGATGAGCCTGCGGAGAGTATGCAAACCAGCTCGGAGGAAACGGCTCAGACGCCCATGGATGACGCCATCAAAGATAAGGCTGATGAAAAGGTCCCTGGAAAGGTCGATGAAGTGGTCGAAGAGAAAATGGAAGGGGTCGAGGAAAACACCAAAGAGACGCCAGACGAGAAGTTCGGGGGAAAGCTTGAGCAAAACGCCGAAGAGCAGATCGGGATGAACGGTGATGTGACTCGCAAGCGCGCGCCTTCATTGTTGGTGCCCAGTCCAAAATCGGTTGATGCACCTCTCTCATCGCCCCGGGATCCGCTCCTCAACCGTCCAAAACCACAATCACCCGTCATAGATTTTCGGGCCAACCTCCGAAAGCGAGAAGTCATTAAGGACCAGTCTCCAAAGGAAGAACCAGAATTCAAGAATGTTTTTGGTCGACTGAGAAAAGCGGAAGCCTCGAACTACGTCGCCCCCGACGAGCTGAAAGAAAACATCTTGAAAGGGAAAGCGGCACTCAACGCGACTGGGGGTCCAAAAAAGTCCCAAAGGATCGATGAACTAAAGGAGAGTATCCTGAAACAGAAGGACGCCATGAAGGCCAACGGAGGATCTTTAAGGCGCAACACCGCCGGCGAAAACGATGCTCCTATGAAAGTTGTGCCCGAGGCGATTGCAGTGCGCCAAAACCTGACCAAGTCCAGCAGTGCTCGGAGTAACCCTTCTTCTCCTTCCCGCCAGGAGCCTACGACTCCGCGGGACTTGCGGGATCAACAAGCACCTCTCACCTCCCAGGAATTCGAACAACTAGGTAACCCTCCGAGCCCGGAAGTGACACCTGTCGAACATGGCCACGCCCAGGACGACTTGACGGCCGCTGTTGCTGACCCTTCCGTCACCGAAGAGGCAACTGAAAGCAAAGAGCATGATATGGTGGATATTTCAGGCAAACCGGGCCCAGAAGCAACGGCGGAGACATCTATCATGAAGACCCCCAAACCGGTGCGTGCTCCGCCATCGGAGAGCGTCGTCCAGGATACAACCGAGCCTGCGGCGACTGAAGGTCCTGCCACTAAAGGTAAACTTGCAGGCAGAATCAATCCTGCGTTAGCGGGCCTCCTATCCCGCGGTCCTCCGCCTTTGATGGGTAGCCCTCAAAGCGCATCGTCCCGTGCCAGTGTCTCCAAACAGAACGATTCTGAGCCGACAGTTCCCCTGACACACATGACGAAGAACCGCGCCCGGGGACCAAAAAGACGCCCGCCAAAGACACTTGCCTCCGAAACTCAAGACGAAACGGCCGAAGAGAGTGTATTCGATGACCATTCAGCACTGCCTCATGCTCACAAGGAACCTGAAACGAGCTCTTGGCCAATCGAGTACCCAACGAGTAGCTCTAACTGGCCTCTTACTGAGGCTTCGCCGGTTATTCCTGGTTCCATTGATCCTGCTCCGCCAACTACTCTGGATACAAATACAAGGGATTTCATAAGGAGCAAATCTCCCGGCTTTGATGGCGATGGAAAGAGTTGCGAAACCAGTACTACACCAGCCGCAGCGTCGGATGTCTTTCCCGCACCTTCTGAGTCCGAAGTGCTGGACGTCGAAAATTTGGGGGACTCGCCGTCGATAAAGCCCGCCCTTCCGGCAAAATCCATTCCATCAACCACGACACCCACCCGGCTTAGCCAGGGACGGAGCTCACAATTATATCATTCGTCACCGTCACCGTCTCCTCTCAGAACAAGCTTCAGAGAAAACCAAACCCTCACATCTCCTGCGACTAACTGGAGGAGCACCGTTAGCCCTGCGCCCTCTGGTTCTTTCGGCTCGTCGCCAAGAGAAAAGGCCTTACCCTCACCACCTGTGCCTCCGAAATTCAACATTGCTGTGGACCAGCCCTCATCGCCGCGTTCGTCAGGCTCTTTAGTTCCCCAGGCCGATGAGTCCTTGGAGGCTATCTCTGCTTTCTTCAAGACATTTCCCAAATCAAGTGACCGTGTCAATATCGATCCGCAGCTAATGCTGCTCGGTAAAAATGACAATCAGAAAATCAGGACACTGAAGAAGCAGATATGGGAGATCACTGGCGATGGGAAGCGACAGGACCTGCCAGCAAACCAAGAATACATCCTCTACGAAGGTAGTATGTATCTATGCGTCCATGCGTTTGAATTAGACGGCAACATACGCTCTGAGGCCCACCTCTGGTGCGGCGATGATGTTCCGGACGCGGCAGTTGATGATGCGCACTCTTTCTCGCGAAAAGTGGCTAAGGACAACGGGTGCAAGCTGGAGACTATCAAACAAGGCAAGGAGACCGCGCGTTTCATCCAGGCTCTTGGAGGAATCCTGATCATCCGTCGGGGCTCTAGCTCCCGGTCTAGTTCGTCGGCCTTCTTCATGCTGTGCGGGCGCAAACACTTGGGGCAAATGGTATTTGACGAGGTGGACTTCTCTCGGCGCAATTTGTGCTCTGGATACCCGTTTGTTATCTCAGCTATGTTCGGCAAACTGTACCTTTGGAAAGGAAAGGGAAGCTCGGCTGAAGAGGTTGGGGCCGCTCGGCTGATCAGTATGGACCTCGGGTTGACGGGTGAGTTCGAAGAGGTGGCCGAGAGCGATGAGCCCGATACCTTCTTCGATGCTTTCACCCATGATGGAGAAAAGGGAGACTACATGCGTTCTGATTACTGGCCACTGAAGCCGAATCACGAACATTTTCGTCTAAGATTACTTCGTGTCGACCACGAATTGGGCCAGCGCTCTGGGTTCTGGCTCCGGCGGTCTGGGTCGTCTTCTCCTATCATCCGGCCTAACGATACAGTTCAGGAAGTTGAGCCCTTCTGCCAACGAGACATCACATCTAGGGGCATCTACGTCCTCGACGCCTTCTTCGAAATCTATGTGTAAGTTTCTTTGTCTTCCCATGCGGGAACAGTCCCTAACAATGGCCTTCTAGGATTGTTGGAGAGCATGCGTCGAATCGACCGGCGGAATTTGCCTCAGCGGTCATTTTTGCCCACGAGTATGGGATACTGGCAGCTTCACTGCAGGATCGGCCCTTTATCCCCAAGAGCTTTGTGTCGCTTGGAGGAATTCCCGATTCGTCTCGCAGTATGTTCCGCAAGTGGAGACCGCGCACCTCGCGAATTCCTCCCCAGGTTTTCCCACTTGATGCCGCCATAGACGCCATTAGGACGTAGGCCGAGGACGATTCTTGAGGGTAACATCTTTCTGTATTTTCCATTTTCCTTTTTCTGTAGATAGATCATCATTTGGTGTGCATACACGTGGTCTGTACAGAGACCAGACGAAGCATTGGGCGGGAGCATACATCTGGGAGCCTTGGGGCAACGGGTTGTGAGTTCGGACCATCTATTAATTGAATGTACAAGAGTCACTGGAGTTCTCAGGGGATGTGGTTATACCTATACCTCTTTCATGCGTTACGGAGTACATGTGTCAGGGATTTATCAGACGTCGAGATGATCATGCTTATCGTTATCAGATGCGACCGAGATTCTGGCCGGAAATCGACGGGACGCTAAGACTGAAAGAGAAAAGCAGTTTTGACCGCGGTTCGTCATCCACTCGGCACCTTCCATCATTTTTTTTCTACCCTAGATCAACCGACAGAAGGAAAGGAGAGCTGTGCTGAACGCGCCACTGTGTTATTTCCCATTTCTTTTGCCGCGCCCCATCATGTCTTGATTGACTGATTCCCCTATCGTCTCGGCCCTCACGTATCGTATATCCAATCTCAATCCTCCTCCGCCTCAACTATGGAGTCTCTAGACCCCACGGTCCTCCGAGAGCTCTCCCGACTTGACCCCGCGGTCCCTTTCCGCGCTTCCTCCGAGCATCTCCATCATACCTGGGCGAAGACCTTCTTCTCGAGACCAGAGCTGTACATCCAGCCTCAGTCAATTCCCGAGATCCAAAAGGTCGTGACGTTGGCCCGCCGTTGTCGCCGTCGTTTAGTCACCGTCGGAAGCGCCCATTCTCCGTCCGATTTGACATGTACCTCATCGTGGCTGGTCAATTTGGATCGCTTCAATCGTGTCCTTGAGTTGTCGCCTGAGACTGGCGTGGTGACTGTCGAAGCGGGAATTCGATTGAGGGACCTGGGTGTAGAATTGGAACGCCATGGACTGACGCTGTCGAATTTGGGTAGCATCGATGACCAGTCCTTAGCAGGTGTGATCGCAACGGGGACTCACGGAAGCTCTTTGCGACACGGATTATTGTCAGAGTGTATCATCTCACTCACGCTGATGTTAGCCAATGGACAGCTGGTGCGCTGCAGCGAGACCACCAACCCAGACCTATTCAGGGCTGCCCTGATCTCGCTGGGTGCGCTTGGTATCATTGTCGAGGTGGCGTTTCAGGCCGAGCCGTCTTTCAAGATCGCCTGGCGACAGACGCGACGGTCATTGTCGAGCGTTCTGGCTGAGTGGTCGGCGGGACTCTGGACATCACATGAGTTTGTTCGCGTCTGGTGGATGCCCTACCAACGAAGCGCCATCGTCTGGCACGCCGACAAAACCGATCTCCCGCTCCGCGACCCGCCATCGACGTTCTATGGGGGAAAGCTTGGGTATCACATCTACCACAACCTGCTGGCGCTATCGAACTACTTTCCTCGGATCCTTCCCTGGGTGGAGTGGCTTGTTTTCGGCCTGCAGTATGGGTTCAAGGCGGAGTCCACTGTTACCGAGGCGGTCGAGCCAGCCCGTACGGGTCTTCTGATGGATTGCCTCTACTCGCAATTTGTGAATGAATGGGCTCTTCCTCTGGAAAAGGGTCCAGAGGCGATCATCCGGTTGTCAGCCTGGCTGAATGGTGACACAGAAACCGCTCGCATTCCCTTTTCGCCTAAGGGGCTGTGGGTGCATTGTCCGATTGAAGTCAGAGTGTCTGACTCGACCCTTAACCAAAGGCCTCGCCCGTTCCTTGACCCCACCTGTCGCGACAGCCCAACACTGTATCTGAATGCAACCCTCTATCGGCCATATCTCCGTGACCCTCCCTGCAGGGATCGGTATTACGAAGCATTCGAGTGGCTGATGCGGGAAATGGGTGCAAAACCTCACTGGGCCAAGAACTTCACGGTAACGGGACGTCATGAGTTGCGGGAATCATACGGCCAGGACATGGATGAATGGCTAAAGGTGCGTCGCGAAGTGGACTCGGAGGGCATGTTCCTTGGCGAATGGCATCGCCGTAATCTCGCACTGCCTGGTGGCGAAACCGAGTCGGTGTCCGGCGAGCCCTCTGAACCTCCACTGCTGGAGCGCGAGAAAATTCGCCGGAAGGCGAATGTCCGCGGAGCTGGCGATGGTATGGAATGGGTCGGCGAGAATCGGAGACCAGCAAATCTGACATCGGAGTCTTCCACTTCCGTTGAAAGTCAAGAGAAGAATGACCATGGATTCCATGATGTAACAGGCCAGAGCACACCCACTACAGCGGCTAGTGAGGAGAGCTTCGATCTTCTTGCAACCGGCGAGGCCAGCGTTGTCCTGCCTAACAACCGCATGTAGTCAAAATATGATAGCAGATTAGTCACCAGGCATAGCCCAAGAGATAGCAAACAACTTCTTTCCTCGGCTATTGGTCCCCTGGAGTCCGATATGGCCACATGTTAAGGCCGATACGTTGCTCTCTTTCGGCCTCTCCTCCATAGATCCGGGCCTGATTAGCCGGTCTTGTTTGCTCGGTGCCGGTTCTGAATCAGCGCCCAATGAGTCCTCGCTACTTCGTCCGATTTTCGCTCATTTCCCCATTGGCATTTAGATCGGAACACCGGAGTTCCGATTTGGGCGTCCTCCATGAGATGTCGCTTGGTTGCCAGGATTGGATATTGGATCGCGCGTACGGATGGCGTCATTCGATACTTGGCAGCTGACGGAGCACAGATGGGAGCGTTGTCTGAACCTGCCTCAAGCCGATGTGACTCTTTGCGATCACTTCGGCACTTTGAAGTTGAAAAAAGCGAGGTCTTCTTGGGCTCTTGCCCGATATGGCACCTTATGTGCAGCCGTCGGGGGGATGATGATTCCCCGTACATGCATATGTGCCGCCCAAAGCCACGTACATGCAATAAAAGTATACTTGGTGCTTTTCTGCTCTAGCCACTCAGGGTATGCAGGCAGATTATCGGCACCGATTATCTTCGTCTAAGCATCAGCACTATCCACCGCATCCCTGCGGGTGGGTATGAGGGTTGCGCTTCTGCCTTGCCTCGGTCTGCACTGCCACGAGTCATGATGCTGGTGTCAGGACATTCCTATACGTTCCCATTGCCGGTAGGTTACGCCAGGCTATGTCATGTCATGCAAGTAATGCCAGGATTGTGATCTGACAGGTGTTGCCGACGGGTAGATTGCGTCCTCGGGAGCGTCATGAGACCTGCATCATCTGCTGGGAAGTAAAGTGAGGCCGTCTGTTTGGCGATTCTGTGTGAGAGAAACGGAGGAATGCATTGGACAGAGGGCTTTTGCCGGTCACGGGTTGAAGGAAGCAAAGTCACGGTCGTCCATTGGCGGCTTTACTTTCCCTCTCTGCCAACAATGACAACAACACAGTCGTCCCCATCTCACTCGATCAAATTGCCTCGTCGCCTCGCCTTTGTCCGTGCTCCAATGGCAGACCTCTTTCTTTCTTACCGGGAGCTGGTCAACAAAGGATTTGATCTTAACCAGGGCCGGAAGCTGAGCAGAAACCGGCCAGACGGTGAAGGCGTCCTGTTGGCCGGACCTCGGGTCTGGGCCTTGAAACGAGGCCACGGTAATACATCCATCTTTTCACACGAAGTCGCCATTGTCAGGACGCCCTGCTGGATTAAGATCACCGATTACTCATGTTCCCCTGTGACGGGAGGGAGAGTGCCAACCATGACCAGCCCCTCTCTCGATTCCCTGCAGGTGGACGGACCTGTTCTGCAAGCCAGCCCATGCAGTTCTACGGAGTGATGTCTCCCAGAAAGGATGCCGGAGGTCCTAAGCGGCTGGAGAGAAAGAGGGGTGTCATCTCCCACATCCCAGCCGTTAATGCTGACATTAAGGGGAGAATTCCTTGAACCTTCAACGTTACTGAATTCCCAGCCAGTTCGATCGAGAGATCAGTTTGGGGGATTTGTGCAGATCGAAAATAAGAATCTCGTGCCGTGTATTTGCTTTTTTTTCTAATGCGGCAACTAAGGACTCGACGATGTGCCACACTATGTTCTTGTCTGGCTGTATTATTATTCGGTCATGCATAAACCCAGACAGTCACATCACGCTGTGCGACCTCTTTGAGGCTTCCAACTGGATAAGCGCTTGCAGGGCTCGGTTTTTGCCGAAGTGGATTGGACCCCCGTTCTCACTCATCCAAAATACTAATGTCCCTACCGTTGTCTTTGGCTGGTGGTTATGGTGAAGGTCTGTCAGCTGCTCCTACACTCTCGGCGCCAACAAGCCTCGTCGCCCTTCACTGTTTGCGCCGCAGCGAACCTGCAACTGCGCATCGAAGTATTTGTCACGGATTCATTGTTCTCAACCCACTCCCTTGTACGCGTCCGCAATTCATCCCCCCGGGCGAAAGTTGCTCAAAAGCCAATTCTGCCTGATTTCGCAATTCAATCCGCTGCGACTTGGTTGAGTTTATCCGACTCTGCCGCGACACTTTTTCCGACACTCTCATCTTGACCCCTTTGTACAGCCCCGAGACCGGTCACAGATCTGTAAAGTACCATACAGTATGTTGACAACCATGTCAATCAGCGAAAGGAAGCGTCCCGTTGGATTGGCACCGGTCAGCCCTTCCAGCTGAGGGCTGAATCATTGGAGGCACGAGCTCCCAGCTGCATACGATAGTCATAGCGGGTGGTGATGGATATCCGTGCGCCAATGGTTGCGGCCGAAAGGAGCCCGAACAGGCGCCCAAAGCCATTAGCTGGTGCTGATTGATTCTCACTGGTTTGGAGATAGCTGTATTTTGGAGCTGTTTTTGCCGTGTATGGCTCAGTGAGATGTGATGAAAACATGACAAGACCGACTATTGCCGCCTGTCAAATCAGTGTCATGGCACAGGAGTCCACCAGGTCTCGTATACACTACGGGGTGACCTTGTTGGCCGATTTTGATCTTTCGCTGCCCAAATGACTAGGGTTGCTCCCGGCTTAGCGCCGTTGAGTCAATGGTATAGGCACCCGTTCCTCTGACGGCTCGGTCCGTCAACAACGCTCGATGGCCTTGTTTGGCGTGTTCCGCGAGATTTTCGATCACCCGTGCCAGATGTTCCGATTGCGACAGGGTCGGGCTAATGATGTCGAGCGGCGGGGGCCCCCCTGGTGTACATCCGATGCTGCCACAGCCACCAAGGTCTGAGAGACTGTCGGGCGACCGTACCAGTTGAAATCACGACAATCGGCTATCCACGTCACTATACGGTGTCCCTCAAAGTGGGGAAGGATTGTCGTATATTCTATGCGGGGCAGTTGGACGACAGTTGTGTTTTCGATTCACATGAGCTCATTCAATATGCATCCAAAGAGGAGCTGTCAGCCTCAGTCCCCTCCTTCTCATTATCTCATCCCCGCCCCCTGTGCTTCCTCCTCTTGAACAAGTCGCCCTCATCTACCCCTCCCCCTCCTTCCTGACGACGTGTCTTTGGCTTGTCAGTGCGCAGAGCGCAGAGCTTGCAGACAGAGAAAGGTCAATTACATTCATCTCTCTCTCAAGGCACTCCTATGCCCCAACTATGCACTCAGCAAAGATGTCGCGACAGCCTAAGCTTCGTCCGAAATCACACATACCCGGCTTCTCAGATGCCATGTACGACCTCGCTGGTGTGTCTTCTCTATCACAGCTAGAGTCCCGTGCTGGGCTAGGGGAAGAGAGACAGGATCAACGAGTCTTTCGGGTCAAGCGCAAACATGTCTTGAAAGCTTGTGACCGGTGCAGAGTTAAGAAGACAAAGGTCGGTGATGTCGGCTGCCATATTGAATGAACCTACAGAAAGTGCTCGACAGTATGCTCATACGTCCTAGTGCGACGGGAAGCAGCCATGCAATCGGTGCTCCGCATATAACCACCCGTGTCTGTTTCGGGAGAGAAAGGCCACGCAAACTAAGGTCTATTCCCGAGGGTAAGTACAATCTAGGACCGTGGACTATTCAGTGACTAACATGCAATCTCGACGGCCAGCTTCGTTGAGATGCTCGAATCGCATCATTCTCTTGTGGTCAAGGCTCTGCAACGGCTCTACAAGCTATGCGTTGACAAAGAAGGTTTTCCCGGGGACCCTTTGGTCGAGTCGGCAGACGGCCACCCTTTGACGCATGCTATATTAGACCGTCTGGGGTTGATAAAGCAAGCCGAGGAAAACACTGATGAGCCAGAGGAGGACTCGGAAGATCTCCGATATCTTCGTTTCCTGTCTACTTCCACCGACTGCAGCGCAACAACGGACCCATCTCCCGAGCCAACCACTCCTCCTGAGCCGTCGCCGACCACCTGCAGTCCTGCCAACCTCTCCCCTAAGATTGGAGGTCCTTGGAAATGGGAATACCAGCACGTTCATCCAGTGCAGTACCACAGCTACCCGCATTCAGGGTTTCACGAAGCGACGATGGCGAGGCCTACAATGGAACCCACCAGCATCTCAGGTGATACGAAGTGTCCTGAACCGGTATCTTCGCTCGCAGAACATGGGCCTTCTTACTTCTACTATATGGACGGTGGCGGTAACGGAAACCCAGTGAATGGTCGCCTTCACCCGGGAGAGACCACCGGACCTGGTGCACCTCATCCAGCCCCGACAGCCGGACTCCCCGCCGCCGATATGCTCGGGAGCTACACCAACAACCACCAGCTCCATATGTCAGAACAACACCCACTTTATCCGAACTTCGCACCTAACTGGAACTACCCCTGTAGATGACCGTTTCGTTGTTCCCCAGTTGAAGTTCATTTTCAACACGCATCCTTTCTTCCGCTCCTTATTGATTCTTTCTTTGGTATGGACGTCTGTCCCTATACGCGACCCTACTGCCGTATGCGCATGACATAGGTTGACGAAATTTCCTACTCCATTATCTTTTCCCCAGCTCTTATATACACTTGCTACCACAACATGGTTGTATACCCCCTCAACGCCCCGTCTGTCTTTTTGATCGTGCCATTTCAGTCCAATGCCAGTGTAGCGAAACAGGAATCTCTCGTCTCAAGGATATTTGTGCCTTACCACCGGTCTAGATGTCGGGGATTGACGTGCTACACGCATCCCGCTCCATCTATTCCCTGGTTTCTTCGTCTATCCCTCCCCTCCTACTCCATGCCCACTCATGGAGTACACGTCCGTTATAAGGTCTCTTATTCTGCGCGGATGTTGCGACTATATATAAATTTTGCCATTCCTGATATCAGATTAGGGATGGTGAATCAAAAAAGTGCTACGTTTACGACTCAAGCAAATTCTGAAAAGATCGATGAAGTCACAAAAGAGGTATCAACTCCCTAAGTCGATGCATAATCTAACATGTAAGAAACCCCAGTGGTAGAATCACAAAACACAGGCCAAGAAATAAAGAAGTGAGACCAAGATAGGAAAAAAAGGGAAAAGCTTCCATAGCTACAAGCCATGGTGTCAAAAAGTCCGTTGCCCGTATCATCGACAAACGCAATCGGATGGAAAAGTCGAAGTGTTAGAAAGAAAAGAAAAGCCAAATACGACGTCTTCTCATGCTCAATGTCAACAAGCTCTTTGGGGAATCATATGATTAAATGGTGTTTATTGTTTCATTTCCCTCCTGCAGAGTTTTTATTTAAACCATTTTCATTTCTGGATATTGACAAAGTGTCGTCCATTTACTCGTCAACGTCGGTTTCTGTATTGGTATCGCTTGTGTCGCCCGCGTCCCCTTCAGTATCACTCTCTTCTTCGCTAGACTCGTCGGAGGGCTTTCTAGCCTTCTTCTTGGGCGCTTGACCGGTCTTGAGGGCGTGCATCTGACCCGCGATGGAGTCTGGACAGGGGTTAGTTCCACGACAGTTCTATGGGGAGTAGTATTCATTGCTGGGAGAGCTCACCTTCGTCGGGTTCACTAATATCGTCTTCTTCATCCAGGGCAGCTGCCTTGGCGGGGTCGTCAATGTGGAGCGTGACCTCCATCTTGGTGTCTAGACCAAGGTAGCTGTCACAGAGCAGATGCATCACAAAAGTGAAGTCACCAACTTGGGGAGGAGCCTGGAACTGCATCTTGAGGGTTTGGACGTTGAAGGTGGGCTTTCCGGCCTCGTCGAAGAGGGGCTTGTCGAAAGTGGTGAAAGTGAAGGGCGGCACAGCCATCTTGCCTTGCTTGCCATCGGCGAGGAAGACATGCCAGCGGGGAGAGTGGTCGCGAGCCAGATACGGGGCATGGGCCAGGGGGGGCTGAATCTTTTCAATTTTAGACTCGACCTTTTGGCCGTTGGCCGTCTTGATTGTCTTGTTCTTCGCGGGCTTCCTGCCCATGAGGGCATCGAGATCGTCTTCATCGGGGTCAATGTCTTCCAGATCGATCGGGTCCACTTCCGGCACGCCTGTGCAGCCAGGTGGGATGAACCGGGCCTTCACGACTAGCTGCACCAGACTGCTAGGGGTGATGACCTTCTCGCCCATGACCTTGAAGAACGCCTTGGAGACCTCGAGGACGGGAAGTTGTTTGGCGACAGAGATGGCCGCGTTGTATTGCTTTTCAGACAGGAGTCCGGCGCCGATAGTGAGAGCGCGACGCTTATCCTCGGACAATTTCATGAACTTCTGAACAGTGTAATGGTCCTTAGCGTCAGCACCCTCGACGGATTTCACGACCTCGTTGGTGAAGTAGGGGAGTTGCAGGAGAGGGGAGGACTCGGGAGCGACAGCTTGGATGATGTTCTGAGACGTGCGGAAGGAACCAAGGATAGGACGGGCGTTGCCAAAGGCAAGTGAGATGGCAGTGAACGCTTCGTTCAAGGACAGCGCAATTGGGGCCACCTCGTACTTCTCTGTTAAAAAAGTGAGTATTAAGTGGCTGTCAATGGTCTTGCTCCAAAAGAGTGGACTTACCTCCATTCAAGGTACTATCCTCCAAATCAATACGGCCTAGATAAGCCCACAGCAAAGCCAGGGTTTTCCGTCTCGTAGAATCATCGAGCTCCTTCAGGGTCTTCCGGTCTTGAGGCGAGAGGACAGAGTCGTCGGCCAAGACTTTCTTTTCTAGTTTGGCCAGTCCGGCATCGGGATGTCTGCCTGCGAGCATTTCCTTGAACTCGTCACCCGACGACAAAGCGTTGACAATTCCGTTCTCAAGAATATCCTCCTTGTATTCCCGGAAGATGTTTCCGGCACTGGCGACCAGCACTCTCTCCTTTGTGTAGCGCTGCGAGCCGTACCACCAGCGTCCAACAATATAAGGCAAGAGCACACCAAGAAGCCCGCCGTAGACCAGGAGGACGTACTTTCCATTCCCTTCGGTGACGATGAACTGCGGCAGAGCAATACCAATGCTGAAGCTCTGCTTGCCGTCTGGATGGCCGTACTGGATGTAGTTGTTGCGCACTTCCTCGTCCGTCAGGGCTTTGTAGGCCTTGGTTAGCTCCACGAAACGGTCGTTGAGCATGTCCATAGTCTCATTCTTGGAAGGATCAGGGCGAACTTTATCAGGGTGATAGAGAAGGGAAAGACGCTTATAGTGCTTAGAGATAGCTTTCTCATCGGCGCTCTAAGATAAAGAGGCGCGTTAGCATACGTTGCGGGGGTGGCAGGAGGTCGCACAGGCACATAAACAACTCACCCTTGAGATACCCAAGATGTCATAAGGATCCCAAACTTTTGGTGTTGTCCTCGCGGTAACGATAATCAAATAGACCATCCATGCCATAACAGCGTAGCCCACAATGACGGTGATGATGCGCTTGATCCGACGTTCCTTGCGCAGGCGTTTGCGCTTTTGCGCCTCAATGAGGTCGCCATCCTTGGGCTTGAAGTCTGATTTGATGCGGGGGGCGGTGTTCTCGAGCTCTGCGGGAGATGACAGTGTCAGTCATCAGAAATATTCGATTAATGAAGAACGAACTACACTAGGGAAAGCTCAACACTAACCCTTGCTCGGCTTCAGGAGGTTGTAGGTTAAAGGGAGCGTGACAAGACCCGAAAGAGTCAGGACGAAGAACGGGAAAAATTGCCCCTGAAAAATTGTCAGTTATTGCCCGGCGCTATAGTGTATCGCAGGGAAGCCCTCACCTTGTCATCGTAGGTGTAGTCTGTAGACATGATGAAGCAAGTTCACGGTCGCCCGTGGCGGGCAGGACTATAGGGCGCTGTGAGTTAAGACAGCCCTCGGAGGTGGAGAGCGAATAATCGTGTAAATTCCCTTCTGAAGGCAGTGTCACGGAAGAAACAATTTAGGCGATTGAGAAAAAGGGCATGGTCTCCTCAAAGAGGGCAAAGGAAGGTGAACAAGAGAAGATGCAGTATTTGGATTATTATCGTATCGGCAATGGTTCCTTCAATCTGATCGACCGTGTCCTTTACGGGGCGGTAGGGCCCACACCGCCTTCCGTATGTAGACTAGCATACAAACCCTTGATGGCCCGAGGAATCAGGCACAACCCCATTGTTGTCACTCCCGACAACCGTCGTGCTCTACTTCATACCTACATATTCAAGAGGTTCACTCAATAGTTTGATTTTTACACATTATATACACGGTTGTACCGTACACCGCGCCTTTTCATCAGGCGCTGAACAGGGTATCATATCAGGCAATGAGGTCTGAGCTTCATTTTTTCTAACCATACCCGGTATTCCTCAAATATCCTCAAATAGATCATTAATCGTGAACAGGGTTATGTCGACTCGCTGACCGTTTCCCCCTTCGTCGTACCTTCCAGCGCTATTGTGGATTTTTGACTCTGGGTGCAGTAGGGAGTTCGTGGACAGTCGTGGGCTCGGAGATGACCTGCTGGCGGGGAATTCAAGCCTCGACAACCCGAAGGTCGGAAGCGAACTCAACCCGTGAAGCAGACCAACCCCTGCCATCAGACCACGAGTTCTGAATTCTCCCGACACCAAGATTAGCACGGACAAGCCTTTAGGGACCAATCCAATCCCTCGAGGGGATCTTCATTGCTACAAGTCGGCGGCTTGTGTGACCCGTGAAATCTGGTGTTCCCACCTTTTGAGAGTTTCCTTTCTCATCCTGCAGATGCAGTGACGTGGCAGGATGGGCTGTCAGGTCTTTGATGCGGGACATATGCCTTTCTTTTAAAATGGTATATCCCCTCAAAAGAATTTTTGGTTTTTTTTTCTTCGAAATTCTGGACAGGACAAAGAGAATCGGGCAGCCATAGCAATATCACTGTGGCCGTCTGGTTCTCACGAATCATCCAGGCATCGATTTCAAAGAATGTGGGCTGCGGACAAAGAAGCGTTAGCAACCATGTTCGATGAAAGACAGTGTGGGACAAAAGTGGACTCACGAATCGATATAATCAAGACCACCGAAGTACTCCAACATGCGGTAACAAAGGCCAATATCATCGCCGGGCTCGCCCCCAAAGAGACGACACTGTTCTGCCTCTAGCTGCAATGTGTGTTCACGTGCTTGCCATACCGTCTGCCCAAAATGCCAAGTCGGGGCGATGGGATTCGGGATGGAGTCGGGTGAATCACAGATTTCAGAAACAGCTGGGTTGAGGGAGGAGTCGAAGGGAGCAGTGTTGACGCTGCGATTGCGAGAGCGTGGACGGGTTCGTCGTCGGTTGTGTCTCTGTCCCATACTATATCGGCTGGATTGACTGTGGGTGTGCTTCGAGGTACGTGGACTTGTGCGAATTTTGTTGCTTTTTTAGAACTTTTGGTCGAAGTGGCAGTCGATATATACAACCCGGCCAACGACAGGGAGATCAACAATGTTGAGATGAAATGACGAGATCGTGAAAGAGGGGAGTGACCATCACCCCCTTCAAAAGGATGAGATGAGGTGGAGAGAAGAAAATCAAACGGCCATAACAGGAAGCCGGAAGACGGGGACTGTTATATAGAGGCCGTCGATGAAGGGTGAGGTGCTTGCAGTCTGCAGGGGTGTGACTCACTATAACTGGAATTTACCATAAGGGTACGGAAAAGCAGAGGTGGAAACTTGACATCGGACGAAAGAAGATCCCCTATGCCAGAGGCTGCCAGTTCCACAAAGTAAAGTTCTAGACGGCCGGGATCGCTCATCTCAAAGTGCGATGGTGAAAAATGTCCTCATGGGGGGAGCACATCACGTACTCCGGCCTCGGATCCCTTGAGTCATCGGGGAGTCATCCACCCATCACTTGACTTCCATCTGAAGATATTTCTACTATACCTGTATATTGGATCTAGAGAAGATGAGCTCTACGGAGTACCAACACATCGGGTCCTGAAAATTCTCTAGCGTTGAATCTGACAACTTTCGCATCTGCAAGCTTGAAACAGATTACAGGGATCTGGCTGCATGCAGATCAGGAGACGTTGACCGAACAAAAAAAAAAAAAAAAAAAAAAAAAAGAAAAAAAAAAAAAGAAAAATGGTATGACGGCATCTCTGGTCTGGGGCCGAGAAGGAAAAACTCGGAGTGAGGGCTTCCATGACAATACAATACTTCTCCGTAATTCCTTGATCGGCCCTGGAAAGGGGAAATTTCTGTCTGCCGTACGGGCCGATCGGGATGGTGACCAGTCCGATACACACGTCATGCAAGATTTATGAAATCAGGAGATGACGGTTATCCTCCATCCCGAGACGGCGTTAGGGATTTTTTTTTTTTAATCTCCTGCCCCTTTGTCCTTGATCTTTCTTCAGCAGTATGGGGCAATGATCTCATCGGCCTTGTCTAGACAAGGACTGGCGAGAATTTCTTTCAAGCGGAAGATGCGTTTCAGACTGTCGAGTTCTTTCATCACCGTCGTTGATTCCAGGCTTAGCTGGAATGTGCTGGTCAATCTTTACTTCAGCTCGATCGAACAATGCCGGGATTTCCCTAGTGTCATGCACCTCTGCTAGCCCATTAAGGAGTTGGTGTTAGGTAGCAACCTACGGAGTAGTACTAAGAATAAAAGTAGTCTAATCACCGCTTGACACCTGGTGGTGCATGACGGACCCGGTATAGTTCCACTTCGCTAGACGACCAGCCCACCGATTTACTCCATTATTGACTTGAGATCTGAAAACTCTTTCCTTACTCCTTTAATGGAGACTGACCGCAAATTGCAGCAGAATTAGCGCGAGGCAACGCAGAAACATGACAGTCTACGTTATGCGAATTATAGTCCAGCAGTGCATTTGCTGTCCTTGGGTTATACGCATCGCAGGTCAGGCCCAAACTACGTCTAGCACAGCCAGAACAAATTCAAGTGCCTTGAGGGTCTAGACGGGGAATATGCTACTCCGAATCAAAACTCCACACACGGATGAAACGAATTGAAGAACAAAATCGCGCGCGTGCCAAGATCTGCAGATGTGAAATTTAAGGCTGTTCAATTGTCGATCGCCCTGCGGATGATCTCCAACATCTCCTCCCCTTTAGGTGCCGTCGTCAAGTTTTCATAACCGGAGTGTGTGACCAGGATGTCGTCCTCGATGCGCACGCCACCAATGGGGATGTATTTCTCGGCCACGTCAAAGTTGATGTACTTCGCCAGGGGCTGTTTCCGCGCGTTTGCGATGGCCAGTTCAGAGAAGTAGACACCGGGTTCGATCGTCACCACCATTCCTGGTTCCAAGCCCGGACTGCTCTGGGTAGCCATCGGCACGAAGAAGGTTTGCCTGGGGCCCTCTGCCGCAGCACTGGCGGCGTTCGGCTGCACCGAGACATCGTGAACCTCGAGGCCCACATGATGGCCTAGTCCATGAGGGAAAAAGACGGCCGATGCTCCTGAGTGGAATATTTCCAAGACATCGTAGTCATGAAGTACCCCAAGGTCCTTGAGTCCCTGGATCGCAATGAAATGGGCCGAGTCCTGCAGCGACTTCATTGTCACACCTCGCCGAATCTGCGAGATACAGGTCTCCTGCATCTTCTCTACGAGACAGTAGATATTCCTGACGTACTCACTCGCCCAGTCCGGCCCCAGGGGAATAGTCCGGGTGACGTCGCTCGCATAGCAATCCCACTCGGCGCCCGCATCCAGGCAGACCAGCTGCCTTCCATGGAGCGGCTCGTTATTCTTTACGTAGTGGAGTGTCGCTGCATTTTTTCCTGAGCCGGCAATGATTTCGTAGGATTGGTTCTTCGCCCCGTGGGACACACACGTGGCGAGAAACAAACCTTCGATTTCCGTCTCGTTGGTCATGCGATGAATATTCTCGAGCACCTTGCGATGGGCCAAGGCGGAGATCTGGTTCGCCTTGCGTATCATCCGGATCTCGTAGTCGTCTTTGACCATGCGAGCTGCGTCCATCGCGGGAAGGAGATGCTCGCCGTCTAAGTAGACATTCTCTCTGGACGGGACATGGGGCTTCTGGGTATCATGGAGAATGTAGATGGGGCTCGAGTTGTTGTGCTTGTCGATCCATGACTCAAGGTGTCCCTGGAGAGAAGAAAAGTAGCACACGCGGTCAACATCGTACCGATGTCGGGCCTCGTCGATGGTAAGCGTCGGACCCATCCATATGGCGTGGCGGAGGTCAAAGTCTGGGACGTAAAGGGTCAATAAATCGCTATGAATGTCGTAAGTTAGGTAACAGTCCGCTTCGTCTACCCCACTGAGGTAGTAGAAGTATCGCCTTTGGCGGAACGGACGCGGTTGGTCAGAGTCTCCCCAGTTGATGGTAGGCTGGCCGACCAGGTAAACAAGACCGGCGGAGACTCCCAGTTTCATGGCGGCCCGGCGGGCATGTTGTTTGGCTGTGTTTGTGTTAGCATATGGTAAAATAACAGCTCCCTTTAAGAGGGATCTTTTGTGGCTGCGAGGAGTCTAGGTACCTGGATACTTGTCTCCATCGTTGCCTGTAATGGTCAGGCGGATGTCGTAGGTATCAGGCACAAGGCACCGATCATGCGTGGAAAGAGGAGCACGCATGCTGTCAGGGCATATAGTATGTACAGATGACAATGATGAGGAAATGGGATAAGGTAACTACTAATCTAGGAGAGGTAGTACGCAGGAGAGCATGTAAGGGGACAAATCACTAGAGAGGAGGGGAGCAATGCAGGGGAGGTTAGGTAGGTACCTACCAGCTTGGGTACGCCGAATACAGAATGATACTGATTACAAGGTGTTATCGCGGGCGGTGTTGCTGAAATGGGTGGTAATTATAGTATCAATCTGGTAATCGCGTGGACCTAGGTACGGTGATAGGAGGCAAGGTACATCCGCCCAGGAGTTCTCTAGGTACCGCATTTTGACTCTCATTAGACTTCTTCAAAAATGGATGGTGTTGATAGTCTGTCCTAGTCTGGGTTACTACCTTATCTTTCACTTATCGTATAGCGTACCCAACAAATCTCAGACATACCACAGGGGACGGATCGATTGTTATCGAGTACGAGATATATATCGTTGTCCTATTATCTTGACTCATTCAGAGTCCTTTGACCCGATTACAATGGCTAATGAATGGGAACACGAGCCTTGATCAGTCTAGTGCCATGCGCTTATCCCTGTCGAAAGGATCGAATGTTGACGACGTTGTATGGAAGGGAAGATCCCCTCCATTACATCATTCCTAGGTATACAAGCGGTGAGATCAAACACTACGCACCCGATATTCTTACTTCCACGCCACAGGCACAACTACTACTGAATTAGAAGCGAGGCATGATTCTCCCTTTCCTGGGAGGTTCTTAACAAGGGAAAAGGTAATTAAAACTAGAGGATACTCTCTCTTTAAGAGGCATATAGAGAAACACTCCAGGAAAAGTGGTGAAGGCATGTCATGTCATATAAACTGGGCCTAGGCCATCCGAACGCATCGACCGGAAGCGTCGCTGCGCCTCCCCACATGCGCCCGTCTTAGTCTTTTTCCCTCTCACTCTCTCCATCTCACCACCACTCACTGCCTTTTCCATCTTCATCGTTCTACTGCCTCCCCCCTCCATCTCTCCCATCTACCGTCGTCGTTCTTTTTTGTCTTTTCAATCATATCGTTTGGTTTCCTAGCAGTCTAGCTGACGAGTCAATGAACGATGCGGGGATTTGAGGCTTCGGGGCCTGGCGCCCTCTGGGCCGCTCCCTCGACCCTCACTACCTCCGTCATATCCAGTACCACCGGTCTTCCCACAACCTCCTCTTCCATCCCTTCCACCGACACCGATCTTGTCGCATCAAATATCGAACATGTTCTGCTGGCAATAACGTCGCGGAATCAGGATGGTGGCCTGGCAAGTGTCGGTGGCAACACGTCGGGTTCCACCGGCAAGGGCATCTTGATTGGCATCCTCTCCGCCTTTGGCTCTGCCGCCGTTGCCGTCGTCATTTTAGCGGTGTTCTTTTTCTTCAAGTATACTCGACGTGGTCGGATTATTCTGGATCGGATTGGGCGACCAGGTGAATACGATGACGAACAGGCGTTTTTGCGCGAGGAAGCGGAGGCCCTGGAGGCCATGGACGACTTGTCGCGATCCGAGTATGCAAGAGCAAAGGGTAAGTGCGAGCTCGTTTTGGGCCTTGAACAGCGATGTTGTTTGGCCTGCAAGAGACTGTCAAGTACTAATAATGGCTGCAGCTTTTATCGAAGCCAACCCCCCCGAGTCGATGCAAACCGACATCTCGCTGTCTCAGTTCCTTGCGATCCAAGAAAAAGGTGTATCCGCGTGGGAGTTCCAGCCGGAACTGGAAATTGCCAATTGTTTCGTGGAGGCCAGGACCGAGATTGAGTTTTACGACTCGGAATGTAGCGTCCAGACGAACCTGCCCGTACCCAAGCAGAATGATGTCTACTACTGGGAAGCGAAGATCTACGATAAACCCGAACACACTCTTATCAGCATTGGCATGGCTACAAAACCGTACCCTCTGTTTCGCTTGCCAGGTATGTCGATGGGTGCAATCTGTCGTTGGTGATCGTTGTCGTGTGAGAGCTAATGTTGATCGTCCTGCGCTCAGGTTTCCATAAGACGTCGGTCGCTTATCAGTCCACGGGTCATCGGCGATACAATCAGCCATTCACTCCAACTCTATACGGTCCGCCGCTCCTTCAGGGCGATGTAATCGGTGTCGGATACCGCCCCCGTTCCGGTACGATATTCTTCACGCGCAACGGGAAGAAACTAGAAGAAGTAGTCCATGGTCAGAAGACGCAGAATTTCTTCCCTACAGTCGGTGCGAATGGTCCGTGTACCGTCCACGTCAACTTCGGTCAGATGGGTTTCGTGTTCATTGAAGCCAATGTCAAGAAATGGGGGTTGGCTCCGATGACTGGAAGCCTGGCTCCACCGCCGCCGTACGGAAGCGAACAGGGCAGCATCCTGCTGGAATCGGGGCGCGAGAGCGCAGCCCAGATTTCCAATCGGGTCTATCAAGATGCAAGCAATGCCCGGACAAGCTCGACTGTGAGAATCGCGCCGGCGCCGAGTCCTGGCCCGGTGCGGTCTCCAACCGACATTTCGCTCGCGCAGCTGGCCCATATTCCGTCAAACGAAGATGTTGGAGAAGGATCAAGTCGCGGCCATATCGCAGATGGGGAGCAGGCGCCCCTGTTGAGCACGCACGATATCGAGCAAGGGCCTCCTCCAGAGTACTCCAGCCCGGATGGCAGCCGCAGAGGCAGCGATGCGGGGGATTTCCCACCGGGAGATCAGCCACCGATACCCAGCTACGATGCCGCGGTGGGTAATCACGATGGCCAACATTCTCATTCGGAGGGGGGCAATTGATCTGTCCCATAAACTTTCCTCCACTTCTTGGTCAGCTCATTGACAGCTATGATATATGTATACGGTATCTGAGCCATTCAATATGTGGGCGTCATTTCTTTTATCTGTTTCAGCGAACCACGGTTGGCGTTTAACTGGGTGGGAATGAATTATGCTCTTTTCTCAAGGTATTTCCTGGCGATGGTATGGATTACGTATATAGCGCTCAGGAATGTCGTCGGTGGTTTTCTTTCACCTGTTTCTATATCCGAGAGTTCGCAGGTCTGCGGAGGATTGATTTCCTTTGTTGCTCTATGCGGCTTTGCTCGACCAATGTTTCACTATCTCTTGAAATGATATCCCATTTCCTCTTTGCGCCGGTGTTTATGTACTATGGCTTACCGTTGATAAGGGTAGGTGCCTGGTCTCGTGGACTCCATCTGCAGGGAAGCGTCTGCATCTATTTTGTGTACCTGCAGGTAGATCAAGGTATGACGACAACCAAGTGTAGCTGGTCATCGGCAATTATCAATCTTATTGTAGTGATCTTTGGATGATTGTTTCTTAACTCTCGGTATGTATCCATTGGCGCACCAAACCCCAGCTGGAATTGCAATTTCGACCACAGAGTGGGAGAATTCAGGAACGCACGGGGAAAGTGGATCCTCATCGATCGATCTCACATTCCTTTTTCCACGATCATTGTCTGTTTTGGTCATGTCCTGCGATGCTAAAAATGGGTGCTGTTAAGCTTATCGATAGCGGATTGCCGCATTCGGCCATCCTCACGTCATCGTCTTCCCCACGCCATAATGAACGAGGTCGTCAACTCTCTTTCTTTTCGCTTTCAGCACCGTCTGCCTTTGTATGAAGCGTCTATCTATCCTCTCTAGTCGAGTCGCAATGGACCACAGTCGGCCAATTGGTTAGACTCAAATCGGAATTCGCCGCAGTCACCCTTCGGTTTTCGGTTCGCGAGTCGTGCATACATCGCTTGCAGTTACCGAGCATCCTTCCCTCGCCTTAGGCCCGTTGGTCGATCCCAGCCTGTATAACTTCCCGGTGGAATCTGATTCGGCTGCTGGATCTAAAAACGCTCCAGCTCTCTCTGCTCGGAGGCGTACAGCCACCGGAACCGCGGTGCGCCCGACAACTCCGCGAATGGCCCAAGGCAAAGGACACGGAAGAAAAGGGTGCAGAAGACACATCATCCCTGACTTGTAGGGTTCATCGGTGCATGACCAACCTTTGTCGTGTAACAGAAGCCCTATCGGAAGCTCCAGGTAAAGGGATGCGATCTGATTGACCGGGCGCGACCTCTGGATGCCAATCATCGCGTGCGCATGGACCCTCATCCTTTGACAACCCCGTTCGGTTCTAGAAGATCTTCTTTCTGCACTTATCAACGTCCTGTCGGCTTTGAGCGAATGCTTTGTTTGGCTTGGGCATAGGGTCTTTCACCGACGTCTGCCTCGTTCCAGACAAAGAAAGGAAAAGGAAACATTCTCGGGTAAGACGTCGGACGGTGTGGACTACTCCTTGTCCCGCTTCTCTCTGTGCCCGGCCGTGCCTTTTCTTTCGACCTCAGCTGCACTCACCTTTTATGTGTGACTCAAAAGCCTTGTTCCTGCGTCTTTCCTCATCCGCTTGGGCACCTCTTTCTTTTTCTTTTCTGGCCGTTTCTTGCTCCCGCCAGAACAATGAGATTGTCCTTGGCCGATTGGAAGGGACCTCCATAGTGTGTTGACGCCTGCCATAAGAGCCGCCAGCCGCGCCGCGCCTCATTCTCCCATCCCATCCATCTCTTTCTTCACCTCATATCGGGGACAGCCCTGCCGAATTCTGAAGCTGTACTCTGTATAACTCCTCTGAAACATATTGCTCCCCCGGCATCTTACACACAGCCAATCATACCCCTTTCCGATCTACCTCGTTTCGCCTCGCCTGGCGACAAACAACATGCCGCCAAAAAAGAAACGTGTGGCTTCTGAGACCGCAGGAGCGGGCTCGTCCAAGAAACGAGCTGGTAAAAAACCCGTCCATGAAGAGATCGAGAGTTCCTCACATCTTTCAGAACCAGCCCCAGGGAGTGATGAGCACGAAGCGCCAGAAGAGAACCCTCAATTCGACAATGAACCCGATGAAGGCTTGCAGGTGATCGTCTTGGTAAGCCACAGTCCTATAACGATATAACGGCAGCTGACATGTTTCAAAAGGGCTCCTCGGGAGGTCCTTTTGAGGATCGAACCTCTAGCTTTCTGGTCCGGTCCCTGTCCACCAATTGGCGCGAGAAATCCATGATTGCCATCGACGCGGGTTCCCTGCTTGCTGGAATATTGCACGTTCTGGAAACGTCAGTAAAGGGTGGGCCAGGGCCTTTCGCGGACCTACCAATGGACGAGATACAGACCAACATCGGACGTGCATTACACATCTTCCGGAATATTATCGGATCGATTTGTATCACCCACCCTCATATGGATCACATTGCCGGCCTCGTAATCAACACCCAGGCCCTCCAGAATACAAGTAGCCCGAAAACCGTCGCCTGCTTGCAGAGTGTGATCGATGCACTCAAGCAATATGTGTTCAACGGGGTTCTGTGGCCCAACCTCACCGATGACCAGGGAGCAGGTCTCATCACTTTCCACACTTTGATCGAAGGGGGGAACCCAATGCTGGGATCAGAAGACCAGATTGGTTACGATGAGCTGTGCGAGAAGTTGTTGATCAAGTGCTATAAGGTCACCCATGGAGAATGCGCGCAAACATATGACTCAATGGAGAGACGGTGGCGCCGAAGAAGCAGCGTGTGCCCCCACCATGCTCATCAGCAACCAGATCCAGCGTAAGTGAACACCATCCTACCTTGGACTCTAGGAAGTATCTCACCCCGGACCAGGGCCGCAGAGGAGCAACCCTTGACGGGACTTCATGATAGAACCGAAAGCTCGGCGTTCTTTATACGCGACAGAGTTTCAAACAAGGAAATCATTATATTTGGGGACATTGAGCCTGACTCAGTCTCTCATGGAGAGTGGAACAAACGAGTCTGGAAGGAAGCCGCGGCAAGTTTGTCCAGCGGCGCTTTACAGGCTATCTTCATCGAGTGCTCGTACGATGATAGCGTCTCGGACCAATATCTGTATGGTCACCTGTGCCCTCGGCATCTGGTTGCAGAGTTGAGAACGTTGGCCGGGTTTGTAGAACATGGCGACGAAACTCTGTCCGACCTAGTCGTATTTATCACCCATGTGAAGGTGAAGGACAACGTTGGCACAGACGACACCCCCGGGGTAGATATTCTCAAGCAGGTCCGACAGCACTGCAGCGATGCCAAATTGGAGTGCAGAATTGAGCTTGCACTTCGTGGCGTGGGCTACTATTTCTAAGTTCCCGAAGATGAAGAGGGTTCCGGACTCGAACATGTCGCGAGAAGCACGATCTACAAGTATACCACAGGCCACGAAGCACATTTGCGGATTTGATCATCGTTGTTATCATGTTTACCCTTTCCATACCGCCGGATGTCCGATTGTGGGACACAGCGTTTTCTATGTTACCGCTGCAGGGCAGTGGGACCACGCGGATTAGATAGGTATGCACAATCGCCGGTTTATGTACTTATAGGGTTCACTGTTCTGTCAAAGAACAATCACAATTTTATCACTCCAAAGATATACCCTGCTCAGTAGTAAATGACAAATATACGAAGTGGAAGGCATCTCAGGCGTAATCTACTGCGTCGCCGTTGCAATGACATCCTCCCAGCGGGAGCTGTTCCCATGGGGAACTCTCAATCCAGATGACTGCTCCGAGGAATCGTCCTTGGTATGGGGCTGATTCTCCGGGAGATCCAGAATCGCCTCCCCGTCTCTGGCAAAGGCGATGAGTTCCTCTTCAGTGCCCCATTCGCCCATGGCCATCACACCGATAGGAACACCGGCATTAGAGTATCCCGCGGGACAGTTGATAGCGGGACATCCGGTGAAATTGGCCAGCCACACATACTCCATGTTGCGCACAGAGGCCTTGCCGTCGGACAAGCCGCGCGACAGGTCGGCCTCACCGCCGTCGATCTTCCAGCCGGCAATGGGCGTGGTGGGTGAGAAGATCAGCAGGCCGGGGTATTTCTGGAAGAGATGGGCGAGATGAGCCATGAGGAGGTTGCGCAGGCGCTGGGCGGCAAGGACATCCTGGCCGGTGATCTGCCACATGCCCATGGAGACGAGCACCTTGTTGGGGGCAGTGAGGCTGCGGATCTGGCGCGGCGACAGCGCCGACGCGATCTCGGTCATAATGGTGAGGACGTGCGCGCGCTGGCCCTCGGGCAGATACGGGATAGCGATCTCCACCACCGTATAGCCTTGTTTACGGTAGAAGTCCAGCGTGGCGTCGAACACGCGCCGCACCTCAGGCTCGGCACGGTCGATCCACTCCGGTATGATGCCAATCATCTTTGGCCGGTCCGCAGGCACCGCCAGCGTGCGCAGCGGCGACGGGAACGCGGCCGACATCGGGTCGTCCGCGGCGGGCGCCGGCGCCGCCATCACTCGGTACGCCAGCGCCAGGTCGTCGATGCTCGCGGCCATCGGCCCGTTCACCCCGACGGTCGTCGCGAGCGAGACCGTGGGCGTGCCACTGACGCGACCATGCGACGGTTTCAGCCCCCAGATGCCGCAGAACGACGACGGGATGCGGATTGAGCCGCCGCCGTCCGCGCCGAGCGCGATGGGCACCAGCCCTGCGGCGACGGCGTAGCCCGACCCGCCCGACGAGCCGCCGCAGTAGTACTTCTCGTTGTGCGGGTTGCGCGGCGTGCCGTAGTTGGGGTTGTTGTTGTTGGTATCTGCTGGGTCAGTTTCGTTTCCCAGATAGAGATGGTTCTGAGGGCTGGTGCTGCGTCTATCTTCCTTGGAGCGCGACTCACCCAGTCCGAGCTCATGCATCGTCGTCTTGCCGACGACAATCGCGCCCGCCTCCTCCCACTTCTTCACACACCACGACGTGCCCTCCACGCCGTTGGTGAAATCCAGCTTACTCCCCAGCGTGCGCTTGTAGCCCTCCATGTTCAGCTCGTCCTTCACGGCAACGGGCACCCCGTCCAGCGGGCCCAGCGGCGTGCCGTCCCGGTACCGCTGCGCAGACGCCTCCGCCGCGGCGCGCACCCTGGCCACATTGCTTTCCAGGAACGCGACCGAGTGCGCGCCGGCCGGCGTGGCGTCGCGGCGGATCAGCGGCAGGAGGGCCTCGACGACCGCCACGGGGGACAGGGAGCCGGCCTTGTAGAGCGCGTGGTAGTCGGCGGAAGTGTAGTAGGCCGTCGGGCCGGCGCGTCTCTGCGTGGGCGCGGGGAGCGCATCCGCGGTGACGGTGTCCGGCACGACGGGGATGACAGTGGGATCGTAGCGGGCGGTGTATTCGTGGAGGTGGGGGATGTTGCGGATGACGTCGAAGCCGGCGTTGCGCCAGAAGAAGCTCTGGATGAAACCGACGTTGTGGATTCTGCGGGACGCGTTAGTGTGATGCTGGCTGGGATTACGCGGAGACGGAATGAATGAATGCAGGCATGCGTACAGTGATGCGCCGATGGCGAGCGGAGCGCCGCGGAGGACGGGGATCGATTGATCCTCGTTCTTGTAAGGGACGGAGGGTCCCTCACGGACTTCCGGGTAGTGGAAGAAGCGCAGCTCGTCGGTATTGCTGCGAGGACCCATTTTGAGGGATCTCGTTCGAGGGGTGGTAAGAGAGGAGGAGAGGAGGGGGTTGGGGAGAGATGAAGAGGAGGTGAGGTTGGAGCTTGGTTTGATTGACCAAGCTCTAACATGAGCCGCGGTCCAGCATGTGCCAGTTCATTAGGTAAACTTCGAGCCTAATCTTTCACAACTGTATGGAGGATGCGACTTTTCTACTTTTACTACAATTCTAGAGATCTGACTATACATGAATATTTACATAGTCTAAATAGATACCCATTCCGCAGCTTTTAAAGGACCAGCTTGATGTTGGCCTTGTCCAATCCCAGCGCAACGCCAGATAACACGGCGGCATATCCGATCAGGATCCCCGTGGCTTGCGCCGCGCCGACATCCAACGTCGGAATGCTCAGATTGACAGCGCCGGTCAGCAAGTTCGCGACGAGGAAGATTGCGAGCCCGTTCTTGTTGAACGCTGTCATGATGCGGCTGGTCGCAAACGACACCCGGTCGGTCTCTCCATCCTTGCTAGGCGCACGGTGGACGGAGGGGAAGAAAAGAGTCTCCAGCAGACAAAACAGGAAGAGCTGCGCATTGTTGAAGGCTGACACCCAGAGTACGTAGGGCATGTTCGCGAGGCGTCGGGAAACAGGGATATTGGCGCCGTAACCCAGCGCGTATGTCGAGTTCAGCGCAAAGAGCGCCGTCCATGCGGCGGTTTGAACGCCTAGACTGAGGAGTACACTCTTTCGAGCCTGCGATGCAGATTTCGTCGGCGATGTCCCCCGCGGAATGACCCGAATCCCCACAGCGCGACCAGCCAGGAAGATTGCAAGATAGCCGAGAAATGAGAACACGCCCTCACGGTTCTTTGAAAGCAAGTCGGGCCCGCGAGGGGACACAAGGATGTAGCTTTTTAGGTCAGTGGACTCGAGAGCGATCTGGTATAGGACTGAGATGCCTAGCGCCAGCGCCTCGTACGAAGGAATGAGAGTCGCCAGGGCATCGAAGATCTCCACAAAGGGAGGCAACAATCCTAGTGTGAAGAAGAAGTTCCAGTGAACGCCGTACTCTGTTACATGTTCGGCGTAGTCGAGGCCTTTCACGCTATAGAGTCGTATCAACCCCAGCACCAGGAGGGGGATGGAGTGACGCGTCGACGCTTTCAGTCTGAGCAACAAGGACGTTCGCACGGCCTGATTCTGCCGGCCTTTCAGGATCGAACGCGCAGAAACTACCCCCGACGAGAACACAAACGACCCAACTCCCAAGTCCATTAGAGAGGTGCCCCAGTTCTCCACCTTGGCGAATCGGCGGGGGAAGACACGAAAATCCACAGCTAAGATGGCAATGCAAGTGACGATCATCATGGCTGCACGGTATGTCGTGAGAAAAGGATGGATCGGTAGGGACTGGTCTGAGCCCGACGCCGGGTGGGAGGCATTCTGGTCGGCTGCAGTGGGTTGGCGTGGCGGTTTAGCCTTGTGCTGGGTCCGGGCGGGCTTCGAGTTCAGTAGAAGTAGCAGCGCCGGTGAAACCAGGAGGAGGTTGAGCGTCCATGGTGCAGACGAATAGAGCGTGGTTGCGAATAGGATGGCGAGGACGTTCAGCAAAAAGTCGACAACTAGTGCCGGTGGGCTGTAAGGAGTAAAGAAGGACAGGCGAGCTTGGAGTACCGACCAGAGTAGCACCGAGGCCTAGACAACGTTCAGAAAGGTGATTAGCGGAGAGGTACAGGTTCCCCAGAGCTATGCATGATTGCTTCCTACCGGCGCAACCAGAGTGACTGCGTTGATCTCGAGAATGCTTCCTCCTGCCAGATTGGAGACAAACGCTTCCTTCCGAGCTTTATAACTCGGATCCATGACGGTGCCGCGACTGTTGAGACCCACTGAGACAAGCTATTCTTGCGATGAAGAGAACAATCCGGGGGTAGGCGGGCCAATGATTGACGGAAAGGTCAAGGTGAATTCGGGATTTGGATTTAGTGATGGGTTGTTTGATAAGAAGGACAACTGGCCGCGGGCGGTATGCGGAGTACCGGTTTTTGTACGGAAACTCCGCATAGACGGTATTGTATGTGGTAATCCTATAACCACCCCCAACAGAGGATGGACTCCTTCCAAATGAGGAAATGCGTCTCAATCTCCGACGACAAACAAACTTCCCATCACGACTCCCCCCTCTCCTCCGTACAATTTCCACGAATCAGTCTATGGACAGCATCGCGAAGGTGCAAACGCCGGCGACCAACGATCCCTGGCATGCATGGTCACTACGTTTAGTGAGCCGATTTCGCCAAAGAGCCCTCCGAAAATCCGCAACCACCAAACGATAGAAAGAAGAGGAGAATAAACCGAGATTACATATTTCGTACATGACACTGGAACTTCCTCGATCAACTTCATCCTACCATTGGATTGGAATCAGCTACGCCTCTTCGAAAAATACGGCATATCCCGAACTTTACTCGAACAAGTTCCCATATGATAGGTGGGCCCGCTAAAGCCTTGCGTGGCCGATGCATGGAGCTGCCTTAGACCTTTTTAAAACCAACGAGAGCCACCACTCGGCAGCGATATGCTGAATAGATCTAGGCGACGAAAGATGGGTCGACAGACGACGGAAGATACCGACATCATCGATGCCCCCGAATAAGGGTACCAATATTCTGAGACGGACATGATTCAGATCACTGTGCGGTCGTTGGCATTGGCAATTATGCCTAGATAAGACATCAAGGTGGGAACTATGAGTCGGTAGAAGTCTCCTTTCAGTCCCAAGGAAACTACGCGGGGACACGGACTAGTGCCGACGCTTCTAGAAATGTACTCCGTACATGTACATGCAGGTGACCCCTTCTCCATCTTACCACCGCGTTACCAACAATAGGCAATGTTATGTTGTGCAGTTACCAGATTTCAGAGACCCACAAAGTGTGCCTTTCGCACAGCTGGCTGCATACGCCTAGCAGCCAAAGTTTCTTCGCCCGGCATGGGGAATATCCGACCTTGTCAACGACCGAGTTTCATCGAATCAATGGGCATGATCTCCTGGACATCTCCGCGGGTCACGAAAAACAGATCAAAATTAAATATGGAGACGTTTTCCAAGCCCGCAATGCCGTCGGCAATTGAGGCAGGGTGAGGGTCCAAAACGATAAGAAATCAAGAGAAAGTCAGAAAACTGTGAGTAATGTGCCCCATCCGAGCATTTTAGCAGTTCCCTGCTAACCGTGGTAAGGCACAGCGTGCGTCATTCATCAGCCAGCCAGCCTTCTTGATGGCACACTGAGACGGCCTCGTATTCCGTTGGTTTCCTCCTTAGTTTATTTACTCCGTACGGTGTATTCTGGATCCCTCCCCGGCAAAGTGCTGCCGGGCCCTTGGTCTCCAATATGAATCCGGTTCAAACCAACAACACTACTCAGACCCATTGGGAGGACCGACTAGGACGCCCCAGGGGTTCCTCTCCATTTCTCCCGCTTTATCCCACAAATTGTAGGCTGTTTCGGAAACCACTATTGGAAGGAGTGGAGTCAATCTCCCTTTACCTCGTGGCCAGGACCGCCCGGAGTACCAAACTTTCCAAGTGCTGACCGATCCAAGATCTGAGATGGTTTACCATGGTACGGGTGAACACAGGTATCCTTCTTGGGCATAGGCGCCCTCTGGCGCTAGCCGAAATATGGAGGATGTGCGATTCACTAGGCCCTAAAACACTCGGGGGCCATTCTTAATATCTGGTCGTCGCCAAGAACGGCAGATCCTGAGGTTCATGATTCCAAATACTACATCCAGAGGGCCTGAAGATCACCTCTTTCTTTCCTCAGTCCAGGGGTTCGCGGTTGCAAATACTATTCCTATCGTCAAACCGCATTGTCACCAGCTGAGCGCACATCGCACGGCCCAATGTGTCCTGTGTGGTGGTTCCCTTGCATAATTCTCAGCTGTCCAATTCTCCGGTCTCCGCTCTTGATCTGGCCTCGAAATACCGAGATGGCCAGGCGGGTCGAAGCCTTCGGAACCCAATCTTTTTTCTTTTTTTTTTTTTTTTTTCCTTTTGAGTCTGGACGACCTTATTGGGTTCACCATGTGGCCCGGATATACTAGGGTCCACCGAACTGATTAAACCGCCGTATATTGTACGCTACTCGATAGAATTCGCGAATCGCTTCCGATATGGGGGTCACTGGCGGCCGGAAGTGCCCACTTACGGCAGCCACTGATTGATACAGAAAAGCAATTCTTCTGGTACCGAGTCCGCATATGACTGGATGCTGGTCAGGTAATGCCAGCATTACAGCCATTGATGGCCGCTGTCGCTACAGCCCGGCTAGGCTGTCGGATCTTTCCCCAATTGCGAACTAGAGCGTCGACACTCCTTGTAGGTCGGGAGGGTCGGTAAGACAGGGAAGGGAAAAAAAAAAAAAGTGCTCATAGCGCAGACCCATAGTAATAACTTCCTGGAGCACGGCACCATGCCTCCAATCGCCCCTCCCACAGGGATTCTCTCGGACTTGCCGTGTGCCCATTGGCGTGCTAAACGGCAAAGGTCACCCTTTGGTAAGCAGGGCTCCTATATTGCTGGGAGTTAATCTGGTGCGGAACTGTTCTCCCTAGCATTTGACAACGATCTGGAGTGGGAGATATTTTAGGCCCACGCGCGCCTGATAGCCGGAACCCCAGGCCTATATCGAAGTTCACGACTCGTCCGCGGGCTTCGAATGAGTCTTCTTGGCTATCTTCGAAATATAGATGGATGGTTCCAGTCGATCTCTCCACTCGCTTTGTTTATATCAAGTGGCTCTTTGCCGTATCTTTCTTGCACGCATCGCAGGCTTAGCGCGACCCACGCACTTGGAACGACTATAGTCACATATTCAGAGCCGATTTCAAGTCTTTTTTGAGGAACCACACAATCCTGGCATGCATCGCGCGCAAATTCATGTCCATATTTATTCCCCACGGACATCTTCCCCTCTCTTTCTGAATACCCCGTCGAGTCAGCCCGCCAGGACAGCCGCAGCATGAGCCCCCAGCCGGAATCCTCCCAGCCCAAGAAACGAGAATCTCGTGCTGGCACGCGGAAAGTCACATCCCTTTCTGCAGAACAGCTGGAAAGGAAACGTGCGAATGATCGGGAGGCCCAGAGAACGATCCGTCAGCGGACTAGGGAACATATCGAGCGCTTGGAACATCAAGTGGCTGAGCTGAAAGCCAAGGGGGAACAATACGACGACGTGGTCCGAAGAAATGCCGTCCTGGAGAACGAAATCAGAGCTCTTCGACACCAACTTGCTCTGCTGAGTGGCCGACCTGATTATGGTCAGATGGGTGAGTGAGACGTGGGCAGCGTGCTATGTGCCCCATGCTGTATATCAGCCTTGTTCCACCGCTGACGGGGGTTTTCTCTCCTTTCCCCTTTTTGTGAAACAGCAGAGACAAGCTACAGTGCTACACCATCGGGGCCCATTCTATCTAGTTCCCAATACCCGGACCCTATATCCATGCATCCCGCGTCCAGGGCACCGTCTGCCCTCTCGAGTTCCAGCCAGGTTTCCGTCACCCCGGACTGGGCGCCGTACAGTTCCACCCGGTCCTCCTCCCTGTGCGATTCTTCAGATGCCGATTACTCCAGTCGAGCCGAGCCTTATGTTCTCGAGGGTCAGATCCGTACGCAAAACCCGATACCCCTTGCCACGCCCCAAGTCGAATTCCATGGCACAGTAAGCGCCCATCACCATGAACAGCCTCATTTTCAGCCATACACCCAGCTATACACTCCCTCAGGCTCGAATCAAGGACATGGGGAGGAAATACCGCATCAACAGGCCGTGGGGTTTGTGTCCATCCCGCGGTCGACGTCGGTCCCGACCGTCCCATCGCCGGCGAATCGGGAACCTCGGGCTTATGCTGTTTTACCAAACAATCAGCAATACCAGCAACACACGGGACAGCCGCCGCAAACTTATCATTGGGTGCCGCGACCTTAGTTGCAGCCGTGCCACTCGTCAGGGCGACGAGGCTCTCCACATAGGTGACATACTGGCTGTTCACGCCAGGTGATTGAGGGATAGTCTTTGTGGCGTGTGCACTATGCGCCAGCAATCTGTTCGAATCACGTCAGGATCGAAGGTTTGTTCTTTCTTAGGCGAAGGAGTACGTGGAACTTAGGATCCATATACATGATTTAGGGCTAACTTTGTTTTTAGCACAGACTCTACGCCGACACCCTCCGCCACTTCCTCCACCTTTGCGAATCACCCATCCATAAGGTCGACACCGGGGCTTTTGCGGCTGGCGCGCTAATCCTGTTGGAAGATTGACTAGGCGGACAAGCCTATATGGTCGGACATTTGCTCTGCAACTCTCCGGCAGCTAGGTAGCCTGATGGTCCGTCGGGGTATCAATGGCTTACTTCGAGAAGTAAGCCAGAGCTTGTTAAGTTGTTCTTCGGGACAATTTGGAAATATTCGGTTCCACGTATTCCGGGTCATTTGTATTAAAACGGGGAAGAGGCACAAGAAGAGGGCATTCCACAAAAATATCAAGGAGAGAAGATAAAATTTACGAATGATGATTGAACGGTCATGTCTATGAAGTACAGGGCATATCTCTGAATGTAGCATATTTCTTGCGAGTACTCTTCGTTGTGCACGATGCGGTTGATGTTCACTCAATGGCTAATTATACTTCTCAAGACCACCATCGCCATTCTACGCCTGGTACCTGCTCTGATAAGACGCTAGTGGGCTTCTGCCTGCAACTATCTTAAGCATAAAGCCGCTTCCACGTTTTGTCCCCATAATCTAATCGGTCCTTGGATCTATTGGCCTAGGATATCGGAGTTTGATTCCGGTTGATGCTCGAATCACGGCGCGTTTTCTTCGTCTTAACCAAAGGTGGGTAGGGCAGAGGGAGTTACAGGGGATGGGCTCAGAACAGCGGAGCTTGAAACGCAAAATTCTTCTTTCTATATCTGAAAGCGGCTTATCATACAAATGATCGTCATGCATATTCAGTTACTCCAACCCTCAATTTAGTGCCGAACACCGCTCATGACTATTCGAAAGAACTTTCACCGGGTGTACTGCTTCTGGAGAAGCTTGGCAATGGTTTGCAGCTGGATGTTGCTGGTTCCCTCGTAGATAGCGCCGATCTTGCTGTCGCGGAACATCTTCTCGGCAATGCCCTCACGCACGAAGCCCATGCCACCCATCCACTCGACGGCCGAGCTGGCCACCCGGCCGGCAACCTGGGAGGCGTAGAGCTTGGCCATGGCGGCGTCTTGGACGAAGTCCTGGCCAGCCTCCTTCTTGCGCGCGGCGTTGTAGACAAGGGCGCGAGCGGCAGCAATCTCCGTGTAGGCCTGGGCAATTTGGTGCTGCATGCCTTGGAAGTTTCCAATAAGCTGGCCGAACTGCTTACGGTCGTTCCAGACATAGCTGTCGTCGGTTATCAGCCTGAGCGGTCTTGTGCCGGAGAGATGAAGATTACTTACCTTGCGGCATTCTCCCACGCACCAAGCGCTAGACCGGTCATCTGGGCGGCAATACCGATGCGCCCCTCGTTAAGAAGGTTAATGGCGTACTTGTAGCCCTGGCCCTCCTCGCCCAGAAGGTTGGCCTTGGGGATGACGACGTCGTCGAAGTTGAGCACGCAGGTGCTGCTGGCGCGGATGCCCAGCTTCTTCTCCTTCTTGGCGATAGAGAAGCCGGGGGTGTCCTTCTCGACGATGAAGGCGGTGATACCCTTGTACCCGGCGCTGGGGTTGAGGTTGGCGAAGACAATGAACACGCCGGCCTCCATGGAGTTAGTGATCCACATCTTGGAGCCGTTGATTTTGTAGCCGTCGGCGGTCTTCTCGGCCTTAGTCTGCAGGGCGAAGGCATCGGAGCCGGACGCCGGCTCGGACAAACAGAACGAGCCGACGGTGCCGGTGGCCAGCTGCGGCAGCCACGTGCGCTTGACCTGGGCATCGCCGTACTTCAGGAACGCGGTGTTGACGAGCGTGTTGTGCACGTCGACCAGCACGCTGACGCTGGGGTCGATGCGCGCCAGCTCCTCAATTGCCACGATGCCCGCCGTGAAGTTCATCCCGGCGCCGCCGAACTCCTCCGGGATCTCGATGCCCATCAGACCCTGCTCGAACAGCTGCTCCACGATTGCCGGGTCCATCGTCTCCGCCTCGTCCATCTCGCGCACCTTCGGTCCGATCTGCTCCTGTGCGAACTTGGACACCGTCTCCGCCATGAGCGACTCCGTCTCCGACAGAAGCGTGATCGGCGTCGGGGTCAGGCTGGACAGGTCGACATCCCGCCGGCGGGAGGTGGTCGAGAATGCATGGGTGGTGCTGTAGGGGGGTCAATTGTGGTTCGGAGCATTTGAGAAAGCAGGTACTTGTAGCACGGGTGAGATGAGCGTACCTGGGGGTGAAACGGTGAGGCAGTGACCGTCTGGCGGCCAAGCGGAAGGAGGTCGAAGCAGTGCGGGACAGAGGCCGCAACGCGCGGGTGATAGACGCCATCGCAGGGGTAGTAGTGAAAGATTATTCGGCCAAAAGAAAGATGTAATCCTGAACGGCACGGCAACGGGAAGAAAGAGGGAAGAAAAGTCGGAGAGGGCGAGAATGTGAAGGAGGAGGGCGGCGGGCAGGTGAAATCACGAGGAGAGTCCAGAAGTGCCTCGGTTAACCGCGGCTATCGATGACCTCCGGGGTACAACAACCACCGATAACCACAACTACAAACTATCGATGCCAACCGCAAATTAAGTACTGAAGGATGTTTCTAGCTTGGATCTTCAGATGTTCGGCGAATATTCTTATGACTGATATGTTCTCCGTCCATCAGATGTCAACCACTTTGCTCACATCAAACCCCGCCGCCTGAGCGAAGTAATACCCTCGCTGGTTCGTCATGACCCGTTTGCCCGTCGGCTCATCCACATAATCGCAATTGTAATGAGTATGTCCGAACGCCCACAACCGAACCTGAGCAGCCTGCCAGCAGGAACTACCGGATAAGTCGGTCGCAAACCCCGAAGAGATGGGACTATTGGTGTGGACGGGATTGACCGCCGGGGCGGCGACGGTGGGACTATGGTGCGTGAAGATGGCGATCCTGCGATGAGGTTCTGACGCAGCAATGTCGGTAACTTGTTGATTGAGCCATGCGCAGTCAGCTTCATGGGCCACTCTGTGGTCGTCAACGGTCCAGTCTTGGATGTGATAAAAATCATTGAGCCCGAAGCTCACGCGCTCCTCCTGGTCTTTAAACACGTTGGAGTACAGTGTACAGCCGAGGAGCGTCACATCCGGACTCAAGTCAAAGCGCGTCCGATCAAGGAAGACGAATTGTCCCAGCCCTGGATCCTGCGAACATGTCCTGCTGATGCTGCCCGAGAAGTCCGCGACCTGCTTTCTCACGCTGGACCAGTTGGAATAGAATGGTTCATGATTTCCGAGGAGCAGGAAAACGATCTGGAAGTTGCGGAGCTGGGCTGTGATGAACGGGAAGAAACCCTCGTCTTGGACTACACCGATGTCACCTAGAAGCGCCAAGTACGGCGCTTGGGGCTCTATCACGAATACATCATAGGCTGTCGGGTTTTCTAGATGGAGGTCCGACACAATCTGGATACGCGCCATGTCAGACACCGGCGAAACGCCGCGCGGGAGCGAGGACGATTGAGTCGACAAAAATAACTGCACTGACGTACACCGCTGGTATTTCCCAATGGTTCTATCTGAGGCAAGAACCTTCCAGAGAGCGTTGGGAACGGAAATGTCCGATCGCCTCAATCTGGTGTTTGGACAAGACAAGAAATTCACATGAAAGAGGGACAATCAAAGACTGCTATCAAGCCACTTGTTTGGTTGGGAACAGTGGCGGTGCAGAATGATGAATGTGGCGCAGTCATCCCGCCAACCAAAAAGACCAAAGCAGGGGCGCGTAAGTGGCGCTTACCTAAGGCTGACACGTTTACTATGATTCGCAGCTGGACCCTGGACCCTCCCAAGACCACCAAGACTTTTGCCTGCAAGATAGTATATAATTAGGACTCTCCCACATCCCCCACGGAGGCCAGCGTTCGTCTTTCAACTTGTTTCAACTCTCCGGTTCTTTTTGGGACTCCTGTCTGCTTCAATCACCACCTCCCCTGTTGTTCCCACACACATACGCTACGACACCTAGGCGCCGGACCTCTACTATTTTACACCCCGCATCTTCCATCCATCCCCGCTTTGGGTGATAAACTACGTCAGGGCTCTCCTCTCCTTTTTTCGCTCCCCAACCACACGCCGATCATGACTTCTACCGTTCACGACCCTCGACTTCTTTTCAGCGTCAACAACATTCTTGCTTTCCATATTCAGAATGGCGAAGAATCCGAACTCACCCCGTCGGGACCCCAGACGCTGTCTCTGTTAATGGTGCCGACAACCACATCTGCCGCTCAAGGGCAAGATGCACCGCCCGAAGAAGATTTCTACCTTCATATGCACCTCCCACCAGAGCTGGACATGGCGCTGCCTGCGACCACCCAGATCTACCACCAACCCCCCAACAGCTACTTGATCCCTCGTTGGGATCTCGGACCCGACGCCGGCGCTTTCATTCGTATCCAGTTCCCATCCATCGGAAGCGGACCTGATAAAGTCACTCAGGAGGATGTCGACACATTTGAGACCATTCTTGCCCAATGCACCGCATTCCTCGAACGTGCCTCTGTGCCGAAGGACCATGCGGCCTACAACCCGGCCGACTTTGCTCCTGGGGAGGCATATGTTTCTTCCCCCGCCGCTGATAGGAAAGACCCACATGGGCGCATTGTGCTGGTCGATGAGGAGAATGGAAGCGTGGTTGGTGAGATGGAAGGATATGATGTGGTTGAAGGACCCGGCGTCAAACCGGGCTCGAAAAGTACGCTGCATTGGACCCCTCTCACAACGCGTACCGTGACTGACCGTTTTGTCAATGTAGGGCCTGTGGAAGTTCAACTCCCTGCAGAAGGTGAGGGCAACCAAGTCAATGTCAACAATGTGTCAGAGGAGTACCTGGCGACAGCCCGACATCCCGCATACAAGGACTCTACTCTCGTCCAGACATCTGCTACTGCTTCACGATTGATTGTCACCGGGTCAACGTACCTGGCCAATGCAATGGCCAGTGGAGCTGACAGCTTCACACGGAAGACAAAGCCCAACCCGAAGCCTATGACCTTCTCTGAGACCACTCATGCCAGAGTCCGGAAGGTTGGAACTTTCTCCCAGGGTGCAGCCGGTGTCTCCTCTCGCACGGTAGGACAGGTGGGGAAATATGCGCAGAACTTCGGGGCCTCCTTGTCTCGCCGCAAAGATAACAACAGCAAGGGCAAGAGCCTTGACCAGGGGCACAGACCCGGCATGCTGAACAAGTCTATGATCGCCTTCTCAACACTGGCCGATGGTATCGAGCAGGGCGCTCGAAACGTGCTGACTTCCGGATCTGCGGCGGCCAGTACTATGATCGGACATCGTTATGGTGCGGAGGCGGGGGCGGTGGCTACCGATCTGACGGGAGGGGTCAAGAACGTCGGGTTGGTGTACATCGACGCCTCTGGAGTCAGCCGCAAAGCGCTTCTGAAGTCTGTGGCGAAAGGCATGGTTGTGGGACGGATGAAGGATGGGAAGCAGGTCGTTGTTGGTGGTGGTCCGGCACCCTCCACGCCACCTGGACCTGCCGGCCTGAACCAGCCTGGGTATTCGTCTGGCGGGAACCCTCAGATGCGACGCCCATCTCCAACCCCAACGCCCCCTCCCGCATATGGTGCTCCTAACACCATGTCTCTGGGGGGTACCTCCATGTCAGGGGGCAAGCGATGATCGAGCGTGGTGATCTCTTCGCGTGGAGCCGGTACGACTCTCTCTGCTTGGTTTTTGGTATCAGCGACGTTTGCTAGGATGCTCTGTATTCGCCTCAACTCTGGTTCATTGGGTTGAAATCGGCTGGTACGACGGATGTCCCGGTTATTGGCGTGTTTGCTTGAGCTTGTTGAGGGTTTTCGGTAGGAAGTTTCTATAGACATGGAATGTGAATAGTGATGAGTGATATGAATGAGATGCAGCTGTCTCGGTTCTCTGAATGCACTCAATAGTCCAGGCGGTTTGTTGTCAGACGCACCAGCCATGGCGCTGCCATGGAAACGGCGGGTTACAGGGATCGGAGAGACGAGATTGCCTTCAAACGCGCCAGGATGACCCTTGTTGCGGGCCGACCGATGAATAATGGCCTTGGCTGCAATCTACTATACGAGAACAAGGTAATATGCGGGTTACCTATAGAGTACTCCGTACACAAATTGGCAATAAGTCCCGAGAGCTGGAGGGCTGCGGAATCTCGATCCAGAGCTAATTGAGAATTTTCGGATTCGCCTTCCGGATTGCTGGTTGAGTATAAACTTTCATTCGTCCGGTGGCAGCTTACGCCCAGCCCGCTGGTGCCGCGCCTACGCAGCAATATATTACTCGGATGACGGAGGGTGGAAGGGAAGGGATGAGCTCCCGAGTTCCGCCGCCAGAACTGAGAAGGCGACCACTGCGAGGGGTTGGGAGGAATTGGATGGTTACTTGGGATACGGTTGTTCATCGAGAGATAGTACCTAGGGACTCCGTAGATTCGATAGCCTCTGCGGGGGAGAAATCGATGGAGAAATCCTCACATGCATACCTACCACATTGCCGCGTTTGCGATCGGGGCGGGGATGCAAGGTATCTATCTTATCCGTCTTTTGAGAGGTGGCGGATAGAGTTTAGGAGAATTTGATGGGTAAATAGTGGGATTGATAGTTGATCGTCAGTGCATGGCGTGTATGGAGGGTCTGTCTATCTACATAACTATAACTATGTATCCGTCTTCCGGAGGATGCCTCGCTTAGATGACGACGTGGATGGAAAATAGTGTTCCGGGATTTTGATTGCTTTTTGTGCTCCGTACTCTGTAGGATAATTATAGCTATGGAGCTATGATGCATTGGGCATTGCTTTTTCCCATGGTCCCTAGCCATCTTGTCTTCTGACAGGGCGGCTAACTTGGTCCTGTCTGGGGAAGAGAGTGGAATACGGCGCTCCAGATAAGATCTGGAGAAAGACTATCAATGTGATGCATAAACGCAGGGAGCGATCGATTAAGCTTCAGTGTATCCTGAGGCACGCTGATTAGTTAGTTAGCTCCGCTGGTCGGTTGCACCGCCAGAGAACCCTGGGCCCGCGGGTATCCCTACCGTGGTTGGGGTGGAGATGGAGTCAGGAAAGGGGCAAAAGGGGCAAGAAGGGATTGATTTCTTTTCCCAGGGGGGTTGTTTTGTTTGGTTTCTTTCTTTTTGTCGGGGAATCGGACAGGGAATGTAGTTTGCTGCTCCCGATGCTCCCATCACGGACCTCGTAAGCACCGGATGCACCTGATAGACGCTTAACGAAAAGAACGGTATATGGACCGGCTGGGGGGCCAATGGCAACCCGGCGAACGGCCGCACTGGCGGTTCTTGATGACGATCGCTGGTCCCCAGAGGGCCTTGGATGAAACAGTGGTTAGGTTGGACCCCCTGATGACTTGGCAGTTGGCCAACAGTTGTCAGTGTTATGATGATTACTATTATTGACGCGATCCGTAGTGCTCCGTACTGTAGGTATCTTCTGATCAGATGTGTTATGTTGAAAGAAACTGGTGATAGCATATTCGAGTATGATGAAAGAATAGCTATCCATGGTAGAACCCTTGATAATCATCATCATCACCAACGGACGGTCCTCCGTTGTAATTGAAGCTATTTTTAATGTCGGGTCCAGCGACCCGCTCTACGATGCCTAAATCACCATCACCGCCATCATCATCATCATCAACAACATCATCATCGGAAGCCAACGAGGACACTACTCGGAGTATTACCTGGATTGTTTCTTCCTCGCTTGCGTTGTCCCATTCATCCCCCTTCCGTCCATTTCATTGATTTCTCTCGTCAACGAGTTTCTATTTTCCCATTGAAAGCTCCCTCGCGCCAACCCCCTGTCCGATCCAGCTGGTTGAACCTCCACCGCCGCCCCTCTTACGCCGCCCAAACTAAACTAAACTAAACTACTCCTACACTACTACTACTCCGTACTATCCATTCTTCCGCCAGACAGTTCCATCCGTCTCTCCTTCATTTTCCTTTCTTTTCTAATTTCCTACCTCGTCAGTCGATCATGCTCTTCTGCGCGACCCTCATTCTGCCTCGTTTCTTCGTTCCGCGGTGTTGAGCCATTAAAGCGCTGGGGCCCTCCCGACGTGGTCGTCGCGACAATCGCTCTTGGGGACCTTAGCTCAGGAGGTCAGAAGTGGGTAACCTCGCGTCTCCCGAGGCTGCTGCTTCTTCTTCCCGCCCGCGTCTGCTCGACGTCTTCACATTCCTTCCACCCCGTCATCCCCTCCCCATTACCTATCTGGGTAGCGGATATTCCTCTGGTGAGGTCAACGACGAGAGTCAATCCGTTCTGCAGTGCAGAGGTTTTCCATTTGGTTTGGGTGTCTTTCTTTCCCTCCTACGATAATTCGAAAAAAAAAAATCCAAAAAAAAGGAGAGTCCTCGTCAACACGGGAAAACAACAAGCGACCGAGACTCCTCCCCGCGCATTTCTTCTCCTTTGATCTTCTTCTTTCTTTCGTTGGATGACTTTTATCATTTCTTCCTTCTTATTACTTCGTCGACCTGGTGTCTTGGATAGCCTCACGAAGTCCTGGATTGTTGGATTCCGCTGGTTGCAGAAGTGGTTCGTGGTCAGTCGTCCTTAACAAACGCTGTCGCCCCTTATCGGCGGTCCCCAAATGCATACCCCGACCAGCGAAAAACTAATGTGAGACGAGTGCTTAGCTGGCCGACCCAACAACCGACAACAGCCGATCGATCGTTTGCTGTCACGAACAAAATTTATCAAAAAAAGAACAATTCTGACAACATCGCCGACTGCGGGATCACATTCGTCCCCGGAAGACTTTTGACAAGTCGGAACTTCGCTTCGTCGATCGCAATTGGTCAACCGGATCGAATTGATCTGATCGCCCATACCAATCTCTCTCTTCCACGCGTGCCTGGCGAGGCTGACGGGTCTCGGACCGTAACGCGGCAGTACTGTTTCCCTCGCAGTCCTGCCGCGCCTTCCTCGATCGAAGGTATGTCATCCGCGGCCCTGCAAACGATTTCCTCTGTCTGCACCTTCCCATCCCGCTGTTTTCTCTCCTTCTTCCTTCCGCCCGTCAACTTCCTTCGCGCATCAGTCATGAGAAGTCGCATCCCGCCCGATCTTACCTCAGACCCATCCCGCGGTCGCCACGGTTTCCTGACTCACACTTGACTACTAGCGACAGTGCGCTAAATTCTCCGCAGCAGCAGTCCTTTTCTGTCCCGGTCCCGACAGCTTCTTCGGCTATGAGCGACTCCCAATCGCAGCCCCTGCCGCGCACCACCCATGCATCTCCGGCTCTGACCTCCGCGGCGCCTTCGCCGGCCCAGCAGAATAACCGCTCGCCCATATACCCCGATCTCCTGGGAACGCCGCCGATCCCTCCGCCGCGAACATCCTCGAACCACCGAAGCCAACGCAGCTCCCCGGAGAAGGCATCCCGCAATGGAAAGAATCGAAGTGACCGCGAGAGGAAAGGGGACGAATCAAGGTCGCGACGGCACGCTGGCAAACCATCGGAGGATCCGTCCAGGAGCGCAGGAGACACTCGAACCGAAGTAGCCTCCGCTTCCGCCAACCATCCGGGAGAAGTTATGGAGGTGACGCCCGGCTCCGGGACGTTGGTCAAGGAGTCGAGCACGGTGATCAACCAGGTGCTGGTGAGTGATCCGTCGGTGGACATCGAACGCGAACAAGTGCGACAAACCGGTGCCTCCCCTTCGACAGACAGCACTCCTACTCCGGGATTGGGTTTGGTGGGCAGCGAGGGCGTAGATGATGGAGGTCGCGGTGGGCTACGAAGTCGGCATGACTACACCGAGAATACCGTCAAGCGCAAGGAGACGACCTTTGGGCAGTATATTCTGGGTCAAACTGTAGGCGAGGGTGAGTTTGGTAAGGTCAAGCTGGGCTGGAAGAGGGATGGCACAATTGAAGTCGCCATCAAGCTGATTCGGAGGGAGACGCTCGGGTCTAACCCGAGTCGACTGCCCAAGATCTACCGCGAGATCTCGATCCTGCGCGACCTGTCCCATCCCAACATTGTGCGGCTTCACGAGATGGTGGAGACGGATCGCCACATTGGTATCATCATGGAGTACGCATCCGGAGGCGAGCTCTTCGATTACATTTTGAACAATCGGTACCTCAAAGACAACAGTGCCCGGCGACTGTTCGCGCAGCTGGTCTCTGGGGTGGGCTATCTCCACAAGAAGGGTATTGTGCACCGTGACCTCAAGCTGGAAAACTTGCTGTTGGACCGCAATCGCAACATCATTATCACCGACTTCGGATTCGCCAATACGTTCGACCCTACTGATGAGCTGAGTGAGGAGATCGAGTACAATCTCACGAACAAGGATTATGTCAAACGAATGCGACTGGACAAGCAGAATTCGAAGGGAATGCGGCGCGGGGATCTGATGCAGACCAGCTGCGGAAGTCCCTGCTATGCTGCACCAGAACTGGTCGTGAGTGACTCGCTGTACACCGGGCGTAAGGTCGACGTATGGAGTTGTGGAGTTATCCTGGTGAGTATCGGACTCCTTGGTACCCTTCCTTCTCCCCTTCCACCTGCTTACCCAACTAGTATGCAATGCTCGCGGGCTATCTCCCTTTCGACGATGATCCTGCAAACCCGGACGGCGATAACATCAACCTCCTCTACAAGTACATTGTCACGACGCCTCTTACTTTCCCCGAATATGTCACTCCTCATGCTCGCGACCTCCTGAGACGGATATTGGTGCCAGATCCTCGCAAACGAGCAGATCTCTTCGAGGTCGCTCGACACAGTTGGCTCAGCGAGTACTCCCATGTGGTTTCACACATCACCAGCAGCACGACGAAGGTGGCTGATATCGTTGCTGCGACCATCCCGAGTGGTACGAATGCCCAAGACAGCTCCCAGGAGCGTACTGATCCCCCGAAATTGGCAGAGCGTCAAAAGGAAGCCCCGTCCCTTGCACGGAGTGCGTCGGTCAGGGAACCTCCAAAGACATACCAAAGTACAATTCCTTCCGTGGGTGGGCTTGTCCATCACTCAGGGGATGTTTCCCAAGACCAATCGCCCAAATCTTCTCGGGATACAAAGCGCCGTACTGTCCAGGTCGAATATGTGGCCCCCCAGTCGCAGACCACTCGGGGTGACTCGTCTATTATGGATTCCACCCGCGCAGCCCCGTCAGGCCCATCGGAATCGGCACCACTCACAAGGTCGGGCACCAGGGATGCGGGGAGCAGCCAGCCGATTCAGGCCACATCGCAAGACGCACCAAGCGCGCCACACACAGAGCGTACCTCTACCAAAACAGCCCCCACCCCAACAGCAGGGCACTTGCCTCGCTCCACTTCAGATAATGCTGCTCTCACCGGCTCGACAACAATGCCTCCAACTAGTAACGTGCGACCCACCACCGGCGCCTCCATGGCTTCATTTAACACCGGGCGTTTGCCGTCGCGAGGCTCCTATGGTCAGCCTGTGGCACCGACCGTTGCTGCAACCAATGCTCAGGGCCGCTTAGCCCAGCCGAAGAGCAAGCAGTATGTGATTTCGCCTCCAATGACTCAGGATCCCTCTCAGTCTTCGATTGGTCGCCCGAGTACGCAGAACCTACCTTCCAAGTTCAATACGACACCCCGGCAGGAACCGCCAAAGGGCCACAAGAGGTCCAACACGGTGTCCAGTCTGGGAGAGAAGCTATTTGGACGATCTGGTTCCATCTTTGGAGGACGTGGTGGTCAGGGCAATGCAGCTCGTCAAAGAACTGGCAAGCGTTATCCTCCTACGAGTATGAAGGACCCTTATGGTGGCGATGACACGAGGATGTCCATGGATTCCAGACGTTCGATGCAGTATGGATACAACCGAAAGATGAGCGAGACCGGCACCGAGGGTCGGCCCCGCCGGTTCTCTCTCTTGCCCGCATCATTCTCGTTGAAGGGCCTCGCCTCTTCTAGCAGATCCCAGACGCCCGACGAAGAACTGCAAGGAGATCGCTCGACAGACAACCGAGTGCAGCAAAGACCGTCTACGGGAGCAATCCGACCTCCCGCGCGCTCTACCAGCTACGGGACGCAAGATACGATGGCAATGGCGCCCGAAGGTGCTCCGTCAGACGAGGTGCACCTGGCCGACGAACCGGACAACTACCAGGCTCGTATCGACCAGCAGTTTGCGGTATTACATGGAACCCAACAGGATGCTTATCAGCCGACGTCCTATAACAGTGTCTCTGCCGAACATGTGTATGCGAACGATAACGACAACTACTACCGTCACCAGTACGCCAACAACTCGACTCCCAACTACTACGATGAGTACAACCGTCCGTATGATAGCGCTCCGCGGCAGTCTGTGCAAGCCGGCCGATCAGGAAGAGGAACCGGTGTGCTTCAGAAGAATCACCGAAAGTTTGCCGATGCGTATGAATACGACGCACAACACTCGGGCAGTTCCGGTGCGGCACGAAAGGTGATGGACTTTTTCCGACGCCGAGCCAAGTCCCGGGCGGGAGATGATCGGTAGAAGCGATTCCTGTCCACTAATAATCTTCTTCTATACTCCTTTCTATGTTCTTCGATCGATGCGCCTGGGCGTTATCACCTTGATACGGAACTCCCCGGGAGGCCGAAGAGCAGGACCGTTTGGGTCGATGAGTCGACTCGCCTTTTGTTTTCGGGAATTGAATATATGGAAGGCCCGACAGACCTCGAAGTCATTCGGGTTGATCGAGGCGCGGCAATGTCCTCAGCAGCTCTGGACATCCTGGAAGCAGATGGAGGGACCAAACCCCGTGTCGATGTGTAGCGTTTATTCTGAAGGAGGATCCGAGCCCATTAGGCTCTATGTTTTTCGCATCTTGAGAGAGAGCAGAGAGGTCATTTGGATACCCCGTGATACCCAGCAGCTTTCGTCCCCTTCCGTTGCTTGCAGCTTTCGGTTTGTCCTCATTAGCACCCGCAACCCTTTCTCGCATACATATTCATATCGAGCCTTTTTTGTTTCTTTTATATTTTCCTTTGTTGAGAATAAATTTTATTTCCTTTGTTCCCATTTCGTTCGATTCCTGCCACTTGCCACTATACCTCGAATTGTAAATTGATTATTGTTGCTTGGCGATGTTGTATTGAGCCAGGGGTGGACTGACCGGGCCTCTTGATAGTAATTGTTTATTACCTATGTATGACCATTGGATGGGGTATCTTGTCTTGTGTATGATTCTCGTCTTGTTGGGGGAGGGTGCGTTGAGAGTAGTCTTGATTCTTCCATCGTCTAGAGTTCATTGACTAGGTGATATCACTCCTACCTCCTTATTCTACTCCGGAGTAGCTGCTCTCATGGTGGGGTGCACCCACATTCTTCGTCCTGTAAGCCAAGCCTGGCTGGTGATCACCGTAGCGAGCCAAGAGGCAATGCAGGAGGCGGAGTCGACGGGGCGTAACCATCGAGGGAAGGGATACCACCGGCGGCTGGTCAGCTGCAGAATCCCTCCCGGACCGGGGGGGAGCGGATTGGGCTGGTGCTTGTGTTCGCTGGTGCAAGCCAAGATTCCGGCCAAGACCATGATCGGCCAGGGATGGTCTTGGTATTGGTTTCACCCTCTTCATACCTGTAGTTATCTAGGCAGGTAGATTCTTGCAGATAGATGGTTATGCAAGACTGCAGAGTTGAGAATACAATCCTAGTATGTATACCCAGAGCTGTGGACAACCTGTTTGAGCCCCGGTGTCTGTGAGATCTTAATCCGAATCAGATACGAGATAAGCAATGACAGCTCCCGTGGATCGGGATCCCCACATCGACCCCAACCCCGACGAGCTAAAAGGCAAATGGTCTGCGACACCATTACGGTCTATTGATCCCACCACATGACCTCTTCCTCATCGGCGGTCTTCCGCTTGGCCAAGATCTCAGGGGCTGGTTACACGGCGTATCTCTCTTCCAGCCGGCGGGATGGGGATCCGTCCGTCAGTCCGCGGGGTTCTTATCAGTGGGGGGGAGTACGGTGTACGGAGTAAGGGGGAAAGGGAAGGGATCTACCTCATCTACGTAGGTGTCTTGATGTAGTATTCCGTATGGGGCTATAGATATGAGGTGGAGGTGTGATATTGAAACCGTCGTCGGTGTAAAGGAAGGAGGTAGTGCTCGCTCGATGTACTCCGTACCTTGTGTATCGGAGTACCTAAGTAGGTAGGTAGGTAGGTAGTAAACTCAAATCTTGCGGGTGGCTATTCCGGATGGAGTCCATTCCCCTTCTTGCCTCGGTGTGTGCGGTTCTAGAATCCCTTCTCCCTTTTCTCACCGGCAGGGTGGAACCCAGGGTGTGGTTTTGTCAGCGTGCGGGCCAACGTGGAGGCATGCTGGCATGCTACAGGCTACGGAGAAGGGGAGATAGTTAGGCTACAGGACCAGCAGAAGGTTGGTCGATCATCCATTATCATTTGCTTGGCGGTGTAACGCCAGCTGCAGTTTATCAGATTGCACACGGCTTGGCAGGTATCAACACAGCACCCCCGGGTCCTCTGTCCTCTCGCCCCTCGCCTTGCCAATTGGTTTTCTCATCGGGCAGCAACGGCTGTCAGCAGGATGAGGTGGTATCATTCGTGCCGTGGTGTGGTTCCCACGTTCAAACAGAGCAGAATCAAATCAAAGCATGAAGAGAAAGGAAATCATCAATTGAAAGACAACAAGAATTGCATGCTCGTCTGGAGGCAAGTGGATGTGTCCCGCGCGATCCACCGTAGATTGGCTGGCCAGACGATTTAGTTCTTTCCATTGGTGTCGTGGCCAAGGTAGAGGAAGCCGCTTGGTAGAGACGACACGACGTCGCCGGTCTGGGAAACGGCTGTGGCGGTGGAGGACTGGCTGTCGGAGCGTTCGCGCACGGCGGCGAGGGCCTGCTCCGATGTGAGTTCGGGTTGCGAGGTGATGTCGATGGAGCGAGGGCCCGACTGGATGGGCGCCAGGACGAGGAACTTGTGGGTGGGAGTGTACGAGTACATGATGGCTGTGGGAGAGGTTGTTTATGTGGTAAGAGATGAGTGAGATGTTGGTAAGGTGGCGCGGTCTGGATAAGCTCTTTGCGTCAGGAGGAGTAAGATGCTGGACAAGAGTACCCCTGGGGGGATTCAACGACCTATTTATACATGTGAAGGAGGTCACTCTCGAAGAGGGGTTGTCAGGTTTCATGGATGGATTCCGAAAGGACGTCGATCCAGAGCTAGACCCCGATGCGAGAGATAGTGGAGAGACGAGAGGCGTCCAATGTGCGTGGTGCAAACACGCCGGACTTCACATGTTGGAGCATTCTCACGCATCCAGGGCGGGGCGGAGGACGTCATTATTGGAAGATCGCCCCCCGTTCCTATGCATATCGTGAGGAACTTCGTAATACCCGAGCCCGCCGCGGAGAGACTGATACGGAGCAAAATCTGGATGATAGATCACTTCTGCATGGGGGAAGCTCGCCAAGCCAGCAAGCCTCATCCCTTCCCCCGATATGGTTGCGCGAAGAAAAAGGACTGAGAGTAACAATAATGCATCCCCATAGCACCAAGCACCATCGCACAAGCAAATTGGGCCGACGCGACCCGAAATTGAGCCTCGGGTGATCCGCACCCAGGAGCTTCCAGAGCCAAGCAACGTGCCGGGACCATGCACTCGTCCCATCTCGTCCCATCCACGGGTGTTCATCTTCGGGTAACCAAGGGATGTTGGATGATGTACCTGGCCGGTGGAAGAGTCTAGGCGCGCATTCTTTCCTCGACATTGGCCTTCCGCATGACCCCGTCCGGTATGCTGGTTCGCTTGGCAGCGTTATCTGTGCATGTTGTCGGTGTCCTCTGGAACCTGGGGGTTTCGTTTTCTAGAACACGCTCGCATCCTCGGGCGCATGATGGAACCGGAGGACGTAAGGGGTTCTGGCACTGTTCTGGTCGAGGGGTCTTAGCATGATGCGGAGAGAAGACGGACGGACGGGTTGCAAGCCAGTGTGACGTTTGTCGTATCGGAAGGAAGGATGCGCCTTCGGGATGTGAGACTGAACGTGTCTGGGACTCTGGGTAGAGACGGGTGGACTCGGACATATGGTCTGGCGATGGTATTGAGTGGAGTTGCGTGCACTGGTAGTCTGGCACCACCATGACCGTTGACGAGTCGATCCATCGTCTCTTCTTCTCTCTCTACCCGACAAGCACAAACCAAATCAACGCGAACAGTCGCGAAAGTTGCAGCGTTTGTGCAGAACACCCCGGTCACGTGTCCATCCACGTCGGACAACCAACAACATCAACAACCATCGTCATCTTCGCCCTCATCTTTTTCCCTTTCCCTTTTTAACTCCCCATGGGGACGCCTGGGCTGCTGCCTTATCCTGACAGCCCTCGCTTGGGCCCACGAGCCAACGGCGGCTATGTTGAGCACTCACCTTCCACCTTCAGCCTATGATTTTCGGCCTGTTTAGCGCCCCCAGTCTTCGCGCCGTATCGCTCGGCCCTTCATCCTGTGGCGCGAATGCTCAGCGGCTGAAGAGGCGACGAGGAGCCGTCGTAGCCACAGAATTTCCGCCCTCTCCTCTTTCGAGAGCGCCGCAAGTGCTGTGCCCCCGTCCGGTCGGGTGCCTGGCCCGTCAGTTGAGATCCTGTCGCCCCCCGCCCGCCAACAGGGCGGATTGTGAAGAGGGCCGGAAAATTGATAGGTAAAGATTGTTCCTCTCTGCTCAGAAATAAGTTAGCCGACTGTCAGGGCTCAATGTGGCCGGCATCACACCAACATTGCCGGCAGATAGGGCTCTCACAAGGCATTATGGACGGACCCATTGCGGCACATGATGAGTACGTCCTGCAGGCTCACATATCGTCAACTACAGAGATATGTCACTGCAGAAGGTGGCACTTTGCGAAATGAAAACTTTGAAAAAGAAAAGAACAAAAAAAATATTTGAGGATTCGACATTGAACTCGCAGCCATCACCAACTGCGTCAAGGTCTCTGGCCCCACACATTGGCCGGCCCTGCGAGACACACAAGTCGACTGTGTGATGGCTGTGCGGTTCCTGCATATTGTTCCTCTCAACTCGCAGACGTGAAGTCGCCGCCGGGGTTGATTTATGCCTTGGCTGATTTCTGGGCATGTTGCGCATGTCGGACAACGATGTGCTCGGGAGCTGTGGCGCCGCAGTTTTTCCAGTCGACGCCGCGACCCTTGCTCTAGAAGCTGCGCGGAATACGAATGAAAGGGAAAGGAAAAAGCCTTGTGTCGGGTCCGGGCTTTGATATCGGCTCTATCGTTCAATCAAATGGGGTTGCTCTGTAACACCCTTGTTGTTCCCTCCCCAACGACGCCCTTGGGGTGCGCATGATAGAGCGAAGACTGTGACTGAGGTTAGGAGTCATCGATAATGGGAAGACCAGAAAAATTTCTCTCCCGGCTGCGTGACATTTGTCAGATGCGCAGTTTGGAGCAGTGAATGGCTGCGGCATGACCCCCGAACGGCGTGAACACTGTTGGCCGGCTACGGGAAGTGATTTGATAACGCGGAAATCTCTGCCCTTTCACCTGCATATGTGACCGGAGGCTCCTGCGATCATGCCGCAGTGTCTTCAAGATGATGTCAAGGCCTCCCGTGATGCATCTGCGGAAGTCTAATGATCTCACGAACCTCGGGGGCCGGGGCCAGAGGTATCCAACCGATGACATTGCTCATCACTCTGTCCGACTTACTGCACGGGGTAAAGATATCACCATCTAGACTCTCGTCGGACGGACGCCACTGGACAGATGATCCACAAGACCGCCAATCCTGTCTTGGGCAGGAGAGGTCTAACGCAGTAGTTCTTGAGATGCGATGGCCTCCGTTTTCCTACTCGGGTAATGTGTTGGAATGTCTCGCCTTCGCCCGCAATGTAGACCCGGTCACCAACTCCGTCGGCGCAATTCGATATGCCCGGTTTCTGTGACGGAGGGCCTGAGAGAAGGCGCAAAAAAGAGATGACTGCATGCGTAGCTAGTTCGGCCCTCTTCCCTGACTAACCTTCTTCTTCCTTCCCGTTGTTGTCTCCTGTCAACCTTCCTTTTATTTTCCCCGATAATAATTTTCGTGCCCACTCAGCCCCTGTCTGGCTGACCATCTGTTATTTTTTCTGTAGACAGTGTTGTTGCGGCACAGTCATCCGCAGCGACAGTTTCTATCATCTTGGATGTTACGCAGGGCCGCGATTGACTTATTTAAAGCCCTCTTTGAACCCGTTGAACCTCCTCAGAACATCGCCAGCAACATCGCGACCATCTTCTCTCTGGATCTCTCTCCAGCTTCGCAAAACAGCTCATCTTTCTGAAGTTCTTTGACTTTGCGCCTTTGAGGCAATCCTTCGTCTATTCCGCACCGGTTACCCGTGTTCTTTGTCCATCTGTCTTTGCGGGGCACTAGATTGCCATCATGTGTTCGCAGTACTTCTACAAATACGACTGCGGGTGCACCCACCCGGAGGGCGACGTTGTCTACTGTGCCAAACGAGGTACTTCCTGCACCGGGGTGCGACAGCAGGTCCGCCGGCGAGAGGGATACAACTGCCCGTTGCATGGTGGTTAGATATGGACTCGAGGTTAGTGAGTGGACACATGTCTGGGCGCGAGCTCCACCGCGGATGAAAGAGTCGGGGACTCGAAAGGACAAAGCAATTTCTTACTGACAATTTTAGTCCCCAGCACCAGCCGATCTGATCCGGTTGAGCACTACCTTCTTGTTGTTTTGTTCTTTCGCCGTGGTGCTCGCGTGCGGAGATGGATCGACTTCGACGTTGAGCGTTCTGTTGGGGGTTTCCGCTTGTTCGCACTGAATCTCGGCCGCCTCGATCCTTCCGAGCTGATCTAGTCGAGGTGGTCAGGGCTTCTGCGGGACCTCCAACAGGAACATCTATACTTGGTTTTTTATGTCTTCGCGTCCCCCGTCTCTCCTTATTGCATATGCATTGTCTTGCTGTGTGGTTTTTTGTGTGTGTTCTTTACTGTACTTGTCTCATGAACCTTCCATCGAACCAAGGGACTGAAAGGTGGTTTCGGTAGTCCTTCCAGCTCTTGGTTCCTGCATCCGTCTGTCAAGCGTTTTGTGAGATTAGTTAGCTGCTTCGTTATCTTCATTCCTTGAATCTTTGAACAATTGTCCTCTCAGTGCACCGCTCGCTCAATTCTCATGTAGTTCGTACCCCGTAGTCCCAGGATCCATCCGACGTTGTTTCGGCGTTTCCCGAGTCCCGGGCGTCGGATAGGCAGAACCCTGTCAGTCGGTTGCACAGTATATAAAACTACTTGCTATATACTGACTCACATCGACGTGTGCTTGCGGAAGTCGCTTACCCACGCCGCAACGGGCGCAGACCAAGAATTTTCTGCCTCGAGTCCCTGAACGGACGTGATTCGCACTGTCCATCGGGGGGTGCATTAGCACCGCAGACGCCTCTCGTCACCTGATCGGGATCATCGAATCAGACAAAGAAGTCCCGCGGCACAGACGCAGATGCCAACGAACACGGGGGAAGTCTCAAGAGCGAATGATGGACGCTGTTGGAACAAGTTGTTGGTTCCTGTGGCGTGTGCGAGGAGAATCTTCGGGGCTTCACTAGTTCAAGTGCCGAAGATAAGCCCTCAGCGAATGAATCAAGTACTATATGAACATACCAGAGAGAAGGGTTCCCTGCGGTGGGAGATTGTATCCAGATATTTGACGCAAGGCTGATCATGGCGCAAACGCAGGGTGCCTTGCTGGGGTTGAAGATAGGGGGATATTGACATACATTCTAGGTGCCTAGTAGGTGTGGACTACTGCCGTTGCCACTGTTCTTCCCACATTCACCTCCTTTCTCTTATTTTCTTCCATCTTTGCCATATTTTGACCCCCTTCATCGCTTTTATTTATCTCTTTCATCGTCTAATATACTTTCTCCGTGTCATCTCTGCGATATCAGGAACATGACTCCACGTCCTACTTGCAATGAGCGCACTATCTCAATGCGCTGTGGTGTCTTCATTGTCTGTTTCCAGGTAAACAGTGTGCAAGCCGATAAGCGCTCCTACTGGAATCGTAGCAAGCGTCGCACAGGAAAATCTGGGCAGACAGCTGCTCAGGACATACCATCGCTCCCAGATCATGTGTAGTGTGTGATATCTCGCTAATTCTATTGTTTGAACTCGCATGTTTCGCAAAAACGACGCTTTATGTATCTCATCCTTTTATGATCTACATGGTTTAATCACCATACTGTCTTCCACAGTGATTCGAAGAAAGCTGCCCAAGAGGAGCGTTGGCTGTCTGGAAAGCCATCTCAGTAAACACAAATGCTAGCTTGGAAGAGGACTTGCGGCAATCTTCTCGTTATTAAAGGGAACTGTCTCTAATATCTTGGTTCTAGGGTCAGATTCTGGTCCAACAGACCGTTTGCTACATTGATATACCTGTCGCATAACGGAAAGGTCCCTATATGCGTGCTTTGAACCCGACGAACTGTACCCTGAAATGGCGCCGCAAGATACATACAAGCACAATCCAGGCCTAGGGATTGTTCTATAGGTGCTTGGATGCATATGCTGGAGACAAGGACACTGCAGCGGGTGGAATTGGAGGAGATACAGGAACAGGGCTTGTGACAGTCGGCTGGCTCCGCGACCCGGTCTGACAACGAGAGAAATCACTCCTAAGTAGGTAACTTGGCATTGCTGGTTGCGTAGTGGTCTTTCTTGCCAATACGTTGCAGCTATAGTTAGATAAGATGGAACTATATTCTTGAAGGCTGGTCGTCCGAAATGAGAAATCATTCCTAGCTTTTGGTAGACTTCCACTTTTCGCACTACATTATAGCCACTTATTTTATCATAGATTCCTAAATCATCAAACATAACGCTTCTTAGGACAGCCAAATAGAACAATCATCGTTGACCCAAATATGTTCCAGCTATCTTCATAGATCTCGTGGAGATTCACGTGATCTACTGACATACAGCTCCGCGGCGAATCCGTAGACTTCCCAAATCCTACTATTTCCCCATATTTCTTCCTCTTCCCTCCATCCTTACAGATCGACCTCCGCCTTTTACTTCAATCCGGAATTCCGCACATGTGATGTCCATAGAAGTCGACTGGAAGACAGCCACCTCGGGCCCAGACGGTGAAGCCCTCGCGGAGCGCATCCGCTCCTTCATCCACGACAAGTTCCAACAGGTGGCCCTTCCACGGTTCATTCGCTCCGTCCAAGTACATTCGTTTGACTTCGGCACGGTCCCCCCAGATCTTGAGATCAAGGACTTCTGCGAACCATTCGCCGACTTTTACGAGGAGGACGAAGATGACGAAACCTCGGAGGTCTCAGAGGAGCTCGTCTCCGCGCACGGCAATCAATGGCACAGAACGCATTCCGAGCTCAACGAGCCTCCCTATCGCGACGAAGTGACGATGAATCAACCGCTCCGGGACCCGTTCGATGAGGGATTCCACCCCTCTCCTCTCCGCTCGCCAATGGAACACCTGAACCCCCATTTCCTCCCGCGCGCCGGCACCCCCGGCATCCCCGGCGGCACCTCGACGATAGGCTACCACCTAATGTCTCTCGGCGGTCTGTCCGGAACACAAACCCCGCTCGCGGCGGTCGCTGGCGGCACGCCTTTCGCAAATGGCTGGACAGACCATAACTTGGGACCCGGAAATCGTGGGCATGCGTCTGGTCCCGCTGCAGGGGCAATGCGCCAGCACCGTCCAGAAGATATCGACAGCAGCAATCCGACCTCGCGACCGTCAACCTCCAGCACACTTCCCTCCCACCCGTCGGGCTCCAACAGAAACAGCGGAGACGGATCTCATCCCGAGGAAGAACATTTGGATGACCCAGCCGAGCCAGACCACCCCTTTCGGTTCCCGAAAATGCGCGAGCGGCGTCCTGAAGACTTTCAGGTTATGTGCCGCGCCAAGTATGCGGGCGACGTGCGACTGTCGCTAACGGCGGAGATCCTTCTGGACTACCCCATGCCCAGCTTCGTGGGCCTGCCGCTAAAGCTGAATATCACTGGAGTCACATTCGACGGAGTCGCCGTCGTCGCGTATATCCGGAAACGTGTGAATTTCTGCTTCCTCTCGGCCGAAGATGCGGATGCGTTGATCGGCGCGGACGACCAGGAAACGAGAGACAAAGATGACCATCCGCGCAGCGGTCTGGATCCCACGACGTCCCCGAAACGCCAGGGTGGGCTGCTCCGGGAGATCCGGGTCGAAAGCGAAATTGGCCGGAAAGAAGACGGGAAGCAAGTGTTGAAGAACGTAGGCAAGGTTGAGCGGTTTGTGCTCGCTCAGGTGCGCCGGATCTTCGAGGAGGAACTTGTATTTCCCAGTTTCTGGACTTTCTTAATATAGATTATGAGTTTACGAGGATGATCTTGTTATGTCCGACATCTTGGCCTGGAGCTTGCATATGTCACTGTATAATATTGTTGTATCGTTTTGTCAATTTTGTTCAAGACGAAGATTCTCGATCATGTGAATTCGACAATCACTCAACTGCCTCACTAGTTGGAGACGAATAAAACTTATACTCGGAAGAAAGCGTTACTCGTACAGATCCACGCTCAATTCAAGACTATTTCCGTTGAAGTAAAACAACATGAAACATTCGAAGACGCATTAGCTCTAGCTCTCCCTTTCGCTCTTTCGACATCCACTTTCTTCCCCAGCGCCACACGCCACACGCAACGGAACAGTCACGCAAATTGCATGCCCTAAGCCGGTCAACATTCCCGCCAGACTATAGCAGCACCTGCCCCATGACAGCACACAACTCCATCAACATGCTTCAGGCGACGCACCACACCAGCAGCAACCGTTCACAGGTCCTTCTTGGAGTCATCGTCAGACTTGCCAGAGACCTTATCGCCGAGGCTGTGGTATTCGCGGGTGAGGCCCTCGCACTGCTTCTTCAGAGTCTCGATGTCGCGGTCCTTGGCCTCCAGCTCCTTCTTCAGTCGTCCGATCTCGCCCATGTCACCAGCCTGCGCGAGGCGCGCAGAGTCCTTTCCACCGGCCTTCTTGTCGCCCTCGAGGAGCTTGACCTTCTCTTCGAGACGGAGCACCTCCAGGATCATGGTGTAGGTGCGGTTGAGGATCAGAGACAGGAACAGCGTGAAGCCGCAGAGGTACATGTTGCGCTGGGAGTAGAACTTGCGGGCCTGGACTTCCATGCGGTCGGTGCCGATCGTTGCTCTAGTTTCACTTATTGTCAGTTTCGAGGTATGTAGGGAATGGTTGCGGAGTGAGTGGGGAATGGCTCACCCCATGCCGCCACCTTCCTTGTGGAAGGCAGCCACCTCCAGCTGCACGCGGTACACGCGGTTGACACTGTCAATGAACAGGATCAGGATGAATATGAACGTGATCTGGCAATGTATTGGTTAGATCTAGGACGGCGCGAGAAGTGACATTGTCAGTAGAAAACCAACCTTCAACCCGTATTGTAGTTTGGCTACTATGGGGCTCTCCGAGATGAAGGTGAACAGCTTCCGCTTGATGGTGAAGGGAAGCGGGACGATGAGGCCCATGAAGACCGCCATCTCCAGCACCAGGAGGCAGAAAACCTGCACATATCGAGTCAGTTTTGCGGATTTTTGGGCGAATTCAATGTCTAGAGGGGCATGTTGTGCAGCATCGCCCGGAAGACGTAGGCTTCGACGGATTGGGTGCCGAAGCTCCCGACCGACAGAATTCGAGGAGGAAGAGCGACATGCACGTACAAGACTGTAGTAGAGCGTCATTCTGCCGGTGATGATGCAGAATCAACTTCTGATGCACGGTTTCTGCTAGGAGGATATAGGGGTTGCAGCTGCAGTGCACTTGTGGGGGGTTGTTGCAAAATGTAAACAAAAGATGACGGAGTGCCAAGGATAGACACTGAACGTTTGATAGGGAGTATGCGAGGCGAGATTTATATCCCGAGGCTTGATACTAAAGGCCGATGTAGTTAATGCCAGGGATGAGGTCACCGGCTGAAGTTGGCGAGAGAGTCGAGGAGTGAGGTGGTCTCTTTGCAGCTGCTGGCAGGAGGAAGACGTCATCACCACCGACAGTCAGAAGCACGTGATACGGTTCCCAGCTTGACTAATCTGACGTCACGTGCGATGGGCACTTTTGTTGCTCTCTGTTCTACAGGAACTTACCACCGGGTAAAAGGCAATAACGCACGCCAGTCTATCTAATGAGGCTCGCCTGTCGCACGAACTTCTTTAGTCTCGAACATAATGTATTCGCTACCCTCTGTCTACTATGGCAGCGGGATAACCAACTCTCTGCACACTTCTATGTTCGTCTATATCGCTTTCTATCCTTCAGTTTCGTAGGCGTTGGACTTATGCTTGGGCTCAAACTTGAAATCCTTGTGCGCCGGTCCGAGGAACATCTCCCTGTGAAAAGGTCAGTTAGGCGTATGCAGGACCAGTGTCAGGAAACACTTACGTGATCTTAATCCAGTCCTTGTAGTGGTCACTGGCAAGGAGGGTCTCCATCTCATTCCTGCCCCTCCATGCTGGCGGACGATCCTGGATATTCGGTGGAAGATATTCGAGCAGACCGACGGGCACATACCGACGGTGGAAGCTCAACCACTCCAGCAAGAAGCGACGTGTGATTCCGACACCATACTCGTCCGAGCCCCAGGTATCAAGGCCGTACTTGGCAAATTTTTCCACAAGAGACAGACGCTCCGATGCGGACTTGTCCAGGTACTGGCCCGTCTGAATCTCCTCAAAGAGCCAAGGTTTGATCAATGCGCCTCGGCCAATCATCACGCTGTCGACGCCAGCATTGTTGATATGATCATCGTAATCCTGGTGGGAGAAACAATCTCCATTTCCGAGGAAGTACACCTTCCCACCATTCGGCAGCATGCGTTCATCCGGTTCGTAAATGGTGTCTGTCAACTCATCCTTCCTCTTGTTGAGGTTCTTGATGAGAGCGGCGGTTTCGGCGATGTAACCCCAGTCGGCTTGTTTCGTGTACCTCTGCTGTCGACTACGTCCGTGGAGAGTAATCGCCGCAGTGCCGCACGGCCCAAGGCCAAGCAAGTGGGATTCGTGTCCTCCCAGGACCAGACGCTCCACGAGCTTCTGGGCGTTCGGTGCGTTGTCTCGCACGCCCAGGCGGATTTTGACACTAATGGGGATCTCTTCCGACACTGCATTCATGCCACGGAGGATCTTCTCCAACTTCGAGTGATGTTCGAGAAGCGCCGATCCAGCACCTTCGCGGAAGAGAAGATCGATGGGGCATCCGCAGTTAAGGTCGATGACACGAAGGTTAGGCGTGAACTTGGATAGCACCTCCGTAGCTTTTAGTGCCTGCCAGGGTTTGTTTGCGGCAATCTGAGCGCCAAACTTCATATCCTTGGAGTTGTCGTAACCTTGCACAATCTTATCACTTGGGGAGATGGTCGGTGGGGTCAATTCAGTTTCGTGGGATCTCAACAAAGCCCATTCTGATTTCGTTCCTTGGATCAATGGCATGCTCATTGCCATTTCAGAGTAGACGAACTGGGCCCCAAGTTCTACGCAGAGCCTCCGGAAGGGCAGATTACCCTGCGTAGTCAATGGCGCCAAAGTCGGAGTTTCAGGGCCAAAGTATAGGCGGCGCTTCTCGGAAGGCAAAAATGGAGGCTCGGTATAGTTGGCCCTTTGCTCCTCTCGCTCTTCCTTCGTAAACTCAACTACCCCGCCGTCGTTCTGGCGTCTGCCGTGGAGAGTCTTTTCCAGCTGCTTGGATGTCTTGTCAAGCCAAGACGAGTATGCATCGGCGCGCGGGGTCTTGATCTTTTTCCTGGACAACGCGTTCCTATCGTCCACCGAGATAGTGTTTGCGAGGCCTTCCTCGCTTGCATAGGGGACCAGGCGCGGCGATTTCTTCTTGCGCTCCTCGTCTTCGACCAAAACCAGTTCCTTTCTTCCATCCGGAGTGTCGCGCTCGGTCATGTGAGAGCCAACAAAACGGCATTTCCACCCTGCATAGCATTTCCCCCGCGCATCCCACACGGGGCACACACCACCAAAGGTCGTGAGATCCTCGCGCTTGTGTTCTTTCAGATAGGTGCGCAGGTCGTGCTCGAAGCGGCACTTGTCGCCGAATCTGCATTCTCCAGGGGAGAACTCAGGCGCAAATACTCTGCTGGGGCAGAGTCCCTTCTCATCCTGGTACCTTCCAAAAGTTCGATTCGTATTCTGGCCTCTGATCTTTGGCTTCTTCTTCTTGTCGTCTTCGCGCTCCTCGTGATGCGCCGCTTCGGCGGCATCGTCTGTATTTTCCTCTGGCGCAGATACGGGAATGGCGTTGATATCGACAAGGTATCTAGTGAGAGATATTGGTTAGCGACTTCAACAAGGGACTTGTCGCACTGTACATACTCCGCCTTGATGGGAGCAACGCCCTTCCTGCGGGGAGGTTTATCGCCATTGAGCGTGAAAGGTTCGTCGAGTTTTGCCTTCTTCAAAGGTGGTTCTCCAGTATTGTCGGTAACGTGAGTATCGTTCTGGGGTTCGTGTGCCGGTGCCGGTGCCCCTCCAGAAGCCGGCTCTTGTCCATTGCTAGTCGCGGAGGTCATTATGGAGACCGCCGAGTCGCGGAAAGGGTCCAAAGGGTTTCACAGGACAATGTATCAGAATTTGTAGTGCCGGAAGACTTTTCTATCTCAATTTCTTCCGGAAAGCAAAATAATGTATCTTGTAAGCCACGCGACAAACCTTTCTTGCAGTCGTCTGTAGACGAAATTTTTGTCCAGTTCGCCGCACACACCGAGGGCGGAGAGGAACGGCAGTTTGCATAGTTTGCATGGTGGGTCTGTGGGGTTCATTGGTGCCTGAGGAATATAATTTCTTCAGAGTATACAGAGGCTCATATGGACTCTTTGTATTCCCCTCGAACGCGAGTGAATGATGGCTAAAGCCTATTACAGTAAACAGGTAAAAATCAAAGTCATATACTGGAGTGACTTGGATTTAGTACAGTAGATGTAGACCATGCCATGGAATTTGCGCGCCATTCAATGTTGTAGGTCATTGTTATGGTAGGGGAAAACAACTGCAGTCCTGATTGCTGCTATCCAACGTTTCAGGTCCATTCATTCACTGATGTTTATGTTTTCTCTGTTCTTCCTCTCGAAGACTATCTTTACGCCCTCTTATGGCCACACTCCTGTCCAGTCATTCTTATTCTGTTCAGTCAACATAACTTCAACCATATCAGCTCTTCCTCTACCACAACAACATGGATCAAGCTGAGCAGGCTGTACGCGCATTCGAAAGCACAAACGCATCGCAATATGAAAGATCCCCAAGGGCCGTCCACTGGCTGATCCCTCACCTCATCTACGCTTTCAACATCAACAACTATCTGCGTGGGATGCGACGACACCTCAGACGTTTGAACTATACCGCAGCCCGGCAATATGTGCTTAAGAAGCTCGTCTCGTCTTACGTACAGGAGACAGAACATCCCTTGGATAGGGAGCAATTCGACATGGCGATCTTCTACTTCGAAGGGTACTTTGTCTGGTTTTTGGAATACGAGAAAAGGATGAGGGCGCAGGGGAACAATCCCTGGCAGAGAAAGGCCCAATGGAGGCGACTTCGCTATGTTTTCAGGTATGGATGAGGTTTCCTTTGACCAGTTATGGATATGCCTTGCGCAGGTGTCTGTACTGATTCACTCAAACCTTCTAGCCGGAAGTGATAGCAATGATCAGGAACAAAACTGTGGCATACAGATAGAGTGCATTTCAGGAGGTTGCAGATGATATCCAGGCTATTCCACTAAGTGTGGTGAGCAGAATGTATCTAGGCACTCAGAGGGTTCCACGCTGAACAAGACGGTGGGACTGTTTTCTTTACTGCTGAGGATTGGGGTGTGAAGTAGACAGTTCCTTGAATCAAGGGTACCTCACTGGGCTATTTCTCAATTGCTAAATACAGGTAACGCATTTCTGTACTCGCATCCGCGGATAATAAGGGCCATGATATCATTTCCGCTTTTTGGGGTAGTGTGATCAAAGAAATATGTACAAAGTCATACTTGGTTAACAGACATCATTCAATAGAGAGTAGCCTCTTTGTGCCACATAATCCGTCATACTGCATGTCACGCCACAAACACAATTCTTGTGCCTTATATACATTCATACATGGGTGTAGGCTCGTCTGATGATACACGCTGCTGGAGCTACTACATAGGTAATGTACCTAGAGCCTCATGCGGGTCTCGATCCTTGGTTCCATTGGACTTACGCACCCTGCATCAGTTTACGCATAATATAGGGGCATTAAGAATGGGGAAGACACCAATTTCAACGTCCTACAGCGACGCGCAAAAGTGATCAAGCCTGAACCCGTCAAGCCTGTCTCACGACCCGACTGTGATGTAGATATGTTAAGCGGGTTATCGCAGCGATTCTCGTAGTAAGACTCGTGGGCAGCAGCATTAACATCCGGGAAGGTTATCGTGATGACAGCTTGCACTGAGAATGGGAAGTTTCTTTGGCCAGTGATGCGCAACAGCTCCCAGACGAGGGTCCATTCGGATATGCCCATCACGACAACACACGTTTGTTGAGAATAAGAGGTATATAGAACCCAGCAATGATCAGGTCTTTGCACTAACTCCCGAGGCCCGTCTTTGGGAGCCATCTAGAATGACACTCCTCGTTTACAGTCATCGTCATGAGTTGTGTACCGATCATCTTCAGGAATTACCTTCGTGAGTAACGGTTTAGCTGGGATCATAACTTGACCAGATGATTAAACTCTTCCTGTCTTAGTCGGATCTTACGTGTCTGGCTTCTCACTGAAGTACGTGAGCGCAGAGATTCTCGACTCCGAGACACTCGAGAACGACATTGATCGCTTCCACGTCGCTCGGGGCGTTTGAAGGCGGCCGCCTCCCTCTGGCCTTACTATCAAACCCTGGGCGCCCAAAACTCTCTCCAGTAGAAGGGCATTGGGTGCGTGGTTACTGCGCCATGGGACAGCCACCACAGGTAACTTGAGATAGCTTATCTCGATGCCAAGTTGGGATGGCTCCGACTCATGTTGCAGAGGAAAGTGGAATGTTTCACTGACATGCATGGGCGGCTCATTTCCGACTCAGTAACACTCCCTAGGACAAAAACTCACCTGGAATGATAGGGGTCACCAAATTCATCCAATCCGGAAGTTCACCGCTGCATTTTACTGGTACCATTCCTTACCCCTACTCCGTACACTTACTCAGTACGTCTCCAACAGTAGCTCCAACAGCAGGTGCCGTCCCACCATGCGGTGTCCACCGCAGATTTCTACGTGTCTTCCAGAAACATTCCCTTCCGGGCAGGGACTGGGTCCCCTGATGGGGGTCCTTCCCTTCGCATGAGCGGCCTTGACTTAGTCGGGGCTAAAAGTCGTACCTAGACCGCATCTTGCATAGTGCGCCCGGGATGCATCCTGCCGGCCGAAGATCAATTGTGGATAGATAGGAGGGGGATGCGATGCGGGTGTGAAGACGGGGCGCGTTGGTGCTGCGACGGAGGATTTACTATCGATTCTTGTCTTGGCTAGTGAGGTCCGCCCTGGGTCATCTGTTGGGGGGACGGGTGCGACAGGCGAGGGTATGGCGGTGTGCAGAAGACAACAGGTAGGGATGTGTTCAAAACTACCGAGGCCAGACACGTTGTGATCAGGGCTGTCGGAAGATTACTCCAGATCAGGGATGCTGTCGTACGGTGCGACCTCCCGCTGTCCTAAGCACAGCCAGGCACCGCCCGAAAATCATATGGGGGGGGAACTCGCTCGTCCGGTTGGTCGTGGTACGATTAATCATGCTCCTGTTTGTTGAGAAAGAAGTCGAAACATATGGCCCCGGGGAGCAAATGCCGCGCCCCTCCTGAGATCCCGGTCAGAGGACTGGCTTCTCCTGCATGCTCAGCTTGTCAGATAGCGTCATTCTCCAGCCACACAGGCTCTCCTCCGAAGCCCCCTGAATTCTGCGTGGCTCGGCCGGCACTAGTAAAGGCAAATCATCCGACTAAAACGAGTCTCGCAGCGTGGGGCCGACGGAGGCAATTGATTCACCACCAACACGGACACTTGCAGGGATGTCGACAAAGTAATTCACGACAATCGTTGACTATTCTGGTATGTAGTTATGGGAAGAGACGGGGAGAATCCAGATCGTCTTCTTTAGTAAACAGGCAGACTGGTATGTAAGTATCTTGACTCATTCCCCTCTTGAGGGTGTCAGATGATCGATACCTGGCCGGCGATACGTCCTGAAACAAACCAGCTCCGTACGGAGGCAGTAATCGAGTACCTCCCGATTCGGCTCTCAACTGGCCATCCAAACGGTCCGGTCACCAGCGGAGATCAAAACATCCTGGTTCCCTCTGTGTACCGTTGTGCATAGCATGGTAGAACAGGGGCCACCAGGGGACTTGAGCACCACCGTCTGGCCGGGGCGGGTGACGCAGCCACAACGGCAGGGAGGTCTTCGAAAGCTTCCATCATCCTTCCGAAATGTTTCTAGAAGGTCTCCGGAAGCCCGGACGGCCTTGGCGGGCCAACGAAGTGGCTGTCGGGGCCCGTTAGCGTGGGTATTGGTGGGGAAAAAGAAAGCCCCCCTTTCTCATTGCAGGAAGTGCAGGGCAGGGAAAAGGAGATGAGAAGGGGGCAATACTATAATTATTATTAGTATTACTCGGATTGTCTAAGGGGGTGGGAACGTAGCCTCCTCCGTCAGGCCCGCTGAACTAGCAGCGCTAGAGAGATTTAGTCGCAGCACTATGCTGAGCGGTCTCCACGGCAGGAGGGTGACTGACGATTCTGCCTGCGACGGGACTCGGATGACGGTATTTTCTCTCGTCGCGGATGGTAAATGTGCGATATTTCGGATCGCAGACCCGCGGGGACGTATCCCGGATCTTGCAGGAACCCAGTGGTCCGCATGCGATCCAGTCTGACAGGTTCCCGTCCTCCGTACAGCATGGATGGATCCCCCGAGGCGTATGCACTTACCACCCTCCCCAATAAAAACATAGTGCGGCCCAAGTGTCCCGCCGCGTCCGGGATGATGGACAATTCCCCATTGTTCGAAACTTTCTAGAAGGAAATTAGCTTCCCACCGTTGGTTTATCCACTCGTGAAAGGGGGGTCAAATCATATCCATCCAGATGACGGTCTTCACGTTCGCCCTGAAGGTAAGTTCGTATTGCTCGGGGGTTATGCGGCGAACCTAGGTAGACGCCATTCCCCCCGGGGTGTATTGTGCTGTTCTCCCATCTCCTTAGAGGCGCTGAATAATACCCACTGGTCCGATGAGAAGAGGACTGGTAATGTTGGTCTGTTGTATGTCGCACGATAGGCTTAGGGGGTGTTTAGGAGTCTCATGCATGCAGGTCGGCATACATGGCCGCCTCCGTCAAGAGCCATCGCGTTTGAGAATTGTTTTTTTTTTTTTTTTTTTTTTTTTTTAAATATCTTTTCTTCGGAGGGTTCTGGTTGGAAGATGACGCCTATGGGTTGGTTGTTCTTGGCTTGGAGCGATGGTCACCCGCGGTAAATTGGTCGGGAGAAGGTTTCTGGGGTAGTTCAGATCCTGCCTTCACCGTGATGGTTCCTGACGGGTGGTCTGTATCCATGGTCAGGGACCCTGTCTGTTTTGCGTCATACAGCATCATTCTCCCGATGATGTCTCGAGAGATCGCTTGGATGGATGCTATCCCATCCTATGCGTCCATGTCAGTTTATCTTCCTATCAATATCCGGGATGCATGATTGTTCCCCCCACTACGGATAGGCTCCGACTCAACCGTGTCAGCCGCCTCAAAAGAGACCCAAAAAAGAAACGAAAACAGGAATCTTCTGAGTACGCATTCCGTAGATTCGTTATTCAGATCGGCAGTAGACCGGGGGTCCACTGGATGGTTGCACGGCCAGCGAGAGACGGGGAAAGCCACGTTGTGGAGCCGGGAGAGAGACAGCGAGGATTAGAAGGGGACCGTCTGGTGGTCCATGTCGGGTGGAAACGTGCGGTGATGATGGTGATGCTGAGGATTCTAGTCAAGTCAATCCTGAACTAGTTAGTGGGCAGTAATAAGACGAACAGAGCTAGTAATAGTAATCGGGGGTAATTTCACCAGCGCCCAAGAGGAAGGAGTTGGACGATTTCCTCCCCGTTGTTCCAGTTGAAGCCTTATACCGATCGATACGATTGATACCAATTTTACCCCCCGAAGGGAAAAAAATAAAAATAAAAAAATAGAAAAATCCCCATAAAAATAATAATAATAAAATAAAAAAAAAACATCCGCTGACTTCATAGAGAGGATTATTTTCATTTGATTATTTTTTGCGCATTTTAAAATCCCTATAATAAAAATAACATCACCAACCAGAACGAGATATCTTTTGCTGGTGGTCTCCCTCCTTATTCTTCTTCTGCCTGCTCCTCTCCTCATCACGTTCCTCCATCCTTCTCTCTTCTCTTCGACAACTCTTCATCCTCCTCTCGACCGTTAGACTCTCGTCCCCTCTCCGACCTCTCCCCTCATTCCTTACATACGAACTGCTGGAAAGGCCCGTGTTCTCGGTATGTATTCTTCCCTCTTGTTCCGTCCCTCTCGTCCTGTTGGGGGTGGCACTTTTTGATGAACTCCCCGCGTCTCGTTCCGATGACGCAGTCCGCTATCTTACTCCCTCGGTCGATGGCTTGGGCCATCGCAAACAAACCCGCGTGGGCGCTTGTGATCTCCCTCCTTCGCTAAGCGCAGTGTAGCTTTGCGAAGGCCCTTCTTTCTCCCAAACACCCTAAAAACTCGCTGGAGATGTCGGGAGTTGGACGGATTGCTGGAGTCCATCTCGGTCGGACACTGGAAACCTTGCTAATCTCTTTTTGTCTTTCGATCAGGACCGACCTATTTGTCACCGTCCTGGTCTGAAACCTCATCCTATCCGTCCTTCCTTACCACTTGGGATTGTTCCCTCCGGTCCTTTGTGAACCTCGACTGCTTCTCACGAGCCGACACACCTGCGACGACCTGCCTCAACCTCCCACGGGCGACCCGCTGCACCCTCATCGATACATCCCGAGTTCGCGTGGAGGTGGCGACAGACAAGAACCAGGAGAACCGTCGCGGAATACCTCTGACACCGGGGGGTTTGCTGGCTCCACGTACTTTGTCGCCAGACCGATCTCGACTGACTCTTGCGCTGCAACCACCCGGCGAGGCTTGAGCCAGTGTCTTAGCCGCATTGCGATCAAGCGACGCTTGTTTGATACACGAAACACGCGGGCGAATCGTCGCAACGAAGAAACAAAGAGCTTGAGTAGTCGACAGCGGGATTTGGTCATCCCCTGCTCACATTCCTGATTACCAAACTCCGGCTAGCTCGCTCACGTTACACTCTTTCGCGGGTCGATCTCTCCCCTCGTCCTTGAAACAAGTGAGTCCGTATTGACCCGTCTTTGAAAGAAATCGCCGTCCTGGGATCGCTCTAGGGAATGCGATGTCGACCCGTTCGAGACTTGCGCTGACTGCCTTGTTCCTAGCTGTCTGTCGGTCACACAACGTCGCCAGCTGCGTTGCCTCCCGCGGCAAATTGCTCGAGTGATAGTGCCGTGGAGATTATTCTGCGGTTGCGTGTTCAGACAATTCCCGGACTTCGGAGCCGTCCTTGACAACCGTCCCTCAGCTCTCCCGCTGAGTCGGGTCATGGACATCACAACTATTTTGAACAGAAAAGGTTCTGCTGCCATGGTCGATTTCGATCAACAGCAGTTTCTGCAAAACCACCAAAGTCTGGACAACCCCCCGACCCCAAAAATGAAGTCGGAGCCCGGCGTGACCGAAAGTGCGGATCAACCGGTCCTTTCGTACCCTCCGCACGCCCCTCTGCCGAGCATGCCCCAAGACGTGCGATACGCTCCCCAATCCCATCCAGCTCCCGGCATGCCCCTCATGCAAACCCCGTATGTCCCCGGAGGATACGCGAGCGGTGCGCCCATGCACAACGGTGCGGCTCCGCCCCCCAGGACCGAACCTCCGCCGAAAACTTTCCACTGCGGAACCTGTGGCAAGGGGTTCGCTCGGCGCAGCGACCTCGCGAGACATGGTAAGAAACTACGATTGTTGATATCAGAGAAGCGATCCAACTGACCGGACTAGAGCGCATTCACTCCGGCATCCGTCCACACGCCTGCGACTGGCCCGGCTGTGGCAAGCAGTTTATCCAGCGATCGGCGCTAACTGTGCACTCGCGAGTTCATACCGGCGAAAAACCGCATATGTGTGAAAGATGTGGAAAGGTATGCCATGGACCATGAGGCAAAACTTCATTCGCATAGCTAACGCCTCTCCGTAGCCTTTTAGTGATTCGTCTTCCCTCGCCCGACACCGTCGAATTCACTCCGGGAAGCGGCCGTACAAGTGCCCATACGCGAATTGCCAGAAGACTTTCACCCGTCGCACCACGCTGACGCGTCATCAAAACCATCATACGGGGACTATTGAGGAGGCCGCGGCCGAAACGGAAGCCAATCTTCGGCAGAACAAAGAGCGCTCAAGGGGCCCTGGCGAACCCATGTTCTCGGATCACGCATCGGTCCATTCAACGCCATCTCCTGCGCATTCAGGGATCTCGGCTGGCGGTGAACTCCCGCCGTTAAACATGCCTCGTTCGACCGGTGATTACTACATGGGCAGTGGCTCTATCCCGCCTCATGTTCGCGGGGATTTCTCACAGGCGAGCCCTCGTGCTTCACCAACGGCGACCTCTCCTTCACTGTCCAGCTTCGGTAGCGCTCCCCACAGCCGACCTTCGATGACTTCTCACCCCACTGGATATGGGCCTCCTCAGCCGCTTGAGCCGCCGGCGAACAACGATCACCGCCCCAACAGCGTCAGCGGAAGTCCCCATATGCCCACCTTGGGTTGGGCTTCCCCTTCGCATGGTAGCATCCCATCCCCGGGCTCGGCGAATGACTTTCCGTACCCGGAACCTGGTGCTCCCGCGTATCCGAGTTCAGTGCCTCCTCACATGTACTTTTCCCATTCTGCGGGCCGCCGCCCTACCAGCACCGAACCCGAAAACTACGAAATGAAGCCCAAAATGGGCGACAACTCCTGGTCGACCCCGGTCTAAGGACTCACAAGCAATGACGGCAGGACCGATGACTTGGTGCAGATCCCGATCGTCGTACCAGCACAGGCTCTAGTCGAGCAAAAGCTCTCCATCGTTAAATAATTTCCTTTGTACAATCTCCTTTGTCCTTCGTTTTCGCATCAGCATCGTGTCTGCGTCTTTGTTCGTCTCCTCTATACACCGTTGTTTTTTGTTACTATCTTTGCATTTCCTTTGGCATAAGCGCGTGGAAGGAGTCCGGGCTAGCTGATTCGTCCCATTGTTTGGATTGTTCTCTATTTGTTCCTGTCTAATGTTCGATATGATGAGGACGAAGCATCAATAGAGAGCGGAAAAGGGTTACCATGGCTAGGTTGGACGGGGTTCTGGGAATGGGGTCAATGGTCGGTCTGGTTTCTGTATCTTGTTCTTTTTCTGTGTGCATTGTCCTGTCTGCTGTTTCTCACCGTTTGATATCACTAATCTCTGATATTCCCCTGTCGCGTGTCGTGTACAATCTTTTGTGCCGAGTTGTGTACTCGATTTCCTGTCTAATACCAATCTTGCATTTGTAGATCACTGCTTCGTGTATGATAGATTGTCGTTATTAATCAACTGCATACTCACTTGCATTTAATTCCTATTCACGGGTTCCTTGCGGTGTTTTCGACTTCATCATCACTCTCGGAGAAAGAAATATCACCCGGATCCGCGAGGAAATCTTCCTCCTGCTGCCCTCGTGTCCACCATAAGAACACCGGCGTGAACCATTCGAATAGTCGTGCTCTGATGGCCCCCAAATCATGATTCGACATCCACCCGTTGGAAGACACTTTATAAGCATCTTCAATCTTCTTCCGTTGCGCGGATTCATATGCACGAAAGCTCCGAATGGGATCCTCAATCCCATAATGACCCAGAACACGGGCGAATTTGACAGCATCTTCGAGGGCATGTCCGATGCTTTCGCCCTTTGGTGGCATCTGTGATAGCCAGTCAGCTTACTGAACCTGTCCGGACAGAAGGCAACATACTGCATGCGCAGCATCACCAAGTAGCATGACCCGATCGGTAAACCATCGTCCGTTCGGCGGGAGGATATAGACTGGATACAGAGTCCAATCCTGTACCCCCTCGATCATCTCCACAAGATCCGGGATCGCCGCCTCCTGCGTTCTACGAAGGCCCTCAGTCCGCACCATCTCCTGGTCGTGACCCATGGACTTCCATCCCTCACGAGACAGCTGCGCCTCTGCAGGCATCAGCAACACGACATAGATCAGTTCCCGGTCATAGTCGCAGAATGTCGCTAGCGTCGACCCGTACCGCGACATGGCCAGCGCCGTATCCTTGAAGAACGGCGTGCCCTGCGCCCCCAGCACAGTTTTCGCCTCGACGAATCCATACGCCGACACAATCCCCGAGTACGACGGCACGCGCTCCGGCTCGACAAACTCACTCCGCACCGCCGAATGGATCCCATCACACCCGAGAACGATGTCACCTGTCGCGCTCGTCCCATCCTCAAACCGCACGCGCACCTTCTTCCCCTGGATGTCTTCTTCCACACGCGTGACTTTCTTCCCATACTGCACCGTCACGCTCTCCAGCCGCTCCACGACCCGCAACAGAGCCCGCAGCAGGTCGTACCGCTTCACCCGCCGCCCCTTGTACCCGCCAAACCCCGTCCCCTCGCGCCCCGTGTAGTCGATGGTGGCGAGCTCCTGGCCCGTCCGCAGAGAGAATATCTGGATGGCGTCGACCTCGCAGCCGGCGTGCATCTGTGTGAGCTCGGCGAGCACGCCCAGCATGTCGAGACAGCGCAGCGCTTTGGGCGTCAGGTTGACCGGGCCGCCGAGCGTGCTGGGTACGTCGCGCAGCTCGTAGACGGTGATTTGGGGTGGGTTGGTGTGCGAGGCGAATTGCTGGACGAGGGCGATGGCTGAGGCGAGGCCGCTGATGCCACCGCCAATGATTAGTATGTGGGGGGTCATTTTGTCTGGGTTATGTGTTGTATTGGGGTGGAATATGGTATGGGGAGGAGGGTCTAACTTATAGCTGGGCTGGAGGTGATATGATGCTTATACGAGCTTGATATGCTTGAATACGAGTCGTGGCTGAGGACTCTGGCAATACCAGTGGTGAACTACAGATGGATGAAAGTATGTTAAACTATCCGTATTTCGTTGGGTCTCATTGGACTGTCGTCACCAGGACATGAGACTGGGTGTTCAGACCAACTGACTTAAGTGTTCTAATCTTGTTCCTTTCTTAGGACTTCAATCTATGCGGAACAGTGTCAATCCAAATATTGGAAAGTGAGCACTATCACCAACCACCAACCACCAACCGATCAACAACCCAGCTTGCTGCCAGTCTTCTGTACCCAGATATTCTTTGACAGTCTCTCACAGTATGACGATGAACTTGGTGATAAATTCCAAGCCAGTTATTGACAGAGAACAGTCATGTGCATTAGTAGCTTTCGATGAGTGATAGATGGCAGGGCGGTCTACCTTATTGATTGTAATAAGAAGTGGGGTTGTCATTGTCACAACTTCAACCCTTAGTTAATAAACAGCAGTTGGTGGAATAGACTGCTTACAATCGTTCCTATCCCTACTGAATACTAGACAACACACAAAATTGTTCGTCCACGATGTATCCTCCCCCTCAGTCACCCATCTTCATGGAGGAGCGTATGAGTTTCGATGATGGTCGCATGGGATCAATGCGATGCCGTCTTTGCAGCTTGGAAGAAGAGACTCTTCAATGAACACATCTTCAGGGAAATCGGTGCCTTGATCATTAAGCATAGGGGAGGCCCTGCGGATGAACTCTTTTCCCCACAAAAGGGCGCGTTCAACGCCATACTCCGCATGGAATTCCTCGACAGTGGTTCGGCGATTATCAGATTCCCAGCTCCTGGTATTCAGTGTTTCCAGAAGAGAAGGTTAGGAGGGAGTTCTCTGTCATGCGGTTCATTGAACAGCATACTTCAATTCGTGTTCCCCACGTCCTTTACCACGGGATGACCGAGGGGAGCCCAGCCGGCTTGGGCCCATTCATCGTCATGGAATATATCGAAAATGACTCCGACCTCGTTGATGCTTTGAACATTCCAGGCCGGACAGACAACGACAGACCTATCCTGGACCCCAACATCACCGAAGACAGACTGCGATCAGTGTACAGTCAAATGGCAGAAATTCTACTGCAACTGGGAAGGTATCCCTTCCGCGAGATTGGTTGCATATCAAGCAAAGACGATGATGACGACTACGGCGAATATGTCGTGACGCACCGTCCTTTGACCATCAACATGAACGAGCTTGTCCAGCTGGGTGGATTTCCTCCGCACCTCCTACCACAGACCTCGTTCAAGACAGCGTCATCTTATTTCCTGGCGCTTGCCGAGATGCACATGACACACCTCGAGTCCCAGCGCAACAATGCCGTTACGTCCGCGGAGGACTGCAGAAGGAAATACATTGCGCGATGTCTGTTCCGGAAGCTTGCACGCGAGAATCGACTGTGCCAGCATGAACACGGCCCGTTCAGGCTCTTTTGTGACGACTTCCGTCCGGCAAACGTCCTGGCAAATTCCCAGTTCATCTACGCTGTGGTTGGAGCTATAGACTGGGAGTCTTCATATGCTGCGCCTGCCGAGTTCGTGTACAGTCCACCGTCCTGGCTCTTGCTGGAGCGCCCAGAGTACTGGGAAGGGGGACTTGACGACTGGGCACGCGTCTACGATCAACGTCTGCTAGTGTTTCTGGAAGAGCTTCGCATGCGGGAAGATGTCACTGTTGAGCGAGGAATTATCTCCGAGGCTGACCGCCTGTCGGACCGTATGAAGGATAGCTGGGTGAGCGGAGACTTCTGGGTTACCCATGTCTCACGCAGAAGCTGGGCTTTTGATAAGATATACTGGGCGAAGATTGATCGTCGACTCTATGGAAATGGTGGTGTGGAAGATCGAATGGGTCTGTTGACACCGGGAGAGAGAGGGCAGATGGAGGAATTCGTGCAGAGGCGAATGGCCGAGGAGAGTGTGATTAAGATGGCTCTGCTTGACCGCTGATGGAGGTTCCTATATTGTAACGTGCCATCTATAGAGACACGTTCTTACATTTTCCCTGAATAACTGCCATTTCTAGGAAGTAGGACTGTCCGGTAGTGGTTGGACAGATGGCTAGTTGAAGAAGACGGGAAGATGCCGTTCTCTTGGACAGCCAGGGCCAGCTCATAGAAAAACCATTCGTTGCATGGCAATTGCCCTATGCAATTGGAGAAGATCTAGATCAATGGCCTTGGGAATGTAGTATGAGACGTCAGGTCGACAGGAGCAGTCTATCCTCCGAAAGAAACAACCAAAATAAACAGTCTGTTTATTCTAGAACCTCAGTGTCTTCCACATTGCGAGGCCTTACTGCGAGTTTCACAACCCTTTCCTGAGAGCTGAGCGGCAAGGCATGTGCGAGGACCCGACGCGCGAATCACCAACGATAGCTCTATGTAAGGCGACAAACCTTCACCGCTCCTTGCACTGGGGGATAACCTTTTCATTGAATTGAGACTTTCATCTTTTCATATATATATATGCACGCGGAGGTCCGCAACCCCCATTCATTGTCACGCATTCACACCTTCTACTATCCATGGACGACTCCATTCACCAGATCCGCAACCACATCCTGGGCCAAATCAGGGAGGTCTTGTTCGAGTTGCCTGAAGAGGATGTTACCGGAACGATGCGAATACTGGGTGTTACCTCAAATAGGGTTCTTGATCCGAACGATTATTTAGAATCGATCCGTCCATTTGCCTTGGAGGTGCAGGATGGTCTCCGTGCGCGCCATGGGAGTAACACGACTCGTTTGCTGGCGGTCACGATTCACCCCGACAAGCATTCCTATTTCGTTGTCGACCTTAACAATGCTGACTATGACTACCAAACCGCCCACGAATGCAAGACACTGGTACCGGTCTATGCCCTCCGCTTATCATCGAAAAGAAAACCCACGATCAGTCGACAAAGACTGCTGGATTCAGTAATCGCAGAGACTCTTCGGAAGCTGCACGATAACCATGGCCAGGACCCCCTCCCTTTGTTTGACAATCACTACGACAAGAATCGTTATTACGGCAATCCAAGGAGCCTCCAGCATTGATCTTGGCATATTCAGGCTTGCAGCACATAGAATGCGGTGATAATAAGTTCCTATCTACATCGTCTGCGTATCTCGCTTTAATTGAGGCAACGCCCATTTGACCATCCACTCCGACTGTAGGACCTCCTTGATTGTTGGCCGTTCTTCGGGCCGAATTACCAACATTCGGCGAAACAAATCAATGATGGCAGTTGCTTCTTCCTTGTCAAACTCACAACCACGTTCTCGTCGATACTCCTGTACACATCCCTCAAAAGCCAATTCAATTCCAGACCAGACATAGCGCCCCTCTTTTGGGCGCCCGTTGCTGTCAAAAAATTGGCTTCGCTCCTGCCAGCGCATCCACCAATCCGAGGGTAAAGGTCCTAGCACATCAATTTGTTGTGATATTAGTTCATCTGCAGACATAAATGAAGTGCTGAAAATCGGCTGCATGCCAAGAATTTCCCAGATCGCTATGGCCAAGCTCCAGATGTCCGCTGAATATGAGAGAGGTGCCTCTGGTTCAAACTGGGCTTCTGGAGGTCGCATTGCTAACGGTGTGTGGCAGTCTTTACCGCGACGAGGGTCCAGGTCTGGGGCAAATGCCTCACCAGAATCACAGAGGAGTACGTGCGTGTCAGGCAGCTCAAAATCCTCTGCATTTTTCCCAAGATAAAGAGGGATTACTGCCTTCGATGGAGCATTTGGTGGAAGCTGCTTCCCATCACGTCGTGTGATGGAAATTGTCTCAGGCTCGCCATACTCTTCATATAGCTGCTCAACCGAAAAGTGATCAAAACCCGATGGCAATTTAACCAGGATATTGCGAAGATGAATATCTGATGAAGGAACCATAAGCATCAGTATCTCAAAGAAAAACCCGGGCCACCAAGAAATTCGATAATTAGCAGCACTCACCTCCATGAACGTAGCCCCGTGAGTGCATGTAAGCAATAACCAGTGTGAGGCGGCCTGATAGCGCACGCGTAACTTCGAGAGAGAAAAGGCGACTGAAAGACGCTTCTCGAAGATTGCACTGCGCGGGTATCATGGTATAGCATAGATGTGTTCCATTGGGCCCATTGAGCTCAAACTCATCTAATGGGATGGGGATAGAATCGTGTCCTGGGCTTGCGAGAGCTCGGAGAATCTTGGTTTCTTGCATAGAAGAACACGCTGTACCGACTTTAACAGCAACATAGCGGTGCAGACAAGTATCCAGGGCTAGCCAAACAGTTAAGTAACCTCCAAAACCCAGCTTATCAACGATCCGGTACCGCCCGCGAAGCACGTCGCCTATCATAATAGGGTGAAAACCTCCTGGACAGTAATTTTCAAGTGACTCTGCGCCGTCAATCCAGTTGTATTCGAAATGACAGCCTCCTAAATGTTCTTTGTTATGAGACTTTTTGGTTGAATAAGGGGCACTCGGTCGCGCGAGACAAGCCTGAGGATTGCGAGGACAGAGAATAGGCAACGGGTGTGGTGATAGAATAGAAAATCGGAGGACACTTGGCGATGGAAAACGAAGAACTTTTCGAAGGACTGTCTTGGGGCAGCGCGTCATGATGGATAGTAGTTGATGTCAAGGGGTGACTTGAGCGTGGAGTACCACATATCAGAGGGGAATCGAGAAGAATGCAAGGATCGGGAGATCTGATACATTGAAATGCTGAGCGAGCGACTGGGTTAAATACATGAGAAAGGCAGAAGAACTAAGTCGAGAGAGGAAGTAGAGGTGGAGATTCTGCAGATATCACTGTGATACAGCTTCATCACCGTAGGATTGCACAAGTTCGATGAGGTGACCCCTACGTGAGCGTTTTGTATAGAGAAAGATCGACCAATTGCTGTATGCAGGTTGGATGCCTGTCGGAGGCATGCATGAATATTGAAGGCTGTACAACCGCATTGAAGAGGAGTTGAGCCGCGAGATGCCTATCTCCAAAGGGCCAAGTTAATTACTAGCTTCAGACGTGTTCATGGGGGCAGAAATACCAACATATCTAGCTAGTAGAGTTTCATACCCCGGGCGACCGAAACAGGCGAATGACCGTCAATATTGTAGCATTGCTTGGAGTGGAAATAGTCTCCGTTATAAGAGTACGTGTCATATAAGAATGAGTTCGCACTGCAGCTGGGTTGGTTGTAGAACGCAATTCTCTGCCCGTTCCTCTCTCCCCATCCATTTTCCTTGTAAGACTGGAATGGTTGGGTTTTGGTAGAGCAGGCTGCATTATTATCGACCTTAACATCTTGTACCGTCCCCGTACAGTCACGACCGCTGTAGGTCAAGACATTGACTGCAAGGCTCCCTTGAACGCAGAGGGCGGCGACGGCGGCAAGGATCTTGGGGAAATGCATTTTCAGAGGTTCAAAGTACCAAAAAAGCTTTTGACAAATGTAAGATCGAAAGAATGATTTCAGTGATATGGGGAACTGTTCGACTTTGGTAAATGAAGGATACTCTTGACTGAGATCTGGAGGATGGTTTATATATCTACAGTCGTAACATTTTCATCTTGCAAGCCTCTAGATATCGATTTATCAGAGCGTATTCAGCCTCCAGAGCGTATTCAGCCTCCACAGCGTATTCGGCTTTCACAGGGTAGTCAGCCTAGAGCGTAGTCAGCTTAGAGAGCGTATTCAGCCTGCTGGGGTCCTCGAATTACTAACGAATTCGAGCACATCTCCTATTGTGGCTAGTTTGTTGTTCTTTCTTTGTCTGTGGTTTCTGTACCTATGCAACTACCTAATTCAACCCCATTTCAGTAAGTAGGAGAACATAATCCTGACCTGCGTAACAGTAGCTGTAGTTAGTACGCCAACTTGACAATTGTGATATATAGAATCTTATAATTCGTACTATATACTTCCTATCTGCAGTGCAACATAATATCCTAATGAATTCAGAACCTCTTCAGGGCCACTAATGGCACGGTTTCTTGGTGCTCTAAGGTAGATTCCCCTCCACGTTCACCCGACGCTCCAAGCCCCATTTATCTGGATGAAAAGCAAGTAGCGACATTAGACCTAGCAAATGCTTGAACTACAAATGCCCACCATTGCATGCCATGACAAAATATGAATTGAGTGGGTACATACAACGCTTCAACACCTTGTTCCACAAGTAACAATACTTATCAAATCCCCCCTACCTCAACAAAGCCAACACATTAATTATTCAACACATCACAAATTGCAGGACTCGGCTTCACGGGATCAGGCTGCGGGTTCGGCGGTGGAGGCGGTTTAACGTGCGGCGTGGGCGTGCCCCGATGATTGCACACATAGGCACTCGAGCACCACTTGCCATCATCAAGCTTATAAACCTTATCCTTATGATAGCTATAGCACTTGAGTGGCAAATTCATCTCGTACATATGCCATGCGTCGCCCGCAGCAATAGGGTCCTTGATGCTCGGATTAATGTGCACGGTAAATACGTCGCCGTTGGGCAAGCGTGCGGACACGCCGCCCTTTTGGCCCCAGGGATATGAACCGGACCAGGGGACGTTGACCATCATTGTCGGTCTGTTGGTGTCGTCGCCGTTGCCTGTCCAGACGTCGCCGGGGTAGTAGATCATCTCGCGGGAGGTGGAGCCGCCGTTGACGCCGAGGCCGATACCGCAGTCAGCGAGGACGAGATTTTCGTTGGGGGTCCTTTGTGATGTCGCGAGGTGGAGGAGGGAGAGTAGACTCGTGAGGAGGAGGAGGATGTTGCTTTGTTTGAGTGTCGCCATTTTGGAGGTGGAGCAGGCAGGCAGTGTTAGGATGAGCAAGAGCACTTGCTATTACAACGGGCGAGGGTTCTTCTTTAACATTCATCGGGCACCCGGCGCTGAAACTGCGACAAGTTATAGACCTGCGTAATATTGAATGGATGATTTATGGAGCAGAAAACCCTGCATACGCCCGGAGTGCATTTCAGCTGTCGGGGTTCTCCGGCATTCTGTGCAGCACTGTCGGCTGTTTTCTCCCCCAAATTTCACCGCATCGTACACTGCAGTACTTGTCAGCTGTATGATCATGCCATGACTGCTTGGAGTAGTGGCGCTGGCTGCGAATTGCGAAGTGTGCAAACGGAACCGCCGATACGAGGATGACGTGGGGGGGTCTGAGAAGCATCTAGGGCTGACAATCTCTCCGGGGAATTGTAGCTGAACACATATGGCTAGTTCTTGGCTAGTTCTAGGCGCTTACTGGAAGGACCCTGAAGACCCTGAATGGACAAAGAGAACGCCAGTCTAGAATTACCTCTGCTGATGTATGCATAAAGGGCGAAATAGCCGACGGAATGTCGGGCTTGAGGCCAGCCACGTAGCTAGGGCTGAATGTAACATCTCCGCCAACACGGCCTGTGTGTTAGATGAAGCTCCGCCTCTTTCGCAGCGCGTTGCAAAATCAATCGTATTCAGCTGGCGGCGACAAGCATGGCGTCTCCGAATGCAGGACAGCAGGTGGAATGGTATATCAAGCGGTTGGGAGCGCTTCAGAAACCCACGATTCTACAAGTTCAGCTTGCAGACCAAACTCCCAGCCTCAGCACTCGCAAGAATGCTGTCCCTCAACCTTTTTCAATTAGTTCTGTTCATTCCGCTTCTAGGAACCTGCCTAGCAGAGCTCCTCACCCCGCTCCCAGACACCGCCAGCGACCTCGCCATCAAGTTCCAACCCGTCCTCGACTTTGACAAGGACAGCTGCTATCAGACTGCGGCCATCGGCAAAGACTACAAGGTCAATGCTGGTATCGACCCGCCCCTCGCTCCACCCCGTCCTCCAGGCCCAGGGCCGATTCCTCGAGCCGGCACCGACGAGCAAGTCGTCTTCGCGGCCAACGCCAGCGACAGCGAGAGCGAGATTGGGATCCGCTCGGGCGGCCCTTATGCACCCTTTGGATGCCGCAACAGGGACCGACTAGACCACAGCCAGACGTACGTCCGGGAGCGCTGCAATCACGGCTGGTGCGCGTATCTGTACGGGTACTACTTTGAAACCGACACTGGCTTTTTAAACGCCCACAAGCACGACTGGGAGCACGTCATCGTGTGGACGCTCAACGACCAAGTGTTTTTCGTCTCGTGGTCCGCGCACGGCGACTACACGACGCACTACTGGTCCACGGTCCGGTTCGAGGGCTCGCACCCGAAGATTGTCTACCACCTCGGTTCGGGGGGCACGCACTCGCTGCGCAAGGCCGAGGCCAAGGACGATAAGATCGAGAACGATACCGGGCGGTGGTTTCGGGCGCCGCTTGTTTCGCTGGAGAAGATGCCCTGCGAGTTCAATCGGAAGCTGCTGAATAATAATTGGGGCAGTGCGCACAGTGATTTGAATCGGCTTGGGGAGAAGCTGGATAAGTGGATGCCGTGGGACGCGAGGCATAATGAGCATTTTAACCCGTGGGAGCCCAAGGTACCTTCGTGGGCTGTGGGGGCGTGAATTTGAGATAGACCATAGCTATCCGGTTCGTACCAATATCAAATCGACCGTTGTTAATTGGAATCGTGGTTGTGTTCTTGTGTACTCCAGAGTATGCCGAGCGGAAACTAATCGCGGCCCGATGGCGGCTCCGCCTGCGGGTGCTCCCGAGAACCCTGAAACTTCAGGACTCTGCTGGGGCTGGTGGTAGGACAAATCATGGTTTTTAGAGGTATACCGTAATCAAACATCGAAAGTAACCCGACCTCGAATCGACTCGAATCGAAGGTGCAGAATCGGCCGAGTCATCCGATGGTTCACATGAGCCTCATTTACCAGGGTCTAGATCCCGCCAAGTCGATCATCTTTTCCTCAGCTTCTCCAGAGTTCGTCTGTGGCGGTCGACAGGTCAGCTGGTGTCAGCCAAGGTGTAGCTTTCAGCACGCCATGGTAAGACCATCAACACCATACACGATGGACAAGGTCAATTACTATCGCTTGACTCTTTTGTTACATGATACCAGAGAAGGCGCAAGGTATATATGGCTCAAGTATCCCTGACGATATTCGTATGACGGTCATAGCCAGCTTCCACCAAACCAATTTTACAAACTCCCTGATGTCGGGAGAAGCCTGCCACTTCAATGGGTCACCAGACCTTTATGGGTTTGGCATCAGACTCGGCATTTACTTGCAGTGGACGGCTGCATGGATTGCGAATAGCTGGGAGCTCGAGTCCGCTTTCAGCATGCTTTGGACGAACGGCATATTCCTTGTTTCAACTTTTGCTGCAGTCCTCAGAGTTACTGCAACGCATACCATGAACGCAGCAGAGATGATTCCATTGATTAATATCCTTCTTTCATATTTCGCGACAGTATTCCCTATCATTGGGTTGCGCTTAACATTTCAGACAAGGAAGCCCCTTATTCCTGTAACGTCTATAATGAGTATGTTGCTGAGAGCTATGTTATTGTCGGCTTCTTGTGCTTATTTATGCTGGTATTGGTTTCATGGAATCAACTCACGCCATGTATCTGGATGCCCAATCTTTGTCTTTTTGCTCTTTAAGGCCAATGCTTTGGGCAGTGTAAAAGCAGCTTTTCAAACCTTTGCTGTCTTCCTAAGCGTTGGCACCGCGTTGCAATTCCTGAATATTTTGTTCTTCTTGTTGCGCACTTTGAAGGTTTCATTCTTGCACGTGAAGCCGGAGACGTTCAATCAACGGCAGTCGTCTTTCAACTTTACCGTCAAGTCGTGGATCTATCTCAACTTTTACCCCATCAGTGAAAACGATTTGATGTCGTATTGGGTTGACGAAACAGTGAAGTGAGTTGTGCCATTTGGTTTACGCAAGCAGACTGGCATTTCTAATGCTAATACCTTCAAGGCCGATCTTGCCATTGGTTAATCAACAGCAAATCCGAACAGTATCACAAATTTTCTATGCTGTCAGCATCTGTTCAGGTATACTCGCCGTTGAACTCGGCATCACCTGGAATTCGTTGACTGGAGTGGGACCACATGACATCCTGTCCACGAGCCAGTTAATCCCATTCCTTGTTGGCTGTTTTAGTCTGTTCCAGGTCGTCTCTGATTTGAGCTTGAAAAAGTACAATGTACGCTTTCCCCATTAATGGTAAAACAAAAAATTATCATGCTAACGGTATCCAAGGTTTTGGACCAAGAGGAAATGATGACCCAGGCATCAGAGGCAGAAAAATCTGGCTACACTCCATATGAGCCGGAAGATGACACACATCTCAATCAACTTGTTCAGCGCTATAGCCAGAACCTTGTCGTTGGTGAGGAGTCAAATGCAAATGGCAAGGAACGCGCAAAGCAGCATAATCGACTGGCCCTTGCACTTGGCTCTAGGTACGAACGACATGGCTATACTGCGGATTTCGACGAAGCAATTACCCATTCAGCAAAGGCAATCAGCCTAGACGATGAATCCATGGATTATCATATGAATATGGGTGTTCTTCTTCGTGTTCGTTGGCAAAAGACGAACGATCTTCAGGACTTGGACAAGGCGATTGCTCGTCTCGAGTTCATGAAGAGGAGGCAAGGTCTAACTCGTGCTGAGTTAGTCAATATCCTAGATGACCTGATTCGTTTAAAAAAGGAAAGAAGAACAGCAACTGACGAGGGACCAGACAGCCTCATAGAGCCTATGGAAGAGCTCTATTCCCTGATGTGGCACGAGTACTCTAGAAAGGCACCGGATTGTTTGATCCTCTCGGAGCTGTATTGGGAAAAGTACGAGAAGGGAGTAGGGGAGGTGGTTGTACTGAAGAAGGCAATCTTTTACGCGAAGGAATCCGTCAAAGCCACCGGTGACAGCTTCTTGGACAAGGCAATGAGACTGAACTCTTGGACGCAAAAATTACTCGACAGCTACCGGTCGACAAGGAAGGGCATCCTGTTAAAAAGAGCGATCGAATATGAGAAAAGGGCGGAATCCTCGCTGACATATGGCCAATCTCAAGGAGCAGATGATTATTATTGGCTAGGCAAGCTCCTGGCAGAATTGTACGAGAAGGAAAGGGACGGCCACATAATAAAAGAGGCTATAAGGTATGGCGAGTTTGCTGTGGACAGCCTTGAAACGGAAGATAGTCGTTATGGTCGATATTTCGCTGATGTCGAGAGATGGAAAGCTAGAAGGGAGCGTACATAATGTAACTTTTGGTTAGCCAAAACACCAAACAACGCTATTAGATTTTCGCGAGGCAGGACGTGTTAACCGCTACTAACCTCACCAATAGACAGAATAACATATAACAGTCGGGATTCGCTAGTAATTATCTACCTAACTACTAATTAGCCAGTAAGTAGCTTAAATACGGCTGGGCAGACAGGAAGCTCTATTTTCTACTCTCTATCTCTAAATATTAAACTAGCATAGAATCTATAGCTGTATAGACTGAAGTTTTAAAGTCTTGTTCTGCTAAATGTTAGTGTACATGCGATTGATATTCGCCGACGACGCAAACCAAATACTATAGGAATGTATGAAGAGCAGGGCTCCTTAAGAAGGTGCTTGCATGAGATGGTATGAACGGATCAGTTTAGCAAGCGACTTTTCAACAAAGGAAAAACTCATTGAAGTCAGCAAGCGTAGGGGCTTGATCAATTTCATATCGACACCATCATTCAATTTCCGATAGTTCTTCCTACAGTCTCATGTTTGCAACTCATGCAAATGCGGTGAGCATTTCGAGAGAAGGAGTTACATTGGATTAGCTGGTGCTGGTAAAGAAAGCCAGGGTGTAGGGTCATAGAAATATACCTACCTTGAATCCATTTTGTTGCTCTTATTATGAATATGTTACACTAGTGGACAAGTTCGGATCTGTTTTTGCAACACTATACTCTGCATGTCAAATAACCATGAAGGACGGGCCAAGCCCTTACTCCTTAACTGACCCAGTGGCTATATCCGCGATCATATCGCATAGAATTCCGACGATCGAGTCTGCCTCTTTCTGACACATGACATGATTGGATACGGCAATTGAAACATCCAGTGTAGAGTCGGAGGGAACCACACAGACATTTGCGGTCTCACGCGGCTGATTCGGAATCTTAATCTGATGCATCTGGCAAGGAATGTCTCCCAGACGGCAGACAGGATGCATATCGAAGTTCTGGCACCGGACAAAGCTCCCAAATGGCGTACCCGGTGGCCATGATGTGCAGTTACGCACGATCTGATCATATTCAGTATTCCAGCACTCGATCGTATCACGGTGCTGCTGCTGGACCTGGCTAAGAAGGGCCCATTTTGTCAGGGTCCCACATACGCGGACACGCACGGGGATGATGTTCAGACACGGTCCAACTATGCGATCTTCATGCGGGATTCCTAGCAGCCGGCCATTAACTACCTGGCCAAACACAATATCGCGGGGCGCGGCATCTGGAAAAGTACGTGCGAGAGTCAATGCCCAAGCCGCTTTCACGATTGTAGCCAGTGTGAATTCTGCAGGAAGCTCAACATGAGCTACCTTCTTGCTTGATGTTATTAGTCGAGGAGAGTCTATTGTGCGTTGTCCCGCGGTCGGTTGGCGCGGTGTGACCTTCGCAATGTTTGACGACCGACTATTCAACCTTGTCATGGATGAGCCTGCTAACAGCTTTCTCCAGACTGCGTACGCTTCAGGCCCGTTGCTGTCCCGTGCGACACGGGCATGCACAGAGAATGGAGTCGTAGGAGCGAGCGGCTGGCCGTTGTATGAAGCGGATAAATCTTGGCAGACAATCGCCCAGGAGAGGCCGTCCATCTGAGCATGCACATGCCGAATAAGGAGGGTATCTGTACCATCTGGTAGTGCCACTATCTGCATCTGTAACGGAGGCAAGCCATTGGTAGGCGGAGTAGCCAGACCAGCCGAGTCGTCGTGGCAATGCTGGTCGAGACTGTCGGCAGACAGGCACTGGAATCCAACCCTCATCCGTTTGAGCACAACTTGTACTATCTCCTGGCGGCCATTTTTGGTCGCAGTGAGAAAGACTGTGCGCAGACTGGAGTGATGATCTACCAGTGCTTGACAGGACTTTAAGAGCCTGCACCGGTCGACCTCGGTGGGCAACGGGATGCTAAGATAGCGGTAGTTCATAGTGTGAAGACTCCAGCTTTGAAATGCCGTCGTGTGGACAATCTCAAGCACATTCTCTGATATGTGAGGAAGTAGTACCGTGCACAACTCCTCGCAGACTGTTGTCTGTTCACGAGTGTCCACTGTGTTTTCTTGCCTCTGGACAAGCTTCCGGGCTGGAGTAAGCTCGTGGCAGACCGCAACGAGATCGGATAGAACAGGGTGATCGTAAAGATCGGTGATCGTAGTCTTGATCCCTTGGTGTCGGGCTGCTCTCACCACATCCATTGCCGTCATAGAATCTATCCCCGCAGATAAGATATTCGTGCTCGGATGAATGTTTCCAGGCTCAAGCCCCAAGAGATCTGCTACAATGCATTTCATCGTGTTCAGCTGGCGAGCTTTCTCCGGGGGGCGAATTGTAACGTCAGACTTGACGGAGATATGATGTAGCGGCTGCTGCTGAGGGTTGCACTTCATCCAGTGCTCATGTGTAGTCTGACATCTAGCCGCTCTTTCTAGCAATGGAATGCGATCCACCTTACCTGATAATTTCCGGGGCAGATCCTGCATAAAGATAAAATCTGCGGGAACGAGATTCGGTGGTAGCTTCACACTGAGCTCTTGTCTAATGGCGGAGACTGTTTGCCAACATTTGTCTCTAGGAACCTCCAACGCTCCATCCCGATCTACCAATATCGAGTGATCCCGCGAAAGTCTGCTACCTCCAATAAAAGCAACCAGTTTGGTAGTGCAATCCCCATCCATGCGAGATTTGGCCGGGATGACGGCCACACACGACATCTGGAGCCTCCGGGCCTCACGACAGCTTGTAAGGCAGTTCTCTATCTCATGGACGTCTATCAATTGGCCATTCGCTTTAACAACCTGCGCCTTTCGTCCAAGGTATATAAGCGATCCATCAGAAGTGTACCTGACGAGGTCACCCGTCTTGTAGAGACGGCCGCAGTTCTGAGTTGGGCCATCGACGAGGCGACACTGCCATTTGAGCGCATCTGGAAACTGGGAAGCAGTATCTTGTGGATTTTTTAGGTACTGCCTGCCAAGGCCTGTCCCCTGAAGCACTAGCTCCCCGACAGCGCCAATGGGCATCAATCTGTCATGGTTGTCCATATTAACCACCCAAAGACGAGAGTCGCAAGCCTTGCCGAGATTGCGTGGATCGTGGTCCGGGAGGCAGTTTCCGACCATTAACGCAATCCCTGCTGTCTCCGTCGCTCCAAAGCCTAGGATCAGCCGGACCTTGGGGGCCCAGAGTTTAATGAACTGAGGATCCGGGGACTCACCCCCAACCATCAGTGTCCGTAAACTTGGCACCGAGTCAGGGCTTGGGATGTTTGAGATGGAGGGGCAGAAATTGGCGAACGTGACCCGGTGACGATTGATAAACCCGGCAATATCGTTGATACGATCTCTTTCGGAAGGGATGCAAAGGCATCCGCCTAGGAACAGCATCGATAATATCTCTCGTACACTCATGGTGAAGGCGTATGAAGAGAACTGCAGGCGTCGCGTCTTCTCATTTAGGCCCAGAGCGGGGGCTGTCCTCAAAGTTGTTTCGCAACAGGCACGGTTCTCCATGATGACACACTTGGGTCCCTTGGTACTGCCTGAAGTAAAGACAGCGTACAGCGCACTGGACGGTGTGCATCGCGGCTGGGGTAACTGGGGAAGTGTTTCCGGATCAGGCCAACTGGAATCGAGACACACCACCTGCTCGACTAGTCCCTGTGCGGTGGGTTGACATTCGAGAGAAGAGACTATAACGCGCGCGCCCACTGTGTGGCATACTCGATGTAGGATCTTCATGGAGAAGTTAGCATCCATGAGAACAAAAGCTGCCCCTGTCTTGACCACAGCTACAATGGCCACGACGGCCCATTTGGACTTTTCGAAGTAGACTGGAACAATCTGCTCAGGCTCAACACCCAGCTCCAATAGGCGCAGGGCCAGGAGAGAAGATCGCCGGTCCAGTTCGCCGAATGTCATCTCACCGTCCCATGCGGAGATTGCGGTGGCATCCGGGGTTGCACAACATCGCGCAGCGATGATATCATAGGCACATTGTTCCTGCATCGACTGCAATCCAAAAGGAGCATTCCAGCTGCACATTCGATCGATATCCTCGTCACTACAGACGTCCATATCTTCCACGGTTTCACCTGGTTTCTGAATGATCTCAAGGATGGTTTGGTGCAGGGTATGCCCTAGCGCGTGGCCTTGTTCATCTGATAGCAGCGTTTTGCTGTACTTGATGGATAAAGAAACGACGTCAGCGTCGTGGTCTAAACCGAGGCAGACTGCGATTGGTACCTAGTAAGATAGTGAGTGAGTGGGGCCCACACATGCTGTACTATTCTTTCCAAGGGAATCAGTCACGTACACGTTCATCTCGCAAGATATCGCTCGTCTGACCCGCGTCTCGAGCAACGAAAACACAGGTGTTGGAAACTTGTTCCCAAGCCCCAGCATTTGCCTCCATGCCTCTACACGTACACCCACCGATCGCATCGTTCTCATTCTGCAGAAGTCGACGGACCACTACTGAACCGGTTATATGAGCCTCGTACGGCCTGTCGTCCTGACCATGAACCTGGAAGCAAACATGGTCGGCTCCCGTATAGGCCCTTAGCACCAGGGCCCATGCCGCTCGCAGAAGTGATATTGCATCCGTTCCTTCAGCCTCAAACCATTGAGATAGGACGCGGTGTCCGAGGCTTTCTAGACGCCGTGATGCGCGTCCGTATGAGTTTTCTACTGCCTGGACAGTAGAGGTAGACTTCTCGAAGGACGCCAACGCTGGGAAAAAGCATCGGGGTGGGTTCCGGATCGAATTCATGATTGGAGTCAAGTTGCCAAATATGGAAGAGTAATGATTGAGCTCTGGAATGGAAGTTGATGGCCAAGGGTGTGGGGAGCTTTTTTATACCCCAATAGCGCCAGATCAATCATAGCTCATGCACCTTACCGCCAGAGACTGGCGCTTTTGGCACCTAGCAAGGGATTCATGCAGTGTAACTGTGATGCAAACGTAGGTTTGACTAACTATTCTGCAAGGAATGGAGAATAGTTAGTCCTTGTTGGGATCAAATGCACAATTGCAAGCACATCTTGCACACACGAGTTGAGGACGTCACACCGCCATTAAACCTACATATCGATATATAGGTAGGAAACACTCGATAAACATTATCATACGCTCCCGATACGTCGAGCAATAGTAGGGATGTCACCTTGCCTTGGGATCATGCCCGGTGGATCTACTGGAGAAGTAGGTGTATAGCGTGTTCTCTTGATGCAGGCTTCCAACCACCTGTCTCTCGGCTTGTAAGGGACTGGTAGCTGTCGGCGATGTACGCGATCCAGTTGGCGATTGTCGCTCCAATTCCCTTTCCTAATGTATTGAGAAGGGCGATCAGTCTGTATTCCTTGGGCTGTGTGTAGCTGTCCTTTCCTGGCTTCCGCAAAGACGTGTGTGTGAGAGAATTCGTGGGCTGGTCCCCCGCCATCGGCGATATGCAGGGTCCCTCTCACCTATCTTACTATATACTTTCTCATTTGTCTCACGATGGCCCCTTCGAAAACAAGGGACGTGACTATCCATAACGAACAATCAAAAAGCGATTAAAAAAAAAAAAAAAACATACAACAGCCCCAAGTATGGTGGTAGTCACCAGGCGCTGCGTGGGAGGCTTGCCGCCCTATTCAGTGTTCCTTTAGGACACTTCAGGCCCCTGTTCACCTGAATACTACACACCCAAGCTATTTGGAAATCACATTTGCGCAAATGAGTCCAAGAAGTAGCACCAACCTCCTTAACCCCATAAGCGTGAAGACTTTGATATCTAGGTTGTCGGCCCTCTCTCTTTAAACCAATACCGCTCCGGAGTAATAACTGCATACTAAGACGTGGATAATATGGCAGGATAGGCGTATCAATTTTCGATCATATAATGAATCTAGATAAGTATAATAACTCTAAGATAGCTCCAGCGGTTCTCCTACGCACAAAAGGAAAGTATGCTTAAGCTCTTCGGAGATTGGATAAGTTAGTTATGTATAAACCTCTTTTAGAGCTAAAGACTGAAAACTAACTAGTTATAGATTCCTTACTATTTATCTAATAGCTGTATCCCTGTCTAATATCTAATTCTATAAAGAGTTTCTAGAATTTATAACTAAAAATATGAAAGGGACTTAGAAGCAAGGAAACCCTGATATTAGAAATAGTTAACGGATTATACAGAGATTTCAAGGCTACCTAGTCTTCTTTTATGTTAGGGTTACAATATACCGGAAACTGTCTCTACAACTGTCCGAGAGATCAGCATAGTTTTAAACTTATCGACTTTAATTAACTGTATTATAGTAGATAAAGCAAGATCTAAAAGAGAAAGCTAGTCTTTGTAAGGAGATAGAAAAAAATAGACTCTTGCCTAATAATCTTACTGTTCTTATAATACAAATGTCGTGTCATGATTGTAAAGAATACAGAGGAGCATGTCCTGATCCAAGTAGGGTACAACTAAATACAGCGATTCTTCTCTATCATTGCATTCATGATCTAGGAATGGTCTGTCTCCATCTCCCAGATCGGGAAAATGCAAATGGATGCCTCTTCTGTCTGATATCGCCGACAGTAATCGACACTCATCAACTTGATAGCATACTAGCCCAGGCTTATTCTCGATTCTTCCCAAACTTCCCTCTCGGACCGACAGTCAACAAGAGCCCTTCTTGAATCTCCGCCTTTCTCGCCTCCAATTCCTCCACATCCCAGTTGGCGTCGACATATCTCCCCGACAGGAAGCTCTTATCACCACTAGCCAGCCACACAGCTAAACCACCACTCAGCTCCGGCGTGTCCTTCATGAATGGGATGACAAATGGGATACTGTTCCCCATATCAGTCGACACTACTCCGGGGTTGACAGCGACCGTCGTGATGCTCGGATGCTCATCTTTCATGAACGTCGTGAGCTTAACAATCGCCACCTTGGTGAGGCTGTATGAGCTCATTCCGGGCGGCGTCATACCAGCCGACGTGGATGACAGATGGATAATGGTCGTTGGCGCCTCAGGCTCCCTCCCTGTTGTTGCCAGGAAGGCTTTAGTGACGATCATTGTCCCGCGGATGTTGATTTCCTGTTGCATATAATTAGAGAATTGATCACATCAACAAAAGCTAAGAAAGATGCTGACCTGTGTTCTCCACCAGGAATCGATGTCTTCATCGAAGATGGACTTCAATGCCCCCGTGACTCCCGCGTTGTTGATCAGCACATGCGGGGTGCCAAATCGCTCCACTATTTGGCGGAACGCGTCCTTGATGCCGGGCTCATCGACAACGTCCACCGCGAGCGACAGCACCTTTGTGGCCGGGTTGATTTCTTTGACCAGCTGTTCCGTCTCTGCGAGTTTGGACGCGTTGCGTGCGATCAGTACGATGGCTTCCGCCTTTGCGCGGGCAAATGATGCCGCAAAGCCCTGTTGCATCCTAGTATTAGGATCCAGCTCGTACACAAGGGTCGATGAGGGTACGTACCAGTTTACCGATTCCACGACTCGCACCGGTGATTACGACCACCTTTCCTGCCTGAGAGAGCTCCGGGCGAGTGGGATCGATTGCGGGATAGACATCCCGATAGGTCTTCTGCGTGAAGGCATCTTCACGGACAAAAAAATCAGAAGGGAGCTGGGAAACGTCCATTATGAGGGGTGCTTTCTTCGCGCAGTCGGATTATTGATTAATCAACAATCATGTCAGCTTGATGTGAGCTCCTACCCTACTTTTATACCTACAGTCTGCCAAATTGAACTAAAAGTCTCACATCATAGGCAGCTGTCAGCCTCCAACATGTTTGGTGGATCTTAGTGATATTAGCGGGCGTCTCCGCTATATTAGATGGACGAGAATGGTAATGATGAGAACAATGGTTGTCTGTGTCTGGCTAAGCCTGCCCAATGTTATCCATAATAAGGCCCCCCAAACCCACCAGACTAAGCCTCGGCTATCGTCCCCTCTATGTTGTGGGGCATCTTTTCCGTGGTCGTGTCTGCGACAAGACCCAAAAGCACGTCCGTGTCCTAGCGCGACGCCTTTTGTCTCTGGGATGATGAACGAGAAGAGACATGCCACGATGTTGAAAGTTCCGAACATCTGTCTATATGAGTCATGCCCTGTTTCAAGGGAGGGGATACTTACTATCTAGGTTTTCTAGCTAAAGTTCTGCACCGCAATGGGAGTGATTTCTACAACGTCAGTTAGGGACTACCAGTAACTGGGTGAGGGACGTACTCGACACATCGAAGTTCATGGCCCAGGTCACCATGACACAAGCCGACAAGCCGTAGTCGCGCATACGGATTGGAAAGATCCTACAGTGAGTCCTCAGTCATGGTAAATGGATGGAAACCACGACTAAGACTGTCCACACACGCTGGATAGTAGTCGATATGTCAGTCAAGTACCCTCTCCACCGGCAGACAAGAGGACTTGTGACTTCTTGTCCAGAAGCAACTGGTCGGCGAGCTGACTTATTCATAGACAGACGTCAAGAGTTTGTTTTTGGATCTCTGGAGGCATTGTTGAGGCTGCGTCCTGCAGCTGAACGATGCCAGCCACGTCAACCTTGGAACCACCTCAACCAGTGTCTTGGCTAGGGGTATGCTAAGATGGCCCACGCACAGCTCGTAATTCCAGCTGGCCACCATGTTATTGGCCCGGCCACGGCGGGTCCCAGTGTCAATTGCTGATGGCTGGAGAACTGCTCACAACTAACATCCTAACATCTACTGGGAACCAGTATAAAAGCAGTAACAATCTTGAAATACTATCAAGTCTCTATCAACAGGAGGACCCTACTAGATTTACCCTTGATACTCTTTGTTCAGCCCCCACTCGATGGCGGCAATCTGCAAAGCAAGAATGGGAGAGAACTGCCTCGACCAGAGGAAGCTGCCTGTCATGAACCAGAACCCTGGCATCCCAGTCGGTCTCCATACCTATGAGCGAAGAATGTTAGCACTGCCGAATGTGCAAGATAAGGGATACGCGAACTTACGCCCAATCGCTCCTGTTCCTCATCCAAGCTACAGATCTCGCCCACCTTGTCCATGACTCCCCGAGGCATGGTCCGCTCGATCCTCTTGTGCGTGCGTTCGAAGCCGGTGGCAAGGACAACCACATCCGACTCGACTTGAGTACCATCGGCTAGGGTGATACCGGTGGGATAATACTCCTGGACGCCTCCTGCACATCTCCGCACCTGAATCCGGCCATCGATGATCATCTCGCATGCCCCCTGGTCAACATAGAAATGACCCGCTTTGATAAGCTGGTGATCGACGATACTGTCGCCCTGGTCGCCCCTCTTGACTGCCAATCCGGCCTTCTCCAGCCCATCCAACATGTCCTTATCCAAAACTGACATCATCTGCGACGCCCCAACACCAAGCGTCCGAACCACAGCCGTCGGCAACGAGTTACCGAGAAGATCCGCATCCTCCGTACTCAAGCCTGGCGTATCCCACAGCTTCAATTGGAGCTCTTCCACGGACTTGGGAGACACAACGAAAATGGGACTGCGCTGCACTATGGTGACCGATTTTGCCCCGTGATTGGCAAAGTCCTGGGCGACGTCATGTGCGCTGGTCCCGGCGCCGATGATTGTTACTTTCTTGCTTTGCACGTCTGACACACAGCTTGCGGATTTATGAGCTACCGTGTGGTACAGCTGGCCCTTGAAATTTTCTTGACCGGGAAAGGCGGGCTGGATGGGGATATCGCTGAGTATGCCGGTGGCGAGGACAAGATGCTTGGTGTTGATGCTCTGTACACTGCCGTCGTTGGATTGGAGCTCGACAGTGTACTTCTGGGTCGACGCATGGTACTGAATATTCGTGGCCAGCGTGTCATGTCTGACATTGAGACCCATGATATCCTCGTAGTGCTCAATCCATTTGCTCATGTGCTCTCCGTCGAGGTAGCGCGGCCAATTGGTAGGGTATTTCAGGAACGGAAAGTGGTCTGTGTATATCGGGGTGTGTGCTTTGATTGAATCGTACCTGGCACGCCATGAGTCTCCCGGGCGGGATGTTTTGTCGACGACTAGATATTTGAGCCCGAGGTTTTGTAGGTGCGCGGCCAGAGCAAGGCCTGATTGACCTGGAACTTGGGGTTAATGGATTGCTCGTATGGTTGGGCTGTTTGATACTGTTAATTACCTGCTCCCACTATCAGAACTTGCAGACTACTGTCGTCAGTGGTCAATGGGGTTCCAGATCCACTTGACTGTACCCCGGCCTCCTCCGCTCTCTGTGCCTCCAGCTTCTCTTGTCCGTTCAGCCGCTCAAGCACAGTGAAGACCGTCCAGGCTTTCCACTCCTCGGGCCCCACGTTCGCCAGGCGAAGAACCCCCCTACCTTGGCCAAACTTGGTCGTGAACCGGAACCCAGCCTGGATGAAGCGCAGTCCCCCCAGGTCAGCCAGCCGCGGTTGCAATGCGCCTGGCTGGTCAAGTTTTGGGTCGGAAAACCCACTTGTAGAACTAGTGAGGTAGCTGGAGATGGCCTTGGACCCGTTCTGGCACGAAAAGTCCCATGAGAAGGCGATAATATCGCGCCACCAAGATTCCGTATCAAGGAAGAGGGGTTGGATATGGTCTGGACGGCCAGAGGAGAGGCTATTGGAGAAGGAGGCGAGCCATTCGTTGGCGATCTTGGCTGCACAGAGCCCTTCTGCATCAATGGATGGGTGTAGACTAAGTTGGGGAAGAGCAGCCAGCGGCGGGAATTCATCCGACAGTGATCCCATGATGGATGTAGTGATTGGGAGGGATATGCAAGAATAGCGAGGAATGTCTATGTTGCTGAAAAGTCAGACGGGGACCGCCCTTATGTAGCTGGAGAGCTGACAGCTATTACACTCCGGAGTACCGGTACTTCGGAGTCGGCCGTCAAATGCTTACTATGGAGTACAATACTTTAGAGTAGCGCTGATGGTCTCATACTCGATACTGCAGGACCAATGGGATCAAGCCGATCATCAAGCCCGCCCCCGGATTTGCCCAAAAAAGATTTAGCGGCGGGATAGGGTCGCCTATTCGTCCCAAAGAGGACAAGCGCAGCGGGCTCAAAGTTCGGCCGCTGTCAGATAAGTACCGCCGAACAGCCTCATTTGGGGGCCACAACAGACCATCACCACATGGGCGAAAATGCCGCACAAGGGATATACGCGAAGTAGAACCGGATGCCGCACTTGCAGGTTCCGCCACCTCCGATGCGACGAGCAGCGCCCATCTTGGTAAGGCAACTGGAGTGGATGCGGTCTAATACGCGACTTCCCCGCTAATGCTTCTTTTGCTAGCCAAACATGCCTGGCCAGTAACCGGCCATGCCACTATCCACTGGCGGTCATCCCTCTTCGGGACCGGAGGGTGTTGCAGAAGAACGCGCTCCTACCTGGCCAGCAGCCTCCTTGGGCCTTTGTCGAAACCCACAGTCTGACACGATGGAGATTACCCAGCAGCCCAATCATGGATCCATTCGATACACTCCCGGTGAAAATGCCACCAAAGTCTCGAGAATTATACAATTACTGTATGCGGATGGAAATCCGGCAACAATATGCTACTGACATCTCACGACAGTCTACCAAACCGGGGCAGCATTTGCAGCGGCTCCGCGAAACCCGAAAGATGACTGGTGGGTTTTGTTAATCGGTGTCTGACATATGCTAAAATTGCATCACCAGCGTTGCTCTAGCCATTCTCGATGAACACGCTCTGAGAAGCACCATCTTGATAGCCAGCGTGCACTACTCGTGGAACACGGGCAATCTACAGGCCTACGAGCCCGTCTATCTTCTCCACAAGGTTGAGAGCATACGCCTCATCAACACCTGGCTTGCAACTTACGACTCCGAGAGATTTGTCGTTTGTGTGAGACAGATTTTGACAATATGCCTAGCGGAGGTACATACCGCTTCCCATCATCCGACCTGTACCCTGGGCTAACACTCCAGATACATAGGCCTGTCTGGCTAACCTTGCAGTGGCAGAGACGCACCTTGATGGGGTGATGGCACTTTTTGATACACACGATGCAATGACGGGCACCGCTGGCGATATCGTTGGCGACCTAGACGGCGAGCTCGCTGATCACTACCTTCTTCTGTAAATACTACCCCAAGCAGAAAGCCTGATTCATCCTCTAACATTGCACGATCAGGACCTCATGTTTCGTTCTCGCCCTCAAGAGCCGCCTCGACGACTTCATCATGTTCCGCGCAACCAAGGGACTCCACTCGGATCACAATGACGACTCATCGCCCGACCAGGCCGTCAAGCACTACCAAGAATGGCACGGAATGGAGTATGCTGGCCTTGATAAGAGGCTGAGAGCCATGCGTCTGTTCCCCTATTTTTTCAGCCCACCTCCGACGAACATTCCGCGGAGCAAAACAGTCGTGGTCGACGCGCCTCCAATCATCGAGTGTCTTGCATCCACCACGGACTCCCTGGATCAAGTTCGAGCGAACCTGACTTCGGAGCACATGCACCGCGTGTGGAATGATGGTGGGCCGACGAGATTGCTTCTCGTCCTTGTTACTTCCCACGTATCGTGTTTTCTCGCGGACGACGAGCCAAAGAAGAATGCAAGCGGGTACCCGGGCAAGAGCGGGCATCGTGATAAAACATCCTGGGGCGGCATTACTGCAGCGGCGGAATTATACATGCACAGCGTGCTGGGCATTATGAACTCGGGGGCGCCAATCGAGTGTCGGCTCCTCTATCGCGTTCTAAGTATCCTTCAAAGGGATGTTGAGGATACAAAACACGATACCCTCAGCTACAAGCATGGATCACTGTCGAAGTCTCTCTGGTTTTGGAAAGTCTTCACAGGAATTATGGCCATCGCTCGGAGCCAGCACGCGGATGAGCTGGTCACCCGCCGCACAACCCGTCCGGACCCGCGCGTCAGATGCTCGTGCCTGTGCCAGGAGAGGTTATACGGGGTCTATACGGGGCTTCGAAACTGTGCACGGTCTTGGAGTGTGGTTTCGGGGATGACGAGGTGGGAAGATGTAGAACCTATCTTGACAGAGATAGCCTGGCCGCGTGTTTTACCTCGGGAGGATAGGGAGTTTGCAGCTGATACATGGGCTCGGGTATATCTATAAGAGGCTGTACCATAACCCGAAACCGAGATCAAATAGATTGAGTCAGACCAATGTGAAGAACAGCAGCGAATTTAGAAAAACAAGACAGCCTGCTTCCAAGGAGACGATGTTATTTCGGTTCAGTCTGCCTGAGGCAGATGCGGAACAAGGACTGGCAACGCTCTGAGGGAAGACTGAAAGGCGGCAGGCTGCCCATGCAGCGCCGGATAAGCACCACCAAACCTCTGCTATTGTGCTACTTGGGTCTCTTTCTCCTTTGCGTCTTATAGCCGGAGAGACACTGCATTGTAGCATTGCATATTGCGTGAAATAAGTGTATACAAACATGGCGTTTCAACCCGCCTCCATTCTGTATAAATAGGAGATATGAGACGTCCAGTAAGTGCCAACCAATACGAAAATCGCCACAGGGTCAGGTTTAGCAAGTGAGCTCGGGGTTGATGAACTTTATTCGAATATAAAGACGAAGGTATGAGAGTACACCTCGTAGTGGTAACTATCAATGTGGCAAGCAGAGTTCATAACATCAGTGGGATTAAAGAAGGAAAGAAGACGAGGACCATTAACCAAAAATAAACGTTCTGGAATCCAAACTGTGGTTCACTTTCTGGTCTATGTTCTCACATGAGCTGTGTTTCCGGGGAATGCCCTGTCAGGTCGGAAAACGGGCGACATCTGTATTCAAGCAAACTGTTCAACGCCGCGCAGACCTCTGACTGTGCGTGTTTGAGGTAAGGCTTCTTAGTGTGAAGAGGAGCACCCCTTGGCTTCGTATGCGCCGAAACCTTGGATGAGCTTGGCGGTGGAGAGGACTGAGGGGCATCAATGAGGCGGACGGTTCTCTTCAGGTTTGAATTGCTGTTTATATACTTGCACACCTTTGTTGTTGCTGTTGTTAGCGATCATACCTTCTTCCCCTTGTCTTTAGTATAGACCCAACTCATCACAGATCATGAGAAAGGATATCTAGAATAATTGATCGGTCGAGGCTTTTGCTTTCGCTGCGGTCAAATACCCATCGATGCCGATCTATAATGGAGTCCAATTCTATTCAAGCGTGTGTCAACGAAACGCTACCACGGACGGACGCTGCCACCCCACGTTGATACAGAATTTTTCAGTTCCTATTGACTCTTGGGCACGTGGGGTATAGACTTTCAAGAGACCGCGATAAAATACGTAGATCAATTTCCATAGTAATAAAAGGCTTGGGAGGCAGTGTTCTGTTCTGCAGGAAATTGATTGGACTGGCATTTTGCGAATACGAGGTTGAAAATAGGTCTTACTTTGTGCGCCAACTTGAGACATATTTTCATGTCTCTATATAGACCTGACCCTTTGATACAATTCCATTCATATATCGAAATGTGTTCTCAACCCTACTTGGATGTGGCAAACGCCGCTCGTCCAGGCAGCCAAAGCTCCGCCGAACACTCAATCTACAGCGACATCCCTCCCACCACCCATTCCTCACGCCTCTTTCACGTCTATCATCGGCGACGAAAGCTCGATTTTGCCATCACTACGGACGAAAAAGCCCCCCTCGCATACGTGCGCTGTTCCACTTTCACTATCGGCAAGCCGGACCTGACATACCACGCCGGCGAAACCGAGGATGCCCCGATCACAGCGGTCTGCAAATTCATAAACTTTTCTCGACACTGCAAAGTGGGACTCGGCAACCCAGAGGATCCAAACACCGTCTGGGAGGATCTAATGCGCCACAAACTCACGACGCATTATCGGTTCGAGATCACCCTGCAGACTGGCGAACGGAGGGCATTTGTTTGGAAGCGAACCAACAGCGTCGGGATTGGAGAGGAGACGCCGTCCAAGATAGGGGCGAAGAATTTCAAGCTTCAGGATGAACTGACTGAAGAGCTTGTCGCCGTTTACTTGAATAATGGGGCGAAGAGCTGGAAGAAGTCGGGCAAGTTTCAGATTAATGTTCACTATGGGCCAGTTTTTGATACGATGGTTTTTATTACTGGCTTGGGGCTTCTGGAGAAAGAGAGGCGTAGGGAGAGAAGTCGGCAAGCGTCAGGGGGTGGTGATTAATGAATATGACCTGCGTAACAGCGACTAACGATGGTTGCGACAAGAATGCATTGAACTTGCTGTATTACTGAGAATAAATTGTAGATGTGGCTACTGCTGGCTTGGGCTATAAGTGACTCGCAGTAACAAGGTCACCCTCTCCACCAGTCTTTTTCAACCTGACCATGGCCTGCGAAATGACAACCCTACCATCTGACGCTATCTGCCGGTAAACAATCGACCGACCACTATCCTCTACCCACATTTTTGTTTGAATAACCTCGCCAGGAAAAGATGCCATCGATCTGGAAGATCCACGGCCCCTGCTCCGCGCTATTATCTTCGACTGCTCCTCAATCGATGACGTAGATGTCACCGCTGTCCAAGGTCTCATCGACGTTCGCAATGTACTGAACAAGCATACCTACCCTGAGGTCGCCGAGTGGCACTTCGTCAACCTGAGCGACTCCTGGGCGAGGCGGGGATTCGCAGCCGCTGGGTTTGGCTACCCTTGTGACAACCAGAAGGACAACTGGGAACCAATATTCAGCGTCGCAGCCATTAAAACAGCCGATGGCAGCCTTCCGAAGGGCTGTGAGGACGAGGAGAGCCATGGCAAGATTGATACCATAACTGCGCTTGGATCTAAGGAGATGGCGGCGCAGGAGAAGCTGGTTGCCATCTAAGGAGTCAACAGACCCTTTTTCCACGTCAGTATGGCCGCCGCCGTGGAGGTAGCGGTTGCAAACGCCGCAAATAGAGCCTCGAACGGTTCTCCTTAGCTTCCTGCGTTGCAATTTCTGTATTAGGGCCCTATGGCTGATATCCATAACGGATGCGCATGGATGACAATCATATTGCTCGCGTCGCCTTCGTTCTGAGGTGCCTCAGTCCCGTGTTTAACTTTCTGTTGATGATGGCGGGCTGTGACAATTTGCTTATTGAACCTATGCATAATTGTTCAGATAGGTAGATATTCGTTGTGATGAAGATGTGGATTGATTGTTAGTATTGATATGAAAACATTAACATTCATATACCGGTGGAATATGAGATGCCGATAAGATTTAATACCGAATAAATTCCGCATATGATGCTCTGTTGCCTACTTTATCGAGCCTCGATTTGCAATACGGCTGAACGCTAGAGACCCGTCCCCATCAGAACGGTGATGTAGGTCCAACACGACAATTTGTCAGAAACCCGTTAAGTTGACTAAAGATTACTCTGAGCACAATATAGATGATGCATGAATCAAAACCCCTTCCTTATATCCGCCCTTCCTCAGGTAGACCGGTCTACCATGGTACAATCCCGGCTGTCAGACAAATAGGAATTGACCTGCAGTTGCTCCGATCATGACGAGGATGATTGGGCTGTATTTACTGGTGAACTTATAGAGCGCCGCCAGAGCAACGGTGTACAACACGGCCGCGGCAGCACCCTTCGAGACCATCATAATAGCAGTGGAACTGTCAAAATCTGCGAGGTTTTCCGTTCCTTGCACGCTCGACCTCAGGGTCTGTACTGCAATAATGGCAATCACACCAATGACGGCACCACAGAGCCCATCGAAGAAGTCAGAGAGGAGCTGTGGCATTGTAAGCAGAGTCTTCTTGAGAATTATACTGACGCAGCGAGGGAATCAAGCTTACTTTGTTGCGAACCAGTTTTTCCAACACGTCGTGCCCGGCAATTGTAAAAATGAAGCATGGAGTGAACATCCCGATCGTGATGACTATCGCACCCGCAAAAGCTGTTCCAATGCCACCGATGACCAGGCCGCCCTGGAAGCCAACGAAGGTCGCAAAGATAACGAGAGGCGCTGGTAGGATATTTCCAATTGCGATACAATCAAGGAAAATATGTGCCGGTAGCCAGCCTCCTTTTAAAACTGCCTCGACTTGGATGAATGGGATGGCAGTATATGCACCGCCAAAGGACAAACTTCCCGCCACAAATCCCAACGCAAGAAGATTCGGAAGGTCGGGAGTCTCAGCAATACCAAGGGCAAGGGAAACTGGAGATGGGACTCCCCGGAAGACCACATAGATTGCATACGCGACATACTGGAGTATGAACAAGACGCCAGCAATGATCCGGTGATGGCGTGCAATGAGTGAGTATATGACCCCGTAAAGTCCGAGAGAGATGAATCTGGAGGGACTGTCAGCTGTTTCAATGAATTGTGGGCAAGATTACACAATGGACTCGTACATATTGATCCGAAGCGCACTGTTGAGGGCTGTGCAGAGTGCAGCGATGATCAAATAAGGGTTTATCTTGTGTGTGATGTGGTCTACTACAGAGTGGTCTGCAATCTTGTGTGTCGCTCGTAGAATCTGGCCATGTTTTGTCAGGCTCACGTGCCAGGGAAAAAAATGGGGGAGGCATACCATGGCTGCCACTATCGGCTGGACAGCCCTGAAAGAAGCATTGAAGTAAGCATTCTCCAAGCCGGCCAGAGAATACAAGTATGACGCAAGGAGCATCAACAGAAAGCCTGGGAGGATGAACGCAAGTCCGGCAACCACACCACCGATGCGACCAGCAGATAGGCAGCCGAAGAACATACAGAGTTCTGCAGCCTCTGGTCCCGGTAGTATCTGATAGACCGAGAAGACGCGCTGGAACCGAGCCAGAGTAATCCACTTATCCTGAAGGACCAGTCGGTCTTTAATCAAGGCTATCTGAGCCACAGGTCCGCCCCACGCGAATAAACCAAAATTGTAGAAAAAGAACCAGAACAACTTCCAGAGAGGAAGTCGTGGCACATTGCTGTTATCCTGTAAGCCGGGATCTTCGACGGTCTCTGATGCAACCGATTCTTCGATCATTGCGGACGGTGTATCACTTCGTTGTGCCTCCAGATCCGCTGCGTCGGTGGGTTTCAGGGGATTCCCACTGTTCCCGTTGATTGGCGAGGCGACCATGATGATGATGTCTAGCAGGGCCTTCAAGAGCGGTGGTAGACGTATCCTTCTGCCGTCTTCATCTCTGGGCTCCCCTGATAGATATAGCCTATGGCATATACTCCCATTGTTGCGATTCACAGCAGTACCGAGACAGGCGCGACATGATTGGCCAGCGACTGAATTACTTACCTAGTGGGACCGCATTATTTAAGGTTCGCCTACGCACGCATTTTAATCTTTTGATAATAACCCTGTCCCCCAATCAACGGTGGCCTGTCTGTCCTCTGTCGGATTTCCACTTCGGATGAGGTCAGCATTGAAGGAGGCAACCGATCCCCCGCATGTAGTGACGGACGCAGAAACACCAGATCTTGTGTCTTCTCCGTCTCCCACCTGGATGACTTTACTGTTCCACCACTATGCCGCTTTCCGAGGTATCATTCATGTGGAATATGCATCTATTCTGGTCTCACGAGTCGCAAGCATCCACTAATCGTGAGTTTAGGACCCTAAACGAGCCGCCCGTCTACGGGAGAACAAACGTCGTCACAGAGAACGCCAAAGAGAATATACAGCGGGCCTCGAGCAAAAGCTGAGAGATTTCCAGGAAAGAGGGATCCGCGCAACAGTGGAGGTTCAAACAGCGGCCCGTATAGTTGCCAAAGAAAATCAGCATTTACGTGCCCTTTTACACCAACTGGGCGTGAGTGAGGACGCTGTCAACAGGTGGCTTAGCAGCCGAAAGGGACACGAAAATTCGGAAGATGAGGGTTACAGATGGAACCGTAACTCCAGCAGAGTAGCGTGGAGTGACGGTAATATGGAGGGGCCTCGTTCGGGGCCGCAAAGCCACGGCAACGATGAGCGTCTTTCTTACTGGAGGCAGACCCAATGCCCGGTGGGGGATGAAATAGTGTCACCTGATACACACCGGCCGGGCATTAGTGACTTCGCAGGTGACCCAGTCGATATGTCTTCCAATATGAGTCCGAGAGTCTCGGCATCCAACGCCAATTTCGCCTTGGGTGCCCCTACGTTGAACAAAGAAAGCCAGGGCTCATACGAGGCAAACCGGCACGATACAACAAAGGCGGCAGAGGGACGGCGACAGCAGAAAACCAGTCCTTGCAAGAATCTATCGCGCCTTACGACAGACTCTGCCAGTGATGAGCCACCTGTCTTACCTGATGTGCCCGGTCCTCATCGCGTTCGAGACGGGATTTCGTGCTCGGTTGCATATGATCTGTTAAAGAGACATGCTACCTGCGATGAGAAAATAGAGGCTCTGGGTCGCGTGCTTGAAGAAGGATGTGAGCCTGGCTCTGGCGGTAGCTGTCATGTCAAACACGAAGTCGTAGCGCAAGCCCTGGTTGATCTCTGTTTATGAGGAATCTCTGTTTATGAGGAAAGCACCTTCCGCTGTCGGACTACACGACAGTCATTCTGGGACCTAGTGATCAGTGGGACTGGATATGCTGGGAACGCTGGGTTAGGGTTATATCCTGTACTTCTTCTGTTCGGGCTGGAGCCTACTGTACTACTGCTCTATGGTTTCTATCCATGCTAGCCCGCAGATACTGAGAGGAGTCTGTTCAGGGTTCCTTGGAACAATCTATGTTTCGGATAACTGAAGTGTTCGTCCAGAGCTGTCACTAGAGAGGCGACAGCACAACATCGGAGCTGTGGGTCCCAACGGCATAGCTCTTCCAGCCTGCTTTCGGCAGATCAATGCCTGGGTCTCCTAACAAGAACCTCATGAACACCCCATGAGTTACAACCACAACATCCGTCCGTCCTTGGTGTTGAAGGTCTTCGCAGATTGCGGCAATACGAGATCTCACCCTCCGTGCCCGCTCCTCCACAGCTTCGTCGGCGGGAGAATAGAGGTCCTCTTTCACTTGCCAACCCTCAGCCAAATCCTGGAAACCTAGTCTCGGGAAAGCCGCTTCCAGGACCGCAGTTGGGGACCCGGTATCACAGGGAAGAGCACTTCTCTCTTGTAAATCCGGGTCCAAGAAAAGGACTGCGCCATTCTCCACTCCGTGCCCAGACTCTGGGTCGAAATACCGTTTATCAAGGATGTGTGGGAAAGCAGTGAGGGTGGTTTGGACAGCTCGTTTGAGTGGAGAGGTAATGATAACCCCCACCTGAGGGGCGGAGGCGAATAGCTGGCCGAGCCCTGTGGCCTGCTGAAGGCCAAGAGGGGTCAACTCGGGATCCAACTGAGAGAAGTCATGAGTGACATTGTGGACCGATTCTGCGTGGCGGACGAGATGGACCTTCGAGGCCATATTGAGGAATAAAGGTGCTAACTATCTATCCACGAGGGTCTTGCTAGCTATAAATACAACTCGATCAGCCCCCGGCAAATGGCGGGCCGAAGAGGTAATTTCTGTGGCATATTGCGTGACATATTTCTTCCGAAGCAGCGCTATTAATATCAGCTCCGTCGACTGGGAAGACTTGAGAGACCTTTGGATAAGCTGGACCCTCCCAGGAAACTATCGACTAGCTCCCCTCTGGACGAAACCAGTGGCCATTAGATGGAGACCTTTTTCTTGGCGGCTCGGAAGTATCTCTTATTATTTGGAACCTAGCGTTGCCCCCGATTCTTACGAGACTGCCGATGTTTGATGTAGGACTTAGCAAATCCTGAGATCTATGCCATGGGCTCAAACTGATGGTGCGTCGATCCGTCGTAACGATGACCACTTAGGCACACGTGAGGAAGCGGATTGGTCCTTATCACCTAAGGACAAACCCGTGACCCATCCCTCTACGGGGGCCTCTGAACTATGTAAACTTGAACAGGACTCCGAAAACCAACAGCCAAAGAAGCGCCGCCGAGGGCGCTAAACCAAAACAGAATATAAAAAAAAGCATGCAACAGCATAAGTATGGCAGTGCTCACCAGGCGCTGCGTGGTCGGCTTGCCGCCCTATTCCGTCCTCCTTCAGGGCAATTCAGGCCTCTGTTCACCCACCTAAATACTATATACCTGGGCTAGTAGGAAGTCACATTTGCGCAAATAAGACCGAAGTAGCACTAACCCCCTTGCCCCGTAAGCGTAAAGATTTTGTTCTCTACCTAGTCAGCCTTCTTTTCTTAGGATATTATCGGGGAAGACCTGCCGCCACGAGACGGTTTGGTACGATCGTTGCATTTCCGCCTTGCTGCGAGCACGCTCTGACCTACTTAACCGTTGGGATCGTTAATGTACGCATCGCCAGTGAGTCCGCATAGACTCTATAGTAGATGTGATCTGGGTACAGAACACAGCTCCGCGTCACTTTGACAGATTAATCCGTATATAACGGCACGGAAGAATGGGAAGTAATTTATCTAGTGCTGTACTCCGTAGAGATCTTGATATTGCCACTGTTTTGTTTAATCTGGAGTCACTGCTAGATACCTGAATAACCGAGACGACCTTAGCGTATAACGTGGATGCTGTTTCTTGAGATAGGTTTTTAACTCCGAAGATCGAACTTTTAGAGTGACCGCAACATAAGGACTTTCTGGGCTAAGAATCTGGAAGAGCTCTGTTTCTATTTTGGTTGTCTTTGGGTGGGGCAGCGGAAGAAACAGGAATTGAAATAGCTTATATTAGGGGACGTTAACTGGGTCGGCTTCTCTTACAAGCCTAAGCAATTTAGTATAACGGTAGGTAGGCAAACCGAATGTGTACAGGGATTCCAGCCCCTTCCCCACCCTTTTTCTCTTTGAGAGGGTTGGTTGGGTCCTGGGTTACCTTCGTCTTCTGTCGGAAAATCTCCTTCCGATTGAGACATCGGTCATCCTTATAAATTAGCAACTGATTGTCTTCGCGCGGAGTGTGATCTTCTGGTTTATAATAATTTTACTCAGAATCAGCGCCGCAATCAGCTAAATACCATGGCAACCCATCTCCAAGATCAAGATCCAGTGAATGAAAAGGAAGAGAATATTTTCATTCTCATTCCAAACTTGATTGGTATGAGGATCTTTCGAGCTATTGCGACTATTTATCTAATCCTGATTGCTTGTTGCCAGGGTATGCACGAGTCGTCTTCGCTATTGCTTCACTTTATTATATGCCTTATCATCCACGAACCTGTTCGCTCCTATATAGCGCTTCATGTCTCCTAGATGCCTTGGATGGGGCGGCTGCTCGACGCCTTGGACAGTCGACGCAGTTTGGCGCTGTCCTGGACATGATCATTGATCGATGCACAACAACTTGTCTGTTAGTATTTCTTGCGACCGCTTTTCCCAGGTGGAGCATACTCTTTCAAGCCTTGATTAGCTTGGACTATTCAAGCCATTACATCCATATGTATGCTACACTAGCAATGGGTGGACAGCGTCAGAGTCACAAAGATATTGACAAAAGCCGGCCCTGGGTGATGAGAGCATATTACTCTAATCGTGTTAGTACATCACCATTCTTCAATGCAAATATTATTAGCTGATACGTCTACAGAAAGTTTTGTTTACTGTCTGCGCGATGAATGAGGCATTTTTCATTGCGCTATATTTGCTTTCATTTTCTTCGCCACTACTCATGCCTTCACTGGAGAACAGCAAAGCAAGCTCTGCAACCGCCTCCCAAATCTGGGGTTCGCCTTGGAGTTCTGGGGCTATGGAAATGGCTCGGTAAGTACAGCTCTGGCTCCAGAAGGACGGCTGGTACTGATATCTCATTTACTCCGGAGTAGTGCCAATAAAATCAGCAGTTCGGCACCATGGTTCATCCTTGCCGTCTCATCATCATTCATGCTCTTCAAGCAGTATGTGAATGTCATACAACTAGTTGAAGCGAGCAGATGGCTAGCACAGGGCGACGTTGAGACTAGGAGGACACGCTTGCTTCAAAGGAAAACAGAATGACTTGGCTGATTTATGTTCTGAATACTTTCGCACTAATATAGTGCTTTCCTCGCCAGCCGTTCTGAGCGTACAGGAAGCTTAAATGACCTGGAACAATGTATCCTTCTGGGAAGACAGGCTGTTGACATTATTCCAACCGATGACCCGCACAGGGTTGATCTTCTATTAGACCTGAGCGATTACCTTCACAACAGGTACATCAGGTTAGGATCACCAGAAGATAACAGGCAGGCGGTTGAAATCATACAAACAGCAATGCAGTCCCAGACAAAGTATGCTTCGCTTCGACCAAGTCAACTGTGCACTCTCAGTCACCGTTTCCGAGACCGATATGAAAGTACAATGGAGAAAGCTGATATCGATCAATTTATTCAACTTGCTCAGGAAGCGCTCAATCGTGTTCCTCTGGACCACCCTCAGCGCGCGTACCGCCTCCATTCCCTGAGCAGCGCTCTAGAAAAGCGATTTCTAGTTCTTGGGACCATGTCCGATCTGGAAAAGTCTATCGAGTACAGCGAAAAAGCTCTCGAATCTACATCACCTGATCGCTCTGATGGAATAAATTACTTATATGCGTTAAGCATTAAGTTAACATCTCGATACGAACTGCTCGGTGGCCTAATCGATCTAGAAGACGCCATCCACTTGATGCAGAGCTGCATAGAAAGTGCGCCACCGAACTATTTGAACCGTGTTTCCCATCTGAAAACCCTAAGTGACCAACTTGGGTATCTGTTCGAAAGCAACATGCAAACGGGGACGTTAGATCGGGCGATTGATACAGCAACTGAAGCAATCAAGCTTGTCCCCAAGGACGACATGATGAGATCCAGCATTCTGAATAGCCTTCATTTGCTTTTCATATCACGGTTTAAGACAACGAATAACCTATCCGACCTGAAATCAGCCATCGAAGCCCAGCGTGAGGCCATAAAACGCGATTCCCATTACCGCGGAGATCGTTCCATCTTGATCCACAATCTCAGCGTGGGCTTGGCTCTTTTACAGCACACTGGTGAACCAACAGATCCAACGGAAGCGATCAAGTTAAGCTGGGAAGCAGTCAATGCAGCATCCGAGTATCACCCCAATCGCGCAATGTATCTCAACACGTGTGGCACGTTCCTGAAGGAGAACTACGAAAGCACCAGGCAGATAATTCTTGGGGATAAAAAGCCGAATGAATTGTTCCTTGAGGCCTTCCACCATGAGAGCTCTCCTCCGCTAGATCGTATCAAAGCTGGGGAAAATGCCTTTGACTGCTATATTCCAATGGAGAGTGGACTCAGGCGAATTCGGTGGCGAGAGATGTTGTGAAGCTCTTCCCCTTGTTGGTTCCGCGGTGGTTAAGTCAAGATGACCAGCAACATCTGCTAAAAAACATATCACACTTCACATCACGTGGAGCATCTGCCGTGCTACAGGCAAATGGACCTCCCCTTGACGCTCTCAAGATATTGGAGACCGGGAGGGGGGTGATAGCTCGCTGCAGTATCGGTTTGAAGACCGACATCTCCAAACTTGAGAAATCGCATCCCTCATTGCACGATGAGTATACTATGCTCCGCCGGCAACTTTCCCTTCCCCCTTTCTCAACATTCTCAAGTGCAGCGGAACCTGCACAGCCAACGTTGATATGTCGACGACGGAAAGCTCCAGGATTACTCCCACCCCATATCACTACCACCGGACCCGAAAGGGCTGAATTTTTGCGAAGAATTGAGAATTTGGAGGAAAAGATCCGTACATTTCCGGGATTTGAGGACTTCAATCAGGCTCCTTCACACGCGTCCTACACTGAGTTTGCCATGTTTGGCCCAGTAGTAGTCTTCAACGTCACAGAGCAGCGGAGTGATGCGATAATTGTCGCTGAAAATGATATATACAGTCTGCATCTGAAGCAGCTTCGATTTCAAGACCTCAAAGCCAATGTCGCGAGAGTGATAGGAGATGAACGACTGTCGAAGGGGGTTCCAACCACGAGACCGCAGCGCAACCGGGAGCTTCAAGGCATACTGCACTGGCTATGGGAGACAGCCGTCTACCCTGTACTTACTCGAATGGGCTTATACAGCGACAAACTGCGATCTGTACTGCCGCGTGTCTGGTGGGTTGCAGGCGGCTACATGGGCCTTCTCCCACTGCACGCAGCCGGGGATGCAACTCGCAGGACGATGGACTACGTCATTTCCAGTTATATTCCCACGATTCAGGTGCTCCAATCTTGCCGGGAAAGACGTCGTATGTCATTCCGCGAGCATAAGCCGAAGATGCTCCTTGTGTCTGCGCCAGAAAAGCTCGATCGACAGACGTTGAAGACAAACGTCGAGCTCGAGTCCATCAGAGAAGGCCTTCAGGTTCATCAAGTGTCCTACACGATGCTTGATAGGCCCTCGCACGATGACGTATTGCGAGAGCTCCCCGAGCACCATCTGCTCCATTTCTCACGCCATGGCTATTCAAACGCTACTGATCCATCGAAAAGCGCGTTGGAGCTTGTCTGCACAGCTGAAGATGGAGCAATCTCGCAGCTCACAGTAAGAGATCTGTCACTCATTGGTTACGAAAAAGCTCAGATTGCGTATCTCTCTGCGTGCTCGACAGCCGAGAACTCGTCCGATGAACTCCTAAATGAGGTCATACATATCGCCAGTGCTTTTCAGCTCATTGGGTTCCCCCATGTCGTCGGGACACTCTGGGAGGTCAGCGACAGAGCTGCCGTTGAAGTAAGCAGACTCTTTTACGAACAGCTGGGCCGGCAGATGCGCAATTGTGACGAGTCACATATCGCATGCTGTCTCCACGAAGCTCTCCAGACATACCGGGAAAGCAGGAAAGTTTCAAGAGCGAATGATGTCCTTTCATGGGCCCCATTTATCTACATGGGTGCATAACGAAGGCCCTCATTGCAATTACTTGTCATCGCAGACTAATATATTATTGACTTTTTCTTCTTACCTTTGTTTAAAACCGCGCCAAAACAAAGTCTATTGCATGCTGGCTCACCTCTCGTCTAGGCACGGCCAGCAGACAGGACTCAGTCCCAAGTTGCACAGTTAACTTAGATTTTAGAAGTTTGCTATCGTACTGCTTATCTTCATTTCAGCCTGCTAATCTCTTATATCATAAATCAAACTAGCGCGATCTTCCCGTAAAATGTATATTATATGTCTCTCTTTTCTAATCTTATATTATATGTGTTGCTTATTATAGCTGTAGTATAAACTTTTAAGAGCAAGCCGTCTGTACATTCTTACGATGATATCGGACTCTGTTTAGTTCTTCTCTAGTTAGTCTTAAGTTAATATAGCGTTAAAGAATAGGAGAGTCAGAGAAGAGGTAGGCGGGCGAGGAGACCATCTATATAGACCACACATCCTGATGCTAAGCGACAACGATGCGCTTTCTCTAATTAAGTGCGCTATACCGGATGTAGGTAATTCGGTGTCACCGCAGAATACAGAGTTAATGGCTGACTTCCAAGGAAAATTCTATACTAGAATCTTAACGTTCTGTGCTTCGTTGCCAGCATAACTAATCACGTTTGTCCGACATACCAATTTAAATATCAAATGGATTGAATCTCCGCTTCAAAGAACGGGCACAGACGCACATCGTTGTAATGCACTAAATAGTCACGCTTATTGACCCAAGGCAGCGATAACGAATAATGGACTAAGTTAAGCCACCTAATAAAATATTCTCTCATCTTTGAATTGTAGTGAGACACAGCGCGGAGGTCAAGATATGCGGAGATTCCCTTTTCAGAAAATTAAAAATATCTGGTAACGGCAGTGGCGTATTGTAAATCCGATCCTTTGGGACACGTCAGAAGGCGGGGCAGTGGGTGAGTTTAGAGGCTTCAGGTACATTCAGGGGGAGGGCCTGAAGGGGCTCAATATATAGAGCGCGTGAATCGAACAAAAAAAAAATGTAGTAAAGAAAAACATACAACAGCCGGGATTCGCTGGTGGTCACCCACCCAACTACTAACCGGCCGGCAAGTGACTTGAGTACGGCTGAGCGGACGGGAAGCCCTATTTTCCACTTCCTATGGTCGTATGTGCATGTTTATTTAGAGAGAGGGTATGTATGCTACCAATTGAAAGTAAGATAGGCGTGGTTGGTCTTCATCCGACTGCCATAAATGCTCCCATGGCAGCGCATCAACATCCGATACATGACGAGATTAGTGAAACCAGTTCTCCGATATCATAACTCCGGCATATACCAAGTACCGTACTAGCAAGCGGTATGTAGAGAAGATGGAAGAAGACAGTAGGGGTGGCATGGGAAGCCGTCGACGGAAGAGCACGAAATATATACAATGTGCTCCCGGACTTCCAAGATATAGATCCGGATATTATCTCCCCAAATCTCGATTCCCATTCAGCATCATCAACTCCCCATAAGTCTTCACATCACACCACTCTTCAACTTTCGGCCTAGCCAACCTGCCAACCCGGTGAATACCCCAAGTCCTCGACTGTTAGCATGTGCTACCCAAACCAGAACACCATCAAGTTCTCCATCGTCTTCGCTGCTGCAGGCCCGCAGGTGGGCCTTCTCATCTTGTCTCGTTAGCAAGCCAGCTCCTTCAAGATCATATGCTCTTGTCCAAGATAACGTGAGCAGCGACTGAGGGTAGTAGACATTTGGATATGAAGATGTGAGGGTTGCCAGCATTTGAAGCCGTGGTGTTTTCCTTGGCGTTTGGTTGTAGGGTGTTTGTGATTTCATCGTGCCTCTAATTAGGCGATCTAGTTATATATATTATTTTTGTATGGTATCTCGCTCTCTATCCCTAGGTATCAACCTAGCGCAGAATATCTAGATGTATAGACTGGAGTTTTGGAGTACTGTCTTGCTGGATGTAAGTGTACATGCGATCTATACGCCGACGCATACTATGGGAATGTACACGAGTTCCCGTCAGCGGGATACTATTTGTGCCTATACGAAGCCCGTCAGCACTAAACCAACGCTAAACCATCTGGCCGCGCTTGTATGGTTCTGCAGGATCCGTCCTCGGGTAAGCCGACGATATGGGCCTTTATCCGCAAGCAAGCCACAAGGTCAAAGCGCCGTACAGTCAAGATTAAATATGTCTACATCTGCATCTCGAGCACAGCGGAGCGTGCTTACATATTTTATATCAAGAAAACCTGTCTACCTCAATGGATCATCCCCCCGACGCCTTTTCCTACTCTCCCCTCAACCCCAAGGCCGCGGAAATCCGCCTTCTCACTATCCTCCCCGACAAACATGAGCAGAATCAAGTAAAATGCACCCTGCAGACCGTGTCACTGGACAACGCACCGCAGTTTGAGGCGCTCTCATACGTCTGGGGAAGCGTAGTGGAAAAGGTTGGAATCACCGTGGACGACATTCCCTTCCAGGTCACGACGAACCTCGAGGCAGCGCTGAAATGCCTGCGACACGCCCGAAAGAAACGCCTCATCTGGATCGACTTCATCTGCATCGACCAGAACAACCTCAAAGAAAAGAACACCCAGCTCCCGCTCATGGGCCGCATCTACAAAGACGCCACCGCCGTCGTTGCATGGCTCGGACCCATCAACCCCAACATGGAACAGACCATGTCGATGATCAAGCGCAGGGAAAGCAGCCTGGCCGGGCTCCTCCAGGACGTGCGGCAGATCACGCGGCCGTGGAGCCAGAAGCACCGGCGCGACACGATCGGATCCATCCTCGACGCCGTCCAGGGCTTTCTGGACATCGTTTCAGCCCCGTATTGGGGCCGCATCTGGACCTTCCAGGAGTACTACCTCCCAGAGAAACTCCCCGTGTGCATGGTCGGCAACATTCCCTTCACGCTCCCCGCGCTCGTCGACCTGGGCCTACACTTTCCCGACGTCCTGCGCCCGTACATGGAAGACCTCGACAAGGTGGCGCCGCGCGCGGGCGACGCCGCCGACATCGAAAACCACCGGGAGCTGCAGCGCCGCTTGAAAGAATCGACACAGCGTCTCGCGCAGTCGAACCCGATGCAGGACTTTGCGCACGACCTCGCAGCCAGCCGGAAGGGCCTGTCGTCGTTTGCCGACGTGCTCGATCTGACGGTCCAGCGCCAGTGCTACAACCCGCTCGACCGCTTCTACGCGCTGTACTCGATGGTCGACGGCGTGCAGAAGAAGTACCCCGTCGATTACGAGTATAAGCCGGACGAGGTGGCGCTGCAGATCACGCTGTGGATTCTGGTCTACGAGGGCGTGGACTGTGTGTTCAACATGTTTCATTTCTACGACGGGCCGCATGGGGATATCCTGGGGCGTCCCAGCCCGACGTGGGTGCCGAATTACCGGGATTCGACGTCGAGGACTGCGTTCAATTTCAAAGATATCGACCCGTCTCTCCAGGACACTGAGCAGGAGTATATGACAAATTTGTCGTTGCTTCCGGGCAAGTATGTGCTGCATTTCTGGGCTAGGAGGGTGGGCACGGCTCGAGTTGTTTTCAAGTTTGCGGGCGAGACGGCAGAGATTGCTCGCAGGATTCTGGATGCGGTGAAAGAGCCAGCCTCTGAATGGGGCAACGGTGTAGACGAGGCGAACATGACGGAGCGGCTGGTCTGGGCTTTTCTCGCGCATGGAAGGATGCAACAGACGTTCGCCATCGACGATATCCTCAACGCGTTGGAACAGTTGTCCAGCTCGGACGACCCGTCTGACCCGTCTGACGCGACCAAACTGACAAAGGCTGAGAAACAGCTCCTGCGGGATCTGCCGGCCCTCGCAGGGAGGACGGTCTTTCAGCTGACGGACTGTCCGACTGGTGGGTTTGGCGTCGGCGTTGGAAATATGCAGGACGGGGATCTGTTGATTCTTTCAGGCAAAATGATGAATCCTATTGCCTTGCGGGACTCGGGGTTCCGGGGCAAGGCCGAAGACATGGTGCATTATAAGATGGTTGGGAATGCGTTTGTCGAAGGCATTGCGGAGGACCAGAAGGAGCATCCTACTCCGCTTCTTGCTGAGATTAAGGGAGAGAAGTTTGAGGAGTTTTTGATTTTGTAGTAGGGATGAATACTGTGATAGTAAGATGAGGATCATGTTGGCATCAATATAAAACGTCTCCTCCTTGCCAGTTTAGGCCATGAACCTAACCATCTTTGACACGGCAATTGTCCTGGCTGCTTACCGAAGGCGACATCGTCCTCAAGGTTAAAGCAGTCTAGAAGCTGATCTTCTCGATAGTTGTTTTATATCCCTGCTACCCCGCCGGAGGACATAACGACGCGGGTAAATTCCCTACTGCATGATGCGGCAATGGCACCATCTGCATCCTTGAAACCTCAAGAACAGGGTGTGCTTCTTCAGCCTATTTAAACACTGTCTTGGAAACAAAACTAAGAACGACCACCCCGCCGCGGCACAACCCACTCTCCCGCCGTGACAGTAGTATTGCTCTCCCCAAACATCCCCCCATTGAAGAACAAGATCACGCTCGGGTCGGGCATGACAGTCAACGCCCGCGAATAGGCCACGCCCTTGCCGGTGGGCACCTTGATCCAGGCGTGCGGGTTCCCGTTCTCCCTGTTGATAAAGACCTCCTCGTACGTGCCGTCGCTCATGACGATGGTGCCGTGCGGGCCGCCGACGGGCGTCCAGACGGTGTACGGGCACGCTGAGGGGATAGTCCCGTCGCGCGACTTGAGCAGCACCGGCGCGGCGTCGTCGAACTTGAGCGGGTTGTCGGCGATGCGGTAGTGGACGGCGTACTCGACCTCGGGGGCGTTGGCCAGCTCGTACGACAGCAGGTACTTTCCGTTTCCGATGCGCGCGACGGTCGTCATGCCGGGGCGCAGGGTGTAGTTCGCGTAGGCGGCATCGTTGACGACGGGCCCCCAGTGCACCAGGTCGCGCGTCGACTGGTGCGCGAGTTTCTGGCCGTGCAGCGGGTCCCGCTGGTCCGAGTAGTAGACCGTCAGCTGGTCGTTGTACATGGAGATGAAGGGCTCCCAGACGGGGGTTGCGCCGTTGGTTGTGTTGGGGGGCCCGCCTGTCGCGACGACTGAGACGAATTCCCAGGAGAATCTTCTATCGTTAGTGGGACTTGATGGAAATGGGTGAGTGGCTAGGCTTACCCTCTGTCCAGGCTGGCGTAGACCTCGATGTTTGTGGAGGAGAAATCGCGCGGGATGGCGTTGCCCGAGGCGAGGATCGTCCCGCGAGGGTATTCGCCTACCTGCCGGGGGAGCTCGTAGAGATGAGGCTGCCAGATCGAGCCGTAGTCTCCGTTGGTGAAGTGGACTTTGGAATAGTTGGACCACGTTTGACCGCCGTCCTTGGAGCGGTAGATCGGGAGGTATGTCCCGTCCGGCGGGAAGAAGGACCAGGTCGATAGGAGGACGGGGTCTGTGGTGTTGCGGTCTAGCAGAAGCGTGCGGCCGTACGAGGTGCTGTGAGAGGGCCAGTTGGCGGGCGGCGCAAAGACGGTGACATTGTCGAAGATGGCCTCTGCTGCTGTCGCGAGCGCTAAGAGAGAGAAGGCTGTAATGGAGGGGGCTTTCATTTTGATGGCTGACTGGAGCTTGAATGAGAGTGATGGCACTATACATCAGGAAGAGGATAGGCCATTCGGACTATATAGGCGACGACGGTTAAATCTAGCAAGTGATGCTCGCACAGCATTTAACCGTTGATGTATAGAATCCGGGGGAGATGTAGATCGGCGCAATCGGAACTGTAGAGGCTTCTCTTAGCCTAAAGTCTTGTTCTGACGGTGCAATGGACCAATATCTCTCGGCTGTAGCTTGACGTTTATATGAATGTTGTCGATCACTGCACATTCGTCGGTGTGATCATTTGTGTCAGGAACCCGTCCTATAGATCAGTATTATAGACAAGCACATATGTCTAGACCATGGACCTGCAGTATCAAGTTAGTAGCTGTACACAGTACAGTCAGTACCTACTCCATACTAAGGTATATACCCCAGTCCATAGTTATACAATAGGCTTAGTGTAACCTATTCCACCCGAACCTCGGCATCTCCTCACCAACAAAGTACCTCCTCTACACTCCTATACTCCCAACTACACACCCCCAATCCCATTCCCATTCCCAATTCCAATCCTAATAAAAATGAAAGAACCCAAATCCTACGACTGGGACAACTACCTCGACTTCCTCCGCGAAGTCCCCGTCCCCGCCGACGCGCTATCCTTCTTCCTGGCCCGCCCCAGCGCCCGCCCCTACAACCCCCCCACCTACCACCCCATCCCCTGGCTCTCGCGCCACGACAAAGGCGACAACACCACCGACACACTCTTCAGCCAGGCGCTCAACTCGCCCAACACCATCCCGCGCGTGCTCGCCCTGCTCCGCGCCGACCTTCTCGAGCCTAGCACGCCCGTCCCCGGCGGGACGACGACGTCCCCGGAGGAAGATGCAGGGACAGATGACACCCCGCATCAGGTCCTTTTCGTGCAGCTGGGCACCGGGCTGAACGGCTTCACGGATACCGTGCACGGCGGCGTGCTGGCGGCGCTGGTGGACGAGGCGCTGAGTACGTGTGTCGAGGCGGTGCGACAGCGGGACGCTGGGGAGTCGAAGGCGAAGCTGTTTACGGCGAATTTGAACGTGTCGTATCGCGCGCCGGTGTATTCGCCTGCCGTTATCCTGGTCAAGACGTGGTTGCGGCGGAGGGAGGGGCGGAAGTGGCTCCTTGAGGCGCAGGTCGTTACGGAGGAGGGCAAGGTGTGTACGGAGGTTAAGGCGTTGTGGATTAGTGAGAGGGTTGCTGGGTTGTAATAGACTCTGATTGATAGAGGATTGTGTACATACTGTACATACTATGACTGCATTATGGGTTTTACGCTGGACGCGCCTTAAGTACCTATGCTATGAACCGTATGTCTACAACTGAATGTCTGTCACAGACGGACACCCGTCAAATTCCCTGGTTCCAAACTCGGACACGAGCACGTAGGTGCCGGCGCACGAGCGAACACGCCGGCGAGAACCGACGATGAAGAATTCCCCTTGCCAGCTGTCAATATGCCAAACCGCAGGAAGACCTCGAACGTGGTCACGGCAATGGAGATGAGGATCAGCACAATAATGATCCACGTTTGCCCTGCAACTGTCAGTATCTCACGCCAACCAAATTTCATCTTACTTACGGGATGTCTGGTTGTCCGCTATCGAGTCGGACAGAATCTCGGCCAGATCAAGAAAGACGCGACACCGCTCGTTCAGCACCTGAATGCGCGGTTTGATTTCGAGGTACTCGCGCACCGCAATGTACAGCGGATACAGACTCGGCTCGCTTTCCCAGAAGAAATTCGGGACGTCCAACATGTTCGACGCTGTGATGTCATGTCAGAGGTTGAGGGCGCCATTGGTCGACCGGCACTTACACAAGTTGACCTCTACTCGGCTTTTGAACAGTCGTCCGAGAATCCGAAACACTTCCTCCCGCTTCATGCCCAGCTGTCCGGTCATGGCTAACCGCCGAGGCACATCCTTCGCGTCGGCCATCTGTTTCGCCATCACCTCCTCGAAGAAGCAGAGCTTCGTGCTCTGCGCGATGCCGTGACTGATAGCCAGTTTGATCATGTGGTCGCCGCTGCGCAGCGTGATCATGTCATTGTACACACGGGGGCGAGGGATCTCTGTTGAGTACTCAAAGTGGAATTCTTCCATCTCAAAGTCCTCCTCCTGCAGCGGCATAGTAGCTAGCGGAATGGGCGTACCAGTTGCCGATGATGCTGCAAACGCCAGGTCTGCGAGAATATCTTTCTCTTGTTTCTCGGTCAGATTCCAGAAGACAACAACCCCATACGTAAACACAAACATCTCCGCGACATCGTAAGGCAGGCGGGACGGGACGGACGGAGCAGCGATACGCCTTTCCTGGGCGGAATGGTTCGTCCCATCGCTACTGTGACCCCTCGTTTCGGATGTATCTCGATGGCCCTCTTCCACATGATGGTACTGCCCATGCTGATCGTGTCCATCGACCCGGTCTTGCGGCGACCCATGCTCCCCACGGCGTCCGACAGAGTGCTCCTCCGGTTCCATGTAATCTTCATGGTGATCCCGCAGTTCGTTCCGCTCAATTTCCTCATCCAACAGCGACTTTCCACCCGGTTTCTTGACCACCGGACTGCTCCTCACCCGGTAGCCTCCGTGTCCCGGAAGCAACGGGAGATGGTACGCCGTGTACAGACAGTCATCGTAGAGTTTGGTCCTACCCCCATGACTATCCTTGACAAAAGACGCCAGGGAGCTCATCTTATACGCCTGCGCGGTACAGTACGCCGTCACCCGGGCGAGTTTCTCCGCGCGACGGGCCTTGGGCAGACGCTCTGCATAGCTCTTCGCTTTCTCCGGGGGGATCTTCCGGCGCCGGTGGAGTTCCTCATCCGCCAGCAGCGGCTCAAGTTCATTATCGATCCCAAAGTCGGCGCCCAGCTTCTTCTGCGTCCACAATCGCTGTCGCACGGAATCCGGATCCATGTTCCGATCCTTGGCGAGTCGCTGGACCAGCTCCTCATCAACGACCTCATCTCCTTCGTCTTCTTCGGGGGACTCTCCGTCGACGCCTTCAGCCTCCGGCAGTAGGACGAGCTTCTCGCTCACTTTGGTCGTGCGCGGGGGGAGACGCGGCTGTGCGGCCAGACCTCTCATCGTGGCGGCGGCACTGGTCGCATTGCTTCCGCTGCTGGAACCGCCTGCTCCGCCCACCCCGATCAAGCCACCCGTCGCAGAAGCAAGACGGGAGCGTGGGCGGGTTCGTGCAGCGGGAGGGGGGTGGCGTTGTTGCATGGAGGGCACGTCGGAGGTATATTGCAGGACGTTATCGACGGTGATGAAGCGGGTGGATGGGGAACGACGACGACGGGGTTGGGAGGAGGGAAATTGATCGCGCGAGTCGGTTACCTGGAGTATATGTGAGGATTGGATTTTCAAGACAGCAATGGGATGCTCACCAGCACATGGGGACTTCGTTGGCCGGGCCCGCGGCCACGCGTTGGAGTCATTGTAGACGGGTATTAGGTTGATGGGATAGTATTATTTCGATTTGGAGAGTTGCAGATTGAGAGGGGTGATAAACAGGATTGCAATTGAGATGCAAATTGGCTTAAGCCGGTCGACCCGAGTCTTCGGTGGGGGAAGTCGATGAGACTGATCGCCCCGAACACGATCAACACATAACCTCAGCTTTGGAATTCCAGGAAGCTCTCACAGAGCCGAATGGGAATGGTAAAATGAATGGATCGTCAAGCAACGAGGTACAACGAGGTCGAGATGGTCGAGAGAAGCCGAGCTCCAGTCGAAAACGGCCAGGCCCAAAGCGAAAGGCGGTGGGCGAAAATAACGAGCCATGACGTCGTGTTGTCACGGGCGTACGGTACCGTTCGGCGTCCCGTTTGGGAAGGCGGCCGGCCACGTGCAGCGGGTGGTCTCGGCTGGGGCTAGGCCTGATGGGGCCTAGTGGGCCTCGGGAGTCCAGGTTGATCCGGGGTAACCCGCTTCCCATCTCGTCAGGTATTGCAACAACAATCCTTGATGTTGGTAAGGTACAAGGTACTTGTAGGTACCTAGTACATTAGGTATACATGTCCTTGGCCCGGTCCTCGTATCCACCGACAAGGATCCTCGGGGACAATACGGAGCCCAGTTGCCACCCGCCGCATCCCCAAATTAGGTTGTCCTGACCCTATCAGCCACGGGAGGGGTACGGAGTACTTGGCCTGGCCCACTGTCAACGCGGACAGCACTTCCGACGCAAAGCAGATGATTCCTGTTTGGTAAAGGAATGGCAGCAGCATACGATCATCGGGGTCCACGGAGATTCCAATTGGTGTTGCTGCATGCGGGGTGCTTGTCTCGTCCTCAGGTACTCCTTGCAGATGCGTGCCGGCGTCCTTGCTTGT